AATAAAGTCCAGCCTGCGTTTGTTAGGGAACGCAGAGCCATGAAGGTTTGTTCATTCTTTGCTTGCACCTTTATACATAATTTTTTGTGTACTTTTACTGAAGAGAATTGCGTTTTTGTTGTTTCTTGGTTTTCAGAGAGATTATGAAGAATTTAAGGTTAAGATCAATGCTTTAGTTGCGACTGCACAGAAAGTGCCTGAAGAAGGCTGGACTATGCAAGATGGGACTCCTTGGCCAGGGAATAACGTGAGAGATCATCCCGGCATGATCCAGGTGAGATGCTTTGAGCCATTTACTGTCTTTTACTTTGTTCTCTGTGCTGTGTGTATACTCATCTGTTTATTTTATCATGTAAAAAGGTCTTCCTTGGAAATAACGGTGTAAGAGATGTAGAAGATCACGAGTTGCCTCGGCTGGTTTATGTTTCACGTGAGAAGAGACCTGGATTTGACCATCACAAGAAGGCTGGAGCCATGAATTCATTGGTAAATAGTTTTTTTCTTGATTCTTGTATGTGTTCTTTGAATGGATTTATGACGGTCTCTTGGCTAACTTGTTGCCGTGTTTGAGTGAAGATACGAGTCTCGGGAGTTCTATCAAATGCTCCTTACCTTCTAAATGTCGACTGTGATCACTACATCAATAACAGCAAAGCTCTGAGAGAAGCAATGTGTTTCATGATGGATCCTCAGTCCGGGAAGAAGATCTGTTATGTTCAGTTTCCTCAAAGATTCGATGGGATTGATAAACACGATAGATACTCTAACCGCAATGTTGTGTTCTTCGATGTAAGTACACTATTCTCTTCTCACTGATACCTTTTTCTTGAGTTATCATACATACTTGACTAACTTTTGATCTTGTAATTGTTAACAAAACAGATTAATATGAAAGGTTTGGATGGACTGCAAGGGCCTATATACGTTGGAACAGGGTGTGTATTCAGGAGACAGGCTCTCTATGGATTTGACGCACCTAAGAAGAAGAAGACTCCGCGTATGACTTGCAACTGCTGGCCTAAATGGTGTTTCTTTTGCTGTGGTAAAAGCAAGAACCGTAAGGCGAAGACAACTGATAAGAAAAAGAAGAACAGGGAAGCTTCAAAGCAGATACACGCGCTTGAAAACATCGAAGAAGGCACCGTTAATAATGCGGTGAAATCACCAGAGGCGGCTCAACTGAAGTTGGAGAAGAAGTTTGGACAGTCTCCTGTTTTCGTTGCGTCTGCTGGTATGGAGAATGGTGGGCTTGCTAGGAACGCGAGTCCTGGCTCTCTGCTTAGAGAAGCCATCCAAGTCATTAGCTGTGGATACGAAGATAAAACCGAATGGGGAAAAGAGGTAATGTCACAACACTTTTTGGTTAATACTGTCTTTATCTTTCATTCATGTTGTGATAAAGTTTTTTGATTTTTTTTCATTCTAGATTGGGTGGATCTATGGATCTGTGACGGAGGATATCCTTACGGGTTTCAAGATGCATTCTCATGGTTGGAGATCAGTTTACTGTACACCAAAGATACCTGCTTTCAAAGGATCAGCGCCTATCAATCTTTCTGACCGTCTTCATCAAGTTCTTAGGTGGGCGCTTGGCTCTGTTGAGATCTTCTTGAGCAGACATTGCCCTATTTGGTACGGTTATGGAGGAGGTTTGAAATGGCTTGAGAGATTGTCTTACATCAACTCTGTGGTTTATCCATGGACATCTATTCCTCTCCTCGTTTACTGTTCTCTCCCTGCTATCTGTCTTCTCACTGGCAAATTCATCGTCCCTGAGGTACAACATAACAAAAACCCATCTTTAAGTTCATCTTTATTCCATGTTTTGTCTAAAAGTATCATTTTTGATTTCTCTAAAGTATCAATCTTTATTCTTTTTTGTTGCAGATTAGCAACTATGCAAGTATCTTGTTCATGGCGCTGTTCTCGTCGATTGCTGTGACTGGTATTCTTGAGATGCAATGGGGCAAAGTAGGGATCGATGACTGGTGGAGAAACGAACAGTTTTGGGTGATAGGAGGTGTTTCAGCTCATCTCTTTGCTCTCTTCCAAGGTCTGCTCAAGGTTTTAGCCGGTGTCAACACAAACTTCACGGTCACGTCAAAAGCAGCAGACGACGGTGAATTCTCTGAGCTCTACATCTTCAAATGGACCTCTCTTTTGATCCCTCCGACCACACTGCTCATCATAAACGTGATTGGAGTCATTGTCGGAATCTCTGATGCGATCAGCAACGGATATGACTCGTGGGGACCGCTATTCGGAAGGTTGTTCTTTGCTCTTTGGGTCATCATTCATCTTTATCCTTTCCTCAAAGGTTTGCTTGGGAAGCAAGACAGAATGCCTACCATCATTCTGGTCTGGTCGATCCTTCTTGCCTCTATCCTTACGCTTCTTTGGGTCAGAGTCAATCCCTTTGTGGCCAAAGGCGGTCCGATCCTAGAGATCTGCGGTTTGGACTGCCTTTGATTGATACGTAAAACGTTTTTTCCACAGAGGTAAGTAGAGAAGAAAGTGTAGCAGAATCAATATTGGGGAGAGAAACCCTATTAGATTGAAGGAGAAAAAGAAGTTATTTAGATATATAATGTTATTTTTGGAAGGTGTTGTATTGTAGATATAGAAGAAGGGAGAAGAAGAAGGTGGTGTCTATTTGTTCTTGTTATTGTTTTTTTGGGTGAAAGTGAAACAGAAAAGTGAGATGTTATATTATTATTAATTCTTTCATTGAATATTTTAGAAAAATCGTTTTGCATAATTCATGTTAAAAATTAGAAGCTACTTTTATTTGCAACTGTTAAGAAGATGATCTTCTTCTTGTCTGAAAAGACTTCTTGTGTAGTATCAGGTCTTTATCTCTGTTTCTCCTTGAAAGACTTTTGAACACGAATCAGTCTAAAGTCAACACGACTGTTTGACTGGAAACTCTTGGCACCAAAAAACAAAAACCAAGGATTTGTTCCTTTCTTCATTTTTTTTGCGTAAATGCAAGTCTGATAACTTAAACTAGAGTTTGACCCGCGCCTTGCACGGGGTGATATTTTCTCAATTTGATTTTATTAAAAGATGTCTATTTACATACAATTTTAGGAACATAGAGTGTTAGACAATTAAAAAAATGTCAATTTACATTAGACGAAATTTTGAGTGATGCATATTTTTTTAGCCTGGTTTGATTTTTGTCATCGTTTACAGTGTGGTAATCTAACATTTGCTTTAACAACAGTTTCTCCCTTTCCGAACCCACATATATATTAAATTTTAATACATTTAAAATAATTTTATATTTTGATAAATATAAAATGGCATATATATTTTATGTTTTTATCAATTTTAAATAACTAAAATAATTTAACTTATATGATAAGTTATTAGAATTTATTACGTTTAAAATTTTGATCAAACCAAAATATTAAAAATACGATTTAATTATTTAATTCAATTAAAGAATCAAATTAAATCGAATAAAAGAAATTTTAAAGATTTCCAAACATGGTAAATTTTTCTTTCCTATTTGTGATTATGGTTGATCATTATTTGGATCCTATTTTATAATAGGTTTTTGAACTATTATCCCAAAATATAATCATGTGGGACATTTAACATTTTTAGAGATTTGCTTCATTTTTAAAAATTCAAACCATAGCATATGTAGAAAAAAACTAATTTTCTTTTTTTAAATATTTTGATGTGATGATATAATTTATTCTTGAAAGTAAAGCTAAACAAAAATGATAGATGAATAAATTAATTTTTAAACAATTAATATAATACAATTGAATAAAACTTTCCATATTTTACTGATTGATTGACTAATAAATAAATTTTCGTCATTACCAAATAAGGAAACTGAAAGAAAATAATTTTCATTAATAATTATTTTTCTGACTAAATTAATCATATATATTTCATTCTCTAACCAAATATGAATGGCATAACATGTAATTAGTCTAGTAATGTTTGTCTTAATTAAAACTAACCTTGAAAGTGAACCTGGTGTTGACACATCAGCATGGCATTTCTGTTAATAACACATGAGACAAAGGTTTATTTTATAGTGTTTTCTCTTTTAATATATTAGGAATTAACGTGCATAGAATCTGTTCTCCGAAATTTATTACGTATACTTAATCCAATATAACATGGCTTTAATTAAAATTTGTAGGGAGGCTATTTAATGGATTAAATAACTGAATAAGTATAGTTTTCATTGATAAAGAACGAGTCAGCGAAAAGAGAAGAAGCATAAGCCTTGGCTTGCTTACCATTTACCAAGGGTGAGACTTGAGAGAGATGCGCGTTTTGTGACCAATGGAAATAAATAAGTCAACAAAGGTAGGGCCCACAACATTCGTGATTATAATCGATTAATCGTAGGATTTAGGTCAAAAGAGTCAAATTAGCCGATATTTACTCATCATCCAACGGTACGTATCTCCAATGGTCCTTAATAAGCAGAATAAACCGACTGTACTTTGATAATTTTCGCGTTTCTTGCTATTTAAAAATTTACCCCAACATATTGGCGAAAGCACAGCCATGCCAGAAATTTTACCAATGTTACATTCTAAACCTCGCTAAGTTGATCAGTGGCACACTCGTTTCTTGGCAATGAGTTATTTACTTGTTACTTATAAAATTTAAGAAAAAAGTTGTATATAATTTAGTTTGTAATAATTCCCAGACAAAAACATGCAATGAATTTTATAACCTTAATTCTAGCTAACTGAGGTTGAAAATGTAAATGTCGAACTAAATTTGTGTTTTGTCAAGCGAGTAAAAGTAAAGGGACGATTTAGCAAAATATCGTTAAAAAGAGGAGAGAGAGAGAGAGAGATTTCGCAGCACCAACGTCGCAGTTTCTTATGGCCTTCAAAAACCCTTTTTAACATTACGTAATCCTCGAAGAAATTTACTACAAATAAAATAAAAGTAGCCGAACATCGTATTTGTAAGAGATTTTTTGTTTTTGTTTTTCAGAAATAAACTTAATAGTTGATATGGTGAAGAGGAGAAGAGAAGGGATGAAATTAACGGAGACGGAGATGGATGTAGCTCAACATCTGATGCATCTAAGCGACGAAGAGATTAAACTCAACATAATCAAGAAGAAGAAGATTGAGGAATTATTCGGTAAAGATGATGAAATTCACCAAGATCAATGCAAGCAAGAAATGGTGATCATGAGAGTAATGTCATCGACGACGAGGAAGAAGAAGAAGAAGTTTAGGTCGCTTGAGAGCATTTACATGGCAACAAGGCCAATCAGGGTCGTCATTAGATGATGAGCTAACTCTCGTTGGTTCTTTAATTACGTTATTATGGTCTTATTTGAGCATTTTGCCATTAGTTCGAAGCAGAGATGAATGAAGGTAAAACGTAGGTTTTAGAATACAGTACTGATCAATGTAGTTTACATAATCTAATGAATTAATGTGAGAGATTGTTAAGATCATAAGAATCGATCGAGGATGAAAATATCAAATGATTATGATCAATAATGAGTCACGGACATAGCTTTCTCTCCTTTTTTTTTGTAATAAATTTCGGACGTACGCGTGGAAGTATTTGTTAATAATGTATGCGCGTGTTGGGTTTTGTCTTTCGCAACTTTTTGTTACCTCTAATTTCTTTTCAGAGTTTTGTTAAAACCAGAAGAAAAGTAATACTAATTTTGGTATGTACTCTCTCGCTGACAAGGTTGCAAGCCCTACGTAATCTCATCTCAGTGCTGTCAAGGTCGTAAGAAAGTAATTTTCGAAATCATATAATTTTATCGCTCAATGAATAATTTTAAAAAAGATAATCCGACCGACTACAGAGTTGCTAATAGCTTGGTAGAAACTTCCCCCCAAGTGATTGAAATTAAACTTTTTGTCCTCTTGTTGTGTTAATCTTGATCACTCAATCATAGAACAATTAGAGTTATGTGAGCAATATCAATACGTAAAACAATAGAAAGTAGTAACACTTCATTTAAGTAAAGTAAAAATACTTCTGAAGATCAAATAGAATTTGGGAAAGTTACAAACCAACGAGAACCAAAAAAAAAAAAAGGAAGGCCTCAATAATCATTTTGATCTAATATAACATTTTTTAGACAAGAGATTTGACTTGAATCTGGATCGCAGTCCGGTTTGGGATTTATACCAACTCAGGCCTTGGCTTTGGCTTCATATTCATGTGGAGTCTGCAATAAAAAGATATTCATTCAATTAAACCTGAGAAAAAACAGATAAAACTCGAAAGAGAGAAGAGAGCGAGAGAGAAAGAGATGAATCTATTTTACCATGAAAGTTGCAGATATCATCTTTTGTGCAAACCATCTCATATGCATTGCTTTTTGAGCTAAAGCAGCTGCCTGCACCGATTCAAACCGAAGATAAACATGACCAGCGCTGTTCCTGCATTTTACCAGATTCAGACCACTATTAGATATGTAATGACATTTTGTTCAAAGGCATGATGATGTTGATGAAGCATGTTGATGAAACTAATGGGATGATGATACTTACTTGTCTACATAAATATGGTTGACCCTGCCATACTTTGAGCATTCTTCCTTAACATCTTCTTCAATTTCAACATCAAAATCCGGTTCCTCCTGCAACATAATAAGTTTTGTGTCAATAATGAATTAGTTGCATAAAAGAGCCCAGCAAGTTTACTTTATTCACAGCTATCAACCAAACAAAAAAAGAAGAAGCAAAATAACCAACCTCGGTTGCAGGATCGAACATGTTCTTCAGTAGAAGACACTCACTTGGCTGACCAACAGGCTCAGCGACAAAAGAAGGGATTGCTGTTGTCGGAAGCACTGATGTGCGGAAACCAGGATTCATGCCTGCTTGATGAAGAGCTGTTCCATTTAGCGCTGGTACTCCAAGAAGACCCATGTTGCTGTTGATAAATTCCATGTGAGACGCACATACTAACAATATTTGTGAACTAATAAACGAACACAAAAGATACATACCTTGTTACCATACCGGTACGATCCAGTTTCTGCATAAGCATTGCCCTCGACTGTGCATTTAAAGCCTGTGAGAGAGAGAGAGTCGTTAAAGAACAAGAAGTAAAGAGAAAGAAGACAAAGGGTACAAGGATAAGGTTCTATAGCTTACCAGTCCACCTCCATCATCATCATCATCAAAATCAGCGGATTTTGGATTAGAGTCTTGTGAAGCAACATGATCCGAGACAGAGGAAACCTGAAAAAAACAAATAAGTAACATCAGATAGATGCAAATGAAATAACTCATTCATTTGTCCATAAGGAGTTCAAAACTCACCTTGAGTATCCTACCAGCAATCTCCACTGTTCCATTTAAGGAGAGTGCAGCCTTCGAGTGTTCAAGTTGGGCAAACTACAGAAGGCAAAACTAATATAAGTGAGGAATCACGAAGTAAAATACAGCCAAACTAATTTAATAATCTGTTCTACTAACCTGGATGAACCCATATCCTTTGCACTGCCCAGTTTCAAGGTCTTGTGGAAGCTGAACAAGCTCAATGGGACCAAACGGCTCAAAAAGCTGATAAGAGAAAAGGAAACAACTGTGAGTTGGTGTGTCCATAAGTAATAAGGCCTCTCAAGGCATCGATCTAGAAAAACTCTACAAGAGATAGGAGGTGTCTAAAACCGACGATAATTATCACCTGTCTAAGCTGCACGTCTGTCATGTTGAAATGCAGGTTCCCCACATACAGTTTCCTATCTACAGGGCCATTACCACCTACACCACCCGTAGTGGTAGTAGACTGAGCCAAATTCTTTTCCGCTTCAGAGGGCTTGACCATCACAGGTTGACCAAGAAACATCTGTCCAGACAGAGCAATGGCCATCGGAACTGACATCACATCATAAAACTCAATATACCTGCAAGACAAAGAAAGAGATATATGACTTCAAGCACACACAGGGCAAATATATCAGAAAAACACTTACAAAGCATGCAGCAAAGAGAAGTTGGAAACAAAAAACTTTAGAGCGGGGATTCAAGAGCTGAGTCTCTTTTGGTGGGTTGGAGGCCTAGAGTAATACAAAATGTTAGCCCATCATGACAAAAGAACAATAAATAAATCTAAAACAGCAATCAAGATAGAAGCAAGCTCCTCCATCGACTTAGAGGACGTATCAAACAAAGAATCCGAATAAGATTGACAGGCTAATGGATTCCCTCTTTCCTGATAGTGCTCGCAACGGAAAGTAACAGCTGAAATAGGATTCAGGTTTTCTGACAACTACCTTGACCACGCAGAATTGATTAAACAAGTGTGCAAGGTAATGCCATCATCCTCATCATTATCGCATTGATAGTGCATCTAAGAATACATTTAAATCGAGTTCTTGAAATTGCAGAGAAAACTGAATATGCAGAATATTACGTAACCAAGTGCACAAACAAAAAACTAAAGTTTAAGTAGGAACTGAGAGCAAAACATACCCGACTCCTTTTGATCGTCTTGAATTTCTGTCCATGATCAATCGCACGTCCCTAACCTGAAATTATAAGGAACAGCGAACATTAAGAACAGAAAAAGAAATCAAAGAGTAAAAATAGCAAAACTAGAGAGGCACAAAGTAACTGACCTTGCCGGCTTTGGAGAAGAAATCATAAACATCTCTCTCGCCAGCTTTCAGAGGCATCTACAAAAGGAGATAGGTTGGATTAATCAGTAAAATTAACAGTGTAAGCTCAATATCAACCCAATGTTTAAGAATCTACCTGGTATGCAAAAACCGTTCTTTGGTCTCTCTCTGGATCTGCTTCAGGCTCCTCTTTCTTGTCCCTGAGTCTCCTGCAACAATTGAAAACTTTCAGTCACTAGAGTACTAAACCAACGACTGAAGAAAACTCATGATTTCGAAATTCACCCACAAAGTAAGCTTAATTAAAATAACAAAGAGCAGAATTCAACAAACCTGCTTCCTCTTTCCACTACTTCGCGTTCCCTCTCCTCCCTCCGAGATCTACTGCTGCTTCTCCTCTCCCTATCTCTCCTCTCTCTCTCCTTCTCCCTCTCCCTTCTCTCTCTGTCTCGGGTTTTGTCCCTGTCGCTCCTGTCTCTCTCCTTGCTACTCCTCTCCCGAGGGCTCCCTTTATCTCTCGATCCTTCTCTAACCTTATCCCTCTCTCTCTCCTTGTCTTTCTCACGGTCTCTGTTACTTTCACGGCTGCTCCTGTGCCTCTCTTTCTCCCGATCCCTTCTACCTGCACCGTTCTCTTCGCCGTCTCCCCGAGACTTCTTACTCCGACTGCTCCCTCGCTCATCGTCTCCGTCTACTTCCTCATGCCTCTCTCCTTCTCTCTTCCTGCTATCTTCCTTCTTCCTATTCGATCCATCTCCTTCCTCCACCGTCTTCTCCAGGTATTCGTATTCGTCGAACTCCATCCTCTTCAAGGACACCTCAATTTCGTCAATTTAGGGTTTTTGTTAGGGTTTCGAATTGGACGAAGATACGAGAAAGGGAAGGGAGGAATTTCAGTGCTGCCTGTTCGATCGATATCTAGAAGATGGTGATAATTCGTAAATTCCAAACATTATTGAGGTTATAAACGGTAACTCACACAATCAGCTACGTTAACGATGGGCCTAAACCAAACAGTAGCAAGAAAGGCCCATTAGTAGGTCTGTTCGGTTGTTTGGCCTCCTAGCTTATTGGAAGTTTTCTGAAAATAGCTTGTAAATTATTTTCCAAACTAAAAGCGATTTTTTTCTGACTTTTTAAAATTGTAAACAAAGTTTCCTAGATAATCCACCAACAACACTACTTGAAGAAACAAATGGCAGATGAAACCAATAAGTGGCAAAAACACCACTAGTGTACAAAACCATACTACATTTTAAAAAGTCTTGTCAAGGAAACACTGATTCGAGTTATTTTTCTCCACACAAAGATGATGCTAATAACTCAACAAAGATCCAGAAAAGTTTCATGAGGATCATCAAAGCACATGTTCAAGGTCTGAGAGCGGCTTTGTGAACCATGGTTTCCTTGTGAATTTGGTGGCAGCTCTTTTCAACGAGATCCAAAAGCTTCTCCAAATTCACCGCCCACGAGTTGAGAATCTCGTTGCTGTCCTTTGCGACCTGGAAGCACACGATTCCTGATGGTCGGTCTATTTTTGCAATCAGTGCTTTCGACACAACCATCTCCGAGAGATACTTCTCCGCCTCCTGAAATCGCATCAGTATAATTTTGTATAAATAAAGAGCTTAAGAAGAGTAAGGGAATATGATATAACCAGTGAGATTAGATCATACCTCAATGGTTAGGCATAATAGCTCTGAAAGTCTCTTCAAGGTTATCCTTGCGTAATACTTCGAGACAACGAGAATATTCTGCGGAATTATATCAAGGAAATTGGAAAATAGTAAGAAAAGCATCAAACCCATGTATAGATAAACAAGCTCTGAGATAATAAATTGAGAGACTTACATGTTCAATGATTCTCAGTTTCAGATCTTCACCAGCTTTGTCACCCAAAGAACCTCCGACCATGCCTTTTTCTTTCTCAAACTCATCCTTGTATTTGTTCCACAGAGCCGTCCATTGAATAACCTCCATTGTCACTACCTGTTTTAGTAGCATCCTGGAACGAATAATATAAAACACAGCGACTACTTCTCAGAACCCATCTCAAACCGAAAGAGTAATGAAAAAAACCAAATTCATGGACAGAAAATTACTTAAAATCAGGAATTTCTGATAGATTCTTGTCTTCCAAAGTTGCATTGAGCAGACTTGACTGCATTGGATCATGAGGTGCCAAGACCAAGAACCAGCAGATCTTCCTCAGGACCTAATGTTAAAGATCACATAGACGTTATTTTAAACTCACCATAGAATCTATACTACTAAGCATCTAATTAATGGTATTAGCCTTACTGGAATCCATTGCTCTGGGGTTTCTTTTACAGAAGGGATTTCATATATCGCCTTGTAGCTACGGCAGATTTCAATGTATTCGTTGTTGTGAGTATAGTACCTACATGGTTGAATTAGCACATAAAGATGTTATTAAAAATTAAAGGAGGACATAAAAACCAATCAAGGTACATCAGAATTCAGCGGAACCATATATGCAGTTCATGTCATATATACGAGTTTAAGATGTTAACTGCTAAGACAACTGATGGATATACAAATCAAGTACAATGTGTTAGAGAAGCAGAAGAAGGTCGTACCTGATCATTAGCTCATAGTAAATTCGCTTAAGCTCCAACAGGGTTGGTATATCAGCAGGAGCCTCCTCTACCATGTTATCACCTTCCTTAGGTTTCTTCTTATCCTTTTTCGTATCTGCGTCAAACACTCTAGGATTGATCTTCCTAGATAAGATTTGTGCACGAACAAAATCTTGACGATCCAAGCACAAGCGGACCTTTAGAAAGTTACCCCAATCCAGTTAGTTCCACAAATGAAAATACCAGTAGATATTAAGTTGCAACAACACAATATAGCACAAGTCCTTACTTGTTCAAGGATAAATGCAATCTTCTCAGTTTTTGCCATAGCGCCAAAAGTCTCCACCTGTTATTCATTATCACATTGCAGGGATTAACTAGGAAAGACGATTTCCATGAGATTAAGTACCAAAAGGCAGAAAAATCTTACAGCAACTTCTTGCATAAGATCTGCAGCCTCAGCAATCTGACCCTGCTCTTCCTTAATCTTAGCAAGCTTCTTTGTCAGACGAGCCCTCTCGATTTCAACATATATCTGTACACGTGGATTTCAAATGCAAACAATTACACACAATGATGATAATATGATGAAGATACATACCACCACCAGTTTCTTAGTTCCTCACCTTTCCAGCAGACACATTGTTCAACGTCTTTATCAGCTCTATACGAGTTTCGATGTCTGGAGTCTGATCGATATAACCCATCGCTTGCTGCACCATGGATTGCACAGCCTGCAAATGGAAAAAATCACACAAAAATTTACTTAGTTTCTTTCCGTTTAATTTCAACTAAATTCCGACCATGTGAAAAGTTAAGCTCATTAAGCTACTACACAAAGAAAACACCAAAAAACAAAGTAAAACCAAAGAAACACTGAGAATAGAACTAAAGATTAGTAAATAAACTGGAGCAAATACACCATCACGATCTTCAGTGACCCAATTTGATAGTAATACTTAGTCAACATTGAACTTCTGAGTTAGATAACAATAAATCAAAATCAAGCAACCTAGGAAAAAATAAAGCCACTAAAGTAAGTTTGTATTGAACACAAAAGGAGAATCCCCCTGAATTTTGTGCTTATGTCCTTAGTCTCTTTCAAAGATTATGATTAACAACCACTATAGGCCTATGCAATTCAGAAGTCAAACGATGAAGTAATCACAAAAAATTTCCAATATAACAACCCCTTCAAACTGTTAAACGAACCGGAGACTCTAAGCTGAAAATCCATGTTCCCTACGAGCTCAATCGACAAACTAATAAGAAGATCCTAAGAATAAATGAAGTACCTGTTTAAGCTGACCACGTTTCTTAGACAGATTGAGAATCTGCTCGTTCAAAAGTTTCCAGTCCTTAGCTTCGAAACAAAGCTGCAGAATCTCAGTAGCGGCTTTCCTTGTACCGGCGACATTCTCCGCGAGTCTCATCTGCTTCTCTTCATTTAGAAGCCGATCTACCGACGCATTAAGCTTCCCGCTGTCTCCCTGGAATCCACACATAAACGGAATGAGATGCAAAATTCCAAATAAGAAAAACAAAAAAAACTAAAAACAGATCTGAGAATTGGAGAACTAGCCATCGCAAAACCGCAACGAATCAACTCAAAGCAAGAGTAGTTGAAATTCCGGTGACAGAACGGAGAAACTTTAGAGTCTAGAGAAAGGAGGCGAGAGAGAGATAGATTAGATGAGCTTATGGAGTTGCCGAGCACAGAAAAATCGCAAAGTCCCCAACCCCTTGAACAAGAAAGCTCAGATTCTTCGGCCGATAATCCTTTTCTCGAATGGGCCAGTAATGGGCCATTTTCTAATTAGTTTTGAGCTCATATTATGGTTGGTACTATAGTCCGGTTTGGTAAGCTATCTGCTGATTTTGGTTCAGTGCTTCACTGAACCGATCCCTTCCCATTGATTGTGAATTGAGCCTGATGAAATGAATCGAAAGAAACATAGATCGATCCTCGCCAAATCTCAGCAAATTTTCGATAATTCGTAGAACTCTGGATTCCTTCATCTCGATCCAGACCTCACTCTACTCTCCTCGTCTCGAGATACTGTAATTTACCTTAATTACTGGAAATATTTCGTCTAGATTGTTTGCTGGATTCATCGAGAAGAAGACCGTTAGGGAGGAAGAAGGAGAATCCTTCTTAGGAAAGTTTTATGATGCAGATTTTGAGCCTGGTATGGATGAGGAATCCTCGTGCATAGCTGTAGATTTGCTGCATTAGGAAAGTGTATCTGTGCCCGAGATTCTGAATTATAACAGTCTGCTTACTGTGAGGAATCGGAGCTTGAGATGATGATATATGGAACCTGCTCTTTGGGTCGAACACGCGACTATGGGACTTGATTTTGCAGTGCTGCTGGATTTTCCACTTTACGGGATCTGATATTGCTGGTGTAAGCCAAAATGAGGTTTTGGAGGGAGCGTGAAAAGAAAAATAAGGAACAGATCGTCGCGCCATTATGCGGCCAAATCCGAGTATTGGTGGTTGGTGATTCAGGTAATACCACATTCTCGTTTCCATTGATGATCCAGTAGTTGAAAATGGAAAGTTTGTTAGATTTGCTCATGGAACCATAGCAAGTTTGTTCTTGTGCACAAAACTCAATCTTGGTCATTCTTAAAGAAGGAGCTAATCTTAGTCATGATTGATTTGATTACGAGTTATAGTTGTGGAATGTGGAGTCTTGCTTTGAAATTTTACTTGCTGAGCAAATTTGATCTCTGGATATCAAATTAGGTGTTGGGAAATCATCTCTTGTGCATCTCATTGTGAAAGGCTGCTCTAGTGCTCGCTCATCTCAAACAATTGGATGTGCTGTTGGTGTCAAGGTAACTTGAGCATTTCTTAAGTTTTCTTGATGTGATTAAAGAGAGGTCGAATTTTCAAGCTCCTTACTTACATTCTGGAATTCGGTTCCCTGCAGCACTTAACGTATGGAAGTCCTGCTAGCTCTTCAAGTAGCATTAAGAGTGACTCAGAGAGAGATTTCTTTGTCGAACTATGGGATGTGTCAGGTCATGAAAGATACAAAGATTGCCGCTCACTGTTCTATTCACAAATCAATGGTGCGTCTTGTCAAAATCCTGTCTCAAATTATGTCATCTTTGGCCGTCACTTACAGATGAGAGAATGTTTCCTTTTATGCAGGAGTCATTTTTGTCCATGATCTTTCCCAAAGAAGAACAAAGACAAATTTGCAGAAATGGGCAGCTGAAGTTGCAGAAAGAGGGACGTTTTCAGCTCCTCTTTCTTCTGGTGGACCTGGTGGGCTTCCAGTCCCGTACATTGTGATTGGAAACAAAGCCGATATCGCTGCAAAGGAAGGAACAAGTGGAAGCAGTGGAAATCTCGTTGATGTAGCTCGCCAATGGGTTGAGAAGCAAGGTCTTCTTCCCCATAGTGATGAACTTCCTCTCTATGAGAGCTTCCCTAGCAATGGTGGTCTCATAACGGTAACCATGACTAAAATTTCTAGTTGCTAGACCAGTCTGATTCTTTTCTGTATTAATTATGGTGAGAACTATGCACAGGCTGCCAAAGAAGCTAGATATGACAAAGAAGCTCTCAACAAATTTCTCCGTATGGTTAGTGTTATTTCCACCTTTTCACATTTTACAGACAAAGCTCTCTCTCTTTCGTTTTCAGCCTCATTAACATTTTCAGTTTTCCAGTTGATAAGAAGAAGGTATTTCTCAGACGAAATACCATCGTCTTCTTCAACGTGGTCTCTTTCCCCTGCACCTTCACAGCGGTTAGACGACGGCACAAGCGATGATGATCAATCCTATAAAAGGTCAAGGTAAATAATATACTTTTACCGGTTTTGTATTCGGATTTCGGTTTTCAAAATCTCTTTTGAACTTTGCAGCCTGAGAGGAGGAGATCCATACAAGTATAACAACACGTTAGCGCCACGCAACCTCACGCAGCAGCCTCCTACGACGCTCTATCCGCAGCAACCTGACCGGTACAACTACGCCGTCCCACGATTCTCTCTTTCCAGTAGTGTCGAGGAAACCAACAACGGTAATGCCAGGTCTAACTACGTCTGATTTTTCACTAAAACCTTAATATGTTCTACTCCAAACATAATCCACGTGTTTAGCAGCTATTTGTTCCAAGTGTGATATTATTTTAATTTTGATTGGATTTAACTCCCGATGGGAAAAAAAAAGCTAATCTTAACCCTGATCAAATTAGAATTCATGATCCTAAACTACATGGGATCATAAAACAACAACTCGTTTCCATATAAACACGCAAGTGACCGTTCCATATAAATAATCTCACACATACGACTCTTGATCAAAAGAAACATTAAGTCTTAACTGTAAAAAAGGTAAAAGGCATTGTTGAATCTAAACGATGAATACGAGGATTGAGAGCAACGTCGAATGGATGCGGGACTTTTCGAATGTAACGAAGCTCATCGGAGAGAGGCTAAGTCCATTGAAGCTCAGCCAATACACCGATTTGTTGAAACAGTTCAAGTCACGGCGCATAGAAGGAGAGGAGCTCATAAGGTCTCTTCAGGTTTTGTTTGAAGAAGACGAGCATCTTTCTCAGATGTTCAACGAACTCATAAGGTCTCTACTGGTTTTGTTTGAAGAAGGCGAGCGTCTTCCTCAGTTGCTCAACGAACTTGAGGAAGAAGAGATCCGAGAGCGGAAAAAGAGTGAAATTCAACAAGAGGAGCATCGTCGTCGTCTTCGCTGCGAGATTGGTCGGGATGAAGCAGATAAACCGCTAAAGAAACGAAGCAAGTATAGAGTTGAGCCAACTGGAACTGTGTTGGAGCCTCAGGGGTTTAAATCAGAGATAAACCAAAACTGCGGTAAAAGTAAAAATCTTGTATCTTCATGTTGAAGGTATTTTTGATGGTGGTGGTAGGCGGCAAAGAAAGCAAATATTTGATTTTCCAACTTTACCTTTTCATCTAAATGTTTGGAGAACTATTTATTTCATTCTGTAATATGTTTTTTTCCGAATAAATTTGTAAGCCCTCTAAATTGTTGTTAGAAACGCATGTTATTTCTCTGTATGCATATTTTATCTATCAGATGAAAACTCTATTTACATCATTATAGAAAACAAGTAATGTGCCTGATTTTTTAATAAACAACACAGCTTGATTAATACGAAGAGGTACATGTTTATGAACTTGCTCCTGATGTTATGAGTACTAGCATGATACGTCAACTGCATTTGCAAGAAACCACTCCAAACATAATCCAAGTCCAAGTATTTAGCAATTAATTGTTCTAACTTGTAAGTTTTTTTTATAAAATCGAACCTGGATTTTAAACTCCCGATGGAAAAAACCTAGATAAATAATAATCCTAATCAAAGTACAGTTCACAATCCTAAACGAGATAAGGGATTATAAACTACTCGTTTCCATATAAATTACCACACATGCATGACCTCTCATTATATAATAAGAATCTTGTCGAAAGAAAAGGAAAAGTCGTTGCTCTATCGTATCTAAAAGATGAAGAGGAAGACGAAGATTGAGAGCAAAGACGAAACGAAAGAGAATTTTTTGTATATAACGAGGTACATCGGAGAAAGGCTAAGTCCATCGAAACTCAGACAATACATGGACTTGATGAGACTGTATAGGTCTCGGCGTATAGAAGGAGACGATCTCATCAGGTCTCTTCTGACTCTATTCGAAGAAGACGAGACTCTTTCTCAAATGTTCAACAGACTTATGCGACAAGAGATCCAAAATTTGAAAAAGAACGAAACTCGGAAGCCGGTTGCTGCCTTTGAAGAAGGAGCAGAGAGGGATAACAGGAACAGAAACAGGAGCAAATCAAGGGATGATGATGAGATTGAAGAAGGTGAAATTCGAGAGGATCGTAGTGTTCGTCGTCGTTGCGAGATTGGTCGGGAAGAAGCAGATATTCCCATCAAGAAAAGAAGCAAGTATAGACTTGAGCCGACCGGACCTGTGTTGGAACCTCAAGAATTTAAATCCCAAATAAACGAAAAATTGCGGTAAAACTTTTAGTGTGAGTTATGATATGAGTTATGGAGGCAAAGTGATATATATATATATCGATTCTACTTATTACGAGAACTTTATCTTGGTTTTAAAATTCTGTATGTGTTTTTTTTTATGTGAATGTGAATTATCATATCACTCATATGGATGTTTTGATTTTATTTTATTTTCTTAATTGACCGTCAACGTAATTGCCTTTTTCTGTTTTTCCTTTTTTTTTTATGCATAGAGTTTGTTTTTCTTTATAAACTCTTTAAAACTGGTGAAAAAAATCATTCGTCTACAATTCTATTTCTCGCTTCCCTTCCATTGTTAGACGAGAAAAAAAAAACTTTAGGGCTCGATATCTCTTGTTGGTACTCGCTATGTCCGGAGAAGAAGAAGAGAACGCCGCCGAGCTCAAGATCGGAGATGGTACCTCTCGATCTCCTTTAGCATATCTTGTACGGCTAAATTAGGGTTCTTCGTTTCATCGAATTGATCTAATTGCAATACGATTGAGAAGAATCGAGACGATTTTCGTTTTAGAATTCTCATTGAGCTTACCCTTTTTGAAAATCCCAACTCAATTTTGGAGATTTCGATATTAATGGGTTTTTTTTTTACTCTTTTGGCAATAGAGTTTTTGAAGGCAAAGTGCTTAATGAACTGTGAAGTCTCTTTGATCCTTGAGCACAAGTTTGAACAGCTCCAGCAGGTCTCCGAGGATCCTATGAATCAAGTTTCTCAGTAAGTATTATCAGTTTTTGTGTTTCGTATAGATTAAGAAGTACCATAGCCTTGGATCTTGGAGACTAAGAATTAAGGAATGTGGTCAGTTTTTGATATTTTCTTGGTTAATTTTGTTGAACAAGTAATGTTATTCTCACTGCAGAGTGTTTGAGAAGTCCTTGCAATATGTGAAGAGATTTAGCCGGTACAAGAATCCAGATGCTGTTAGACAAGTTCGAGAGTATCCTTTTTTCTGAACTAGTTGATTCATAGTTTTAAACAATGGTTGCTTTGAGTATCATTAGAGAATCTGGATTGTTTTACCGCAATTGCAATTGATTTTACTGCAACATGTTTTACCTTCACTCAACCTTTCACAGAATACTGAGCAGACATCAACTCACTGAGTTTGAGGTAAAATGTTAAATCTTTTGATATTGGGATTTTTTTTGTCATCACCTAGTAGTTTCACAGAGGCCTAAACCATTAATTGTATTGGTCGGTATTGAACAGCTCTGTGTTCTTGGCAATCTCTGTCCTGAAACTGCTGAAGAAGCTGTGGCTATGGTTCCTTCTCTTAAGGTATGAAGAATGTGCTACTCTTTGTTTTTCTATTAAACGAAGATGCCTAGTTAAGACAAATAGTGTTGTTACGTCAATGGACATTTGAGATGATAGTAAGCTTCTCTTTTGTGTAGACGAAAGGAAGATCTCATGATGATGAAGCGATTGAGAAGATGCTCCATGATCTTTCTCTTGTCAAGAGATTCGAGTAGTGTGCTATGTAACTTGCAATGGATAATTTAAGCTTTCAATGAAAGAATACTGTATCTGTTTACCTATCGAGTTATTGATTCCATCAAATGATATAACCTAAAGCTACGTGTGAAGGAAGCTTTTAATTCCATCTCTTGGCATTTTTGCTGGACTTTGACTTGTGTTTGGAAGCTTGAAACGCTTTCATCTTTTGCTTCTTCCTTGCTTCTCTCTCAGCCTTTGACATCTTTGACTTTGCTTTCACTTTTGGAGCTTTTTTCTCCAACTCTGCTTCTCTCTCCAGCTCCTTGACTCTGGCTTCCATATTCTTTTCCAAGTAATACTGTGAAAACAATTCACATTACACAAATCTAGTAGAATGAACAAACTTGGCGAATGTACAGAAGAGAAGCCAAGAAAGAGATTTTCTTACATTGTAGTCTCCTGTATAGTCCTTTAAACCACAATCTCTGACTTCAATAACTCTGTTAACGATTTGTTTAATGAAGTATCGATCGTGTGAGACTGCGATGACCGTCCCTTTGTACTCGTTTATTGCCTCCTGATTATGAAAGAAGGAATCAGAACTTCCAAGAACATTTTAGCCAACATAAAAAATAAAAGAAGAGAAGAGTGTAGATTAGAAACCTCAAGCATTTCTTTTGAAGGTATGTCTAAATGATTGGTGGGTTCGTCCAACACAAGTAGAGTGGATGGTTTCACCATGAATTTGCAGAAAGCAAGGCGTGCCTATGACAAAGCAAAAAACCAAAAATGGCAATGAAGAACACCGAAGAAAGAAACGATAGAAGAGTGTAATAAGCACAAAATTTACCTTCTCACCACCACTCAAAAGAGAGACTTTTCTATCAAACATGTCAGCTTTGAAGTTGCAGCGACCAAGAAGACCTTTTATATCATCAATTCTCCAATCTACAGCAGCTTCAACAACCGTCTCAATCACAGTTTTATCCAAATCTAAAGCCTCTGCCTATATAGCCACCAAGTGAGTAAAACAAAAACCGTATTTTCTGATTATTCCTCTAATACTAAAGCCCCTTTCTTCATGATAGAAACACAAACCTGATTCTGTTCGAAGTAGTTTGGTAGTACATTGTGCTCCCCGAGAATCACTTCACCTCTCATAGGCTTCTCCAATCCCATAATCAGTTTCAACAATGTACTTTTACCGCACCCGTTTGGACCAATTATAGCTATTTTCTCTCCTCTTTCAACCACTAGATTTGCCTTTTTAAACAGTATCTGCTTGCATCACACACAGATCAAGACATGAGACCACAAGTAATAGATCCAACAGCACTAATATTGAAGTTTCTCACCTCATCTTCAAAACCAAATTCAAGATTCTTAATAGTGACTACAGATCTCCCGCTTAATCCACATTCTGGAAACCTAATCTTCATTTGTTTCCGCTGAAATGGCTTCTCTATTTGCTCTCCTTCTTGGAGCCTCTCCAGTTTCTGTTCATTAAAACAGAATCAATATACATAAATACTAAATCTTGCTGCTACCTAATTATTATTATTACTACCTTTTCAGCTGAAGAAGCTCGACCAGAATTTGCTCCAGCACTTAACCTACTGATCAAATCCTTTGTTGCTTCAATCTCTCTCTGTTGCTTCTCCCAAGCACCAAACTGAGATTCGACCCACTCTGCCTTTGAAACCACATACTGAGAGTAGTTACCTTCATAAGTCCTCGACACGCCCATTTCGGTTTCCACAATTTTGGTACATAACTGATCAAGAAACGCTCTGTCATGTGATATTATAACCATTGGCACATCTTGCTTCTTCAAGTAACTTTCAAGCCACGCAATAGTATCAAGATCCAAATGGTTCGTTGGCTCATCCAAAAGCAGCAAATCTGGATTCTGTTCACAGAACCAAACATTAGTTTTCAATCAGAATTCTCAAGAATCATTCATTCATTACTAACCTGAAGCAAAATCTTCCCAAGTGACATTCTCATTTGCCATCCACTGCTAAAAGAAGCCACAAGTCTATCTGCATCCTCCGACACAAACCCTAATTCCGACATCAGTTTACTGATTTTACCATCTAAAGAATCCAAATCAACCTCTTGAGCTCGTCTCTGCAACGAGTCGAATTCGTCGAGAAGCCTTCCCAGTAGCTCTAAATCATCAACAGCTCCTTCTATAGCCTTCTGTAACTTCTCAAGCTTCCTCGCTATTTCCATCTCTTCTTTAAAGGCACTCATGAACTCTTCCTTCACCGTCCTGCTCAACGAAACCTCGAATTCTTGACTCAAGAAAGAGACTTTCAAATTGGGTTTGGCTCTGATCACATTTCCCGAATCAGGCTCCTCTTGACCAGCGATTATCCTGAGCTGTGTCGTCTTACCGGCACCGTTGACGCCGATCAACCCTGCTTTTTCACCTTTCTTCACTTCCCAATTCACATCCTTGAGAACCGTCACGCCTTCGTAGCTCTTGGTTATGTTTTCGAGTCTCACTCCCGAGGAAATCGCTGACGCGCCGTCGTTTGATTGCTTCTTCCGGATCCGATCGTGATCGTCCGTCGAGGAGAAGAGCGATTCGAGCTCATTCACCGAAGAGCTTGAGCTGATTCGAGCTCTAGGGTTGGGGATTTCTCGTTTAGGTTTAGAAACAGAGGAGATCTTGAAGGTGAATGGTGTAGGGCAAGGAAGGGGACGAGTGAAGAAGGTAGAACGAAGGTTTAAGCTATGGAGATTCGTCGTTAAGCCCATTTTGAGCAATCACTTGACATCGAACGATTAAACGAACAGTTTTCGATGAGTAATGTTGTTTTTGGTACGATAGATTGGTCATCATCTGTCCGAGGCTTCGATAACGTGAGAAAAGAGTCTTACGAACACACACGTATGTCTGTGTGAGCTCAAGGCTCGTAAGCTGCCACGTGTTAACCACTGTCCAGTTTGCCACGTCATTAGTTGTTGAATACAGCTTATAATAATGAGAAAATTACCTAACATACCATAAGTATTAGACTATTTACATAAGTACATAACATAATCATTTCCATACGAAATTATAACTTTATTTGGTCCCAATCGTGTAACGGTAAATAACTTTTTTGTCGAAATTAGTCATAACTGGAATTATGATTCAAAATGGTTAAAATGGGAATTCAACATTTCTTCTGTACATAAAGTCTTTTGACCTAAAGTACATTTATGCCCCTTGACATCAGATTTTTCATTTTTCAAATTTGGCCAAACACCGAATTACACAGTAAGAGAAAGAAGAGAGTCAAATGGCATTCTCGTGATTGTTGCACACTACCTCGGACTTTCCGTAATTGTTTATTGTTACATTATTATTGGCCATGACATAGATATAATAAAATAAATATTTTGATTGATATAAATCGAGCTGTTTTTCTGCTGTAATAATTTCGCAACCTTTTTTTCTTTCTTATTTATGATTCTGTCTCTCCATCTTCTCTTTCGCTAGGAACATATCGGCAAAACCAGAACCAAACAAAAAACAAGACAAAAAATCAGAAAAAAAGGTCTAGTCTCTCTGTTTCGCTCCATCAGCTTCTCTTTACAGATTTGAATCAAATGGAGGAGGATCGAAAAGAGGTATAGATAACTATCTTCTTCTCCATCTGCTTTTATCTCTCTTCTGTGTAGTTTAGTTTCCCAATAGATTTTTCCGGGGAGAAATCTATTTTGAACTTTGAAATCGAGATCTATTAGTTTTCTTGTGCCGTTTGGATATTTGTCGGGAATCGAACATGGGTTCTTAGCACACTACTGTTACTGTTATAGTGACGATTTAATTAAAATAAGCATCTGGGTAATAGGGAAACAGAGTTAAGTAAATGGCTAAATGCTAAAGTTTGGCCCTTTTTTCCGAATCTTGGAAGTATAAATTTTGTCATTACGAGGTATAAGAGTTTTGAATTTCTCACTCGGTATTTTCAAACTTTCGGTTTCGGTTACCTTTATTGGATTTTGATAAGAAGATCCTACTTTACCCAGATTTTTCTCGATCATTAACCATCTCTCATCTCTATAGTATAAATTCAAATCTTAGAAACGGTCCAATTATAAAGTCAAGAGCTTTACCTTTGTTTTCTCATCTTTTTCTCGATGCATCGCTTTGTAAATAGCTCTCTATGTTTTTTTAAGTTTAACGCATCACATATTGAACCACTTCATTACTTAATGTAAGATTGTTGTTTGTTTGATTGTTTGCAGAAGAACTCTCCATGGCTATCAGTGCCACAGTTTGGGGATTGGGACCAGAAAGGAGGAGGAACAGTTCCTGATTACTCTATGGATTTCACTAAGATTAGAGAGATGAGGAAACAGAACAAGAGAGACCCTTCTCGAGCCAGTCTAGGCAATGAGGAAGAGCTCATTAAGCCTCCCGAGTCAGCAGCAACTGATACAACACCTAAGCTCACTACGGTCCATAGCGAAAACCACCCAGAGTTCTCTCAGAGCCACCATCACCAACCACATTCCCCTTCTGTAAGATTCCTAAGCATTTTTTAAGGTCTTTGATTAGATTGATTTGTTTAAATCATAAATTATTTGCATTTACGGTTACATCATATAAGTCCTTCTTTATATCATGAGGCATTAGGCCATTAGCACATGCTTTGTATCAAAATTATCCTTTACTTTAGGGTCCAATTTTCTTTTTTCCTTTTTGGTAAAGGTATTTAAATTTTTGAATACAGCTTTATTGACCCGGTCTTGCTTATATGAAATTTGGTGTGGTTGTTTGGAACAGACGAGGAGAAGCATCTTCAGCTGCTTCAACTGCTGTGTCAAAGCTTGAAGGTTTCTTCTTCAGCGAAAGGAGCAGATTTATTATATATTGACTTGTGATTCGTGTAATGTGGTGACCCTTATGATGTATGTTTGAATTTGAATCCATTTGTCTCTCTTTTCTATGCATAAAAAAAAACAACAACACAAATTAGGGGAAAATTAAGCTACTGGTTAACCTAATGCAAAGCATTGTCACTGATCACAATTGGAGTATTACTGACCACTCCAATACACATAGCAAAAAGCAGGTTTGAGAAACGTCAAGGCCCATTGGTCCGAAAATTACTAGTTAAAGGGACACAAACAGGTATATGTGTATATTATAGTACTAGTCCAGATCAGAATAAACGGGCTTGAACGTAGTCCAACAAGTATCTCCACTCGCTGTGCATGGATTTGGAGTTATATGAAAAGAGAAAAAGATAAAGACAATCATATGTTTTACTGTTTTGGTCTTGAAAACGTGGCAGAGTCAGAGATAACAAATCTGTCAAGTGTCAACATCATATGTCTAGTCTTGTTACGGCCCAACTTCCATGTCCCTACCTGCCTCAAGTTTATTTCTCGTTACATTTATGATCCCTATGGTGTAAAAGTTTACTCCAAATGGTAAAATATTCAATACATAACTTGAATACTTATTACTATTGATGATGGCCCACTGGCTTGTGCGATAGTGGTTAAAAACCATTTAATTTTTAATTTTCAATATGAACAGCAAAAAATAACACCAATATTCTTTGTCGAAAAATGATGAAAAACTATAGCGAAATTCACACTAACTATCCAACATCCCAATCTATAATAATCGATTTCGAGTCAAGAAAGGGCATGATATCATTTGAATTGCCTCCTTCTACTCACTTATTACAAAATGACAACATACATTTCAGATATAAATTACCAAGTAGATGCACCAAACTGATCAAAATCGTCCAAATTATAATTAATGCACAACCCTCTCGGTGTTTTGTTTACATCACTTCCGCTTTGTTTATACTGGTTCTAATATATCTAGTTTTCGCAAGAAAACAAGTGCAAATATTTCGATTTTTAGAGATATATATAAGGAATTCAAAGTACGTAGACCAAGTCCTATAAAAAAAATATCAAAATCGATATCCTCTAGCCACTTAGACTAACACATCAACTAATTAAAAATTAAAACAAACCACATCACTAAAACGACAATCAAACCGCAAGACAAACCTCTCTCGACCAAAAAAACGCAAACGTAACGAAATTATTAGAAAAATAAAAAACATTGGCAAAAGGGAAAAACCCTAAACTTAAATTGCTTCCGATACAACGGCACGTAACGGATGCTCCATCTCACAAGAAAGCTTCAAGACCTCTCCAAGATCAACCGGCTCAGTCTGATCCTGACTCCACTCGAACCGCCGCACCAGCTCAGCCACCCAACGGGTCACGGTAGCTAAACCCATGTTTTTCCCCGGACACACTCTCCTCCCGGCTCCAAACGGCGCAAGCCTTAAATCTCCACCACGAACGTCCACGTCAACATTCCCAGACGACGTGAACCTCTCCGGGTCATACTTTAACGGGTTAGACCATATCGTCGGGTCGTGAGTAATAGCCCACATGTTGACCATCGCTGTTGTTCCGGATGGAACCACCATGCCGTTGCTTAGCTGAACATCAGACGTGGAAAGACGGGCCCACGATAGCAGTGGTCCAGGTGGATGCACCCTCAGAGTTTCCTTCACCACTGCGTTCAAGTACGGGAGTTTTGCCCAGTCAGCATCTGCCACGTCGGCTCGGTCGCTCACGGCCGTTTTAATCTCGTCCCTCAGCTTGGCTTGCACGTTAGGGTTCAGTACTAGCTCCGCCATGGTCCACTCCGTTAGTAACGCCGTTGTATCTGTCCCTCTAAAAATCATCTCCTATATATACATTAATTAAAAACAAAATTACTAGCACCATAATAAATGCAAAAAAAGGAAAAAAAATAACATTACATCTAGACCGTTACATATATGAAAAAAATACCGTTAAATTTAATGTGACTATCATTTCAGTTTCATACGAACTTACCCATAAAACGGCGATCATGTCATCCTCTTGAAGCTTCTCATCACCATCTAAAGACAACAAGACATCAACGAAATCTCCAATGTCTTTTCTCTTCTCAGAGTTATCGACTCTGTGTTCGTCGATAATTCTCTTGACGAGGGTTCTGATTCGAGGAACGAGAGCTGAGCAACGTTGGTTTAACCGAATCGGATCGTAGAAATAGCTGAGCCATGGAAGATGATCAGACCAATTAAAAGCACCCAATAGCTCGAAACCTTCCCTAACCATTGATGTAAGCTCATCATGATCCTCTTTCTGAGCCAGAGGATCGTATCTTCTCCCAAACACGCTTCCCATGATATTGTTCAAGGCCGCTAATTGCAAGTGTTTCCTCAAAACGACGGATCCAACGCCGTTTTGCTCCGCTAACACCGCTCTCACCATTTTGGCGCAGTCTAGCTGGCGTCCAGGTTCGTGTGCTAACATACGCCGTGGATGGAATAGATGAGTAGACGCGATCCTTCTTAACGTGCGCCAGTAAGCTCCGTTCGGTGCGAAACCTATGGCTCGGCTGAACATGAGGCTCTTAGCCGACTGCTTAACCGGCCGGTCCGCGAAGTGAGGCGACTTCAGAATCTCGCGAGCCGTGTTCGGCTCAGAAGCCACGATAACCGGCGTTGAGCCGAGGCTAAAAGCCATAATCTCAGTGTTTTTGCGTCTCCAAGCCATAGCGGCTAGCGAACGATGAGCCAAACCGCGGCTGAGAATGAAAAGACTGCCGAATATTGGTATGCCGCGAGGACCCGGGATCGCTACACGTCCCAACCGGTTACGGCCGTTTTTCCATGCGATGCCTCCGCCTCCGGCGAGAGCCCACGTGAGTAAAGAGATACTAACGACGGCGAGGAAGAGATAGCCAAGGATAGAAGCATCGTTTAGGTTTTGGGATCCAAAAATGGCAGGTAGTGCGATCATCCAGTAGCTTGTTTCTTTCGTTGCCAAATTATTCAACTCCATTTCTTTTCGTTTTCCTTTTTTTTTTTTTATGTACTTTGTCAAATAAGGAACAACATACGAAATAAGAAAAAGTAACGAGAAAAAAAAAAGAGAGGAGAAATTATAAAATAGAGCTAAATTTTATATATGAGAAGGAACGTACTGATTTTTGGATTAAAAAGAGAAGTACTTGGAGAGGACAATGGAGAGAAGTTGAAGGTAAAGAAAGACATATATATAGAAAAATAAAACACTATATATAAGTATATATATACCCACATGCATTTTTTGGAAGCGTTAGTTAAATGCGCAATGCATGGGAAGAGAGACGTCGGTTTCGAAAGGATTATTTATATATGTATAGTGAATTAGTATAGGGAAAATGGTAAGGTTAAAATTGAGAGATATTTACGTGGAGGGAAGAGGTCAGTGACAGTCGCATGCATATTGGTTTAGTGTTGACTAGATGAACTGAAAGGAATGTGTGTGAGAGGGCGTTATGACAATGAATTCCGCATTTTTGCTTTCTTTTATTAGTAAAATCATTTAATTTTGTTTGCACCGTTTTTTTTTCTGAGTTTTATTGTTTGGATGCATCGTTGTGAGATAAAAGAGCGTTAACCAAAAAAAGAATTTAATGAGTCCATATCTTTCGGCTAAGTGAATACGAAAAGTCGACGATCTTATAAATATGTTTTTTTTTTTTCTAGAGAAAGAACATTAGTCGGTTATAGAGTGAGCTTTGGAGAGTACGTGCGACGAGAGACTTGCCCTCTCTCAATTCTGTTATGTTTGAGAATCTAATTCAAAATCTAATTCTAATTCAATTCTCTCAATGCATTTACGAGTTTTAATAGTCTTTAATACGATTATACGAACAAGGGCAACAAACCTAATTAGAAAACCGGTTAATGAAACGTCTCATGCAATTTGTATGTTGCTTATTTCTAGCTCGCCGTTTACCGTTTTTTGTTTGTTAGATAATGTTTATGAATATTATAATTAATATAAGCATAATTAATTGGTGAAAATCAGAGGATTCCGGGGTGGAATCTTATAGGCTAAGGTTGGCAGGCACCAAATCATCCATTCTCCATGTTAAACATTTTAGGTAACAGGTTCAAATCTCAACATTGACCAAAAAAACATAACCGAAATGGATCGGTGTATACTTTTCATTTAATTTAATGAGAGTTCATAAATAGCTTAAAGAAAGGTAAAGAAAAGAAAAAAGTGTGAATGGTGAAGAAGAGAGGTTTGGCAGGGAATGGGGCGGGTAGACAAATAAGAGTAAATGATAGGAGACATGAACCATCCCAATGTTCCCTAAGTACTCAAAGTACATTGTACCCTCCTACAAATTCGATCTTTGTTTCATAATCTTTTTAGATTCAGGTACAACCATGGATAATACAAAAAACCATAAAAATATATATATGAAAATCACCATAAAATTGAGATAATATGCATCTGCTGGATTGAGCTAACCATAATATGCATCTGTTGAGTTGTGTTGTGGAGTCTAATCTCTCTGTAGATTTGACAATATGTTTCATGCTGGTCAGGCTATCTGTTTTAATCAAAAGTATTTGGGTATTATATTTCATGTCCATTCTTACTTTTTCCTAGAGATAAAAGAGAGATTCTTTTAGAAATTTGGAATAATTCATTTTCCCAAGGTATAAATCCTCAATATAGTTTTTTTTTTTTTTTTTTACTTTAGAACAAATCTATCATCAGCTTCTTTAACTTTTTTTTTTTTTTTTTTTTTTTGAACGACCATCAGCTTCTTTAACAAATACTGCTTTTATAATGTTTTCTTATATATGAAATATGTGATGGATATCCAAATACACAACTGAGCTCATCTCTATTTAATGATACGTGACCGGACAAAGCCAAATTGAAACTAGCATCAACGGTGGATATGATTCAAAGGGCACGATAACTAAGGTATAAGCAGCAGGAATCTCAACAAGCCCAAGATCCTATAATTAATGCCACAGGTGAATCATAATAATCGGTACGTGAGTTTTTCTAAGGAAATTTTTTAAAAACCTTATCTGACGCTTTGCCTCACCGACAAGATTGTATGCAATCTTGGCTTAGACTGTCCGTCTGATTTGGTTGACAATTTAGAACGGTTGAATTTTTCTGACATCTTGCAAGAACTGGAGATGGCTCTGGTCGTCCACATGTTTTGTATTGTGTACGCAAGGGAAAAAAAAGTAGAAACATGATGAGCAACGAGAGTCAAGACGGAATATCATATTTGGTTTAACGTTATAAGACTTTCACTCCTACGTTGTATACTTGAATATATACGATCGTCTTATTTTATCAAATAAATCAACTGTTATGACGTATAATAACCCAAATTCTATGTTTTATACCGAAGCAATGTGACTTTGTTTCTCCTAGCTAAGGCTATATTGATGTTATTTAGTGTTTTTCTAATCTAGTTCATGGATAGAGCCCCACACAAACACACACGTACTTTTGGTGTGTTTGATCTGTCGGTGGAAAAATAATTTGGCAGTCAAAATCCATGAAGTGATTTAACTTTTTTCATATTCACCTCATATCAAGACAAGATCTGTTAACATTGCTGGACAAAACTAAATAGGCTCTTAGTAAGCTATGATGATAATAATGGCTTCCAGAGACGGTGACGTTGCGTTTTCTTCTCTAGTGAGTAGATATGTATACATGACAAACTATTTTTGATTAGATTTGTTGTCGAGTAGAGCACAATCTGGGGAAAATAATATCACGATGATTAGATTTGATATACAGCCGCGGTGATCTAATGACTAAGCACATGACCGACTTAAACTATATTGGTAGGTCATTTTCATTTTTTTTGTCAAACTAACGTTTGATATGATAATCTTTTTAAAATAATATAGGCCCCTAGCTTATGTATATCGTTAACAAAAGTGTTAAGAAAATGAAGTTAATGAAATAAAAGAAAAGAAGGAGAGAAAACAGAGAAATCATAGGTTTTTCTTTTTTTGAACAAGTCATAGGTTTCATCGAAGAGACCGAAGTGCTTTAATAAATTAAAGACAGACATGTGCATGGTGGAGTCGTATCTCTGAAACTGGCTCGTGTCACTATTGATTTTAAGACCTGGGCATGGATGGGGTCGAATCTCTGAAACTGGCTCGTGTCTTTTGTCTCTATTTATTTTAAGACACTGACTTATCACTGCTTCAAAGTTAGTAGTGGCTGGGGGCACTCGGCAATTCTCCAGGTGACATTGACCCATCCTTTTTATCTGCATAGATTATTATATATTATCTTAAAAATGTAACAAGGAACAACAAGTTGATATGGCCGAGTTGGTCTAAGGCGCCAGATTAAGGTTCTGGTCCGAAAGGGCGTGGGTTCAAATCCCACTGTCAACATTCATTTTCCAAAGCGGTGTTTGGGCTTTTAGTCATGGGCCTTTTGATTTTATTTTATTTTATTCAGTCCAATATTGTCAAAGTCTATTCTTTTGACCAATAATTAGCTTTTTTTGGTATTTTGAAGAATTAAAAACGGGCTAAGGAATACACAAATAGACAAATGGAAACTTCCAAGTTCCAAGTGACTCGCCAACGGCGCATTTGTTCAGTGCTCTTGAGAGATGGCAATATTTTGAGTCATCATCAATCATCACGGTCCTTCAGCATTTGCTCAACCGATTAAAGATTTTAGAATCTTGCTAAAAGTCAAATATTGATTCGAACCTCTCCTAATATCTTTAAAAATAAAATATCTTCGACACTCGAAGTAAATTGAGTATATTTTCTGTATGCACTTAACAAAATCCTTAAAGACGCTTATATGAAGCCATAGCCATAAAGCATGAAATCTTAGCCTCAATTCGGATTAGTTTTTTTTTGTTTTTTACTTGAGTGTGGGTAATTGTTCCTTGGTACTAAAACCTTCATGATGTTCATTTTCTTTTAAGGATTTATGTTTTCTCGATGCAAAGTTTCCATGGTTAGATTAAAAGGATTTTCTTATCTATAAAATCATATCCACTTTTAAGGGCTCGAGAAACTAAACATGCATCTATCATTTTAAAAGTTTGCCATTGAAGCACGCACGAATAGCTTTTGTTACACTTTATATGACTAGTGCTTGCACATTGCTCACTTTTTGTAGCGCTTATCCCCAAAGATTAGATCATGATAGTAAAAAGTCATCTCACATGCTTTACTTTCGATAAATTCAATTTATCAATCTATGGTGTGAATTGAAAACTCAAGAAAGTCGCCAGCAATAATGCATTGAAAAGTTTTGGAAATTTGAGAAAATGACCGACAACTATACGTAAAGCTTATGGCAATATTAAATTGGACCGACGGACAACTAATACAGAGTTTTAGAGTTAACACTTGGAACTTGTAGTGTTAATGTTATAAAACGCAGATGCGAAGATATTTCAGAGAGAAAAGTATCACCTCACTACTTAAAACATTAATTTGAAAGAAGAGCTTGGATTTCAATGGAGGAAGAGAGACGAAACGAAGAAGAAAACTCTCATCTTTGGATCCCTTGTCAATTCTTAAACGAAGCTCTCAAGAACTTCCTAAGATGTCTTGGTCTCCATCTTTCTCCATCTCCTTCTCCTTCGACTTCTACGCCATCTTCGGTAAGTATTTGCTAGCAAAGCCATCATTAAAGAAAGTCAAAGAGAAGGTCTATGATATCCACATTAATTGTATAAATTCACATGCATATGCGTATGTATTTTGATATGGTGTCATGTGCATGTTCGGCTTCGTTTTGAATATTTTATCTCTAGATTTTATGTTCTTGATAGAAATATGAAAAAATGAACTCCAATTTGAATTTTTGTTTGATATGCATGGTGAGCTTTTTTTAACTACAAGTTTACAAATGCAGGAGGAGGCTACAAACGACACCGTGTCATCAACAAGGAGCGTAGTACTCAAATCAACGAAAAGGCCGAGAGAGCCACCTAGTTCTGGAAAGCCAGGCCGCCGCAATTAAAGATTTGATTCGTTATTTCGCTATCGCCTCTGAACGTTAGAAGTGATTGTGGTTACATGCATATTTTTAAAAGATATCGTTCATCTTTACTACAAACAACTCTTCCAAATACCTTTGAGAATAAAAAAGTGTATTTCTTTATCATAAAAAAAAAAAAAATTGTATTCAGTCATGATATGATGATATAATGATTCTGTATAGCAATGATATTGATTTTTAATTTATATGATTTTTATGTTTCTTATAGATATTAAATCGTTAATCCGAAGATACGAGTATATAGCAGCGAATACGAGACCGTTTCAATCAATTTTTATTACATAGGTATGTGAACAAACCACAAACGGGAAACATGCAATAATAGGATCAGGTGCAACCGATGACGATGAGCTGTTACAATTAGACCAATTGTATAAATATATATTTAATTAGCATATTTTCTAGTAATACTAAGGCTGAAAGTTGACCAAGAGGAAATGATGAGTGATTCGAACTCTATTAATAGCCCGATTAGTCCCTTCTAAGCACAATTAGAAGAAAGAAGAAGAGATGGAGAAAGAAGGTAGAAGAGAAGATGGTGTTTCTTCTTATCTCTGCATTCCTTTTAGTTTCATCCACAAAATCCTGCAATCTCTCTTGTTTAAGTCTCTCGGCTTAAAATCGCCTCCTGTGAGTGATTTCTATACAACCAAAAAATATTTATTATGTACTGATATGTAGTGCATGTTATGAGAAGTTAATGGGTGATACGATAAATACAATAGTATTTGGATTTCTGTGGACAAATATATGAAACTCGATTTGGAATACTAACGAGTGGAGTTAATTCCATGTTTTTTTATGATGTCATATCTTGGTTTTCAATACAAAACTTCTAATGATAGTTATTGTATATGTGATGAAGATATCAAACGAAGAGGAAGAGACAGAGGTTGTTAAAGTGTCGTCGAGGAAAATTATAGTGAAGCAGGATCCGAGTTCGGGCAAGCCTGGAGGTACCAACAAGTCGCGTGCCTAGTATTCTCTTCAAGTGTCACCATCTAAACAAGCAAGTCAACTTCAAGTTAATAATGTACGGAGAGAAACGTATTACTTTATATATATATATATATATATATATATTTTTTAAAATTCATGTATATTGCTATAATTATCCGTTCTTTATTGTAAGTTTGTATGAGTCATTTCTTTTGTAAAAATAAAAAACAGTTCTATGACATCTGAAAATTGTATAAGAATAAAGGATGAAACTTATGGCCATTTGAAAATTTTCAGATGTCATAGAACTGTTTTTTAAAGTCAAATACAAACAATGTATTTGACTTTAAAAAATTCACAAATGGGCGGTAGAATATGAAAAGGACGACATTTTGTATTTAGTTGAACAATCGAAAAGATGGTAAACGAACCAACTTCTGTTTGGTAGTTCCACATATGATTCAGAATCGGTGTGAATTGAGACCAATTTCCAAGTCTTGTTGCTGTTTTATTGACTTTGTAGATTTAGTCAAACAATGTATTTGTTGTTAGAAAAAACACGCATTCGTTTTGAAATATAAACTCTGAACTTGTTGAAAATAAATTAGAGCATCTGTTTATTAGTACAAGAAACATATCTAATCCACTAATTTCTTAAAATAGGCCACAGTCTATAACATTTGATCACGAGGCAAAGTATACTACATAAATAAATTACATTTTATAAGGAACATGCTACGCTACGAAAAGACGCGCCAAACGAGCTGTTGTTATCAGACTAAATTAGATTAATATAGCTGAGAACCAATTAAAATATAACTTGTGTAAGACTGACGAGTGACGAGCCTCTATATAATTTTTAGAACAGAACAGAACTCAAAGTCACTCATTCTCTCACTTAGGCAGCTAAACCTGAAGAGAAGATGGAGAGAGAGGGAAGAAGAGGAGAAGGAGTTTCTTATTATCTTTGGATCCCTTTTAAGTTCATTCACCAAACTCTCCGATCTCTCTTACTCAAGCTTTTCGGTCTGCGATCCCCTTCTCATCATACTTTTCCGGTAAGTAATTTCTCTAATCTCAACTCATTGAGAATCTATTTCAGATATATGTACGAAGGTTCGTGTGATTAGATCTCGCGTCTTTGGAACATGAGATTCCAACTTTCCGGGTATTGTTTTCTTCCTGCGCATTACGGTTTGTTTTTACAAGTAAATATTTTTATACTTGTAAAAACAAACCGTAATGCGCTTGTACTTTTAGTTGAATTTAACAATCGAACAATTCTTATTAGTTTTACTCGTCTATAATATATCTATTCACGAGTGTCACCATCAACTTCAAATTATGTCGTATTTACCACACAATTCTTATTGGTTTTACTCGCCTATAATATATATCTATTCACGAGTGTCGCCATCAACTTCAAATTATGTCGTATTTACCAAACTGTTATACTCAAATCGTTTTTTTTTTAACATTATCTTTCCAACAAATGATTTGTTGCACTTGTATTTTTTGTTATTAATTAAATTAAAATACTAGTAGTAGTTTTTGGATTTTTAATTAAAAAATATTAGTAGCAAACTGTTAGAGTTACAACTTGTCTAATTTGTAGAAAATGAGTTTTTTGGGTGGTCCAGAAAAAGAAGGAATTCAAATGAATTAATATATAATATTTCACTATAGTAAGATGTTGACACCTCATAAACAAAACTTATCTTCAGCCCTAGTGCAAACACTTCACGTACCCGGTGGCCGGTACCCCAATAAACTTCGTCATGTATGTAAAAGATCTATCGAACCAAAATAATAATTCAAATTGCTCACAACAGGAAGAGGAGGAAGAAGAAGTAGAGGTTGTGGAAGTGTCGTCGAGGGGTCTTCCGGTGAAGCCAAAACTACTGAAGAAGTCGAAAGCCAGTTCCGGCAAGCCAGGAGGTATCAACAAGAAGCCTGCCTAGCTTTTACCTTGAATAACTACAATAATCATTCACGGAGAAAATCCTGTTCACGTTTTCTTCTGATTAGCGTAAGAAAATGTTTTGTGTTTTCTTTTCATATTGTATAATTCTTCAAGATTGTTTTTTTTGTCTGTAAGGATATAAATCTTCAAGATTGTTGATTTTTCTTTAACTCTTCAGGATCGTTAGGTCTCATAGTCCTTTATTTTATCAGAACATAATCATACAAGACCATGTGATACTTATATGGTGTTTGGTGAGAAAGTTGTAACAACAAAAAATAAAAAGATATATTTTTTATAAAAAGATATATTCTAGTGGTTATGTAAATTAATTGCATGCGTATTCTGTTGTCATGTGGAGGTGTCCCGCTCTCCTTTCACCGAACAACGTCAAATGTAAGGTGGTGCTATCATCTCTTGCGCAATTTAATAGTGTTACACAGAAACAGATTACTAGTATTTATTACGTTCCCCTATACGCAGTTACACACGTGTTATGTAGTCACCCTGGAATATACTGTACCAAGCCCAATCATTAACGAAAAGACATTATTAAATTTGTCGACACTTTAAAATTTGGAATGTCTATCAAATTATAGACCCGATATTTCTCTTTGCATAATAATATGGAAAAAGTTTAGGGACCAAGTTAACCGGACTAAATATTTTTCTCACTGGATATTGGCTTTCTTCTAGCAGCTTCTACAAAGAGAGAGAGAGATAGCCACTATATGGAAAAGAGGAGCAAAAATATTTAAAGTTGGATCGCATTCAGTTGATCTTTTGGTAGAAAAGAGAATTTGACAGGTAAGGCACACAGATAGAAAAAAGTAGAAGACAGAGAAGATGCAGCAAGATAATGATAACAAAAGACATTGCTGCAAGCCCATCAGTCAAACTGTGATGGCTTTCCTCAAGTGTCTGAATCTCAGACACTCATCTTCTTCTTCAGACATGGTGAAAGCTAAATCAAGAAATGTAAACTGATATTTATCTCTCTTCTGTTACCTCAATTAGTATTTACATTTATTTTTTTTCCGCTTAGGCGCTAAGCTACTTCTGGTTTTTGTGTGGCAGGAGGAGGAAGAAGAAGCTTCATCAGTTGAAACTTCAACAAGGAGTCTCAACGTGATGAGCAAACGGATACGTAAGCGGATAAGTAAACAACAGGTTAGCTCCGGCAAACGAGGTGGAGTTAACAACTACGACATGTAGCTACAAGTCTTTCTCTTTGTCTTGTTGTATAATTGGCTACTCTTGTTTAATAGTCACTCTAAAAGAAACTTGCTTTGCTACTCAAGAATCTAGATCATCTTCATAGTTTCATATCAATTAAACTATAGACTATTCTTGAGCTAGACTTGGATAAAGCTACGAGAAATTGCTAATCTTCTACTGCTTAGCTCGTTTTCCAAGATAACTTGTGGCGATTTTGGAGAACCGAGTGATTGTGAAGAACAGTTGCCATAAAGAACGCCCCTTAACGATACCTTCCTTTAACCTCCTCGCTGTTTTAGCTACCATTGGCTCTGTTTTCTCTGTCTTGCTTTGATGCATCACCTCCTGCATTGAAGCTACTGATGGAGTAAGAAATGGAGTTAACCCATCAAGGTCCATAGTTTGAAAAGAGAGCTTTGAAATGAATGGCTAAACCTGGATTCGTGTTTGTTAACCGTCTTAGTCTATCTTCGGCTACGCGAATGGCCCGTGTTGAGCTTTTAACACCCTGAGTGATGCCTTGCCTACACAAAATCAACACAACTATTGATGAAGAGTGTACAAAAAAAGATATGAAGAAGAATTGGCAAGTTATGGTGGATGTGAGCAAGAACAGAAACAGACCCTAAATCACTGAGCTCCATTGTTAAGTCACTGATCTCCATTCCCGACAAGCGAATGGCAGCCATTGTATCTGGTAGCTCTTCTCTGGTTACATCCAGAAGCTTTTCAACAGACTCTGCTGCTTTCTTGAAAGCCTTTCGCAGCATTTACAAAGTAAAACAATATGAAGAATTCAATCCCAAAATCCATCAGTGAGCTAAGTAATCTGAGTCCGAGAACGAACCAGTAGAGTAGGAATTGCAGCAAGGAAAAGCCACGATGCTGAAATTGCTGTCTGCAAAGTGTATAAGAGAAAAGCCATCATGTTGATAATATATTTGCTTGATACAAAGTGAAAAATCCAGATCTTCATTGAGCAATTGGAATAAGAAGAAAACTTGAATTGAATTCATAAGAGACAAAACAAATTGTTTTGACTTAGATGGAGAAATTCGTATCACGAGAAAACCTAAATCCATTGAGCGAATTTCAGGTAAGGAGGCTGAAATTAAGGCGAGGATCTCGAAGATGAGCACAGAGAGACTTACTACGCATGCGACGACGTTGAGCAAGACGAAGTGTTTCTTCGTGAGTGTCCATTGAGAGAGTTGGAGCGGAGGCTGTCCTACGGACGACGTCAGGCGAGAAGAGTCGGAAGATTCCTGCGGATTCGAGTACGAGGGAGAAGGAGATGCGTTTGAATCCGAACCCTTCGCGAATCGCAATGCCGACGGAGCTTGCCGGAGAGTGTACCGGCGGCTAAACGAGAGATTTGTATCGATGAATCCGTGATGGAAAAACCGATTCCCGAAGATTGCAGGTTTGGGCGTTTGCAATTTTGAATTGGAAAACATAGTGAGCGGTTTCGCTTTATTCGTCAGACTCAGAAGTCGGAACCCATCGTTAAGAGCTTGGAGTCGATAATAATGGAGGTCACTTGGTTTGTTTTGTCAGTGAGAGAGAAATGAGAACAAATTATGTTCTCTTTTGTTCTTTCTTAAGGCCCATTAAAGACCCGCGAATCAGGAGAAATAATGTTGGGCTTTTGTGACTTTGTCCACACCCAAAAGACCCCAATACTCAATACATCAATTATAATTAAACCCTTGAACTTTTTCCTAATTTGCAATGGAATTCTCAGATAATTAATTCTAGACGATTAAGGACATAATGCTAAGAAAAGCAGAGTATTTTAATGGTTTTCCAACTAGTTGTCAAGTTTCGACAATAACAAAATGGTATTATTTTGGTGGACCCAAAATATAACACAATAAAAGAAAAGAAAGAGAGATGGACGGATATAGACAAAGCGGAATAGCTTTGGCATCTCACATTTTAAGATTAGAGAAAATGACATTCTAAAAAGGAGCAACTAAAAATTGACCCATCAAGATTTTATGTTTATATTTGCAAACCAGAAGAATTCGCGACAAGTTAGATATATTATGCATTCCATGTGGGGGACTATATAAATCAATCAGTCAAACAGTGCCACAAATTTTCCATCCGAAAATGATATGTTGCGAATTAACAATAATGGATATCTTCATCTGCTTTGTAAATTACATTCAGCTAGATTGGAGTGTAAAGCGTACTTAATCAGTCAAAACATGATTTGAGTTACTTGAACAAATTTTAAAGGTGCATGTTATTAAGCTAAATTAAACACAAATCTGTATATGAAATGAGAGTTTGAACTGAAATTAACTAGGAAAACTCAAGATAGGAGATAAAATGGACAAGTCGGTCCATAGGAGTCGTCATAACTACGCACCACGTTCTTCTCTCTCCGTCCCGTTTTAGGATGCAGCATTAATCCCGTACGGAGAAATAAGAAGTAGAGCAACGGCGTTTGCATGTGAAGAAGATTAGTGCGTATTTTTTCTAAGAAAAGCAAAAAAAGACAGAGCGACTCAACTACTGAACGACATATGCTATTGTCCTTTTCCAGTCTGTTTTTACCTCATCAGCATATTCTATCACTTCTTCTTTGCCGCTATATTTAACGGTTTTTTTTTCCTTCCCTCTCTTTTCACTTTATTTGTTGTTGTTGTTGTTATTGCTTATTTATAATATTCTTTCTCCAAAAACACACATACATATTTTGAGTAACTTACTGTATGTAGTTACTGATTCGAATGGATGTCAGAAATTTTTCAAACACATTGACCAGTTCTTGAAAGTCCGATATTTTTTTGCTGGCTTGAAAATTCAAGCCCACACTCACTTTCTCAAATTGGATCGGTGGCCCTATGCAAAAGAAACATTTACTAGTCAAAATAATACGTGAATTAATTACATGACCTTTGAAACTTAAACCGGAGTAACAAAAGGCATGTACGTGACTTATGTAAATTACTTTTGACCAAAGGTGGAATTGAATTCTCAGATGTTCTTAATTGGAAACTGTTAAATGCTGATTGAAAACATTATGTGAATTAGGTTTTCTCCTATAATTGCGCTGGCGAGAAAGACATACTATAAAGAATTAAGAAAGCGAAAATTAAATCAATTTAAAAATTCGATTTTCTGGAAAACCTCAAACACTCTCTCTCCTCTTCCTCACACAAACACAAAAACACACACTCTCTCTCTCTCTCTCTCTCTCTCTCTCTCTTCTTCTTCCCTCTTTCAGTTTCCAGATTCTAGGGTTTCGAGTATAATCCCTAAATCTCCGTCTCGCTGTCTCTCTCAGATATGAATCTCTAAGGTTACTTCTCCGTCAACATTATCTTCTAGGGAGATTCTTCGGGCTCAAATGAGTCATTTCCTCACTCTCGCTTTCTGCTTCGCCTCACTCCTCCTCGGTGTCAACGCCGTAACCGAGCTGGAGCTCCGATCTCTACTCGAGTTCCGGAAAGGGATCCGCGACGAGAGCTCCAACAAACGCATCTCATGGTCCGACCCAAGCAGCCTCACTGATCCCACTACTTGCCCCGATGGCTGGCCCGGTATCTCCTGCGACCCGGAATCCGGCTCAATCGTCGCCATTAACCTCGACCGGCTCGGTCTCTCCGGCGAGCTCAAATTCACCACCCTCACCGGTCTCACCTCTCTTCGCAACCTCACTCTCTCCGGAAACAACTTCTCGGGTCGGGTCGTGCCTTCGCTGGGTAAAATCTCGTCGCTTCAGCACTTAGATCTGTCAGATAACGGATTCTACGGACCCATTCCGGGTCGGATCTCGGATCTATGGGGCTTAAATTACCTCAATTTGTCTGCTAACAAGTTCGAAGGCGGTTTCCCTGGCGGTTTCCGGAACCTCCAGCAGCTAAGATCTCTGGATTTGCACGGAAACAACATGTGGGGAGACGTCGGAGAGATTTTCACCGAGCTGAAGAACGTTGAGTTCGTTGACTTGAGCTGCAATCGCTTCCACGGCGGCTTATCTCTATCCATGGACAACATTTCGAGCATTTCCAACACTCTCCGCCACTTGAATTTGAGCCACAATGGGTTAAACGGCGGGTTCTTCAACAAGGACTCCTTGGGTTTGTTCAAGAACCTCGAGATCCTAGACCTAGAAAACAACCAGATCAATGGCGAGCTGCCGAGATTTGAAACGCAGCCGAATTTGAAGATCCTGAAGCTTTCTCGTAACCAGCTATTCGGCTCAGTGCCTGAAGAGTTGCTGCAGAGCTCGATTCCACTGCGGGAGCTAGATCTCAGTCAAAATGGTTTTACAGGTGAATTGAAACATTACACTTTTTTTTCTCCTGAGCAAGATTTGTCAAATCTGGGAATAGAACTGTTCACTGAGCATTGATTTGACTGATTTTTATTGTTTTTTCTGTTGGTACTTGACTAGACATTTGTGTCATATCATCTTAAAGGAGTTTTCTTTTTATTCAAGTGCAGGATCAATCAGTGATATCAATTCAACAACTTTAACTCTGTTGAATCTTTCTTCAAACGGCCTTTCTGGGGATCTTCCATCGAGTTTGAGAAGCTGCTTAGTGATAGACCTGAGTGCGAATACGTTCTCCGGCGATGTATCTGTGGTTCGAAACTGGGAAGCTACTCCGGATTTTCTTGATCTGAGCTCAAACAACTTGTCAGGAACCTTGCCAAACTTCACTTCAGCGTTTTCAAGATTAAGTGTGTTGAGCATCAGAGATAACTCTGTTTCCGGTAGCTTGCCTTCTCTGTGGGATGATTCAGGGGCTTCACAGTTCTCAGTGATTGATCTCAGCTCAAACAAATTCAGCGGCTCTATTCCAGAGAGTTTCTTCACTTTTGGAAGCTTGAGAAGTTTGAATCTTTCTATGAATAACTTGGAAGGGCCGATTCCTTTCCGTAGCTCACGTGCGAGTGAGCTTTTAGCTTTAAGCTCTTATCCTCAGATGGAGTCGCTTGATCTCTCGACGAACTCTTTGACTGGTGTGTTGCCTGGGGATATAGGTACAATGGAAAGACTCAGAGTGCTGAATGTTGCCAATAATAATCTTTCCGGGGAGCTTCCAAGTGACCTCAACAAGCTCAGTGGCCTTGAGTTCCTTGACTTGTCAAACAATACTTTTAAAGGTCGACTTCCCAACAAGCTTCCTTCCCAAATGTTGAGGTTTAATGTTTCCTACAACGACCTATCAGGCATAATCCCGGAAGGCCTGAGAAGCTACCCACATTCATCGTTTTATCCTGGTAACTCCAAGCTAAGTCTGCCAGGTGGGATTCCAGTGGATTCTACTCGTCAACTTGCTTTACGTGGGAAAGAGCATCATTCGAAGCTTAGCATAAGGATAGCAATCATTGTTGCTTCAGTTGGAGCTGCCATTATGATTCTTTTTGTCTTGTTTGCCTATCATCGAACACAGCTCAAGGACTATCATGGGAGGAGTGGGTTTGCTGACCAAGCCACCACTAGAGACGCCAAGTTTGGACGCTCTTCACGTCCTTCCTTTCTCAACTTCAGCTCAAATGAACACCCGTCGTCATCTTTGAGCTTCTCGAATGATCACTTGCTCACCGCGAATTCAAGGTCTTTATCCGGGATACCTGGAAGTGAACCTGAGATATCTGAGCAGGTTGTTCCCGCTAGTAACCCTAACCTCCTTGATGATTACCCTGCAACATCTGGATCTGGACGGAAGTCTTCTTCAGGAGGCTCCCCGTTATCCTCCTCGCCACGTTTTAGCGACCAGCCTGTGATGTTAGATGTTTACTCACCCGATCGATTGGCTGGAGAACTCTTCTTTTTAGATGTTTCACTGAAACTCACAGCGGAAGAGTTATCCCGAGCTCCTGCAGAAGTTCTTGGTAGAAGCAGCCATGGGACACTCTACAAAGCTACGCTTGATAATGGACATATGTTAACCGTGAAATGGCTGAGAGTTGGACTTGTGAGGCATAAGAAAGATTTCGCCAAGGAAGCTAAAAAGATCGGCTCTTTAAAACATCCGAACATTGTCCCGTTGCGAGCTTACTATTGGGGTCCCAGAGAACAGGAAAGGCTTCTCCTTTCTGATTACATGAGAGGAGAAAGCTTGGCCATGCATCTATACGGTTAGAAGCTCTTTTACTTAGTCTCTTTTACTCATGTCTCTGTTAGTCTCTTGTTTCAAGCTAAAAGTATTCGCCTTTCTCTGCAGAGACGACTCCTCGGAGGTATTCTCCAATGTCTTTCACACAAAGACTAAAAGTTGCGGTTGAAGTGGCGCAATGTCTTCTTTACCTTCATGATAGAGCAATGCCACACGGGAACCTAAAGCCGACAAACATAATCCTCACAAGTCCAGACAATAGCGTGCGAATAACCGATTATGGAATCCACCGTCTGATGACTCCATCTGGTGTAGCGGAACAGATACTAAACATGAGTGCACTCGGTTACTCTGCTCCTGAGCTTGCCTCGGCTTCTAAACCAGTACTGACACTCAAATCTGATGTCTACGCGTTTGGTGTGATTCTCATGGAGCTTTTGACTAGACGGAGTGCTGGCGACATAATCTCGGGTCAATCAGGAGCGGTTGATCTGACAGATTGGGTGCGGTTGTGTGATCAGGAAGGTAGGAGAATGGATTGCATAGACAGAGACATTGCAGGTGGAGAAGAATTCTCAAAGGCAATGGAGGATGCACTTGCGGTTGCAATCAGGTGCATTGTCTCTGTAAATGAAAGGCCTAACATCAGACAAGTTCTTGATCATCTTAGCTCGATTTCTTCTGCTTGAGATTTGTTTTGTTTTTTTATTTAATTTTTATTTTTTTTCTGTATATCTCCATGGATTTCTCTTCATCCATCATCCCATTTTTTCTTCTTCTTTCTGGTTTTGTGTTTTTTTTTCCCCTAGTAGTTTGCTCAGATGATTGTTCTTACATTTTTTATTTTGTTGATTGTTTTCTCTCCCTCCTTTGTAAAGGTAGAAGAAGAACTAATCCCATTTATTCTGACAGAAGAAATTTGAGTTTGGTTATTGATTTTTTTATAATATTTTCGTTCATCTTATTTTGTGAAAATGTAACTTTTACAAGGATTTTGGTATTTTGTCCCTACACAAAATTAACAACTAAAAATATTGAAATATGCATTTTCATGTTTTTTTACTTATTTTGTATCACCACACTGAAATCATATATACAACAGGCAAATCATATACATTACATACAAAAAACAACCATCGAAAATTTGGTTCTTGAAGCTATAAACTTTACGTTGCTGATCATATTTACAAGTTTCCTCCAACATTTCCTTTTAGCCGCAAGACAAGAATCATCTTCATCTTCATCATCATTATCAAACAGCAGCTTATGTAGTTATGTTCATGTCCAAAGTCCAACGCACTAGCAAACTCCATTCTTGATTCTTAACAGTCTCAAACCTTAAATCTATAACCTCCCTGAATTACGTTGGTTCACGTTGCCGAGTCGCCCAACTCGAGCTTAAAGCTCTTAGCCGTTGGAAATACTCGCCTAATGCTAACAATCCCCTAGCCGCTTGTCTCGTGGTCAAGATCCGATGCATCTGTTGCAATGTCTCATGTCTCAGATGATCAGCCTACAACAAAATAGTTTAATAAACCCATTTCCTAGTCCCAATAATCTCTCATTATCGTTAGATCTTTCTCGCTTACACTTACCTGATTGACAAAGCTGACCAAAGCCTCCAATCTCTCCATAGCACAAGTCATCTGAGGAATATAACTTCCTTCACCGAGTTTCCCAGCTGCTACACTCTCTGCTAATGTATGTTGCAGTTTCTCCATACCTTGAGACACTGCATCTTCCGCTTGTTGACATGATTGTCTCAGATTACACACATCCAAAAGTTGTTGATCCGTCAAAGGATCAAAATGCGGTAACAGAACCTAACCAAAAACAAGAAAATAAAATCTTTGTCAAGAACCATTTCTTTATGGATTAAAAATGAACTTTTTGCTATTACCTTGAGAAGCTCTGAGGGTTTAAATCCGCCTATCCACAAGAAAAACCGCTCTGCTGCAGTTTTCCACATTCCGGACATGATGTAAAAGACATCGATTTTAGCAGCGGCTGATTTCATCCGGAAGAGTTGAAAGTAATGTTTCATTGCATGATCAACCAGCGAACGAAGCTCTACATCACTGACTTGTCCGTGTAAAACCCTTCTTAGCTCGCTTATTTGCCTGTTCTGTTCTTCCACCCAGTGTCCATATTCCATCTCAAATGCAACAATCCCTAACAAGAACAACAACAACAAACAAATCGATGGAATCTTGAAACTGATTTTGAGAGAGAGAGAGAGAGAGAGAGATCATATTAGGAAATTGGTAAAAGATTCAAACCTGAGTTCATGTTATCTGAGAAACCAAGAGCATTTGTATCAACTCCATTCCCCACATAAAACCCCTGCAACATTATAAGATCATAAAGACATTACACCTACAAAGATACTTTTAGGGAACAAAAATAAGAGAGTTTTTGGCCAAACCTGTTGTCTAGCACGATCGAGTTCTTGCTCTAAATGAATTAACTTCAACCGGCTTGTCTCTAGCTGCTGAACATAAGCCTGCAATACAAAGACCTTTAAAACTCAGTATAACAAAACAAAGACATAACTCTTCTACCGAGTTGCATGGAACATACTTTCTTGCGCAAACGACTTTTCCTAGCTGCCTCGCGGTTCTGTGCAAGCCTTCTCTGTATCTGTAAAGATATAAAGATTCAATTCACAAAAAAGATCCAAAGGTTTAAGATAATCAAATGAGCTTACCTTATCAGGATTTCTAGATGTGGAAGCTTCTTGGTCAAACTTGTGAGGAGTTCCTTCTGTTCCCGGAGAAGTTTCCTCAGACTGAACCAAAGATTTCAAGAAAGCATTAGTGTCTCAATTCAAATGAGAGTGTTTATCTGAGATAAAATAAACAGAAAATTTGAAGTACCACCAGGCTGTCTGGTTTTTCGTTTACAGGGATGATGATAGAGTTAGGCGTATACATGCCTCCATTGTTCTTGAAACTCTCTTCCCACATACCGATTTGGTTGAGAGGCTCGTAGATTTCAAACCTTCTCGGTGGAACGAAATGTGTAGAAGCTGTATTCATGTTTCCTCAACTGTCAAAAAACAACAAAAACTTCATTAGTTTAAAATTTCAAGAACTTGCAAAGATGCAAGATCACAAGTTGAAGATATATGTAACTGAATTTGGAGCTAAAAGTAAAGAAAGTTAAGTCATTTGGCATCACTCAATTCGTCAACGCTATACCTCTCCTACTTCTATAAGCTCCATTGATTAGGCGAAACATCGGACTCATATACACCGGAACAAAAAAATACCCTGTTCTTACTAGTGTTATTGAAATTTGTTCTCTAAACCTTTTTTCTAAAAAACAAACCAAACTCTAATGTCAGTGTCAGTTATTGGATCTCACTGTTATCTTCCTTCTTTTAGGCACTAATGGTGGACCATCTTAAACACCTCCCAATATGGAAAAAAAAAATTCCATAACTCTCTCTCACTGATTTGATATAAGTATAACATTCCATTTTTATTGGACAAAAGTCAAGATTCGACTAGAGGCTGCTCGGAGAAGAAGCTGAAGTGAAGAAGCAACAGAAACCAAATATCATGAAACATATACAAATCAGTTGCAATCGAGGAAAGGCAAACCCCAATCCAGAAAATCAAAGGATAAATAATCATCGAGTTTGTTTAGAGTTTCAACGAGAATAAATAAATCGGAGAGTTTCATCATTTACAGTAAGAGAATGAAACAGAGCAAACTAATTTCAGATTTTTTTCAGTCAAAGCAGAGATTTTTGTTTTTCCTTTCATAGAATTACGAGATGCTCATAAATAAACCCAAAAAAACATGATCAAGGAAGAACATAGATCCGAAAACCAAACCTTTGTCTAGTCTTCTGCGTCAAAAGGGCTTCAAAAAGGCGAACTTTTCCCGCGGAAACCATGAACTAAAACACACAAAAAAGCAAAGGAACTTTTCGGATTCAGCAACGATGTCGAACGCAAAGCCCGGGAATTAGTAGTTCATAATTTCATATCGGTCTGATAATATCCCTTTCTCTGGTTCTGTCATCTTGAAGAAGAAGAAGAATCATGCGTGAACACGACAACTTAAAAGAGAGACCTTTGACAAAGTTGTTTAGAAATTCTCATTCCTCATTTCTAATCCTAAATAAATAAAAAATGTAAATTAATAAATACTGAAATTTCGTCTTTCTTCGTTTTGGTGGGTTCTTCGGTGACTGTTGTCTTCAAGCAATAAGCATATAGTAAACAACGAATTTTGACATTTATAATGGTAACTTTTATTATGTTTACCTTATGTTCTTCGTTAAATATCCGGTTTATTCGAATACTAAATTAAAAATTTGTTTCTGCTTATTCATTTGTCATGTCTCTACCATTCTCCACTACCTCGCTGATGTGCGTACCAGGTAGATTATAATTCTTTTTCTCCTTTTGATTATTCAGTAATAATTCATATTCAGTGTGAAAATTATTGAATTGTTAATTTCTCCAACAAAATATATTCGAATCCCGTCGGTGGTGATAACTGACAGCTCGTTTTCGACGGCACACGCGCGAAGGAGAAGCGCGTGGCGAGGAGTGGAATCAATCATTTATCACTGTGGTAAGATTTGTTAATTTCTCGCGGGAATGAAAGGTGGTTAATTCTCCCGACTGTATTGTAACGGCTATTTTCTAAAGGTTTAAAAATTAAAACAAGCAATCAAACAAATTACGTAACATAATCGCAAGGCTGACGACAATTTTTTTTGTAAATTATTTAGCTTATCAAGCAACGCTTATTTATTTCGTATTTATTTATATTGAGCTCGAATAAAAATATTCTTCTTGTTCGTATTTGATAATATGATATGAGTACTGAAAAAGAAAACCTACTGAACTTAATTTTGCAAAGGAATAAACCTGATAAAGAAATGTTACAATATATGTGAATAAGAACAGATTTGGCTCTTCAAGTTCCATAGAAGACATCTGTGTGGCCGCAACTTCACCCACTTGCCTCTTTGCTTATTATTTTAATCACAATGGATACCGAGTAGAATATATGTGATTTGGTGCATTTTGCTGTAGGAACAGTACGTTTGTTTAGGATATAATCAACTTTTCCTTTTCGTTAGTATAATATCATTATATCATCCATATATAAATCTTGTTCACGTATTGCACTGTTTGCCAACATCATAAGATCAAGCGAGAAGTAAGAATATATATAATTGTGGCTTTTGGGGTTAACTTCCCAATATATGCTGAAAACATAAAACATCTGTCAAACAGTAATTATAAATTGATATTTGGGTGTTAAAAAAATGGTATCCGTGTGTAAAGCTATACGAATCATGTGATGGTTCCATTATAGAGGTTTTAATAGCTGGTTTTGGTTGATTTGTGATTTTAACTTTAACATCCTATCCACGTATTACATATTTTCAAAAATATCAGCCAAAGAACAATATGGCAATAATGTATATTCGAATACAAAGAACATTGACGATGAAAACAAAGAAAGATGAGATAATGAGACATGACGCACGAAACTCATTGCTTTTGCGTTTGCCTATTTGTGGAATTATTCTCAAGTGTTATCTCTTATGAAAAGAGTGGTTTGCCAATTGCCACTAAAAAAGAGTGGCTATCGTCGTCACTCTGATTTTTTTGGCTTCTACTCATGTTTCGAAAATGTCAATATGAGAGTTCACTTGCCCATATTGGGCCAATATCATGAGAATGGAAAGTATAATCAGGGCCCAATATTGTCAAATTGCTCTCTTCTTATTTTTTTTTTGCCAAAATCACCTTGTTTCACAAAGTGCCTTTAAATGTAATAAGAAAGTAGAAAAGTGTCTTTGAGTGTAATTTTCTCCTAGACTTATAGATACATCTCCTCAACATGCAATTTCTCTTGGTTAACGCGATCAAACTACACATCATGACAAAAACAAATCACGAGTCACGATACGAATGTGCACAGACACAACTTTGATGTGACTAGTTTTCGGTTCGCTGGCCGTTGGTATAAGGAAAACCGGTGTGCCAGCTTCTTACTATTTTCACCTTTTCCTTTTGCGCGGGAACCGATTTTTACTTTTAATTCCAGAAAATTCAGTTTGTGTAAATACTTGGATGGAAAAAACGCAAAGTTTATTATGGAGTAAAAAAGTATATTTATTTAACAACTGATTAGATAAGACGAGAAAATGCTGACTAACAAAAAGAAGATAAGATGAGAAAATACTATATGTTTATTCACTTAACATTGTATAAAATAATACTATATATCAATATATCAAGTAACCGACCTTGGCCAACATTTTCTAGAAACCACCAAAACCATAGTATTGTCTATTGTGATTAAATACAATTAAACAAGGACTTTTTCATTAAAAATAATACAAGAAAATGGAGTGATCCTTATCCGAAACCGCAAGCTAAAGCAGTATAAATAGCTTACGTGTTGAGTGTGTGTTTTGGCATAGAATCTCGGATATAAAACAATTTATAGAAGAAGATCAAGTGATTGAGTCAATGACGGAAATAGCACTATTAGTGGCGGAGGAATATGAGCGGAAGGTGAAGCTGACGGCGGAGAAAGGATCGAGTCCGGCGGAGGTTGGCTGGTGGAATGATTTTCCAGAGAAAATGATGATGTTTGGGGCTGAGGAGAAGAATATTGAAGGTTTGAAGAGGAAATTTGATACTAAATCTCAGTTTGCTCTTGCCGTCTCCAATGGCTTTTTCTCAGCTTAACTATGTTTTTTAGTTGTTTTCCTTTACAAAATGAAGATAATTTTTGTGTATTTTACAAGCAGATATTAATCGATATGTAAATTAATAAATTGATCAAATCAAATTTTCTAGTTGTGAAGTTTAGTATGAATCAAATTTATTCATTGATAATAATTTTTGTTTCAAGTTAAAAGTTCATAACTAACGGACACAAACCGCATACAAAAGTTAAACTCATAGGAATCGTTAACTTTCAGAAGTTGGGGGAAGAATCGTGAAATCTAGGAGCTGGTAGAAAATATTGTAACCTTTAGGAAGTTACGGGGATAATAAAGAATTCAGAAACTTTTGGGGTAGAATCACAAAATAGTGAAACCTTCCCTTTGTTTACACTGTTGACTATTGAGTATCAGCAAAACGATGGCGTATAAATAATCACAAAAGATTTGGCACCATTTTTACTGTTTTGACATGTGATATGACATGACAAGTTCATTCAAGCAATGTGTAACACAATTTACGCGAGTGATTAAGAGCCGTAATTGGTCGTTGGAAGCTGGAACACTCCACGTAATCCAATGCATTAACTAATATCTAAAATCGTTTGATCAGATTTAACATACTGTAATAAACTTCCAAATCCTTCGTTGAAACCAATCTGGAACTTCGAGGCTTGTTTGCTACGAATGGAAAGCGGCGATGAGAGTCCGGTGGTTCTGATAACGGGATGCTCGCAGGGAGGCATTGGTCACGCTCTGGCGCGTGAGTTCTCTGTGAACGGGTGTCGAGTGGTGGCGACGAGTCGTTCCCGGAGCACGATGACGGATCTGGAGCAGGATCCGAGGCTGTTCGTGCAGGAGCTTGATGTGCAATCGGAGCAGAGCGTCAGCAAAGTTCTGTCGAATGTGATAGACAAGTTCGGTCAAATCGACGTCCTCGTCAACAACGCCGGCGTTCAGTGCGTCGGACCTCTGGCGGAGATCCCCATTTCCGCCATGGAAAACACCTTCAACACCAATGTGTTCGGTAAAAAATTGCATTTTGAATTCGATTTCACTCAAAGTAAACTAATTCGATCGAATTTATTACTTTCGTGTTTGGTGAAAAAGTACGATTAGGCGAAATTGGTACATTCAATAGCATTAAATTCGGTTTTCTACCGCTAAGAGGAAAAATCCGTTTTAACTGATGATTCTGTGGAAAAAAAATCAGCCTTTTTTGTTCTTTCTTTGATTTGTTGACTTCTCATTGAACTTAAACGCTTTTCTCGTGATGTCATTTTTCTCTTCAAGTGATTTACTTTGCACAGTGTGTATCTCTCCTCGTGTAAGTGAATTATGAGAAACATTTTCAAAATGTGAATTTTATCCAAATGCAGGTTCCATGAGGATGACTCAAGCCGTTGTACCTCACATGGTGTCTAAGAAGAAGGGAAAGATTGTCAACGTTGGAAGTATCACTGTTATGGCACCAGGTCCATGGGCAGGGGTCTATACAGCAACCAAAGCTGCTATTCATGCTCTTACCGATACCCTCAGGTTTGTTTTCTTAGCATCTTCATATGTTGTTGGGTTATGTCGATGATTCTTCGTGTTTCAATTGTTTGTAATTGGTTCCTGGCTAAATGCAGGTTGGAGCTCAGGCCCTTTGGCATTGATGTCATCAATGTAGTCCCAGGAGGAATACGAACGAACATAGCAAACTCGGCCGTTGCAAACTTCAATAAAATCCCTGAGCTGAAACTATACAAGCCTTACGAAGAAGCAATCAGAGAGAGAGCGTTCTTATCACAGAGGATGAAGCCAACTCCTGCAGAGACATTCGCCAAGGACACTGTAGCTGCAGTGCTGAAGAAGAATCCACCCGCTTGGTTCTCTTCAGGCAGGTACTCAACCCTCATGGCGGTCATGTACCACATGCCCCTTTGGTTCAAAGACTTTCTCCTGAAGAAGACTTTAATGAAAAAGGGATAAAGAAAACGAATGTAAAAGCTTAGACTCTATTCAGAACGACAATGTAATCTTATGTTGGAAAGGAGAACTATTACATTTATGTTGTAAAAGCTTTGTGGTACAAAATATCCGTAATTATTCTACAACCAGAGGAACAAATATTTCCACTTTGATTCGACCCAACAGTTTATCATCAACACCACGTTTCAGCAGATAATAAGGGTCAGAACTATCTAAAAGCTATGATAATAACTAACATTGTTTCTAAATTTAAGAATGGTGTGGAGCTCCATAATACATGATACCCGGTGGCTGGAAAGTTTGACCCTGCTGAGACTGTTGTTGAGCTGAGTTCGACTGAGGGATTTGAGGCTGTTGATTACCTATCATATGTTGTTGTGGTGGTGGTGGTGGCGGCGGAAGTCCAGGTGGCATCAACGGAATGTTACCAAAGCCGTAAGGATTGTTCATGCCCGGCGGTTTTAGGAACTGTGGTGGTGGTGGTTGTGCTGGATTAGGGATTACATGATACTGAGCTTGTGTGGTGGTCGTCTGGTTATGAGAGTTGTTGTAAGAAGGGGCAAATGCATTAGTGTCTGAGACCGGAACTGTGCTCTCCGATTTGGATAGAGCAGAAGTCTGTGTTGCTTCAGCAGCGAATGAAGAAAGAACAGATTGCATGATCATATGCGATGAGGTCGATGCTGTGAGCATCGCAGCGATAGAAGCAGGCGTCATTTTTGATGCTTGACCAGACTTTGTGTTGTTGTCACTTGTCTCCGTTGTTGGTTTTGTTGCGTTTTCGTCATCATTGAGCCGTTTCTGCATGTTTTGAGCTTCCTCTGTTTGTTCTTGTGCTACCTGATCATAGACAAAAAAATGCTTCATGAGCTTTTAAGCTAAGGTAGAGGAGGCAGTGAGAAAAATCAAACACATACCTGAATCTGAGCTTTAAGATTCTCCAGTTCGGATTCCTGTTCTCGCAGTGCGTCTTTAAGCTGGTTGACAAGGGATGTTCTACTTCCTTGAACAGATTTAAGCTTCTCAATACATTGTCTCAAAAGGTACTCTTCCTCTTCCAACTCTTTGGCCAATGATTTTCTTTTAGGGTTGTCTTTTGCTGGAGAAGCATAAACCATATGATTCAGAGAAGAAAAACTAAAGCATGTGTTGGTTAATCCCAATGATTAGTTAAAACAGATTGTTACCAGTAGAGCAGGCTTCTTCAACATCTTTCTCCATCTTCCTGATTCGTTTCACTGCAGACTTGCATTTATTCATCTCAGCTTCTTCATTTGAGTTCTCTGCAACAACCAAATGATATGCTGATGCTATCTTCTCAGCCACAGCTCCACTTGATGATTTCTGATATACAAAAGCATAAGACCCAAAGAAAGAACTCTAATGAGTTATGACTGACTGATATCAATAGAGGAGAACATAAAAGGTGTTTAGTGGTTTTTACAGTTCTGGACGATTTTGAATCCCGTTTTGAGGATCTGGATCCGCGAGGTCGCTTTTTGCTGATGTCAAGTGGTAGAGGGACATCTTCTCCAAGCATCACATCTTTGAGATTCTTCGAACGGGAACCAAACACTCTTCTTTCTTCCCATATCTTCACCTTCAATATCATGCAAAAAAAGATTCACAAGATTCACTCTCCATATAGCATCACACATCTATGCAGCACCTTAAACGAATTCATACTAACATCAATCACTACATGAGATCGAAGATAAACACACTTGAGAAGAGAACTTGCACAAAAGAATCAAATGCTGATATATTAACCTACTCGCAAAACATGTTCTTTCTCCAAACACTTAACAGCTTCAACCACAATCGCACACTGATAATGACTTATAAAGTAACAAACCCATTCGCAGAGAACAAAGGCAAGAGCACAAGGGCCAACGAAAGAGAGAAAACAGAGTTTTTACCAAACGAGAGACGACGCCTTTCCCACGATCATCTCCTTGGGCAACAATGTCTTTGACAGCCTTAGGAAGAACAGTCCAGAACGCTTCCACGAACTCATTACCCTGACGCTTACTGTTCTGGAGAATATCATTAGCCAAGTACATAAGAGGGACTTTCTGAGTCATCTCTGTACTGTGAAACTGTTTCTCCCATGTCGTCACGACCAATTCAGCTTTCACCCGATTGAATATACAGTAATGGGATAGAGCTAATTCCCAAATGGTTAAGGAAGCCAAAGATTGGAAATTGACACCAAAAAGAGAGCAGAAATCACAAGATCTAAGTAATTATATATGCAGAGAAATCTTGAGAAGAAACAAATTAAAGCTTTTAAATGTTAAAAGAGGATACTTTCGATGGACTGTTGACTGCTATTGAGCTTTGCAAGCTTATCAATCAGGATCTCTTCACTGAATACAGTACTCATCCCACCAACGACTGTGTACAATCTTCAAAACCAGCTGAAGACAAAACCTTTGAAAATGGTTTACTAATTTGAAAAGAGAAGCAGCCGGATTTGGTTACAGCGCTGGGGTGGCAGAGGAATACGGCGGAGCTGGAGAAATTGTGCGGCGGAGCTGGAAACGGAGAAACCCTAGAACAGTCACGCAGGCGGAAGCAGATTACGAATAGGGGATGACTTAAACGACGACGTTTGACGTCAAAGTGGATCCTAGAGAGAATGAGGAGCGAAAATCGCAGAGAAGAGAGGAAAGTTGAGTTTTTTTTTTTAAAGATGGGGTTTTTCTTTCCTTTTTTTCCACTTCAATTTATTTTAATTTTGTTTGACCTAAAAAGTTTTCAATATTGACATGGACAAAACAATTTTTAATAAAAATTGAATGTAAGACTGAGAGTAGATATTTTTATTAATTAAAAATATTTTAAAAAAACTACATGGTATAATACTCGAGACCATAAAGATTCAACATCACTTTCTCCACTGCCTTCAAAGATTCTCCTCACTATCTTCACTCGCTGTTGTCATCACTCTCTTCCAATTTGATATGGTTTATGTTCCTCTCTAAAGGAGGGAGGCCATCATCATCATCCTCGGATTCACCACCATTGTCATCTTCTTCCTCACTGTCTTCCAATTTGATATGGTTCATGTTCCTCTCTAAAGGAGGGAGATCGTCATCTTCATCATCATCGGATTCACCATCAGATCCACCTTCTTTCTTAACACCTATCCGAAAAAGGTAACCAAAACCAAGATCTCATTCATTTCATGGATTCTTCATGTGCTTGATTGTCTGTGCTAGTAACAAAGAGATTCAAGAAATGTGACTTACGTTCTTCTAGTGGAGGTGGTTGTTTCGGGACCTGAGTTTGCTGAGAAAGCCAGGAATTCTGAACAGAGATGATCTCAGCGCTGTTCTCACATTTCGAGTACTCCTTTAGAATATCCCTGCAAAGTTTAGTGAGACCTAGTTAAATAACACAAACTTGAGTTGTATTCTTTTTGCTAGTTAAAAACCAAAATGATGTCAAGATGGTTTGCTTCTTCGAGTTCATTACTTGTTGAGAGACAAAAAGGCATGACCCCATTTGAATTTGCCAAGCAAAAGATTTGCAGTTTCCTCCTCTCCACTGATTGGAAAAACAAACAGAGCAAGACATCTTTAGAAAATCCTGAAAATTGTATGACCGATGTGTTTTAGGACAAGTTGTTGTGGACTCACCATAGTATTAAAGCTGCAGATAAAGCCTCCACGCAAGATAGCTCACACGGCCTTCCGTAATTTACTGGATTAGCTGCTACTAACCATGGTACTGCAACCATTACAAAGGACGGAACATTTTACTAGAGATTCTATATGTAACCAGAGGTGACTGATTGATTGATTGTATGTATGTTTCTTACAGAGACGAGGAGCAGTACAACGCAGCTTCACAAACGGGACATCACTTAAGCGTGCCCAAGAACAGTCAACAACAGCTAATCCTTTTCTTTTGATCAGACTATAGTCTTCTTTGGAAACACATTGTCTTCCAACTGGACTGTCAAAATCATACGGGTGTGTCATCATCTACTTAAGTAATGTCATTAAAAACGACACAAAGATACATAAGAACAGGTAGAAGATACCTTAAAACAACTCCTCCGAAGCCAGTGTTAACTCGTAATTCCTACAAATTCATCGCAGTCAAATTTTCAAATGAAGTTGAAACAATTCGAAGCAAGAGGACATATTTATCTTATTACTATTAGCTCATGACACTTACTTTCAACAAGTTAAATCTAGCAAGCTTACGACCAGTGCACCTCTTTGCATCACATTGACCAAAATCCTAAACCAGCAAAACACAATAGTTTACATCAGTGACTTTTGATGCAATTTGATCTTCGAAGTTTTACTTAAGAATAAGCATAAATGCAAGGAAATCATGCATACCCACATTGCCAATTGAACTTTTGGAACTGCTGCTGCATCCTCAGGTTCTACAAATAAATCACCCAATAAGAACATTATTGGTATATTCAACATCTAAAGCCGATCGAATAAACCACAATCAATAAATTTCAATTTCCAGTACCTTGATCAAGAGGGAGCGATTCCTCTTCCCTACAATTTTAACGAAATCGTAATTAGTCGACCACAGAGAAAGCTCGACCTTAGAGGCTATAAAAAGGTTATACCTTTCAACATTAAAAGTCCTACTGGTCTGTCCTGGATTCGAATTACCTCCTCTTGATCGCCTGTGCTTACCGTGACCCATTTTTTCCGGTGATATTTCCGACTAATGATCGGCTTTGGGTTTTATGTGTAAATTAGGGTTCCTATAGGTAGCCGACAGCAAACCAACTACAATACCGGACCGATGTTAAACCATTTTTCGTCAAAATGAAACTGACCGATCTCTTGACCGTTGAGGGTAATCAAGTCATTAACCCTGCTTCCTTCCCGTCAGCCATAATTTTGTTGGTGAGGGTAAAACCGTCATTGCGTCGAAACCAGACCGGACCATGATTGAGTACACACGTGTGAGTAATGCACACCGCTCAGGGCAGTTACGTCATTTAGTAACCCTGGTTTCTCCCCGTCCATAATATCTTGGTTAAGTTAAAACCGTAGTTTTGTCAGAAGCAAACCGGACAAATGATTGCGTACACGTGTAAAGTATACCGTTTTGGGTAATTACGTCATTTTACACGACACTTTCTTCCCGTTATGCTTCGTCTTCTCTCTCTTTCTCTCTCTCTACCTCACAGTCAGTCTCATAGCTCACGACCAACATTCACAATCTCGATACATATCTCTACGTATCGCTTCTCTTCTATACATACACTCCCACTGAAAACCCAATTTTACTAAATTGTTCGCTCTTCGTTAACATTGCTAGCTCTGGGAACTCGTTCCAGTAACAGCTAAACCCTAGCTCGAGAAATGGCGTTACGATCTGCCTTTTTACTCTTATGTGTTCTCTCTCTAGCCACAGAGAAGATTCTAGCCTCTGTCTTCTCCTCAAAGCTAATCCATCGCTTCTCCGACGAAGGCAGAGCTTTGATTAAGACCCCGAGCTCATCGGATTCGTTCCCGGAGAAGCGGAGCTCCGAGTATTACCGGTTGCTCGCGAGTAGTGATTTCAGAAGACAGAGAATGAATCTCGGTGCCAAGTTTCAGTCCCTTGTTCCATCGGAAGGAAGCAAAACGATTTCTTCTGGAAATGACTTTGGATGGTAATTTTTTTAATTTCACACTACACAATAAAAAAGCTTCCTCTTTTATTTTACTTTTATCTCCCAATCTCAATGAAGTTTCTAAATTTTGTACCTTTTGGTTCGATACTCGAGAAAAGTTTGCATTTTCTTACTTTTTGGTTTAGGAAATTGCCTAACTTGATTTGGAATTGCTGAAATATTATGCTCAGTGTTGAAGTTAGACAATAGTCCTTTCCTTTGTGTTTACTGTTTCTGGAAAAATATTTGGTGCGGTAAAAAAAGTTATGAACTTTGTAGATTAATTTTACATTTGATGGTTTATAATTCAGGCTACACTACACATGGATCGACATAGGGACACCGAGTGTATCATTTCTTGTGGCTTTAGATTCGGGAAGTGATCTACTTTGGATTCCTTGCAACTGTGTGCAATGTGCTCCTTTAACATCCTCTTACTATAGCAGCCTGGTATGTGATATAGAAACGATAAGCATGTAGCTGCTTATATATAAATGTAGTGAAAATGATGACCAGTTTAGCGCTTATTTCCGGTTGATTGATTGGCAGATGCTTCCTCGTGTTTGGGGGCACATATTCTGCAGGCTACTAAAGACATGAACCAGTATAATCCATCGAGTTCGAGCAGCAGCAAGGCGTTTTCGTGCAGCCATAAGTTGTGTGAATCAGCTTCGGATTGTGAGAGCCCGAAGGAGCAATGCCCTTATACTGTTAACTACGCTAGTGACAACACCTCGAGCTCAGGATCGCTTGTTGAGGACATCTTACATCTTACTTATAACAACACCAACAGTAGATTGATGAATGCTTCCTCCTCTGTCAGGGCTCGAGTTGTTATAGGGTGCGTTTTAGTTTACTATCGTATGCTCGATGTTTTTGCTTGTGTATTCGAGTTTGATATTGTATTAAGTGTGTATCTGATATTGCAGATGTGGTAAGAAGCAAAGTGGGGAGTACTTGAATGGTGTTGCTCCTGATGGTTTGATGGGTTTAGGACTTGGAGATATCTCGGTTCCGAGCTTGCTTTCGAAAGCAGGACTCATGCGAAACTCTTTCTCTCTCTGCTTTGATGAGGAAGAATCAGGGAGAATTTACTTCGGTGACATGGGACCGTCGATGCAACAATCAACACATTTCCTTCCGTATAACAACAAATAGTAATGATCTTCTCTACTTGAGGTTTTTTTTTAACTAGTTTAAGATAGCTTTTACTTATAATAAGCAACTTCTATTGTTTTTGTTTACAGTGTAGCCTACATTGTGGGTGTGGAGGCTTGTTGTATTGGCAATTCGTGTCTAAAGCAGACGAGTTTCACAACCCTTATTGACAGTGGACAATCATTTACATCTCTACCCGAAGATATATACAGAGAAGTTGCAGTTGAGATTGATAGACATGTAAACGCTAAGATCAAGAGGGTCAAAGGTGGCCCATGGGACTATTGCTATGAAACTAGGTAACACACCATAGAGAGAAAGAAGCTCTACTTGATTGGTTTTATGTTATTGATTGATTCTCTCTTATTTTGTTTGATGGATTAGTGTTGAGCCAAAGGTACCAGCGATCAAACTCAAGTTTCCGTACAATAACACATTCGTGATTCACAAACCTTTGTTTGAAGTCCAACAAAATGAGGTTAGACCATTTCCATATGTATAATGACTAATGCTTGAAAACAAAATTTAGATTTTGATGTAATCAATTTCTTTCAGGGGCCTGTCCTGTTTTGCTTACCTATCAGTTCTGGTGAACAAGAAGGCATAGGAGCCATAGGACGTATGTTATTCATCTTCTCTCTTACATCCTCTCAGGTCAATGTCTCAATGAATGTAGACTTATAAATCTTTCTCTTTTGCAGAGAACTACATGAGAGGGTACCGAATGGTTTTCGATAAAGAGAACATGAAGCTAGGCTGGTCAGCTTCTAAATGTGAGATTTTGATTTAAAACAGAAACATTACCACTAAGACCTCTTTTGGAATCCAAAGCTCAAATCCGGTTATGACATTTTCAGGTCAAGAGGATAAGATAGCACCGCCTCAGGCTTCACCGGGAAGCACTTCATCGCCATATCCATTGCCAACAGGGGAGCAGCAAGGCAGAACCCATGCGGTTTCACCAGCAATTGCAGGTAAAACTCCTTCCAAAACGTCATCTTCAGGATCATCATCATGCAGCTTCTCTTCCACGTCATTGTTTAACTCTCTTCTTCTGCTACTTTGCCTTGTCTCTTATATGTAGAGATGTAGATTTGTCTTGTAAACAAAAATCAAAAACTACTTTGCCTTGCATATATATAAGAAGCTATTCTTAAGATTCATTTACAAAATTTGCTGAGTTTTTATTTAGACCAAACTCAAATCAGAATCAACTGGCAAATGCAAAACAGAGCAGCACAACAACAATCATTATATCTGAATATGTTTACTTTTGTAAAAGTATAAATCTTTGTTCTAAATTATTATTCAAGGTCTGCAATTTGAATTGTTGTATTTACACCGAGATAGAAATGTAAATTTCGCTTTTTGATTGAATCAATTGAATTAAAAAAAAAAAAAAATTGAAAAACAAGACTCGACTGGGTCTGTAACTTTCCGATCAATCTCACGGCTGTTGTCTTATCGCCGGAAGTATTCAAGAATCATGACCACGGCGTTTCATGAGCTGCATCTGAGCTTCCGACAATCCTCTGATCACTTCCTCGTCTTCCGGTGTCTCTTTTTTCAATATCTCGTAATCTCTAATCGCCGATTCCCAGTTCCCGAGCTGCAACCACATCGACAAAAGTGTATTTCAAAACTTTTTATTCTAATAATTGCAAAACAACCCCTAAGAAAATAACTATGTCAAAATATCAACCCATATTACCTTAGTGTTACAATTGGCTCTTCTAAGTCGAGCCTTGGCGTAGCCAGGACGGACGTTGAGTGCTGCTGTGGAATCCTCAAGGGCTCTATCAAACTGTCCCATTTTGAACAGACAAGCCGCTCTGTTACACAGCAAGACGGAGTTTCTCGAGTCGTGGTCTAATCCTTGGCCATAAGCCGCGCTAGCTTCTTGAAATCGTCCGGCTTTGAAGAAATCGTTGCCTCGTGATCGCGCCGTCGTCACCGCCTGAGCTCGCCGGAGAACCATACACACTTCCCTGTTGTTCCCGTCCAACTTGCTAGCTCGCTGGATCGCCTCAAGCGCCTCTGCGAATCTAATTGAACAAAAACCATTTGCACACCAAACCGGGTTAAACCAAGATAAATCATCAAAGCATGATCATCCAAACCGGGTTAAACCAAAAAACAAACCTGCCGGAAGACATGTGAACCTGAGCCCAAACGACCAAGAAACCAGCATAACCAATCGGTCCGTAATATTTTGTGCTCATTTCCACATCAAAAACCGGACATCTAGACAAAGCATCATCAGCCTCTTGATGTCTGCAACTCTTCAAATAGGCCTCTGCTTGCAAAGCATACACTTGAGGAGCTGCATCGGCGCCTGAAGCTATGGTGCTCTCCGTTTCTCTGATCAAACAATTCCAGTCTCGCAATCTTTTGGCTTCAGTGCATTTGTTGAGATGTGTTTGTACCGTTTTAGCCTTCAAAATGTCATCTTGGTCAGCTTCTGGTCCTGAATGCTTGATATGATATATTGATTTCTCAACCTCTCCTAACCTATTATTGGGATAGTTTCAAATTTATGTTATCTTCAACAACAACAAAATAATGATGACTTGAGTTACAAGGTACAAGATTACCTGAGGTACAAGTTAGCCAAACGATGGTGTGCTCTATGGTAATGAGGCTCCATTCTGATTGCTTCTCTACACTCAAAGACGGCCTCAAGGATTCTCCCCAATGCCGTTAAAGCTGCGCTTCTGTTGCTACGGTACGCAGCCTTTTTGGGATCGATGGCTATGGCAGCGTCATACAATGCTAACGCCTCTGCGAAGTTCCCATTCTTGTAATCTTCATTCCCCATGATCTTCAACGTTTCGGGATCCATTCGCGTCGATATCGCCCTACACAATCCTGACTGGTCTTGGTTGTTTGAAACCGGTGTTGGTGCAACCAATGTTTGTCTTTCCTCTTGCGTCGTCTTTCTCACCCCATACCCTCCACCCCCACCACCACTATTCCCGTATCCATTGTTCTGAATAGTTGTTTGATTCCCAACCGATGCGCATGGCTGCTTCAAGTTCCCAAGATTGCCAAAAGATGCTCGAACCATATTATTCCCTTTTGCTTTCTGGTTATCGAGAATCATGCTCTCTAGCTCACCTGATAAACCGATTGCTTCCCTCGGCACCTTCCTCGGTTGTTGTTGTTGGACCGGTCCTGGTTTATTACTTGGTTGGTAATTCCCATTACTTCCTGATTGATGGTTATTAGGGTATTGGTTTGATGAAGGTTTTGAAATAGGTTTTTGTATTTGGTTCTGGTTTTGGTTTTGGATCGGCTCAGGTGAAACTTTATGATCTTGAGACTTTTTGGGGTTTAATTCAGTACCAGGAGATTTGGTGAACTGAATGTTGCTGGTGGTAGCGGTGGCGGTAGAGGCATTGCTGCTACTCAATGTGCTTCTATGGCTACCGTTTTCCGCGGAACATTTCTTGGACCACAAGGTACGTCTACCGAACACAAGACCTAAGAACCCACAACGCTTCCTTTTCTCCACCGGATTATCCGCCATCCTTCCGCCGCTGGATATAACTGAAATCCCTAGCGGAGCTATCAATCAAACCCCAGGAAAGGGGTAATGTAGGAAGATAGAAATATAACGAAACAGTCTTATTGGTTGGTCTTTTCAGAAGAGAAAGGACACCCTTTGTTAAGAAGATAGACGAAACTTCTTTTCTTGCGTGTCCTCTTCTTGAATCAATAATCTAAAGCAAAATGGCATTATGATCAAACTAGGTTAAGAAGAAGAAGAGCGAATTATTTTTCTCTTCTCAAATCGATGTCAAATTGTGAAGAGGCAAACCAGGTTAATTTGTCTTCTGTTCTCTCTTCTCTTCTGTCAATTCTTGATTTTTTTCTATTTTTTGGTTCCTCTCTTTTTCTTTTTTGTTCGTCGTCTGTCTTTTTTTTTTCTATGGCTATCACCTGTTGACCTGGTCATGTAAGAGAAACAGAACATGAGCCTTAGATTTGTTTAGTCGATATTTAGAAAGAAACTGCGAGACTTGTTTGAACAAAAAAAAAAGTCCGATTTTTTCTCGACCCGATTCTGTTTTTGGTGATATTATGGGGTTCACGTTGTTTTTTTAGTTCACGACAACGTATGCGTAGATTTGCTCGTATGTATCTTATATATATAATGTAGCAAATCAAAACGGGGTATACATATAAATGGCCGGTAAATTGATTTAAAATTCAAAATAAATATTGAATATTTAAACAAAAAGTAGAATCCGGAGGAAACTAGTACAAGAGGTTCAAAACTTAATTAGCATAAAGTAGCACTAATCACCTCGAAACCCTAAATTAATAACATAATGTAGCAAATAAACAATTCCTAAAACGAGTGGTTAACTAGCAAATTACGTTAGCCTTTAAGCAACCAACGAAAAAAAAACACAAAAGAATGTAAATATTAAAACCCAACAAATTAAGGGTTCCATCGATTCATTTGGGCGAGAAGTCGAGCTTGTGGGCTTCGTGTACACACGTACATTGAAGATATATTTGTATTAATTAATACTTTCCCCTTTATATGCATGCTCATGTCCGTACTCTCTTTTAGGTTTATATAAAAAAAGAATCTGCCGACTTTACTAGTTACTAGAGAAGAGTAGAGAGACTAGAGAGAAAGAGTTTTTTTTTTTTTTTTTTTTTTTTCACTAGAAAGAAAAAAAAAAGAAAGAAAAAAAGAGAGAAAGAGTTTTGATCCGCTTGGATATGTTTCACTAGGGACACGTCAAATGTAGCTAACTATATGTAAGGTTTTTAGCCCTTTTGAGAAATCAACCAAAAACAATTCTTCTCTTCAAATCTCTCTTTCTCTAAATCATTGTTTCGTAAAGAATTATGTTTTAAACTTATGTTATTGTTTCGTAAAACCTCTACAATATCCAAATTAAAAGGAGTATACGAATCTCGTTTTATGAAAAGGATCCCTTTCGGAATATATTCTAGAAAGCAAGAAATAATTTGATTACAGACATTTGTTAGTAAAATAATGATGTAACTCACGCTAAAATGATGGTATATATTTAATATACTAGATGTACTTTTCGACAATATTAAATGTACTTAGTTTGGATATGTATTTGGTGCATGATCATGTCTTCATACATTTGTGAAATGGTAGATATAAACCAGTATTCTTATTTTAGTAAAACTTCTCTTTTGGTTTAAGCCATCGGTTTAGCCTCTTTTTTTTTGTTTTCATCGGTTTAGCCTTGATTTAGGTATAAACGCACCGATTGTATTTTCTTTCGAATTAAGCATGTTTTGCGTTGTAGGAATCTACAATTTGAAAGTCAAAGATTTCTATAGGAAACACACATTTCTTAATCAGAATGTTTTAAAAATTTACACGTATTACTTAATTATAATCCCAAAATAAAAATAAAAAACGAATGAGACGCGGATTCGACGACTCGCGATCTCGCATGGTCCGGCAACATTAACATATCATTACAACGTACGCGAATAAGAACATCCAAAAAGTGGGCCCGTGTAACCCATTCTTTACGCCCAGTAGGTCCCACACCTACTTGGGTTTTGGAGGTCCCACTTTTTTTGGCCTTTGTTCTTCTACATAAACCATCTCGCGGAACTTGAAAAAACATCAATCATCGTCTCCTTCCTCTCTCTCTCTCTCTTCATCTTCCTTTTACCTCTCTCCCTTAGTTTCAGTTACCTCTGGTTCAGGTATTCAACTCGAATCCCTAATATTCCCAAATGGGTAAGCTTTGGTTTTATACATTTCATCTCAGACCTAATCTCTCTTTCTCTCTTCATCTCTCTATACATAACTAATCCTCTGTTTTCTCGATACTCTGGAATTTGTAGTGAGTTTAGTCGTGGAAAGCCCACAGAGAATGTCAGCGAGTCAAAACGTCGTCGTATCAGAAACCACTAGGTCAAGTATCATCACCACCACCACCAACAACTCTTCTTCTACGCAGAAACCCCCAACGGCTCCTCCTGGTTTCATCTCTATTTCCAAGAAAAAGCTTCTCAAGAATCTCGACATCATCAATGGCGGCCAAAGAATCAACGCTTGGGTCGATTCAATGAGAGCCTCTTCCCCTACTCATCTCAAATCGCTCCCTTCTCTATCCTCTCAGCAACAACTCAACTCATGGATCGTAAGTATAGTCTCTCCATCACTCTTTCTCAAACGAAACTCTTGTGTTTGTTTCACTGTTCTTAGAGGTTTTTTTTTTGTTCTTGTGAAACCGACAGATGGAGCATCCTTCAGCACTAGAAATGTTCGAAAAGATCATGGAAGCTTCGGGAGGGAAACAAATCGTAATGTTTCTTGATTATGACGGTACTCTTTCCCCCATCGTTGATGATCCGGACAAAGCTTTCATGTCAAGCAAGGTTCGTTTTAAATTTGTTGGACTGATATCAGTCATATTAAATCTTTTTATTAATCACATTTGATTGGTGTTTCTCAGATGAGAAGAACAGTGAAAAAAGTGGCAAAGTGTTTCCCCACTGCTATTGTTACTGGTAGATGCATAGACAAGGTACTAATTAGTGTACTATTTTATTTTTCTTAGCATTTTGCCCCACTTTATTAAATATTATTTAAAAAATAATTATTGTTTTTTTTTAAAGGTGTATAACTTTGTGAAGCTAGCTGAGCTGTATTATGCTGGAAGCCATGGCATGGACATTAAAGGGCCAGCAAAAGGCTTCTCCAGACACAAGAGGGTAATTTTCAAATTACATAAATAAATTGATGATGAAAAAACAAAAGACACATTAATGCTTATTTATTTCCTTTCTATTTAGGTTAGACAGTCTCTTCTGTATCAAGCAGCCAGTGACTATCTTCCCATAATTGATGAAGTAAGACATACTGTAGTATATATGTTGGGTTTTATTAATGTAACTTTTTGTTGTATTAACATGTGTTTTTATTTTTGTAAAGGTCTGTAGACAACTTGTGGAGAAAACCAAAACAACTCCGGGAGCCATAGTCGAAAACCACAAGTTTTGTGCTTCTGTGCACTTTCGTTGCGTCGATGAGAAGGTGAAATCCGAAAAATCACAGTATGACAGAACTTTTAAATAATATGGAAAACTCACATTAAAAATGGAAAACCTAATAATCTCAGAGATGGAGCGAACTGGTTCTACAGATTCGGTCGGTATTAAAGGAATACCCTACGCTGAATCTGACCCAAGGTCGGAAGGTATGACGTGGCTTTCTCTCATTGATCAAACATATACTCAAGAGATTCTGTCTCGTAGCATCTAATTTTGTTTTGTAACAGTGAGTGTGAGTGATTTCAATTTGTTTTGGTCAGGTTTTCGAAATCCGTCCTATGATTGAATGGGATAAAGGAAAAGCTCTTGAGTTCTTGTTACAGTCACTTGGTAAGTACTGAGTAGCTCTCTCTTTTCCTTTTTCTTTTTAAGATTTTTTTCTCAGCCTATAAATTACAGTAAAGAAAGAATTTTGTCTTGTCTTTTTATTTTAAAGTATATATCCTTCCTCCACTAATCATTAATATGCTTCTCAAATCAACTCACCTTTTAAAAATCTTGAGTACAATTAACTTGAAGACTGAATTTTGAAACTTCGGATATATACGACAGGATTTGGGAACTCTAATAGCGTTTTTCCAGTTTATATCGGCGACGATCGGACCGACGAAGATGCATTTAAGGTATACAAAATACCTTTTCTTGTATATATCACAAGTAGCTAAATTTTATCAGATGAAGCACATCTTTCTAATTAAGTCACCACACTAATTATATTTGTTGATTTAAATTTGTGCAATGTAAATTAGATGCTACGAGACAGAGGCGAAGGCTTTGGCATTCTTGTCTCAAAATATCCCAAGGATACGGATGCTTCGTATTCTTTGCAGGATCCGTCCGAGGCAAGTCCACACACACATATGTATATGTGTATCTATTTTCTATGTATATGTGCATCTATTGTCATTTGTAGTTGTATTCTTTACAGTACGATTCTCTACACGTAATAATATCACGTGCTAACTCTCTCTTAAATACGAATCAGCAGGTGATGGATTTCTTGCAACGATTGGTGGAATGGAAACAAATGCAGCCAAGAATGTGAATGGGGGGATATATAATAAATGAGTAACAATGTTCCAAGTAATTGATGCCAACTAACATTTGGCGGATATATATAATGAATATGTACATGCTTAACCTTTCTTGGAACGTTGTAAAGGATAGGGCAATGTCATAATCTGCCCCCTTAGGTTAATGTTCTTGTTCATCGTATTTTGTTTTTGTAAGAAAAGAAAAGATGAACAAGAAGAAAAAAAGGTGACAATTTGTTTTCGGAGAGTTCTACTAAGTTGTATTATATTTATAATGTAATATCAAGTCGTGTGTTAATTGAATATTTTAATATATTGTCTCCTAGTCCTAGTTATATTTCAATAATTTATTGGTATTTTTTTCATGGCAAATAAAAAATGGATTGAATGCGAGGAGTAAGAAAGAGTTTGGTGTATCTAGATTTGTCTCACTTTGCGTACTTGTATACTGACACACAGACACATAGCCTCATGGGGTCCGAGTGAAACTAAATGATCAATTCAAATATGTCTGGTACTATCCACACTAGTATAGACGTATATACCTAACCGAATTAATCCGGACCAAACCACGAATTAATACTTGTATTCTTGCTCGTAGTTGCAAAGACAAACTCTGGAAACTTGGAAGTCTTATTTTGTTTTATTGTTGTTTTGGGCGAAGTCGTGTTCCTCTTCGTGCATGTCCTTTGGCCCTGATTACGAACGCTCTATATATTTATTTGCTGGTACGAGACAAATTTATTATGTCGTACATATAGTAGCAGATTTTTTGTTTGTTTCAAATCATGGTGGATGAGATGAGATTTCATCTACAAACTTGAATATATGTTTTTGTATATTTATACTGTGTATCTTTAGGTCAGAGACGAAAAAACAAATTTAACTCTGGTCTGCCAAAATTTAGCTAGTCCTCTTCAAATAATGGAAGCAATTGCATAGGTTAATCTTATTAAATAACTCAAAAGCGTTTTTACTATATTATTTTGACAAATAAATCCCCGAAATTGTATAATTTATTTTGTAAGATTAACATATACAATTGCCTATACCAAATTAAACCACAAATAAATAGATTCATTACATTGTCCATGTCAAGCCCCAATCCATGACTTTCCTACGTTACTGTTTTCTATTTTTACTCGAATTAGTAGTTACGTCTTTCGGCATCTGACAGTGGAAATGGCATGTAGAAAGACATACTTGATAACATGTAAATATGTCGACATATATAGCTATATGAGTGGCTATAACAACACCAAGTGCATGCACGTAGTCTCTGTGAAAGCTGAGATATGTGTATGAGAGTCATGACTATACGTATATTGTCATAGCAAATCAATAATAGTGGATGGTCATTATGGTCAAAGCTTTTTGTCTATAGCTTTTGGGTGTATAATGCGACTATCGCAATAAGGCTGCAAGTGTTATCAATTCCTTCCGATGTAGACATTTCACCAATTCTCAATATTTATTTTCTATATATGTGTTCTCGCGTTTTCCATGACCTCGACAAAAGTATTAATAACGGAATTTTCATTTTTAACTTGAGAAACCCATATATTTCTGTACTGAATTTGAATGTGTAGTAAGTAACAATCATTTTGGATATCGTTTACATTTCATCTTAGACGGAATCTGAACAAAAAAATTCATAACTAATTTTCATATGTAGGATCAAATAGTTATATATCATTAAAGGAATACAATGGGTGGGAAAGACAAACAAGCGGTTTTCAAGTTGGAATCCACTTATAAGATTGTTTTGATGTGTTAAAAGTATATTATTAAAAACAAAAAGAAAATAACGACAAAACCTAAAAGGGATAAAAAAAACGAAAACCGAACACATGGGTGAGGCAGAAAACAGAGACAATAAGACAGTTCCAAAGAGTTACAAGTGTTGTCAAAGTAAACTCTTTCCTCACTTTATTTGAACGTGGAAAGATGGATTCCACTCTTTGCTTTCCCTTCAGTCCTTTTCATTGGCTGACTCTTAGCTCTCTAGGCTAACATTAGTTAATTAGTTGTTAGCTTGATAAAATCATTTGATTAAACCTTCAAATCTCAATTATTGGTGATCAAGGAGTCTCTTCACACCACAAGTATCATACTTTACGAATAATATACTGCTAACCACGTTAAAAGAGATACTTCTTCTAGAGTTAATTATCTACACAAAGGGATTTACTTAAAAGGGAATCAAATATAAGAAAGTATTGAATTGTTTAACTATATATGCATATGCTTAAATCAAATCCTAGAGCTTTAAATTCGTCCAAAATATTGGAAATTTGTATATGTATGGATCTTAGCGATATACTGAATCACGTGGAGTGGCTCAGATTCAATGTCGAATTATTTATACAAGGTTCATGTCGACTCTAGAAGTTATTATAAACTACTTTTTCCAAAAAAAAAAAAGTTATTATAAACTATTCGCTTATCCCATTTATAATTGGTTTGTCCATCTATTAAAGAGTTAACGGAGGTCGGTTTTTCTGTTTTTTTCTTGTTCTTCCCTATTTTCTTCAGACTCAAGACACTTTTAATAGTATATATTTGCATGTTGTCAGAATTTCGAGGGTGAAAGAAGGGGGAGGGATGGTCTTATTTTCTGGAGTTCCCGTAGTTTTGTTACACGTGTTCTCATTGGGGACCGGTCCCCCCTGCTTTGAGGGTCGAGCTTTCTATAACTCTGTCTGTCTATAGCATTTTATCATATTCACTCACATACATAAGTGTTATGTGTATGTCAAATTGCCAATACATATATCATATCTTAAGTTAAGACGTTTATGATCTGATTTATGCAATGTCCTTAATATTTTGCATACTTTTCTTTGGACGTCAATATTATACATGCGGAAATAATCATTATTTGTAAAATTTCACATATTATTTCATTCTATAGGTTCAATGGAATGTTTAAGAAAAAAAGGCATTTGATACCGTCTCCTTGCATCAAAAGAGATTTTAGATATGGGAATCGTGATTATTTGATTTATATAATGACTATATTGAATATATTCTGAGTTTCTAACCAATTGTTTAATTACGCATACTTTAAGAAAGATGGGATCTCTGCCTAACTCGTCTACCAGTGAATATATTATGAGTAAATAAATGTGTCACATGGGAACTATTGCAAAGGAGAATGCCATAACAATGGGGAGCCAAATTACTGTATACGTGTCTGTCGACAGTGTCTGAACGTGAACTGTACTAACAGTAAGAACCAAGCAACAATATTTATTTATCAAGCTGAAAAATATATTTCACAAAGAATACTATATTCAAAAATATTTTTATTTGATTTAAAAAAACACATTTGATCATATACACCCTACGGGTTTACGGAAATACTGATTTAAATCCTCAAGTTTGCCGTTGGAATGGAAATTGTTAAAATAATATATTTTGGGATTGCGAAACATATTTCCACATTATTAGGAAGCCCAGAAGTAATTGGGTTCATAACCAAATTAACTGGGTCCAGTTACTACATAGTAATTTCTAAAGGGCCCATAATTAAGATCAACTAGGTTTGAATTACGTATTCACAGTCACACATTGTAGCTCATACGTGGACATAACTTGCATGTGTGTGTGGTAAGTGCTAGTATTGAAGAACACAAAGAGTCTGAGACAAGAACTAACACCAACAGTAGTTTCACAGTAGTACGGAATCATTTACAATATTAAACATCTACACATTGCACTGATATATAGCATACAAAGTTTTCACAAGAGTTGCTGAAAACTTAAAGAGAAGTTTTTGAGTCCAAACAGTGGTTGTTCAGGTAGAGAAGAGTACTTACTAGGTGTTGGGTTGAGTTGTCTTCATCGCTCTCTCCAAATCAACCTTGCAATCTTCTCGCAATTCTTTCATTGTCAAAAAGCTACTTTGCTGCAGAATCGGAGTCACACACACAGAGATGAAACAGAGGTTTATGTGACACTTTGCATTATGCATTGAGAAGAAAGATAAGAAGCTTCTAAAGTCACTTACAAGGTGGTTACTTTCATGAGCGAGAATATCTCCCATGCTAAGAAAGAGTGACCTCCATTGGCCCATGAGACTGGATTGTAGCTTTGCAGAACTAACTGAGTCGTGAAAATCCGTAGGCCTTTCTTTAACATTCCTTTGAATCAAACTGCCAGCCATTTTCTGACTCTTCTTCAAGGCTGATTCAGAAAAGTGAAAAATCTTCAAGAGCGTGTGGCAAATCTTTGGTTCATAGTTATATAAATAAAGATTTCAGGGACTTACCGGATAATCGACCTTTGATATCCTGGTAATGAAGATCTGACCAAATATACGCAGCTGAAACAAATCCACAACAGCTAATAGCAAAGTTAGTGAAATCTCACTTAAATCAAGAGAAATAGAATACAATAAAAAGCTGAAGAATCAGAAACCTTTGAGGCAAAAAGAGCAAGAGCAAGATTTGAGCAAGTCATCTCCCACATCCTGATTCACATGCTCCTCCTCCTCCTTGTTGACATTAGAGCATCTACTCATTTCAAATGATCTCAAATTCTGGCCTTTACCAGTAGAAACATCACTCTGAATTGCATTAGGAGCCACTTTCAACTCCCGTGCACCGTCTTTGTCACCAGGCTCAAAATAGATCTCCTTCAACGGTTCGCCATCTCCACTGGAAACCTCCATTACAGCATCACGAGATTCCTCAGATTCTTTGTCGTCAGAATCGCCAGAGCTATGCTTAAATTCCGAAGAAGAACCTTCTTCGTTTTTCGTATCAATCGGTGTCGCATTTTCCTTTACCAAATCATCTACGACTAGACACAACCTCTTTGAAAACTTTTCCCTCGAACCTTCATGAGCAACGAATTTGCCAGATCCATCTTCGGATTTACGAAGCCAATCACCCAGAATCGACGAAATTCCCCTCTTTCGGGAGATATTGCTCACATCAGCCAGAGCGGGACGGGTTTCTCCGGAAACTAATTTGCCGCTACCTTCAGTCATCTTCAAAAATCACCCACAAGGAAATGCAATTCAAATTTCAAAAAAAAAAAAATGAAGTAGAACTGAAACTAAAGATGATTACGTTTCAAGCCCTAAAAATTTTAAATCCGGATTAAGAAATTCAACAGAAACCTCAACCCTCCATTTCGCAACGAGAAATTGACAGAGAGTGTATACAATTAAAAGGAATCGATTGGTACCTAGAAATGACGAGGACGATGAAATGGAATTCGCCTGGAGATATTGATGTTTCCTGATATCCGTCGGTGGTAATTGAGCAGGATCTGATGGATAAATTAGGGTTTTTGATTTAGTTGAGGCGGGAACCGTGCGGAATTTCCGATCCCGATTTCAACTTTTTTTTTTTTAACTCCGCTCGCGTTTCGAATCATAATTGGGAGAGTGAGACTGGAGTGATACGCGGTCCCACTGCTGTCCGAACTCGAAATATCAATGAAGCCCAAGATTAAGCCCAATATAAACTTATGGGCCTACTTTTTCCAAATTGAATCGCCAAGCAAATCCAAAATTAGTTTGAAGTTTTTCCCACAACTCAAAGTCCCTGAAACTTATTTTTTTTTGTTCTTCTCGTGAACAATTCTTGAAATTTTAATGTAAACATATATAAAAAATGTTCTCCAATTGTTAGAGTCTTAGGTAAGCTCATACGAAAGCGGCGAAATTAAAATTGTTGATAGGCTGATGCCAGTAATCCCTGAAATGCCTCGCTTACCATCACATCCACTGCTTTCATCTTCTGCCACGTCTATCGTAAAACGTCTCTAATCTCTAATCTACCTATACTATGCACACATGTGTCATTTTGACTTGGCCAATTTTAAAAATACTATGCAACCCATGGTTTTTAGATTCGCCAAACTATTTTTGCAATATATGATCGGGAGTGCTACAAAAACAATATCCTATGCACCTGTATTTTAAAATTAAGTCGGTGCAATCAGCTCCCGTTATCAAATATCGATTTTGATGCAACCGAAGAAAGGTTACTTACCAAGTACTAACTTCCGGCGTCGTTATCCCCGGAGATAACTCATGTCCACCTAATTAAAAACATAAATATCGTTCCCCACACAAAATTCCAAATTCTTTTACAACTTACGTTTAGCTCAGACCGAACCAGGATTTCTCGACACGTCACTCATCGCACATGCACACCTTCGGGACTCATATTCTGGTTATAATCTACACGTATAAATAGGGCACTCAATTTTACAAAGATGGCCGTGTTACATTACTATATCTTCTACGTACGGACAATAACCTCAATCACGTATAATATTTATACATTGACTACTATTGATTACAGTCCACGACTAGAAGAAACAAAAATGGTGGAAGTCGAAGAACTTGAACCACTTGAAGACGAAGAAGAAATAAGCTATGACGACCTCAAAAGGCGAATGTGGAAAGATCGAAACCTCATGGAAAAGCTGGAGCAACGGAAACGATGCCAGAACGACGTCGTTTCGTTGACAACGCACCGAGCGGAAGCCTCAAGGCGCAAGAAGATGGCTCGTTCGCAGGACTCGGTGTTGAAGTACATGATGAAGATCATGGAAGTGTGTCAAGCGAAAGGGTTTGTCTACGGGATCGTACCGGAAAAGGGTAAACCGATAACCGGTTCTTCCGACAGCTTAAGGCGTTGGTGGAAAGAAAACGTTCAATTCGACCAAACCGCTCCAAACGCTATTACCGATTACCTAACACTCGCGGCAGCTGCTGCAGCGGAGCTGATCGAGAAGAAACCATCAAGCTTGTTACACATGCTACAAGAGCTACAAGACACGACTCTAGGTTCGTTATTATCAGCGTTGATGCAACACTGCGTGCCGCCACAACGGCGGTTTCCGTTAGAGAAAGGAATCGCTCCGCCGTGGTGGCCGACGGGGACGGAGCTTTGGTGGGGAGAACAAGGAGTGGCTCACGAGCACGGTGCCCCACCGTATCGAAAGCCGCACGAGCTGAGAAAATCTTGGAAAGTCAGTGTTCTCGCGGCTGTGATCAAGCACATGTCGCCAAATTTGGGGAGAGTGAGACGTCTCGCTAGGCAATCGAAATGTTTGCAAGATAAGATGATGGCTAAAGAGACAGATACCTGGTCTCGTGTCTTAAACCAAGAAGAAGCTCTTCTCAGTATCAAAGATCTCAAGATCTTGAAAGATCAAGATCAAGAACCGTCGGGGTCAAAGAGAAAAGGTGGTTTCATGGAACCGTCTAAGAGTGTTTACACTTGCCAAAACTCAAGCTGTCCTAACAGTGAGGTGAGTTTTGGATTCGTGGACAAGAACTCGAGGACGGGTCACGAGATCCAGTGTCTATACGGGTCATCCACTCAAGAAGCGAGCCAGAGCACGGACAATATAATCTCCGTGCTTGAAACGGCTCCAAGTATTGTTACTAATTCGTCTAGTGAAGATGATTACAGTGTGAGCTCGAGTGCAATGGACGATCGAGATGTAAATCATCATCATAGCAACAATGGGAATTGGATGGATTGTTTATGGTTCGAGAGGATGCAGCACGAATTTAATTTCTCTAGGAGATTCGAAGATGATGATGATGATGATACTGGAATGGATCTGAACCAATTCCCGGAATCTGGTCAAGAGGACAACGTGAACCAGAGTAATTTTTCAGTTTGGGACATGGGTTGTGAAGACAAAGACATATATATGTTGGACTATTAATCAAGCTTGTTACTAGAGTTAAGTCTCTATGCAATAATATATGCTCTTGTATTCCCTAGTTACGTGAGTCACATGACTACATATCCATCATCTATACAATCGAATAATTTCCAGATCTATTGACCTAAATAATTTTAGGTTTTTATTGTGTTGTATCATGATCAATAGTTCAGCCATTTTCTTGATTTTTAAACGTCCATCGAAATATGCATGGGATCATTTGTTTAAACTTTTAAGGTTGCAAATACTTTATTTTATATGTTTCTTAGATATGTCTAAATAGCCTCACCAGCTTTAGAGACTCAACGACAACATTACGCAACATAAAATAATATAAACTCTAAAATCATTTTTTTCGCTTTTGTTTCATCAAGAAGTAAAACGATTCAAATAGCACGGTTATCGCCGTCGGAGAGATAGCGTTTGCGGAGAGCGGCGCAGCCACGGAGCGGTTGGTCACGGAAGAAACCCATGGCGTTGGCGAAGTGGCGAGTAGAGGCGGCACCGTTGGACCGCGTGAGGATCACGGTGGCTGTGCTTCGGCCAGGATCGGCAACGTTGCAGCCGGGAATGGGACTGTGAACAAGCTCCGCCAGACATTGCTGGTCCTGTCGGTCTCCTGTGACGGCGACTCTGTATCTTCCGTTGCGTCCCGTCACCGCCTCACCAACAACCTCCGATCTCAATGTCACTCTGTCTTTGCATACTATTCTTACTTTTGCCCCTGTTACTCAAATAATCCCAAACATTTTAATATTCAATCAGTGTTACGTTAATGTGTGTATATGCTTAACTTATCGAATTCCAAATCAAGTAGTAGGTGTTATAAATAATCCGCACACAAAAATTTCTATAAAGAATATCAGAATCGTAATTTTTTAAGATAAGAACACTTTTTGTAATTTACTATAAAACATTGATTTCATTTTTAATTTTTAAATTAACCGAGAATATATCACAACCTTTTGTTTTAGTTGATTTAGCTGAAAAGCTACGGGTAAACATAATTTGATTGATTATGCGAGGATAATGAGTATGTAAGCATAAATACGAACCGCTGATATATTTGGTGGCGATTGTCTCGAATCCAAAGCGGCAAGTGTCGCAGTAAACACAGCCTTCAATGTGGAATGGCGTTCCAACCGCCATGGCCGCAAGCGGGACTAGCAAAACGCATAACACAGCGATCAGAGGTACATACGAAGTAGCCATCTCCTAAAACAAATCAAGCGATACTATAAATTTTAGAGATCGATATGGTGAAGAGATTTTGTGTTTATGTGCAAACTATGTATTATATATATAAGAAAGGAAATTGAAGGGAACTTATCGTCAAGAAGGTTTAAGTGTATCGCATTTTGTGCTGATTAAAAAACTTCCTTAGTGTCGGCTGGATCCACTTGCGGCTGCTCCTCCGCCGTACACGGCGAGAGAGTTTGTGTTGCCTCTTCCACAAGTCAACTCGTATATACGGTTCTTGTTAATTATAGCCTACGTCTTATTTTCATTAGTTTATACTTCTACTCTTCTTTTTTCTTGTTCACTGGAGGAATTCCAAGCCAAAAATCCAAACAATTTTTAAACAAACCTTTTTAGTGTAGTAGAAGACCAACAAAACGATACGTCTTAATATATGCAAAAACTATATTAATAATTTTGAATATCGTAATTAGGGAATTTTGTGGACAACTTAATTTGTAGAGTAGAGCAATGAAATTGCTGGTTAGCTTCGGTCCGACCCACAACGTGCTTTTGTTTCCTCTATACGAAGAGTACATTTTATAACACCAACGATACTGTAACATGTATTTGTATGTCATATCATTATTGTAGGTTAGTTATATAGATTATTCTTTAATTTAACTAACACTAGTAAAAGTTCATTAATGTCCAATGTGGTGTCTGATACTCTTGATCTCTATTAAATACAGTTCCAAGTCTTCTAAATTAAATACAGTTCAAGAAAACCTTAGTACGTAAAAGTAGAAAGTGGCCGTAGATTAGTATGTGGGTATTTGATTATTTTCCAAATTTCGAAATTCGCTTGTACTTGATTTTGATCAAACCGGTGAAAATTCGCTAATTATAATCAGTTTCAGTGATTTGAAAGCGGATAAGATTGATAAATCAGTTTGGAGATCAGATATTAATGGAAGAGCTAGAAGAGGTCGGTCACAGGAAATCCAATGGGATATTTAAGAACGAGGCCTATTGGGCCAAATGTGACCGACGTCGGCCCAGGGAAACCCATGAAAACGCGTTTTAAATAAAAACAAATTAATAACGAAGAGACAAAAAGCAGAGTGCCCACGTCTCGTTGGCAAAAATAAGCCGTAGGAGGCTTCTTCACCGTGAAGCAAAGTTGGCAAACACAAGTCTTGACAGGACTCAAGAACACACAAAACAAGCTCGCTACGACTCTCTTTCGACACAGGTATACAAAAGATCCATAAATATATATTTTTTGTTACATAAGTCTAAAATAGTTTTACATCCAAGGTCTCTCGGCGAAAGAGAAAGAGAGAGAGAGAGAGAGAGAGAGAGAGAGAGAGAGAGAGAGAGTATTAAGATATACAAACGTGCACCCTTATCAGGGAGGGAATAATTACACATCTTATTTTTTTTTAATTATATGTTTTGGATTTCAATTTCAACCGCCGCCTAATTAAGCAGCGGGAGAGTTACCGGAAGATTGATGTCGGAGACTTGTCCAGGCGACATCTCCATATTATCAACTTCCCCTCCTCCCTCGAGATTCTTCTTCTCCATCTGTAAGATAAAATATAGGTCAAAAGTTCAAAACCAATATTCACTTCTCTCTTTTTGTCTTATATATATTTCAGAACAAGTTACCCCAAAGAATATTCTTATCCTACCACCAATTAACCCTAACAACTGTTAACATATACAGCAATCCTGCTTGGATAATTCGTCTTTTTTTTACTTTTGAGCTTTCAAGTTTGGAAACATGTATCTCTCTACAAAGCATGTAACTAGCCCTTCCCAGTTTATAATTAACACCAATCAAGTAAAAGTAGCACTACGAAACTTGAACTGATGAGCCAATCGAATCCAAAACCTAACCTAAACCATAATTACATAAAACAATCACAAACCGAACCAAGACCAAATTATGTCCAGCAACCGGAAAAGAGATTTTACTGCTAATGATCTGTTAATAATACAAATTTACATTATACAGAATTACTTATGCAGTCAGGACTCAGGAATTCAGACTTCTCACAAACTTCTGTTATTAATGATGTTCTAGTCAAAAACTTCAGTTATTCACTCCCCCCCCCTCCCTCTTCAAATACTGGCCTTCATTGGTTATATAATTTCCTCATTTCAAGCTAGGAAAATTAGTCAAAGATTCTAGAATCTTTTTCCCAAACCCAAACCAGACCAATCAGAATTTGATTTTAATTCACTATTATTCTCACCAAACAACATAAACGAAACCTAACCAAAAACAGCAGTGCCCTAATCTTGAAAATAAAATTCTAGCTAGAATACAAGACACGGAAGTAGTAACTAGCGAGGGCTTAAATTACAAAATCTAGATGTATATCTGCCAGTAAAACTGTGAGTATCTATGTACATGAATATGTGCAAGAAGTGCTTATTAGCTTATGCATATTTATAACAACAAAAATGTATTACCTGGCTAGCCAAAACCTCGTTCTCTTCTTTCAGCAGTTTCTCCTGTTTGGGAAGATCAACATGTTCATCAATAGACAATAACGAATCAAGTTTCTAAACCTAACTTCGGATTCTGGAATCCAAAAGATTTGCATCATCCCCAAAAAAGACTATTAGAAGTATTGTGAACAAGTTTAAAATAGAATTTCAAGCTCAAAAACCAAACTTAGAGAAACTAATACAACCCACTAGAGAAGATAGTGCTAGATATCTAACCTTTTCTTTGAGACTCTCAACAAGCTTCAGCATTAGTTGTGTCTGCAACAAAATAATATAAGCGTAGGGTTCTCTCGACAAACAAAAGTAAGAAAAGAGTTAGACATTATGGAATCACGTACCTTCCTAGCTCTAGTTACAGTGAGGGCTGTCTCAAGGTGTCCCTCCAGCTGAACGAGTGTATCGACACTTACATTACCCACATTTGATTCCACAAGCTTGCTGCATATATTCACAGATTGACATGAAACCCTAATTCCTTTGTGATCAAAGGAGGAGAGCAAAAATAGTCTTAACTAGTACTAACCTGTCCACAAGTTCTAGTAGCTCATGGTGTGAACCATAGTTCAGGGCTTTAGACTGAAGATCCTGCCCATGGAGAAGGATAAAAGAGGCAGTAAAAGAGAAAATATGTGAGAATTGGGTATTCATGTGGATCCACCACCTCATATATAGAAACCACTCGGTGAACAAATAACAGCTCATAGGTGGATCAATAACGCAATACATCTATCTAGATCCCCACAAGGTGCTAAACATACGTTTTTACTCATTTCTTAACCCAGACAATTAATTATCCCTAAAGGAGCATATATGTCTTCATACCCTATCTGATAAACTACAGCTCCAAAATAGCAATTGTATGTGCAAACATAAAATGCGTGTGAGCCTACGCCCACAAGAAGCAAGATGAAACTCGAGGCTTTAAGTTGGCTCTGCCAGTGGAACTCTCTAGGCCTTGTGTAAATTATGGCTTAAAAACTGCATCAGGGAAAAGCTTCAAAAAAAATTGTGTTACCAAGGCTTTAAGATCATCAGCATGTTGTTTTCCATATCGATCAAGGATCTTCACAAGGCTGGAGAGAAGACAGAAAAAAGCAAAATATGTTAGGATCAAAACTACCATTTCACCCTAGAAATTAAAGCACAACTGGAAAATACATGATATCACAAAAGTATTTCCACACCAATAGATCACCACTAGTTTTCATTAATATTTCAGAAAAACTATAGTCTTATTAGTATTTATGTTTAAGCAGCATGTTTTGATGACCATACGATAATTTCAACTCTCAAAAAAGAAAAGAAAAAACTAATTTTAAAAAAAAATTGCTCAAAGTTGGTTTATCCAATGAATTTTGAGGATTTACATGTAATTATTGTATACTTGGACATACTGAAAAGGACTTTCTTCCTCAGGAAAATTACTTATTAAACTAATGCTTGCACATGTTATCCTTTAACCTACTTATTCATTTCTATTGCAGGCTTTAAATTAAGGTACCTAAGAACCCTAACCTCAAGTCAAGACACTTTTTGTCTCTTATAATATAAGGCCCCGGTCGTTTCTTTGCAGCGCAACCGCAGAGTTAATGCAAACAAACAATTGTGGCTTAAGAGTATACATATATATTCCACAGAAAAAGATGTCGGTAGACAGGCAAAATTAAGGGAAGATAAAACAACATTTGTCTATTTATAACCTGATCAGAGAAGTCAAAGAAAATTCGAAAATAAAACAGTCACTTAGCATTTTGTGTTAACAGGATTTAATTCCATTGTGAAATTAAGCTCTCTGCACCAAAATCAAGGGTTTCCAAGTTCTAAAAGATTCTTTTTTTTATTGCTCTCACAGTTCTTGAGATTTTCATGTGTAATACCGGGAGTCTGGACTGTTAGAAGGCTGGACCTAGCATTCAGTATAAGAAGTGAACAAGTCCTAGCAAAGTACACATCAAGTGATGATCGACCAGTGATCTTGACCAACATGGCTAAACTACTACAACCACCTGGTTAACTAATGTTGGAGAGTTTTAGTGAGCACCACATCTAATTTAAAAATGTAGGATCATATTGATTCATTATATACCCTTAGTAAAGGGGTTGGTACTTATTCCATGAAGACGATAGTTTTTGTGAGGGATTGTCGATTTCCAAGAGGCAACAAAGAGACTAAAGTTTTGTTTCTGTCAATTTCCATGACAAAAGAAACAGGATGTATGTGATTGTGGATCTCAACAACCAAGGCTACAAGGTTAAATTAATACATTGCAAAAAGAATATGAGCAACATGTTATATATGCACACAAGTTTTATAAGATTAAGAGCAACAATGTGAAACTAGAAACCTTTGGATAATCTTCAAACAATAAATCCATCAAAAGGAGAAAAATTCCTGGAAAATCTTATATATCCACCTTAATCTTTAATTTAGTCGATAGTTGCACAATGGGGCATACATTTAAGCCAAAGTAATTGATCTGTTTTATCATTAACCCCATACTAATTTTATCAAAAAAAATCCCGGAAGTGCATAACCTTGTATACAGATCCAAGAGAACAATGAATTTTAGTTAGTCTAAAAATAGACCATTTCATATACATTATGTGCTGCACAAAGTGTTATATTACGCACACATCGATTGCGATTAAGAGAATCATAATAGAGACCGGATCATATAAGTAATATAGCATATGTGCTGTAGGAATTAATCGTGAGGCTGAGTTTTCTTGAAGATACATAATTTCCAAAGTACTATAGGTATGAAAGTTATCAATTAGAAACCGTAATTTGGATAATCTTCAAGAAATAAATCCGTGCTAATTGGATAAATTCCTAGACGATATACAGTAATCTTATTGTCAATTGCTGCCAATGTGGTATACATTCAGCACTAATTCTATAGCAATTATATAGATCTCCCCGAAGTGCATTGCATACAAATCTGGGAGATCCAAATCACTCTGAGAAGAGAAACATAAATCATTAATTATTCTGAGATAAACATCACTTCTGAAACATAAGGAACCCCTAAAGCTAAATAACAACTGATGAACTAACAATCAAAGATGGACAGAAACTTCACCAAGTAACATCAAGTATGCATCAGAACGTGTCAAAAAGATCTTGAAGGACATGCACATTTTTTACAAATAAAATAAAATCCATGCAGAAAAAAATTAAGAAAACAAAAATGAGAGAATAAAGAGAGAGAAACGAAGAAAGTAAGAAGCTTTAGCTCATCACGACATTGTTCTTGCTTAAATTTGGTTATCTCATGTATCTCTCATGGCCATAGAAAAAACAATAACAAACACAGAACCGAGAAAACCACCAGAGATTCGCCTGAAAGATCAAAGCTTTAAAAAAATGTTTTTTATTTATGTCATTTATTCGATTTTCTCGGAAAAGTAAAGGGAAGAAAACCGAAGCTTAAAGGGCAAATAAATGAAAACCCAGAAGGAGAAGTCGTACTTATCACCGGAGGAGAAGCTGTAGAGCTTTCCGGAGGCGGAGACAACGAGAAGAGCGACGGATGCATCGCAGAGAACAGAAAGCTGACGAGCTTTCTCGATGAGACCGTTGCGTCGTTTGGAGAAGGTCACTTGTCGGCTACTTTTGTTCTCAATTCGCTTGATTTCTAGTTTTTTCCTTCCCATGGCTATTGTCTCCGAGAGGCCTTTGTGCCCTAATTTGATCCTGAGGTTCGGTTCAAGTCGCCGGAGATACTGAGCGTTTTTTCTTCTTTCTATTTTTTTCGTTTTTAGCTTTTATTTCTTTCTTTTTTTGTATGCGTTTTTCTATTTTTTCCTTCCTCTGGCAAGTATTTTTTATTTTTTGGGAGGTAAACGAGAGCGATGAAAATAAAATATGTAAGTGAAAACGCTGCGTTTTAACGACATAGCAGCCACGTGTACCGCACGACGAATTCCTTGTGGGCGCGTTGCCTTGCTCTTGCCTCTTGCCTTTCTAAAATAAGTAAACAAAACAAGTTATTCCTTTCACTTGTTTTGTCAATAAATAATGTACATCTAAACAAATGCACAATTAGAATATGGCAAAATATATAAAAAAGACTGAGCCAACAAACTTAAACTTATGAATTATAGTCATTGGTTCTTGGATCTTTTGCCAAACTCAAACTCTTGAGTCTTGACTACCGCCGGATCTTAGACCATTACAACAAGTGTTTTGAATCAAAATTTGTGTACCTAACTCGCAAATTATAAAAAGTGACGCAAACTAAACCTACAAAACTTTCAATTGGCTATTGTTCAGCACAAAAGTACTAATATCAAATTGTCTATAGCTAGATTCTATAAAACATTAGTTTGTTCTCCTCAACATGTGAGCTTTTTTCTGTTATCATTAATACATTTGTTTATAGGGTTATAGCACATTTCCACACTGGTGATGTAAAATATTTAGATGATCTTTGTATTCTTTTATTCATTCACATATCACATTCAAAATTTGTTTTCCTACATTGTTATGAAAGGATCAAACGACATGGACCAAAATTCATACATATTCATTAGATAATAGTACCAGTAAAAACTTGAGTACTATACTACTATCCAAATTTTGTTTGTGTTGACATGGTTTAAGTCCAACAGGCAACAGCCAACGAAAACCGTCTCTTAGTGTTTTGGATAACAAGGAGTATATGTTTCTAGAGTTGTTTTGGTGAATATGATAATCTGGCATACCTAAAATAAAATAAAACAAATTAAGTTGGGAGTTTTGAACATAGAAATTTGAAAAATGTTAGATGATAATCATTTTATTTTACGATGGAAAAGTGTTGGTAAAAAAAAGGAAAATGTTTGGTAACCCTATGGAACGTTCGGGAGACTACGAAATTAACTTGTGGCAGAGAAAATACGAAATTATATATTTTCAAAAACTTAATGCGAAAAGTACAACTACGAATCGATGGGTGAATGTACGGCATGGTTTATATCCAATCATTCACCCGCTTTTCCTTTTCTGGATATGTCAATTATCCTTACTTCAGAGGCAATTTACATATTAATTGTTAAATTGATATAGTTTGAACTTTCAACTTTAGAACACGACAAGATATATCAATCTGGTAGATTCCTAAAAGAAAAAGAAAAAAATTACGATATTGCAACTCAATTATGCTTCTTTGCCATTTCCACTTACACTAGTGATAAAGTGGAAAAAATAGATTCGCGATAATAAAACAGCAACATCTAGTCATTACTCATTAGAATTCATTGCCATTTACTGCATCTACCACCTGTAGCCTTAAATACTAAAATACTCATAATCATAATCACTGGTCCACTTTATGTTAATTTTACTTTATTTCTTGATTTGCTTTGATGATGACATTAAACACGATGAGCTCTTCCTTCTCGGTATACATTTCACCTTCACGAACGATCTCTCTTCTTTTTCCTTGACCTCCTTAGCCATATTGACAGTCTTGGGTCTGTTCAAATATTTGAAATTAAGTCAAATTTGATTTTTTTCAATCACAAAAATTCTGTACCAATAATTGTGATTCGAGTTGGTTTACCGAGATGACTCGTTGAACGAGTTGGATCGCCTTAGCGCTGGCTCGGCCGTGACTCGTTCCTGACTCGCAGCTTCCACGATGCTCCCGCTGAAATACTCTTTCTCCTCCGCCTGTGGATTCCCGAACCTTGGATTCTCCGACATGAACCTTATCATCTCGCGTTCGTCTTCCACGACAGTCTTCTTCACAATGTTCTTGCACAAAACCCCTTTTCGAAGATTCTCTTCGTTTTGTCTCGAATTCGTCAGAGTCGGCGCGTAGTGCTTGGCGATGTGCCCGCACGAGATCATCTGGAGCCAGATCGACCCACGACCCGACCCGGGATCCACCGGGTCTCCGTCTTCCACCAGCTCCGGAACGACGAGTCGACGTGGCTTTACTGGGTAGGAACGAGTCAACTCGGACGAGTCAGAACGGACTTGCAAATCCTGTTCCGTCTTGATCAAGTTTGGTTTTTTCTCGGCGAATTCGATTGTCTCCGTCGAGACGCCTCGAGAACAGCGAGATTGCGGCGTCGTGGAAGATGTGTAACTCGTTTTCTCTTCGGAAAGTTCGTACTCTCCGTCTTCTTCTACTTCCTCGTCTCCTACGTAAAGCTCTGAGTCGTCAAACGACGCCGTTCCGTTGTGAAGTTTGGGTTTTGACCTGAGAAGTCGACCTTTTGGAGCTTCTTGAATAGAACCCGACAATGCTCTGTTGACATGTACCTCTTCAAATTTCTCTACTAAACAACAACAACAACAACAACAAAAAAACTCAATTTTGCAAAACCCAAATTTCAAGACTAGTAATGAATTTCGATTTTGAACTTACCGGCGATTTCAGATCCTTTCAACACATACTCAGCACAGTCCGATGGGTAAATCACATCGTTCTCGGCTAAGTCGTTCCACACGAATCCATTCCTGTAGCTCCTGATACCACATCGAAATATATTGCATAAATCTTCATGCTTTTGATTACAGAATTTGCTTCAGTTTAAAGCGTGTTACCGTACCTTTTACATGACCAAGCGTATTGTGATGGCATGCACTTCCCTCTCAAAACCGTGAGCCGGTTCGTCACATCTTCATTGAAACACACACAAACAGAAAATGTAAAAAACAGAGCCTTTAACAGAAATCTTCTAAAAACCCATGAGCCATAAACCGATTCATCACATAATCATTGATGTCTAGACAAACAAAATGAAGTTTTAGCATAAAATTGAGCATGAATATCTCTAAACCGGTTCATTACATCTCCATCGACAAAGTCACAAAACTAATGATGAGTACATAAACAAAAAAAATCGAAGCTTTGGCGTAAGATTGAAGTCAAAACCACAAAAGACCCATGATCTATAAACAAAGTATTGTGGTATCGTTATTGGTATGTACCTCTTAACCGGAGAGGTTGGTTAACCGGAGAAATGACTTCGATGAAGTGAGGGTGTTCAAGGTGACCATTTCTAGTGAGATAGTAAACAACTTGGAGTCTTCTGAAGATTGGTCTTTTTGTCTTGGCCTCTTCTTCTTCATCATCTTGCTGATGATGATTCAAAGACCTTATTAGCCTCTCTGGACTTTTGTTGTTCTCTCTGCCTCTTCTGCTTCTTACAGGTTCCATCTTTTGTGTCTATGTCCGGACAAGAGATGAGAATTATTAACACACAGTCTGTTCTTTATATATATGTAAAATAAAAATTATGTATATCTGTCTCCGTGTGTGAATTGGCATCTCTCCGAGACAACCGAATTGGCAATGGAGATGAGCCCAACCAGAACTGACAACGACTTGCCTTTTTACTTTCTATGGAACTTGGGTAACTTAATATCTACCTGATGTACAATGGGGTAACCCGGTCCAGTCCAAATTAAACCTAGCTCAGATTTTGATTTTTTTATTTTTCGGATTTAGATCCGGTTCAACCTGATTCTTAAGGTTGACATAGGCACCAAACCAAACCCAAACAGGATTCTTATTTCTTCAAATCTCTTTTACCAAAATCAAGAACCTAAACCGAAGAAAATGAATACAAATCCAACTGGGCAAAATCGTGCCTAGCTAGCGCTAACCGTTTTTTACTTCCAAATGTTAAACTAGTTCGGTTTTAACTTTTGACAGAATTAGACAAAGTTGGTCCCCATGCTTGAACTCACAACGGCAATAATACTAGAGAGCAATGTGTCATTAATAATATTCTCTTATATTGTCGAAGATTTAACCTCATTAAATTTGTTTCGTTGCCTAAATTTGGATAAAAGGATCCAAGCTTAAAGTTGTTTCAGAAATGACGATGAGTCAAGATCACCGTGCTTCAAATGGAAATTTGACTTTTAATACGGATTTTAAACTAAATGAAATTTTATACTCCGTATTCACTTTGTTTTTATTTAACCACAGCCAGAGTCTTTATGATAAAAGAGCTCCAGAATCTAGGTAACTCCAGACGACACGTGAGGGTTGTTTACTGCTTTTGTGAACTGTACTTCTCATTACATCCGTTAAAAACAGACCAATATGACGTATCAATACATCCGGTAAAACAAGCTATTGATGGGTCTGCATTTTTTGTTTCCAAATAATTCCGACTGTATAAAAGTTAGAATATTTGTTAACTGATCTAAAATAAATAAAAATCTGTTAGCTGAAGAATCAAATTACATAAGGTGAGTCACAGTAGCTTTTAAACTTTAAAATCTCATTGTTTTTTCACAAAAAAACTAGTAAAAGAAGGTTAATTTGGAGGGAGGATAAGTGCAACAGAGAATGTGGATGTGTTCTTTTAACCCATTTGCATGGACACAGCAGAGTTCTCTGGGCGTGGAGTGGCCCATCTACTTAACTTCCTCACCAGCCACCAAACAAACACAATGCCATTTTCTAAACAGTTGTGTCAGCTTTTTACTATCTGAATAATCTAATACTAATAAATTTTGAGTTCACAGAGGAAACAGTATAAAAACGGGGAAAAATAAAGATTCAATTGTGAAAAGCTATTGAATTGTTTTATAGGTTTTAAAATTATTCGAATATAATAAAGAGTGATCTATCAAAACGAAAAAAAAAGGAATTCAATATAATAAATGCCATTCCGTATAAAATACGAAAAGGTTGATATATTGAATTAATTATGATGTATCACAGGATTCACAGCCTTTTCTTGTCAACATAATAATAATTTGACATCATATATATCACAAACTTATAGATATGTCCAGCGTAACGATTTGGATGCATGATTGTAATATTATATTGAAGTTGTTGTTATGATATATTCAGATTTCATAGGTCTTTTTCTTTGTATATATATATATATTATTATTTTAGTTAAAGGGATCGTTACTGAACTTGTAATAACTAAAAAATTTTAGTTGAATAATAAAGTGCCTTTTATTTTAGCTGAATAGTAAATCCCTCTTTTGTCTACGGACGTAGTTGCAGCTACACAATGTAGGCGCGTGGTTGGTATAGCTGTTTTGTTTCAATTATCACCAGAGGTCACAAATACATTTTACCTTCTATTAATAGAAACAGTTGAGCCGTCTAACAAATGAAAGTATAAAAGAAGTATAAATACGTTGAAAAATACTAATCGAGTGGGCTTAATTATTTTACTCAAAGCTTAACATAGGCCCAAATGTAAAAAGGCCCATATAGTGATCTCATTTCAGCTCACCCACCATTGTTTCCGTTGGAAGCTCTTTCAAAACTCCCTTGGAAATCTCCGTCTCTTCATCTCTCTCTCTCTATATCGAGATCGATCGGCAATGGCTGCCTCCAACTCCATTTTCACCGCCGCTCCGTCGCGAAACCTTACATGCATCGCTCTTCAACAGTCTCCACTGCTAAGTCATCCACTCTCCAGATCGAGCTCCGTCGCGTTTCGTCCCAAACGCCGATCCAGCTCCCTCGTCTTGTGCTCCACCGATGAATCAAAGAGCACCGCAGGGAAAGAGATCCCAATAGAACTCAGTAATTTCCTCTCATAGCATTCTGATTTACAATTTGACTTTCAATTTTTCTTCTGTTAAAATGTCAATGCCGAATCTTCAGGGTACGAGGCTTTTCCAACGGTGATGGACATCAATAAGATTCAAGAGATTTTGCCTCACAGGTAGAAAATTTGTCACTGCCACTGTTTTTCTTCTAGCTGAAGTTGATTTGTTCTGATTCGATTTCGGAATTGCTGTGTAGATTCCCGTTTCTGTTAGTGGATAGAGTGATAGAGTACACAGCGGGTGTATCTGCGGTTGCTATTAAAAACGTAACCATTAATGACAATTTCTTTCCTGGGCATTTCCCTGAGAGGCCGATTATGCCTGGAGTCCTCATGGTTGAGGTAATCGCATCGCTCGCTTGTCTCCTCTAACTCCAGCTTCAGTGTTTTTTGTTGCATACATTGTGTAGTCCAAGAGAAGCTATTTGACCTTAGGCATTTAAGACAATCTTGTTTGCTGCATAGAATGCTTTTTTATTCATCATCAATCAAGTTAGTTGATTAGTTGAGTTTGAATGGTGATTCTGGGGAGTAGAATGAGAGAAGATTTGTTTTGAGGGAATAAAGGTGAAAGCTTTGCTTTTAAGTTCCAGTTTCAAGGGTGTGTTAATAGAGCCTCCCAAAGGTTAGAAATTTAAGAAAGGGACTGGATTTGAGATCAAGATAAGCTGTTCTAAAGGATATCCTGGATCAGACTAGTAGTTTCTATCCCAGATTAAGAGGCTCGTTAATAAGAACTGCATATGCTTTCTTCATAGAGCTTCGTCCATTAGTATGTCAACAAGACTTTAAAGGCGTAAAATTCTGTTATGTTTTGTTTCCACAGGCCATGGCTCAGGTAGGGGGTATAGTGATGCTGCAACCAGAAGTAGGCGGATCCAAAACCAACTTCTTCTTTGCGGGAATCGACAAAGTGAGATTCAGGAAGCCAGTGATTGCAGGTGATACTCTGGTGATGAGGATGACGCTTGTGAAGCTGCAGAAGCGGTTCGGGATAGCGAAAATGGAAGGGAAAGCATACGTAGGGAGCTCTGTGGTGTGCGAAGGAGAGTTCTTGATGGCTATGGGAAAAGAAGAGTGATCAATCATATTCATGCCCTTTGCTTTTGTTTTACCCTTGTGGCTACGAATTATCATCACACCCCAAAGTTACGTCTCATTTCTATCTCCAGTTTTTCTGCTGTTTGTTCTCAGTGGTGACCATTTAGAAGAAAAGAATAAAGTCGATACATTGTTGATCAAAGTTGTTCACGGTTCTGTGTTTTGGTGAATATATCACTCAAGTACATGGGAGCTACACGCATACGATTTCGATATGGGCTTTATTGTTACATACTTCAAGCCCATCTAACTTTGGGAAAATCTTCAGGATCTACCCGTGCACGTGTTTTTGTTTACGTTTGATAGTTAGGTGAGTTTGCTGACAACTACTCCTCGAATAAAATATTCACTTCACGTAGACTTTGATTTTTGAAAACAGTTTACCTCGTTTTTCTTCCTAAATTTTCCAATTAGCACTCTCGCAATTTCTTTTCAGTATATAATAATAATATTAATAGCTTAAAAATAAAAAGTTAACAACAATTGGAGAGGAACAAAGCCTAGACTTATCCAAATCGAAATATACAGTGGGCCAGGGCCCAATCATGAATATGTGTATACATATCTCGATTTGTATTTACAAAAGAGGGAAAAAAAACACTCAATTTTGGTTCTTTCTTATATGGACCCCCTATGAGCTTCTCATTCGTTCTTACTTCTCAAATTGAAAAGAAACATGTTATGAATTATTACTATGAATATTAGTTTTAGTATATAGTAGGAAAGCTTCGCATCCCCATGATTTTCTCCATATGCCAACATCATGCGGTTGTCTTCCATCTGATGTGTTTTTCATCACAAACCCTTTTCTAGTTCAAACTTTTTTTGTAACTAATAAAGTTAGAAAAAATAATCGGACACTATAAGAAACTATACGTTTAATACACTGATACACATGTATCTATACGTATACGATAGATATTTCAAATTACAAATTTATACATTCGCCACAAAAACATTATATACGTGAGGTCGTGAGCAATAAGGTTCTCGGAGGGATTTGACTTTGGAATTCGGACCCATGAAGTTCGAGGCACACATAGTGTCTTCTCCACTTGGTCCGACCAAGACAAAGACATCACTTCTAAAACCCATCACACGTGCCATCATTGGCCTATCCAAAAGTCCAACCAATGTCAATCTATTAAACATTTTGAGTATAACAATTCGTAACCTCACACGATTTGTACCCCCCTAACATCATACAGTATTTTTATTTTACAGAAAATAAATCACTTTTTTGTGCTTTTAGATTTAATTAACAAAAAATGGACACCGTGAGATTCCACTAACTCATGTGTATATAAACATTAGAGAAATCTGTCCATTCACTTCAGCATCAACACACTTTGAATGCTCAATCAAAGCTTCATAGTTAAAGTTCTCTCACAACGTCAGAAATCGAGAAGAGAATTAAGATGAGAGAGAGAGATCATTCAGAGTCTCTCTCTCAAGTTCTCCCAAACACTTCAAATCCGGCACACATGATCCAGATGGCCCTGGCCAACTCAGGTTCATCTGCAGCCGCACCTTCCGGTCAGGCCCAACTTGACCGGTCAAAATGGCTGCTTGACTGTCCTGAACCACCTAGCCCTTGGCAGGAGCTTAAGAGCCAAGTCAAAGAATCTTTCCTAACCAAAGCCAAAAGGTTCAAGTCACTGCGAAAACAGCCTCTCCCAAAACGAATCCTCTCAATCCTCCAAGCCGTTTTCCCAATCTTTGGTTGGTGCCGAAACTATAAACTCACCATGTTCAAGAACGATCTCATGGCTGGTTTAACCCTCGCTAGCCTTTGCATTCCTCAGGTATATATATAATATACGCACAAACTTAAGATAAATGTGTAGATTCGCTTAGAGATCTTAACTTCAACAAGAAAAACATGAGATTCATTTTTTTTGTGTGTGTGTGTGCAGAGCATTGGTTATGCAACTCTTGCAAAGCTTGATCCTCAATATGGCCTATGTAAGTTTATATTACATATAAGTTTTTTTTGTTTTTTTTTTTGTGTTTTGATAAATCGAAATTGAAGTACTAATCTCATGAATCATACTTACTTTTACAGATACGAGTGTGGTACCACCATTGATATACGCATTGATGGGGACATCAAGAGAGATAGCAATCGGACCAGTGGCTGTTGTATCTCTTCTTATATCCTCAATGTTGCAAAAACTGATCGATCCTGAAACAGATCCCTTGGGATACAAGAAACTCGTCCTAACCACAACCTTTTTCGCCGGGGTTTTCCAAGCTTCTTTCGGGTTATTCAGATTAGGGTTTCTGGTGGATTTTCTGTCGCACGCAGCCATAGTAGGGTTCATGGGTGGTGCAGCCATTGTAATTGGACTTCAGCAGCTTAAAGGTTTGCTTGGTATCACTAACTTCACCACCAACACTGACATTGTCTCTGTTCTTCGAGCTGTCTGGCGTTCTTGTCAGCAACAATGGAGTCCTCACACTTTCATCCTGGGATGTTCTTTCCTCAGTTTTATCCTTATCACTCGCTTCATCGTAAGTTATTTTAAAGTTGCTTTGGTTTATTTGTTTTAAAACCAGTTAGCAATGAGTATAACAATTTTGGGATATAAATATTACTTTTACATTCAAAAATTAAAAAAGTTCTGTATTTAACTATTTCTAATAGTGGGTTTAAATGAAAAAAATATCACACATGCATGTAAACAAACATAATTCATAACATCTTTTTAATGTGGGATTTTTTATTTTTTATTTTCGGAGATTTCTAGGAATAATTACAATTAAAATTGTTGGATAAAAAACTGAATTTAGCAATGACATTTAATCAGGGGAAGAAGAATAAGAAGTTATTTTGGCTACCAGCAATAGCTCCTTTGATCGCGGTGGTAGTGTCAACGTTAATGGTGTTTCTCACTAAAGCCGACGAGCATGGCGTGAAGACAGTGAGGCACATCAAAGGAGGTCTTAATCCAATCTCCATTCACGATCTCGACTTTAATACTCCTCATCTCGGACAAATCGTTAAAATCGGATTAATCATAGCCCTTGTTGCTTTAACCGTAAGTCATTAGCCTTTGGACTACTAATAGATATTTAATTTTCTATCTCAAAATTAACTAATTAATTATGTTTTTTTCTTCTTCTTCAGGAGGCGATTGCGGTTGGGCGATCGTTCGCTGGAATTAAAGGGTATAGACTCGATGGAAACAAAGAAATGGTGGCCATTGGATTTATGAATGTTCTTGGTTCCTTCACATCTTGTTATGCTGCTACTGGTAATTACTTATCTATTTTTTCTCTTAAATAATAGTGATATCACTATCCGACTATATACTATATATCGTCTATGGACATAACAAATGGACCACTTTTTGGGTGGAATGTGAAGTACTACTTATAAAAGTCGTGTTTGGTGGATGAATACAACTTGATTACTGTTTCTTTTGAAACTTCTTATCTTATTAATTAACAACAAGAAATCATTTCGAAAGGTAAATGATCATCATTTTCTTAGCAACTCAATGGCTATAAGATATTTTAAGATCATAAATAAAATAGACACATGTGAATTTATTTATTCATGTCATATGTTGTAAAGTGACAACATGCATGGTCAATTTAAATATGTTCTTATGATTATTATTAATTTTTTTTTTTTTTTTTTGCATTAAATAGGTTCTTTCTCTAGGACTGCGGTGAACTTCGCCGCCGGGTGTGAGACAGCGATGTCGAACATTGTAATGGCGGTTACAGTGTTTGTAGCACTCGAGTGCTTAACTAGGCTTCTCTACTATACTCCGATCGCCATCCTAGCCTCCATAATCCTTTCAGCACTTCCAGGACTAATCGACATTAATGAAGCTATCCGCATTTGGAAAATCGATAAATTCGACTTTCTTGCTCTCATTGGAGCTTTCTTTGGCGTTTTATTTGCTTCCGTTGAGATCGGGCTTCTCGTTGCGGTACGTCTAAACATTTGGCGTAAAGCAAACTAAATTATATACACATGTGAAGTTCATAAATAGTTTTGATAATATTATAATAATAAAGAGATTAACTGATTGTGTGTTTTGTAGGTGGCTATTTCGTTTGCCAAGATCATACTCATATCGATACGACCAGGGATTGAAACGCTCGGGAGAATGCCTGGGACCGACATTTTCGCAGATACCAATCAGTATCCTATGTCAGTGAAGACTCCCGGAGTGTTGATTTTTCGTGTCAGGTCTGCATTGTTGTGCTTTGCTAATGCCAGTTTCATCGAGGAACGGTATGCATTACGAACATTCATTGTATTTATGTCGATTAATTACAAAGTTGGAGATTTCGGATTACATATATCTAATCATGCATGGTTGCTTATAGGGTTATGAAATGGATCAATGAGGAAGAAGAAAATGATGAAAACACAAAGAGCAACGCTAAGAGAAAGACCCTCTTCGTAGTCCTTGATATGTCAAGTAAGTGGACTTACGTATAAAAATGCAAAACTATATACTCCAAAATATTGGAAAATGTCGAAAATATTGTACTAGTATATTTATTGTTTGATAATTTTCCGATTTTTTTATTGATAGATTTAATAAACGTCGATACATCTGGGATTACGGCCTTGGTAGAGCTCCATAACAATCTAATCCAAATTGGTGTTGAGGTAAGTTATATTCTTACAAGTTATAATCCCCCTTTACGTAAAAAAATAACGATAAAAGGGAGTATATAATTTTGAATACTTGTTTTGCAGCTAGTAATCGTTAACCCGAAATGGCAAGTGATCCACAAGCTGAATCAAGCAAAGTTCGTCAACAAAATCGGTGGCAAAGTCTATTTGACAATCGGAGAAGCTCTCGATGCTTGCTTTGGATTAAAAGTTTAAGAAAGACTAATATATAATCAACGTGCATGTGTGTTTTACGGGTTGTTGCATGTGAACTTTATGTGAGTTTCAGTGATCTACATGCGATGTATGCATGATGATGTATAATTATTAAGTAAGTATCTGTAATGTAGAGTGCTTTGGTACGTAAGCTCGGTCGTGGTTAAATAAGGTCATGCAGTCTGTTGTGTGACGACCGATGGGTGTGGTCGGTGGTGTAACTAGATTTGAAAATAATGTGTATCAGTATATTGTATGTAAGTTTGAGAAATATTGGTGTTCCATGTTTGTAATGTTATCGAGTAAATCCGTTACTATACTCCCGACGTAACTTCGTATCGTAAAACCGATTGGGAAACAAAAAACACATGTCTAAGTACAATGTATCTTAATTGTTGAGCAAAAGTATTTGCTTAGTGTATCCATTTAGTGGATGGACTTTAGAGAGTATAATAATGTGGTGAATCAATTTAGTCACTTGGAAAAGTCAAGAGAGAAGCTATATTGGGAGGGCTAATGATGTTTCCCAATTTAAATAGTTTAATCCACTTTTGAGTTTTAATTATTGAAGTTAATGGGAAATACTGCTTTATTCACGACCTTCTTCTGATTCCTCACGGCTTTAAATATATGCGTCTAGGTTCACTGAATCTGATTAAACTTTAAGATAAAGTTGATTTGCTAAGAGCATATGCATTGGTGAACTTCACAAGAGCTCTTTAAAAATAAAAAGAAAATAATTTTCAGAAAAGAAAAGCAATTTTCGGCAACAAAAAAAAGAAATAAAAGAAAAAGAAAAAGACTGACGAATCATGTCAGCACACGTGTAGAGTTCATCTCCAGAAGCGGTTCCAAAAGTGTCTCCGGGAGAAGCAATTCAGCAAAAGTTTCATGCCACCTCATTATTTTTTTTTTTTTTTTTTCTTATTTTCTATGAATCTGTACCCAGACTCTCTAATGCGGATGTTCTAAGGTCTCTGTTTACTCGAATCCCTGTCTATTTAAAACGAACAAAAAGTGTTAACAGTATATGATTTTGGTTCACTAATTAGCAACTCTCAAAAACACTAATTAACACTTTCAAGTTGCGTTTGTGGTCCTATACATATTTCCTTTTTCTGGTCAATATGAGTGTGTAATTTATTTATATCAACATCGACGTCATGGATGCAAGATACAATTATAGTGATAAATTTATGATATTACTTACAATTAGTTAGGATTTTATCTTTTTGACTAGTCTACCTCCTTCTTCAATTAGCAGTAAGAAATTGCTAATATTTTGATATTAAAATGAACAATATATAGGAGCCTAATAAATAACAGTTGCAATAGAGGTTATACGAATCTTATCTACTCTGGAGATGACACTTTTGGCATCATATGTTGAATTGACAAGGAAATAGGCTTTGAATTTTGGAATCGAATACTATAGGTGACATAATGACATCGTTGGTTGTGTGTGTTTGTGTCTTCTTTTTTTCATTGAGTGGTGATCAACATCAATCTCCACAGAGAGAAAGCATTGGACGATGTTTGTCAACATCAATCTTCACTGAGAGAAAGCATTGGACGATGTTGGTCAACATCAATCTTCACAGATTTCGCCAACCATTTGAAATGTCTACTTTTTTTTTTCTGTGACCCACATTTTGCAGAGTGATTAAGATAATAATGGCTATTGGAATTGAATTACCTTTATACAATGGGCTATGACAATGGTTGAAAGCTTATAGTTTTAGTAGTCCAATTAATGTAGAGAGTTGGTTCAGAGTGTTATGGACTCTTATTAAGCCCCATACATATTATGGCGTTTGACCAGTTTGCTGGACTAAACCGGTTCAAATAAATGGGCATCTACTCTTAAAGCTATTTTTAAAGTTCAAAACTTCAAATGATTAAAATTGTAATATAAAATCTATGAAAATTTGTTAATATTTAAAGTAAAATATGAATACAATATCCAGCTATAGTTTAAATTCAGATTTTATTTTAAATGTAGAAAATTTAATTAATCATTTGAATTGAAAAATCTTTTAATTAAGTAATCACATTTTAAATCAAGCATTATTAATTCTCATAAAATATTATCCATCTATCCACATATTGATGAATAACACGTGGCAGCTAGAGTAAACAAACTAGCAGAACAACAGAAGTACATAAATTGAAAAAGACAAGCAACATAAGAAAAGGAAAACATATATTCTAACAATAATTCAATTTAAAGGCAAAATTAAGTTAGATCTCTAATAATAATGACAAAAAATCACTAACATTAGCCAAAAATGCAAATTAGGAATCAAACCAGATTCCCCTAAATTCTTGTAAGACTTGTGATTCGGACAAAATCAATTACATCCGATCAAATTTACACAGGCCCCACGTTTTCTGCTTTAATGCAATCACAAACCTCCACGTGTCACAATGGCCATCTGGTCCGTACCCTGTTTCCTGTAACATCACACGAAGACTCGCAGAGCATAAAAATATCTCCTTCGTCAACCTTTCAGACTTTCCTTCTCTTCCAGTTGAAGCAAAGTGAGAACCAAAAATCCTGTTTTCCGATCAGACGCAGCAGAGACTCAGAGTATCGATCTCAATCCGGTGAAGATCCAGAAAGCAATGAAGGCGGAGAGTCTAACATTAGTTCTGGTGTATCTCGCCGGAATCATGGAGCGAGCCGACGAGTCTCTGCTTCCAGGAGTTTACAAAGAAGTAGGAGAGGCTCTCCACGTGGATCCCACAGCTCTTGGAACTCTGACTCTGTTTCGCTCTATTGTCCAGTCTTCTTGTTACCCTTTAGCCGCTTACTTATCTTCCCGGCATAACCGTGCACACGTCATCGCTCTCGGTGCTTTCCTCTGGGCCACCGCCACTTTCCTCGTCGCCATCTCCACCACTTTCTTCCAGGTTTCACTTCATAACCAATCCTCTGTTTCAAGTCAACTGAAAAATCAGATCTGTTCACTTTTTAGAGTTTCCTGATCTGGATGGAACAAAGTCTCGAGCTTTTATAACAATCTCTGTTTGGGTTATGACTGAAATGTTGAGACAATCAAAGATCATTGCTTTTTGCTTTGTGATTTTGAGATTTTACATTGTTGGTGGTTGAAACCAGGTGGCAGTATCAAGAGGCTTGAACGGGATTGGACTCGCAATTGTGACACCAGCGATTCAGTCACTAGTCGCTGACTCAACGGAAGACAGTAACCGTGGAATGGCATTTGGATGGTTAGGATTCCTTTCAAACATTGGTTCCATACTTGGCTATCTTTTGTCTATCCTCTTCGCCTCCAAGTCATTCAACGGCATCGCTGGCTGGAGAATCGCTTTCCTCTTGGTAGCATTCATTAGCGTCATAGTCGGTGTCTTGGTCCGACTCTTCGCTAGCGACCCTCATTACAGTGACAAGAAGAAACCCACAAAACTCGACAAAACCAAACCTTTTTGGACCGACATAAGAGATCTGTTGAGAGAAGCCAAGATGGTTATAAAGATCCCGTCTTTCCAAATCTTTGTCGCTCAGGGAGTCTCTGGCTCTTTCCCATGGTCAGCTTTGGCATTTGCACCGTTGTGGTTAGAGCTCATCGGTTTCTCCCACAAGAAAACAGCGGTTCTTGTAACTCTCTTCACTATATCTTGCTCTCTTGGAGGTTTGTTCGGAGGTTACATGGGAGATAAACTTGCCAAGAAGTTCCCAAACGCCGGTAGGATACTTCTCTCTCAGATAAGCTCAGGCTCTGCCATTCCTCTAGCTGCGATTCTGCTTCTCGGATTACCTTATGATCCCTCCACTGCCTTTAGCCACGGTCTGGTTTTCGTCATCATGGGTTTATGCATCTCTTGGAACGGTGCAGCTACAAACGGGTAAGTTTTAATACACAAATCTTGTTGAGACATTTGGTTGTTGTGTTCTGACTTGAGATTGGTTTTTATACAGTCCGATATTTGCAGAGATTGTTCCGGAGAGAGCGAGGACGAGCATCTACGCCTTGGACAGATCATTCGAGTCGATATTAGCTTCGTTTGCTCCTCCTATAGTAGGGTTGCTTGCTCAGAACGTGTATGGATATAAACCGGTCCCTGAAGGATCCTCAAGCTTGTTCAAGATTGAAACTGACAGAGAGAACGCAGCGTCGCTAGCTAAAGCACTCTACACGGCGATCGGGATCCCGATGTTGATCTGTTGCACGATCTACTCGTTCCTGTATTGCACGTACCCGAGGGACCGAGACAGAGCGAAAATGCAGGCTTTGATTGAGTCAGAGATGCAGCAACTCAAAGAAGAAGATGAAGAAGAAGAAGAAGACAAGAAGTTTGGGATTGAGGTGAAGTTTTCTGGAGCTGAGGAACAAGACGAGACTTATCTGCTGAAGCAACATCAGAGTGACAGTGTCAGATGATGGTTTGGGTTAATGGACGTTTTACATTTTTTTGTTATGGCTCCGCTTGATAATTATAGGAAGATTGAGGCATAATTGTAATTTTTGTAAAAGAAAAGTACTCAAGTGAAATATACCGGTAGATAACATTATTTACAAATTACACCACGGAATTTATTGCAAGGATCTCTATATTAATGAGTGTTGATCCGAAATTCAGAAATGATGTCTTAATTTAAAAATCCAGAATATACCGTGTATTAAATTTGGTTAGAAAACATTAGAATAGTCATACCGAACCGGAATTAAACCGGATCCGACAGAACAAGAGGCTGCCGCAGGCGCGTCAGTAAAATTGGAGTTATTTCGATTATTGGGTTCCGATAAATCACTTTACTCTCTTTTCTGTCCCAAACTTTTATACACGAGAGAAGAAGATCCATCTCTCTCTCTCTCTTATTGTTTTCTTCACTTCCAATAATGTCCGAATGAAGAAGACAAACCAGAATCGCCACCTAAATGCCGCTGTATTATTCTTCAGTTGATCGCCAGAATCGTAGAAGCAGCAGTGAACTGCTGTTTTGTACGGTGACTTTGTCAATTTCCTAAATCTAGGTATCTTCTTTCTCTCTTAGCCTTTTCTTTCTCTTTTTCTCAGTCAAAATCAACAACAAGAAAAAAAGGAGAAAACTTTTTCTCTCTTGTTCTTGTTCGTAACGTAGCATACGAGACTAGATTTTTCTATGGGTATCTCAAAGACTCGTGCTTTCCTTGTGAATCTTTAAGAATCCTCCCTACTGGGTTTAGGTTCTTAGACCCAAATTAGCTGATTTTTAAGTGTTTTAGAACTTTAGATCTTACTGTTAGACACACCAATAATCTCCAGTGTTTTAATATATACTCTCCTCTTCTCCCAGAGATCTAGTTGATTCGAACAATGTTGTCTTTTAGTTACGAATTCAAATTGGTTTCAAGTCGTGATTTTGAAAATTTACCAGGATCTTTTTTTGTCGATTTCAGCTGTCTCTATTAGGACCACTCTGAATTCTCGTGTAAGATCCAATATGGCCTTTCGTTTTCAGGATTTGGACTTTGGCAAACATAATGTAAATTATTTCGTTACTCCAAGACTTTCTTTTTATACTAATGATATGTTTTTGGTCATGTAGATTAATCGATAGCAACATCAAAGCAGAAACAAGTTTTTGTTTTTTACTCTCCTCTCAAATGGACAAAGCATCATCACAAGAGTGTCCATACCCAGGATGTTTCTTCTGCGTAATGAAAGAAGGAAACCCAAGCAAACGAAGATCCTGCATCCTCAAATTCTTCAGAGACCTCCCTTCTCAAGAAGACGACGGCCAAGTCCTCCCCATAAGCGGCCTCTGGAACACAGCGATGGCACACCCGAACGACCCCGAGTTCATCGAGCTCGGGATCTTCGAGTGCATGTCCGCTCTCATCTGGAAAGGACTCAAAACCCGTCGCTGGCTCTCCCACGACCAGAACATCTACATCCCTTACTACGCAGCGCACATCATCGGCTCCTACACGATGAACATGGAAGAGTTCGCCGAGAGATCCGTGGAAGCCGGAGTGATCCCTCCTCTCGTCGAGCTTTTAAGAGGAAGACTCACTTGGGTCGAACAGAGAGTCGCAGTTCGCGCTTTAGGTCACTTAGCTACTTACCCTAGCACATTCCCCGCGGTTGCAAACCACGGGGAGATCCTCGAGCTCGCTATACAGCTGGCGATGAGCTCGTTAGAGATCGTTTACTCTCATTTCTACCAGTATCCGGACCGGAGGTTGAGCTACCACTGCGATCTGCTGACACGTGGCATGGGAGGCGTTGAGATGGAGTCAAGAAAAGCAGAGGAGTGGGCGAGTCAGTTACAATGCTGGTCGCTTCAGCTTATAAACTGTTTCGCGTTTAAGCCTGAGTTTCTTCCGACTCTGTGCAAGCCTGAGTTTCTTGTGAACCTTCCGGTGATGTGGGGAGGGCTTGTGAACGAGAACTCCCCAGCTGGGATCGGTTTGCTTAGAACGATATGTCAGCATAAGCTCGGGCGTGGACCTGTCTCCGCTTGCTCCGGGATGGTCGAGGCCTTGTGTAACATCGCTCGGTCTTCCGATGATTGGCAGTACATGGCGATTGAGTGTCTTCTCTGGCTGCTTCAAGATCCTAATACCTCTCACAAGGTGGTTGATAAAGCCGTGCCAACGCTTGTGGATCTTGCTGAGATCACGAACTTGGGAGATCACAAGAAGCTTGGAGATTCGATTGTGAGTGTTCTTCAAGAGTGTGGCTCGATGGGAAACCGTTCGAGGGAGTTGGTGGAAGAGACGGTGAGTTCTCGGCAGAGGATGAAATGGGAGAAGAGTATGCCTAAAGAGGATCTTCATATTAAGCAAGCAGCGGCGTTGGTTGTGAAGCTCGAAGGGAACTCTCTGTTTTCTTCAGGGGATATTGCTGGTGCGGCGGAGAAGTACTCGGAGGCGTTGTCTTTGTGTCCGATGAGGTCGAAGAAGGAGAGAGTTGTGTTGTATAGCAACAGAGCTCAGTGTCATCTGTTGCTGCAACAGCCTTTAGTTGCGATAAGCGACGCGACGAGAGCGTTGTGTTTGCATAATCCTGTGAACAGGCATGCGAAGAGTCTTTGGAGGAGAGCTCAGGCTTATGATATGTTGGGGTTAGCGAAAGAGAGTTTGTTGGATGCGATTCTGTTTATTAACGAGTGTTCGCAGTCGAACGATCCTGATCTGTCTATGAGGCAGAATAAGGTTCCTGATTACGCGGAGAGGCTGGTGAAGAAGCAGATGAGAGCGGCGTGGCTGTTTAGAGAAGCGGCGTTGAAGCATGGAGGTGTGGTTAGGAAAGGGGAAGAGAGGGAAGTTTATGGGAATGAGAGCGATGATTCCGAGTGGGAGACTGCGAGTGAGAGCGATATTGGAGATGATGGGAGAGATCATCATTTGGGACTTGATGATGATGATGATGAGGAGGAGGTGGTGGAGGAAGGTCATGGAGACAAGTGGAAGAATAGAGATAAGTCGAGTGAGAAGAATGAGAAAACTTCTGCTAAAGGTGAGATTTTTTTGGAGGTTTTGGTTGCATGATCATTGTTTGATTACAGTTTAGTTAATAGTGCGAAGTTGTATGGATTTGTTCAGGTATGAGGCATGGATACAGCATAAAGCTAGCAGAAGATGAAAACTGAAACCCTGAATCAACGGATCAAGAAGTTTTTTTGTTCCCTTTTTAGTTTTGAGTATTTGCATGTGGTAAATTTTATCCATTTGAAGGAGTAAAAAAAGAAAGCAACAATTGTTTTGGTTTTTGTCCGTGATTTTAATTACTTTTATTTTGGTGTGTATGTAACTAAGAATTGTTCAAGAGAATATGAGTTTCAATTTGTATAAAATCCATTCTCTCTTGTATTAAGAAATGGTTGGTGAGTTTTTTTCTTGTCTGGTATTTAAGTACAAAAAGAAGTTGGAAATGGAAGATCTAGCTTTCAATCAACCAACCGTGGAATATATCATAGTAGTAGAAAGATGACACGAGAGTGAAATTTGATTGGAGGAAAGAGGATATGCACCAAGACACTATACACCTTTTACGTCGGGTTTGAGATAATCTTGCTGATGTCTTTTTGCAAATTTGCAGTGTGATATATATGTAATATTTCTGATGTCAAATGGCACACAAAGTTTAAAATTGCTGTCCTTTGGATATCTCCAACGGATATTAATTAAAAGAACAATGTCCTTTCACAACATGAAAACAATGAAAAATAATGAGAAACCCACTTCAAAATAAAGTAAGGTTGAAACTTGAAACACGTTTTTTTGGTTTTACGTTACTATTCAAAATAAAATAAAAATCTTAACAAATATGTGAAACTAACAGATCGAATATATATTTATAAAATTGATGGATGACATTAATAATTCACATGACTACAATTATATGACTACAATGGTGATAAGTTTTGCACATTTGCTTATGTGGTGAAGTCTATCTTGTATGACTACAAGTCTACAATTGTCATCATGGGTTTCTTTTTTTTTTTTTTTTTTTTTTTTAAAGGGCCTAAAATAGTGTTTCGTGACTCTCTAAGTTTATCGTTGGAGTCAAATTCCAAACTCATTTCTATACATGCACTCGAATGTATTAGTGTAAAGTTATTTTTATTTAAGTTGATTTGGTTGACTCTGTTAGTCTATTTCAAAACAACTTTCGGCTATTGGATGGTGTCCACGCGAATGTCATATAATAATGACCAAGTCTACAAAATGGCATATTTGCACTATAACCATTTTTTTTGCTTTTAAAAAATCTCTATATGGTGATCTCCTACACATCTAATTATCTCCCAAAACTATGGGCAAGAGTCATTATTAAAATCGACCCTTTGGTCCCTTGAGATACTCAAAGAGTTTAACTTATAAAATAAAACCTTCACTAACGTGAATATTTAATCTATCACAATGTGGAAATCTTCCTCGAACGTTCCCCACACATGTATAAATAGTAAGAATTTGTTCATGCACATATTCATCACACTAGCCTTTATTTCTCTAAAATTCGCTCTAAATTATTCCTTCGGGGGAAATATTTTTTTGATTCGATTCGGAACTTTTAAGCAAATGGGTATAGCTGAAAACATTCGTACTCCTAAATTTCAAGTGAAAATCGTGGAAGCGAGAAACGTAAAGCACAAGTCATCACCGACCGCCCTCTTCGTTAGATTTTATCTTTATGCAGGGAACAACAGTAAGATCGAACTAAACACTGCAGATCTCTGTTCGAGATCAAACAACGAGGTCATGAGCTGGAATCAATCATTTGATCTGGAGTGCCAAGGGAACGAAACCGCCGTCGAGGAACTGAAGCAACAAAGGGTCGTTTTCGAGTTGAGAAGAAGGAAAACGGCGTCGTTGTTTAGAAAGCTGTCAAGATCGGAGTTGGTGGGCAGAGGAGAGGTTTCTTGGAAATCGGTTATTGAGTCGGATGGGATGAAAATAGAAAGATTTGTTGTCATGGGTGAGACGAAAGATCGGATCTTGGAAGATTGTAATAAGCCACTATTACTGAAGATCGCTTTAAAAGTCCAAGAGTCAAAATTAGTGTTCACTACTAAGAGAGTGGAAGATCTTTGTGGGTGTAGAAATTGCAGGAGATCTAACTGCTTAGATTATGAAGCTTTTGTTGTGGCTTGTGCGTTAGATGAATTGTAAGAGTAAATATAAAACAAGATCAATGAGTTGTTGCAATAATATGAGAAAAACTATAAATAAATAACCAAAGACAATGGAGAAGACTCATAATTAAATCAGAGAAGTTGTGCATGACCAAATCACAACTATTTTTTATTGAAGACAATGAAACGATGATGGTAGTTTCAACTTTCAAGCATGGCCATGTCCGAGAAGGGCGAGAAGCATATCCTGATAGTCACCAGAAGTGTCTTTAGCAATGGCTCGATCAAGAGGAACGTTGTTCCTGCGTAAGTATTCTTCTTTGATCCTCTCCATGTCGACTTCTGCTCTTGTAGTGACAACTCTAGTCAGTGCCCACTCGTCTGTTCCCAGCTTGTTGATGGCTTGACGTAGAACTTTCTCAAAGTACTTCTCTGGAAAGGCCAAGCATTTGATCACGGTTTTGAGTAGTTGAAGATATTCATCTTCTGAACCGTCTTCCTTCAAGAACTTGTTAATGGAACTTCCAAAATAGTCCTTGAAGTGATTGAGCGTTACCACGATCTGAGCTCTGCTCCTTGTTGTCAAGATTCTGATGAGATCTTCATCAGTGTAAGCCTTGTCAGTGATCTTCTTGTGAAGTGTCTTAGCTTCAGATCTAGCCAGCTTCACGTTGACCTCACCAGCATTTCCATCGTACCTGAAGGTGCTCACAAGAGGAACCAATAGCTGCAATTTTCACACAAGTGGTCAAGTTAAAACCAATAAAAATATGAATTAGAAAGATTCTTTGCTAATTGGTTTAGAGATGGAGTTAAGCTCAAGGAAACTACCTTTCGGATATTTCCAGATGTGTGGTAAGCGACATCCTCCTCGAGAGAGGTCTTGTAGCGAGCTTGATAAGCTTGCTTGGCCTTGAAAAACTCAAGTGGAGGTCTAGTACAAGCGATTTCAACAAGAACACAGTTGTTTTTGGTGAACATTTTGGTAGATTCCTTGGCCAAATAAGCATCTCTATCCGCTGGCTCAAGAGTCCACAACATGACAGCTCTCTGTTTTTCAAAACAAACCATAGTATACAAATCAAGTCAAAGATATCAAGATATTTCCTTTGAAAAACCTCAAAGTCAGACCAAAAGAAGACAAAGACATTAAGATTTTAGTTTCCTTTGGCAAACCTCAAAGTCACCGGAGAGCTCATTGTCTAGTTCCTTGAGAAGATCCTTATTGTAGTTAGCAGCATAAACGGCACGGATGAAGCTGCGCTGCGTTGCGTTTCTGTGAGCCAAGATTGAGATGATCATCCCTTCGTTGGTTCCCCATCCTGCACCACACAATAACAAGTTGAAATAAATCTCAAAGATCTCCAATGATATTAAACAAGTCTTTTGGTACAAGTCTGATCATTAAGCTAAGTTGTAACCAGTCCTTTAATTTGATTAACTTAATTTCGAAAGTTAATATCTTTAACAAAATTATATCATCGTCCGTTACAAACTGGACGTGTACAAAAAAATTTTAGTTTCTCATGCATTTCAGATTTCACTAACGCCTTTAATCAATCGTATAAACATGTTTCATTATATTTCAATGGTTTGAAAAATAAAAGAATACATGCATAAGCATATCATCAACCAGACTAGTTAGATCTGTAGATCAGCCGATGTATAACAAAAGTAAACGATCAAACCCGTCATATATTATAGGATGATGATTTGATTTCGGAATAGATTGAGGTATTCAGTCAAACCATGAAGGTGAAGTCTAGTTTAAACATTGTATAGATAAGAGATGAGAGAAAGACCTATAAAGGCCTTGTGAAGCTGCTCGGAGTCTACTTCGGGAAGAGGAACATTTGCAGGAATTTTGAGAGATGCCATTCTCCGACCACCGAACTCTGCTCTCTAGTTTTTTTCTTCTTTCACTGTTTAATTAAGGCTTGAGACGGAGATACTGTGGGACGAGGAAACTACACATATCGTCTTAAATAATGAAATGAAACCCCTTTTTAGAAAGAATACAAATCATCTAATTAATAAATAAATTGAATTATAATCTAATAATATTCAATTAAGATTTCAAATCCAATTAATATGTAATATGTCATTAATAGATTTTGAAATCCAGTGTTATTCAATCAAGATTTCAAATCTAACTGTAAAATAGCAAATCAGTAAAAAGAGAGTTTTAAAAAAATATACATGCTGTTAATAATTTGGGAAAAAAATTAAAAAAAGTATCCTATATTCCTATATCACCTTGGTTAATCTTAAACCCAACCCATTGTGTTATGTGTAAATCAATTGTGTTATCTAGCAAATCAGTAAAAAGAGAGTTTAAAAAAAATAAAAATACAGGCTGTATAATAAATTGGGAAAAACTAAAAAAAGTATCATATCTTTGTAACGTTTTTTTCCATACGGATTCAAAGTATTACAAAACAAGATTTGCATGGATTATGTCATTAGTTTCTTCTTAAACTCCACAGGGGTCGTCACATGATTGGTCTAAGCTAAACGTGAAAGGAGCAGTTTTTTTGTTGCTGTTGTTTGGTGACCAAATCCTGAAATTCTAGATAAATTACCATAACATATTCGTAACGTCCTCATATCACTCATAAATCTCATTTCATGAATGTACTATGAGATATTAAAGCTTTTACGGATAAGAAAATGTCTTGGGACAAAAGGTTTAGATATAAATGTATAAAGCTAAAATAAAAATTACGACTCTGCTGGGGATCGAACCCAGAATCTCTGGTTTCGTAGACCAGCGCCTTATCCATTGGGCCACAGAGTCTTGTTGATTGTATAACATTTGTTATACATATAAAGCAAATTAGGACTTACGGTGCTACGAAGTCTAATTGTCTTCCTCACCTTCTTGAAATTTCAATTTGGTATGTTTCACTGTTTCAGGACCAAATTTGGATTTTTTATAACAGTTCAACATATTTCTAGTTAAGATACTTTGTAAAACGGATAAAACCAAAACTGAAATGAAACCAAATCTAGATTGAACAAACTCGAGCGTTACATCATCAAACAGAAAAGAAAAGCTAAAACTTTGTGATAAAAAGAAAGAATCGGATTCATAACTCAGAAGTATCAAAGCTTTCATGGATTGTCAATAACACTAAACACAGAAAATCACCAGCAGCTTAGTTACATCCGAAGAAACTCGCGCTCCGTGGCTTAACTCAACTCGTCTGCAAAAACACAAAAATAAGCCAAAAGAACCTTTTTAGTCATTGATTCTACGGAAGATGATAAGTACTCTATTTCCAGACATTAGCTTAAACCTTGTTTATCTTCAAACAGTAGCTTCGGTGTTCTCTGCTAGTTTCTGTAGCTTCTCAGGACGAGGATCTTCGGTTTTATCTTCCTCATAAGCTGCCACATGAACTCCAAGAGCCGCACGACCTGACGGATCAAGATTCTGTGACCAAGCTGCGTCCCATTCTACAGCTTTTGCTGTACTACACGCCACACTTGGACCTCCTGGTACAGTGTCTCTAGCAGCGCTCTGCTCATAACACAATCCCAAAAAAAAAAACAAATCAGAGCAAATAAATAAGAAGTAATCATGCGAATGAAAATGATAATAACCTTAGGGAAGTGCTTCTCAAAGATTGTTCTGTAGTAGTAAGCTTCCTTTGTCACAGGTGTGTTCACGGGGAAGACAAAGCTTGCGTTCACCAGCATTGTGTCAGAGACCTAAACCAAGAGGGAACACAAAAGCACCTTATTAAGCAGACTGTGACTTGAAATGAGAGAATCTTTCTATGAATTAATGAAGAGACATCTTATTACATGTTTGTTTGCATGATCTTTCAGACCATCAATCCAGCTGTATCCTACTCCATCACTGAACTGTTCTTTCTGCCTGTATAGAATGTGCTACAATTACCAAAAAGATGAAGAACTTGTTAGCAAAAGCTGGAAAGTTTCGTCATATTGCAGAGGAAAGGTACAGTTTTTGTTAAAAACCTTTGGTAGATAAGGATTCTTCTCATCATCAAAGGCATTGCGCAACACCCATTTCTCGATCCTTCCGAGATCAGGCCTGATCTGCATTGTATGTTTAAACCACAATTTTATCAAATTTGTAACTTGGTATCAGATGAAAAAGGAAACGATGAGAAAGATGGGACCTACCATCTTCCACTCTGGATCAATGCTCATGGCAACATCGATAAACTCTTTATCGAGGAACGGTACACGAGCCTCAACACCCCATGCAGATGTTGATTTGTTAGCCCTCAAGCAATCGTATTGATGAAGAGCTTTGATCTGTAAAACAAATCAGCACACAAACAAGATTCTCAGAAGTTACTAAAAGCAAAGTAGAACAAAAATTTATGGTTTAAAGGATTTACCTTTCGGCATGTTTCCTCGTGAAACTCCTTCTTGTTTGGTGCTTTATGGAAGTACAAGTACCCTCCAAAAATTTCATCAGATCCTTCCCCAGAGAGAACCATCTTCACACCAAGCGATTTTATCTTTCTCGACATGAGAAACATCGGAGTGCTGGCTCTTATGGTTGTCACGTCATAGGTCTCTACATGATATATAACTTCTTCTATTGCATCAATCCCTTCCTGATATCATCATTAGAAGAAGAGATAACCAATCAACCGATGAAACAAAGTTTAAGGACTCAACATTCATGTAGATGCACAAAAAGAGAAAATTTACTTGAACTGTAAAGTGTAACTCGTGGTGGCGAGTTCCTAGATAGTCAGCGACTTCTTTACCAGCTTTAAGATCCGGTGATCCCTGAAATGAAAACACAGAGGTATATAAATAACAAATTTTGATGATCATGGAAACATTTTTGAGTAATCGGGTAAGCCTTTAAGACCTTCAAACCAATACAGAAAGTGTGCAACTTTGAGCCCCACTGACGAGCAGCTTCTGATTTGTCCAAATGGCGTAAAGTCACTGCAGCAACAAGGGATGAGTCTAATCCTCCAGAGAGAAGGACACCAAAAGGCACATCGGTCATTAGTCTCTTTATCACAGCCTGCAAAAGTCAATGATACCATCACAATTCATACTTTGAAAACCTCATCAGCAATTATCAAAGACTGTATCCACGTTGAGAAACTATACAAACTATATAAATGGGACCTTGAGGAGGATAAAGCTCAAGAATTTACCTTCTCGAAACTATGGCGTATTGCTAAGGGATCATATGGGGTTGAAGGAACCAGCTCAGAGAACCACGTGGGGTTGTACCACCTCCTAAGCCCACCTGCAAGACAATGTTTGTTCCATGAAGCCACACAGCACAACTGTCACAGAAAATTCATTAAAAGATGTGAGTTTGATATGAGATGCAAACCTTGTTTACTCGAGTAGATGTGGCCTGGAGGGAAAGCCATAAACTGTTCACAGTCATCACTAAGTGCTTTCATCTCAGAAGCAAACCAGACAGAACCTGTAGAAGAATATTTAACAAAGAGAGTAAACAAGTAAGCAATGAAAAGGGTTGCAGACACAATAATCAATTGAGATGAATTTCTTAAGAGAAGAAATGTGAACACACCATCGAGACCCCACCCGATGTAGAGTGGAACGATGCCAATGGCATCCCTAGCAGCAATGAAACTTTTGTCCCGAGTGTCAAGAAGGACAAATGCGAACATGCCATCCAACATGTTGACGAATTCCTCTCCATGTTCTTCGTACTGAAGTCAATATAATCAGAAATACTAATAATCAGAAGGTGAACAGTGATGGAACAGAGTGTAAACACAAGAACTATTCAGCAATTCATTTAGGTAACACAAATCAATATGACCTCCTTGCACTTGCGTTTACATTAAAATGCAGAAACAACACACAACATCTATCTATGGAAGGTCATGAAGTCAATAAACACCTCACAATTAATGGATACTTACAAGATGAGCAATCACTTCACAATCACTCCCTGTACGGAATTTGTGAGACTTGAGGTTTTCACGCAAATCCTTGTGGTTGTATATCTCTCCATTAACCTGAAAGTAAGTTTGAGTTTTTGACTTATGTGATCATTTGAAAACGAAATGGCATTAACTTTTCCCCAATCCCACCAAGAGACTGAGATTAGGACACAAGTCAGTAACGTACCGTGACAACGATGGTCTTGTCTTCGTTGTAGAGGGGTTGGTCTCCAGAAGTGGGGTCAACGATGGCTAAACGCTCATGAGCCAAATAACAGTTCTCGTAACAATGGAGCCCGCTCCAGTCAGGACCTCTATGCCTCAATCTACGTTAAACATTTTCAACAGATTTTAAACCATTTAATCAATTTTGACAGAAATTTGACATAAAACTCTTCAATTTTAACAAAACCCAGCTCATCAAACCATGAAAGTTCTAAATTTTTCCCCATTTTTAAACAAATACCCAATAACTCTTACAACATTGCGCAGTCACATTAGAACGATCGAAAATTAAAAGAATAATTGAGAGAGAGAGAGAGACAACAATAAAGGGGAATAGATTTGATTGAGCATACCTGCGAGAGAGTTCGATGATACGGGAACGTTTTGCTTGGGAGTTATCGACGCAGCCTAGAACAGCAAGAATCCCACACATGGTGGCGGCAATTGGAGAACACAACGGCTTCTGAGAGATGGATGCTGGAAAACCGAAACAGAAGATGATTTTAGTTATATGAAGAGTGGGTTTTTCAATTCAATCACAGCCGTTGATTCTAATTTTCAAAGAGAAAAGATTCGGATTGTACTTTACCCTAATTTTCCTTTGACTCGCCGATATCGGTAAAAGATTCTATCACGAGATTCACCGGATTCTCAAGAAATTTGTTGAGTATTAAATTAATATAATTTAGTGTTGCTTTAAACGACGTCGTAAATATTCTGTAGTCCTCATGAAACGGAGTCGTTCTAAACAAGTAAATGACGCCGTTTTAATTTCACTAAACCACAAGGTAGGGCTTATGACGTCGACATTCTTCGCCTGAAGCTGGTTCTTGGTCCCGTAGAACTTCTTCGTGACCTGTCTCTTGTCTCATCGTCTTCGTGTTTTGTCTGGAACGATTTCTTCATCTTCTGCCAGCGCATTCCCCAGTTCTGTGAGCTCTTCTGTTTGCTACTTAGCGCTTCGTACTCTTGTTGAAGCTCACTGTAATCATTCTGAAGCTCTGCCATCTTCTTCTTCACATTATCCAGATCTTCCTTTAGTGTCTTGATCTCATCATCTCTAGATACTCTTTCATCCTCACGACCTCCAGAATTTTCTTCCTTGGTCGTCTCTGGTTTCTTGTCTTGCATCATCATCCTCATCTTCACTTGTTCCGAGAAAAGCACCTGAGTATTGATCTTGTTTATGATATGGAATTAGTCGCTTATTATTACTCCTTCACTTCAAGAAAGGCTTAATTATGGTACAAGAAGTTGTTCTAATATCGCATTACCTGGACTATAGTTCTCAGAGGCAAGCGATCATTTTGTGCAGCGTGTAGGCACGCATCAAGTGATAGTTTCTCACAGTTCATTGTTTTGCACAATCGTCTTATTTCATGCTCTGATAGTAAAGGATGAGTCTGAAACAAGAATGAAACAATTACTTTTTTGAAATATAACTCTTTCTTGGTTTGGAGATGAATAACAAGAAGAAAGCTTAGTATACCTTGAAGAACATATCAATTGCTCTATAGAGGCCGTCATGGCATTTCCAAGCATTTTCAGGCAACGCTTCTGCTAGAACCTGAAACTTGGTGATAGGCAGACATGGATCTTTAGCAATCTCGGCTAAGTAACTGTCCAAGAGCTTTGTTATGCTTGGCTTTCCTGGTAACTCTTGCTGTTGTTGCTGCTGCTCATGCATAAAGAAATACTCAAGAATCCTGTAAACCACATCCACATTGTACATTGCGTATACCTCAAGTGAGCTGCACAAAAAAATCAATCTCAACAAAAGTTTCTTTAGTTCTTAAATGAACAAGAGAGTTAAGATTTTTTTTCTCACCTGGCTCCTTTCTGTTGATCTTGCTTCTTGAAGTTAGGAATCAGGAGGTCACATACATCAGCATCTTCCAACGCCATGCCTACTCGCTTCTCAAGATCAGATATCAAAGCTGGTGATGCAGAGTAAACCATCGCAGTTTTCAGCAACCTTAGCAGAAACTTGCAAGACACTGCTCCTGATTGTGTAGGAAGCACGCTTACTATGCTTTCGATAATCCCCTTTTGTTCTTGATGCTCTGTTTTGACTCTGTTCACACTAAACTGCAACTCATTTTTTCCTAAACCGTAAACTCTTACTCCTTCCAAATCCTCATCGATTAGCGGCAACCATTTCTCTGCGTACTTCACGATGATTCTACCTATAATCTCTGGTTTGGCTCGTCTTGCTTTCACACTGGTTACAACCCTCATGAAGTGATCAATTTGAAGTGTGGCTAAATCATTGAACAAACATCTTTCGTTGTTGCTATCTACTACATCATCTTCTGGTATGTTGTTGTTGTCCTTGCATGCTTTCCAAGCAAGCAAGTCACAGCATCTTCTTACAATTTGGAGGTTTTCAGACCATGGAGATAAGCTTGCACATGATTTGAGAACAGTGAGTGTGTCTCTCCATGAGGAAAGTACTACAAAAGTAATGAAAGCCTCTGTCTTTGAGATTAGGTTTCCGTCTTCAAATTCTTCAGTCATGTACAAGTATTCAGATGCGCATCTAAGTGGTGCTACGTTGAGAGGAGTCAAGTCCAAAGGAAGACCGTAGCAGAATTTGAGAATGGTCTCAAACGTTTCTGCTCCACCTGGGAAGTTTTCAAGCTTGAGATGATATATGTCTTCAGAAGGTGAAGCTTGTAGCTCAATGTTATTGCTTATGTAACCACATTTGGAGATCAAAGGAAACTGTTACAACACAAAGAAATTAGGTAAAACGACATGCACAAAAATCCAAACTCTGCTTTGTCCATCAAGCTAACACATTTTTGTTTACTACCTTGTGTGCGTGGAAGGTAATGTCATCTACTTGAATTGACAGATCATTAGGGATTTTAGACTTGACATACCTGCAGAGATACATTACATTTTAGCCACCATGATTCTTGATTACGCACTATGTTTATGCATAATCAAAACATCGCATACCAGGAACGGTCTTTCTTCTCGAAATTGTTGGCTAATGTGACTACTTTATGTGGAACTACAATCCTTTTGTTACAGATTTTATCAGCATCAGTAGATTCAGTACCAACTCCAGAGCTCTTCAGGTCTGCAGATTCTGAATTCATTCCCCTTTGATCTTCTGCTAAACAAATAAAAACGGATAATGAGAAACTACAAGTGATTACGGATAGAGATGAAATATAACTTTATGTATCAAGAGAGTGGGGACATATATGAGAGTAAATGTGAGAAGATAGTGTGTGGCTCTTAAATGGTTTATATTGAGAGAAGCAGTTGTGTTGTACCTTTCGATCTTGTAATATTTGGATTGCTTAATGCTTTTCAGGACAGAATGTCTGACATTAAAGACGATCTGTCTATGTCATTACCAGATACACACTGGTATGCTAAATCTCGATCATATATGTGATGACAGATGACTGATGATAGTATTAGTGTGGATCTTTGCAATTTTAGTTGGTTTAGTTACAATCACTACACGACGTCGTTTGGAGATATCACCATCGTGCTTGAAAAGAAAAACAGAGCAATGTAACCCCAAACAAATTCAGTGAAGAACATTAAGAGTACACAAGGATTCACAAGTCTGTAATTTTTCAGCGAGTAAACAACAATAAAAGTTAGCAGTCCTAAGTTATATTCAAAGAGCTTTGAAGTCGGATTTCAACACCTTACTCTCTGTCTCAGAAACAATAATAGTAGCAACTATCCTGACTCTGCATCTCAATTCTCAAAAAGCATGTTTTTGTTACACCAAAATTGCAAGGACGAGTTTTTGTAAAATTAAAAAGTAAGAACCTTTACAGTTAATGTTCCGACCAAAAAAAAGGAAACGTCTTGTATCGTTTTCCTTTTCTGTTTTTGATTACTATCCCCTCTTTATATCTAAGAAAACTGGAAAAAGGGTAAAGAGAAATTTATAAATCAGCAATTTCTCGAGACACCAAAGCAGAGTCGGGCATGGTGGAGAAGAAGAATCTGGAATTTCGGGACCATATTCCGGAGGACATATTGTTACAGATCCTCTTGAGGTTACCAGCTAAATCTCTAGGCAGGTTCGTTAGCGTATCCAAGTCATGGGAAACAATCATCCGCGGTCGGGATTTCATCAGATTGTTCTCGTCGCCGTCTCGCTTCCTCTTGGCTTTCAACAGCGAATTAAAGGGCTATCAAGAAAACTGGTCTTTCTTCTCCAGATCAACTCTGGTGTCCCCGTGTGAGGACCCGCCGTGTCCTCCGGGTTTTGTCGCCGCGTCACGGAAGGTCCCTATTGAGGAGGAGGAAGCACCTGAGTTTCTAACAACCACGGAGTGTCAGTTTAAGAAACTGCGTTACACGAAGCCCAGTTACGTCCACGGGCTAATCGGTTTCTTATACGGTGATGAACAAGTCGTTTGTAATCCCACCACAGGCAAGTCCGTAACCTTACCCACTGTCACTGTCAAACCCAATGAAATGATCGTGAGGTCCTTTTTAGGATATGATCCAGTCGATGCCCGGTACAAAGTTTTGTGCTTGACCAATGTTAACCGGTTTTGTGAACATCAAGTGTTCACACTTGGATCTGCTCAGACTCAAACTGGTTCATGGAGAATGATCCAATGCTCCACTCCTCACTCTGCTTTAGGGAATAACTCTGTGTGCATAGGTGGCGTTTTGTATTACACTGCTTCCACCTCTTTTAACATGAAGGAACCATTATTGGTCGGATTTGATTTGAGGTCTGAAACTTTGGAAATTGCTTCCACGTTTCCCGAGGGGATTGGTTCTCACAAGTTCCATGAAGCGATTTTGATAAACCACCATGGGAAAGTGGCTCTTGTCACTCGAGGTCATGTATGTAAAGGCTACACTTTCACTCTGTGGGTTTTAGAGGATGCCAAGAAACGAGAGTGGTCGAAACAAGTCCTGTGTTTTCCAACACATTGGACTAGTAGATTCCATGGCGATTTGGAAATGGTGGGGGCTTCTGGTTTGGGAGAGTTTGAGTTTTTATATGCACCCATCAAATTTGAAGAGCTGTGTGTTTACTTTGTGGATCACAAAAGCAACCGGATGAGAAGGGTTCAGCTGCAAGGAAACACCAAGCACAAGTTTAGAGATTTTCGTCAAGTTTTTACTTTCTTACATCACGTAGATAGTCTTATGTTTACGTAAAAAGAGAGGGGGAGAGAGTTTCATCTAGGTTTTTTTTTTTTTTTTTTTCCCTCCTTTACAATGTTTTTGCTTCACTTGCACTTACTTTGTTGTTGGGGAATACCACAAAGAGAAAGTGTTTGACCAAGCTTGTAAGATTTCACCATTTGATGATATCAGAATCCGCAAGAGCGATAAGATTACATTATAGTGTATGATCCCATATAGTTTATTGCACGCAAAAAAGAGAGAAAAATTAGTAAAGAAAAGCTTTAACAATGACCAAAAATAACTTATATAAAATTAATTAATTTTCTTGTAATATAAATTTAGGCAAACATAAATTTAGTTGACTAGGCAAAATTAATCAATGTAAAGAGATATGGTATTATTTTAACTTTCTTTATCAGTTTTGTCTTTTTGTTTCTTTCTTAAAAGTTTTTTAATCTTCGTGGTTCGCGGTTACTTTTGGCCATAGCCATATAAACGCGTCAAACTCAAACCTCTCGCCTTCGCTTTTCTCAAATCTGTACCTGAAAAATCGCAAACTCAGATCTATACCTCAATTTTGCTCGTCGAAGAGATCGGAAAATGGCGTCTGTGTCACCTTTAGCCAAGTTCAAGCTCGTTTTCCTCGGAGATCAATCCGTCGGCAAGACCAGCATCATCACTCGTTTCATGTACGACAAATTCGACACCACTTACCAGGTTTGAAAAAAATCCATCCGATCCGATCCGTTTCTGTCAAATTAATCGCGATCAATTTGTCTGTTCAATAGGAATACTAATCTGTGTGATCCCTTACCATTTTGCTGTATTTTGTTGTGTGGAAAAGGTTAGATCAGATTCACAATTTTGCAAAAAAACTAATGTGGATTTGATTTGGTTATATTCCGTTGAAAATTTGTTGATTGTTCTTTAAATTTTGTGTTGCTGCTGAGTGTAATTCTTCGTTTATGTTAATTTGTTGTGGGGAAAAATTGCAGGCTACAATTGGGATTGATTTTTTGTCAAAAACAATGTACCTTGAGGACAGGACTCTTCGTCTGCAACTATGGTAAATCATCAATCATCTTATTTTCGACTATGGAATTTTCATTCTTTCAGGAATATAGTTAGGCTTTATGCAATATAGTTTCTGGTGTTTGGTATTGTGAATTTCAGTAATTGTCAACTTGATAATGCAGGGATACTGCTGGGCAGGAGAGATTTAGAAGTCTGATACCAAGTTACATCAGAGATTCTTCTGTTGCTGTCATTGTCTATGATGTTGCAAGTAAGTCTTCGTGTGACAACTTTTCAGCTTTTATCATCATAGTTTCTTCTCTGTAGAATCAACAGTACCTGTCGTCTTTATATATGGACAAAATGGTTTTCCTTCAGTTCTCAGAGATTTTGCAAGAATGCTATGTTAAGTCTCGTGTTTGTTTTCCCGGTTTTTGCAATGTACAGATAGGCAGTCATTCTTGAACACCTCCAAGTGGGTTGATGATGTTCGTACAGAGAGAGGCAGCGATGTCATCATTGTTCTTGTTGGTAACAAAACTGACCTCGTTGACAAGAGGTACGAAAACACTTGACTTGATAATCTCAAATTACATGACGATACAGACTGCAAGACATTCAAACACTTTGCCTTTTAGCTATCAACTTGACATTTTCCATTTGACAGGCAAGTGTCGATAGAGGAAGGGGAAAACAAATCTCGTGATTTTGGAGTAATATTCATGGAGACGAGTGCCAAAGCAGGATTTAACATCAAGGTGAGAAGCAACTATATATCCTCATGACTCGTTTTCAGATCTTGATATTTCTCTTGGAATAACATTGTGTTTTGTTTTTGTATGGTGCTTGTGGAAACTTTCAGCCACTATTCCGCAAGATTGCAGCAGAATTACCAGGAATGGAGGCATTTTCTTCAAAGCAGGATATGGTTGATGTGAACCTCAAGCCATCAACCAATTCGTCTCAAGGGGTGCAACAACAAGGTGGCTGTTCGTGTTAATTCAGTTCAAATATACTTTAACAGCAACAGAGTAGGAAGATTTTCAAAAGAAAAGATTCATAACTTGATGAAATAAACAAATTCTGGTACAAGACAAGCGATTTTTTACTTGGAAACTCTAGTATTCTTTTGGGATGTTTTTGAGTTTCATACAGAGTTATGTTTTTGAGTTCAATATAGAATTATGTAATAATGAGTTAATGACGCATGAAAGCTTAAGAAGAAGAATGGCAATGTTTTGCTCTGTTCTGAATTCTGATTGCTCAGTTTAAAAAAAAAAAAAGATTCAATATCTCATATTTATCTTTTATTACTAGACTCACATTGGCCTTCCCCAAGTTTAAGATATTAGACAATAGTCAGAAGCAACAAATCTTTACAGCGCTTTACGGTTGCCATCCGTATTGCTGGTTTCTACTACCACCACCCATTGGGTTCTGACCTCTTCCAGATCCACCAGAGCCACCATACTGACCACCTTGTGTGTAGTTAGGTGGTCCAACCCCGTATGCACCACCGCTATGCCCTCTAGGACCGGCTGCATAAGGAGCTCCCCGCCCTTGTGGAGGATATGGTCCGCTACTGTAACCACCTCGGCTCTGATTATAACTCCCGCCCTGGTTTCCGCTGGGAGGGTGCCGGTTTGGACCAGGTGGACCACGTGGCTTCCCATAGAAGTGGTGGCTCGGTCCAGCAGGTACTTGTGGCGGTGCGTTGTTTGCGGGATGGTTAGAACCGCTAGGCCAATGCGGAGCAGCGTGAGATTGCCCACCGTGTTGTAACGGAGGCAAGCGAGAGTGCTGCTGCGGTGGATGCTGCACTTTCTGTCTTTTTGCTGCTTCCTCGTTCTGACGCTGCTGTTGCCGCTTCTTCTTTGTCTGGAACTCATGCGATGATTCATACGTTGGTAGACTGTAAATATGAAACAATGTCTTGGTCAGAAGAATGTAATGGATTCATCAACAGTTGCGAGAAATCAGAAAATGTTAATACCTCTTTGGGTCACATGGCAGCGGATCAGTCCAAAAGTACTCAGCATCAAGAGCATCCTTTGCATTTATTCTCTACACCGAGACAGCACGAAAATATTAAAATGGCAAGACATCATATACTTTCAGAAAAAGTTAGCTGCCAATAAGGATAAAGATCTCTAATACCTGTGATGGGTCAAGCACCAACATTTTCTCCAGTAGTTCAAGAGCATGGCGATCAAAGCTGTGGCAGAAGAGAACCAAAAGCTAAATGAAATCTTCTGATTAAAGTACTTGCGTTAAAGTGAAGATCTATATATTGGTTTAGTTTACATACTGTCTGAAGAACTCTCTCACGCGTCTCTTCAAAGGCCTTGCAGGCTTGAAATTGTTATACCAAGGCATCTTGGAAACACCAGGCCAAATGTTTTCATCAGGTGATCCACAAAGCTCAAAAATCTTGTTCAGTTGTTCATGCTGAAACAATGTAGGATACAGAGCAAAGGAGCTATAAGCAAAAATGAAATGTTCAAGAGAATTGAGCTATCAGCAAAGATGAAAGACTGACCTCATTTTTCCCAGGCAAGATTGGTTTTGCATGCAAAAGTTCAGCAAATATGCAACCAACGGACCACATGTCAATCGCTGGGCCATATTTTGTTGCCCCTAGTAGTAATTCAGGGGGCCTGCCGCGATACGTGTAAGTTAGCAAGGTAACAATACACAGATTTTAAGACTATCTCTGTATCTATCATGTAAACTTAAAATGACAATTTGTAGGCATACCTATACCACAATGTAATGACACGATTTGTAAGATTTCCAGTATGATCATGAGAATACGATCTCGCAAGACCAAAATCTGCCAGCTTTAAATTACCCTCATTGTCAATAAGGAGATTTGAGCCTGCACCAAGATGATCTAGGTTAACGAGCAAGTAAAAGCTATAACTTAACATCAACAATGTATTTGAGATACTCACCTTTAATATCACGGTGAAGAACTTGATTCACATGACAGTAGTGAAGCCCCGTGAGCAATTGCTTCATGTAACACTTTCACATGGATTGAGTGTTAGAATAAAGTTGAACAATAAGTATGCAAAGGCTTATAAAATTAACAGTCTATCTACACGTGCAATACCTTGATTTGAGGAACAGTAAATCTCAGTCCAGGACGATCAGCGAGTCCAGTCAAATCGTGGTCCATGTACTCAAAAACCATGTAGATGCCACCCTTGTATTTGTTGTTATCTACAATTCCACGTAGGTTCCGAGCCAATGAGAAGAAATCCTAAGTTTTGTAGAAAATAAGACAGAAATTGAATCACTATTTTCACTAACCTGGATTTCCTTGGTCATCCCTGTCCCGACCTTTGTAAGAAACAGAACCATTCATGAAGCCAACAATATTAGACCCCTTTAAAAGAAATGGCTAAACTAATATCAGAGTTACATGTGTGTTCCTTATACTATACATACCTGGTGAAGTCACAATCTCTTTCAGCTGAATGACATTTTCATGATGAAGCTTCTTCAGAATTTTTATCTCCCTGATCGCTGTTATAGGAAACTGCATAATCCCAATAGTGACAAAGGGTTACAATTCCTCTCGGAAAGAAAAACTTGCCTATGTTCCAAGATATGAGGAGAAAAATCATATACATACCCCTTCTCTTTCATTGTCCATACGGATCTTTTTCAGAGCCACAATCTCACCAGTTTTGATTTCTTTAGCCATGTAAACTTGACTGCAAGAGCAAACAACAACACAGCTATGTTCAAAATCAGAAAAAAAAAAAGGAGACGCATTGTAAAAGCTGAATCCTACATTCAACAACCGCTTCTCATCCCAATTTCTCAATCCCCAGAGAAAAGTATCCCAGTAAAAATTAGTCCTTTTGAGTACCCAATTACTAAAATTGAATTCAAAGAGGGGGAGACTCGAGGGAAAGAAAAAGAAGGAATTGAGAAGCAGACCCGTAAGTTCCTTCACCAATTTGTTCGAGCTTCTCGAAGCAATCAACGCTGCGAGATCCCCAGACCGGAGGAGGTTCGTCGAGGTTCAGCTGCCCGAAAGCTGCCGCCGCCATCTTCGTTCCCCCGACTGCTCCCCACTGTTTCTTTTCTATTCCGATGATCAAAATTTCGCCTTCTCGATCGCTCCTCTTCCTCTCCGATAACTAACTACCCGTAGGTTTTCTTCCAACTTTCTACTCTGTTTAGCATTTCGATAACCGGTATCGGCGAACCGGTTTAAACCTACGAATTACTCGCTTCGAACCGGTTACACTTACGGTTTGCGGTAGGCAAAGTATTAGCGAATCAGATACATTCACGAAAGCGGAGGGTCCACCGGAACGAAATAAAATAATTCAACAATGTACAGTATTTTTTTTTTTGGCTGAAAAATAGATTAATCAATCAATCCTTTTTGAGATAAGGATTTTCTAACTCTTTTCTTTTTCTTTTTATTTGAAATAGGATTTTCTAAGTTTTGATATGATTGTTCTGCATTAGTAGTGTAATAGGAATGTCCTATCCTAAAATACACATGTTTTTTTTAATGTCACATCTCACATCAAAATCTTTGCCTAGCTAGAGCTGATTTTGAAAACGTTCATATAACAACATTCATAATTCTTTTTACAAGGTTGGAAAATTTTTCCAGTACTAACATTTTCTGTTTTGAAACTAGCGGAAAAATAACGTTGTCGTAAATAAAGTTGAAGGTTAATTTGAGAAGAATCCAAAGAAGGCGGGAAAAATAATAAAAATTATATAGTTTAAATAAAAAAAAAAGTAAATTATGTAGGTTATCCAGAGGGTTCACATTGTCGAATCACGAGGGTCCGATTTGATGGAACGAAGGACTCCTGCAAGCGTTTGCGTGCTAACCACGCCATTAACTGCGTAAACACACCATTTAGGCTCACCAATGGAAGAAGACGGATCGACGAAGAAATCGAGACACAAAATCTCGAGCGATGGAAACCCTAGATACTCGATTGCTGCCGCTGACGGGAAATGGAATCACGATCTCCCGACTCATCTTCAAACAAACAATTCACTCGAGTCCCAAACTCAGATCGTTCACTTTTGGAGACAGAAAGGAGCGAATCTTCTGTTTGATAGCCTCAGCTGAAGGAAACCGAACATGTGAGATCGTGTTCATACATTTGGTCAGTTCACTTTCTCTCTCTATGTTTCTTTCTTATGGACGAGATATTTCTTCATCACTTCAGATCTCTAAATCGAAGTAGAAACTATAATCTGGCTGCAACTGGTATTGGAGATTGACATGGGTGATGGGAAAGATTCGATAGATTTTTTTTTCTTTGACAAAAATGTAAGATTAGATAGTTTCCTTGAGGATGTGCTATGATTCTATGAAGTTAATTGTTTTAGTCTTGATTCTCTTCAAATTTGTGTGTCCACAATGCCATGAAATATATGTTTACTGTTAAAGGCTTTACTTCTCCGTTTAGTGAATCTGACTGGTGAAAGTTTGATTATGAACCAAATGATAAAATAATCTCAAGGCTATAAACAATGTTCTCATCGAATCCACTATCTAGGGAAGATCGTGACTAGCTGATTTGGTTCGTTATTGGGGTTGAGATATGATCCTCTACTAACTGACATTCTCTGTGATGATGCAGTTTTGAAGCTAATCAAAATATTCCTCTTCCAAGCCACTCTCTTGTGTGGATGAATGACAACTTTGTGGAGTTGTTCTACCATCTCCTACTATTCTTGGTGATTTCAGTCATATTTTATTCTTGAGTTCAATGGACTGGTCAGCCAATTTGAGACTTATATATGTTCAAAACGTATACCTATCCCACTTTCTGAACCATAGATGATACACAATAAGTCATATTTAAGTCTACATTGGCAATGACAAGCCTCTGCTATATGTTTTAGTTTCAAGCCATAGGAGTATGCTGTTGAAGGTCGCTACAGATCCATACAGGTATGAGGTTTCTCTTCTTTTTGGTTGCGTACGTGATGCTAAGTTGTAATAGTCAGATGTCTTGTTCTTTTGGAGTGATCCTTGTTAATAACTTTGTTGTTTGATTCACACATGTTTGCTGGGTCATGTACAAAGAGAGTTGTACAGATTTTCCATATGATCCTGTTGTTGGAATAACTAGACAGGTGAATGACAATAGTCTAGTCCATGATGTTTACCTAATATAGTTCATGTGAAAGTCAAAGATCTATCTGCTCACAATATCTTTTAGGGGAAATCGTCAAAATCATAGACTTTTATGAAGAATTTATTGATTGTTATTTGTTTTTTCAGAATTTTATTTAAGTTGGCATCTATAGTCCTTATGCTGTTCACATCCATCAGTATACAGTTTATAATCTTGCATCTCAAATCAGCCACGTCCTCAACTTTCCAGCTTAGCATCAATCTTTATTGTGTTATTATATAGTTTTGGGAGAGCTCCTGTGTGTTTTTCGTGTCTATGAGAAAAGATAGGGACAAATTTAAATCTCTAAGGGATAGATAGGTAAGTGTTTCCTTAATGTTTAGTACTACCTATATAGAATAAGTACAAAAGGCTTAGGACAAAAGGCAGATCTAAAGGCAACTTATGAAATTGGCTCATGGATAGCTTTATTATCTTTATTGGAACTCATTATAAAGACCTGACTTACCAACCCCAACCATGTGTTTTAGAGTTCTGCACAGCTTTATATGATGCTTTTGTCAAGATTATTCTATTATGTATCCTTACGTATATATTCATGCAGAGATCTTCGTACTTTGGGGTCAGGCCATGTGGCTTACTTTTTCATGCAAAAAGCTTCTCCAGTCTTTTGTCTTTAAACTCTTACACTTTCGTGAAAAGATCATACACTTTAGCTACTACCTTCTTAAAAGCAACAATGTTATCTTTACAGGGTCTTTCAGATTTTCTCGTTGTCTTCTGCTGGATGCTAGCTTGCTGGTGAGGGAAACGATGAACTCGAAGAATTAGGTTCTGAGGTATATTTATACATTTTAAGCATTCTTCACATTTGATTTGTTTGGTTTCATCCCTTTTAATGTCATTTAGAAGTCATACTCATGAATTTGAGTCTTGTTTGTATCATATAGTGTCATTTTAGAGTCCTAAGTCATTTCGTTGATAATCATGAGGTTCGTACATGCTTCCTCTCATTTCTTTGTCTAGTCACTAGTATACTTCAGTATAATCTCTTATGAAGCAAATGTGATTGAGTCCAAGCAAGACAAACATACTATGGTAAAGGCATTTCAAAATTTTATGGTTTTGAGCTATGTTGATTGGTTATTTTAAAGGGACTGTCTAGGGAATATCGTATTTTCAACTTTCAAGCACATTATTCATGAAAAAGATGACACAAATCTACCTATTCACCTTTATCACATGACTGGTAAAGTTGGTTAACTTTTTCAGCATCGCCTTTTTTGTCCCCCATTTGTCAAAGTGAAAGCTGGAGTTTTAATAATTGTTTTAAGATTCTTTACTGATATAATCTCATTTCTTTGTTTTATTACTAACTTTATCTCCTCTTCGTAGCAAGCTCAAATTTCAAAAATGTACTTATATGTTCAAGTTGCCTAGATATTAGTGCCGATTTGTGAAAACAATAAAGATATACATAAGTGCTTTTTAACCATAATAGACGCCTATATCTTTATCTGTATGTGCTCAAGGTGGACCTTTGAAAACCCCTATAAAATACTTCTAGTTAGAAGCAACTACTAAATTGGTAAATTCTTGAGAAAGCAACTAGTATCACTTTTCTGTTTATTCTACTTATTTGCAATAGATTTATAGCAAAGATGATGCTTATTTACTAATACGAGGAGTGGTTGGTTTTATTATTAGTATGTAGATTTTTTTTATTTACCAATTTGATGATTAAGGTGTGTATATCTGTATAGAATACCCCAATAAAAACATATAGCTGGCTTGCTTTATGATGCCTAATTAACACTGTTAACTAATTTCTTATTTGTTGATAGCTCTACTGCTTCTTGCCTCTCAGCTCATGGCTTTCTTCATGGTGATTTCGGTTTGGGCTTAAAGGGGCGTGGAGACACATAATAACACCTTGAACAGAAATGGAAAAGAGATGTAATCCTTTAGAAATTCCTGGTAAAACAAAATTTCGAACTTCATCTGTTATATTTTTCTAAGTTGCAGCTTATCCTTAAAAATTAGAGAAACTTATTCAACTATGACATCGTGAAATAATATGCTCTTTTCATTTTTGTTGGTGTTTTGAATCTGGTAGATTGTTTATGATGATTTTGAATCCTACATTCCCTATATTGCTTCCTCTAGATTTTGCTGGAGAAAATGAATCACTTGTTACATGCATCTTTGGAGTAGTAACTAAGTACGAGCTAGATCGTCTCTTGTCCTCGAGCAACTTGGTTTGTAAGAGATACGCATCAAATACACATTTCTCTATAGCTTTCCTTCTTTTTGCATCCAGTGAAACATTAGTCGTTATAATTCCTCTTCATCTGCGTTCTTCTGTTGCTGTGGTCTGTGGTTATATCTTACTGAATGGTAGATTCCATTGTTGCATAAGTGATATATTGCAGAGTTATTGGATGGCATATTCTTCAATTGTTTGCCTCCATGTCTTTCACGGCCTTTAGCTGTAAAAACGATGTCCACGACAAAAGAAGTTCAGCCACCTAAAATGACATTTAGTGGTTGATAGTTAACAAAAACAACACTTAAGACCACACACAATTTAGTTCATATAATATATGACTGACTTTATATATATTAATGGTAGACATTCTTGTTCTTCCTTTTTATTTGTCATGTTCTCGAGGTTTCTTGTGACGATGCTTTTCTCTAGCAGATGCTCCAGTAATGTTGGGCGTAACGGTTGAGAAAAGTATGTGCTAATTTAGTATTCTAAAATGAATTGAGTAAGCAAGAAGATTTTGAAATGGTGATTTCTTGTTTCTCCTTTTGGATTTGAATAATATATGTTGAGTTTTAAATATCAATGCCTTTAAGACCACTATCATATAAAACTAATCCTTTCCATACGTAACGACCATTAAATTGATTACTACAGATAAAATAGATTTTACCATTCCTGTCCCCATTCCTCATGTATTCCGATCGATAAGGTTGCTACCATGTGAACAGTTGAAAAAGAGGACGTTGTACGTGTGCATGTGTGTGTGATGTTACACGTCATGTGTCTCATATTTGTTCTCTTCTAGGTCACTCGCTGGAATTTCTTTCAGGAACCTCATTGATGCTGCTGATATCCAAAACACGAGCATCCTGGTTTCCTCTGACTTGTGTAAGTATCAAGATTTTAGTATTACGTACTGCAGATAAATCCGACGCAACTTATTTGTTTTTTAACTTACCCTTATAAGTTATATCGACTTTGTGGAATTTCAAAGTTGGTTGAAAAATTGCTCAGTAACTGCATAGGGTGATTAAAATGTGTATATAATCCTGTAAATGAGCTCGAGTCATGCTTAAGGCTTTACACATTTACATATAATAGTTATAGGGTTAAATATGTTCGTTCGTAGCATAGCTTTTAGACGCGTTGGTTAGAAACTTAGGAGAAGAAGCAATTCAGTTGTTTAGCTGACATTTACAACCTATAGTTTTTTTTTTCTTTTTAATTAAGTGACATCACATACTGTATATCATAATTAATACTTTTGTAAGAACCTAGTGCCTTCCTTAATTTTTTAGTATTTTCTGTACCTGCTTCCTCCATTCGAGACTGTGGTCCACTCTGCGAGGAACCCTAATTCAACAAGCAATTCAAATCCATCTTTCCCCAAGCTTTATTAATACTTTTTGTAAGAATTCTCTTTTATTAAACCCCTTTTTGAAATTCGTAGGCTTACCTTTGCCTACTTGTGATGATAATCGTAGGTTTAAACCGTTCTAAACTCTAGGATACAATGATCCTGATCAGATTATCTTGCTTGAAATTGATATAATGGCTTTCATTCATTATCTTCTGATATCGCTCTATAATATCTCTACATGAAATTATAATACATATATAACTAGCTAGGCAATGTTCATTTGTCAAGTCTCATGTGTATTCGTATGTTTATAATTGAAGTGAAGGTATAAATTTCAATGATAATACTGTACTGCAAATCCATGTAAAGGAGTTAAATCATATTGCATTTTCACCTACAGTTACCGCAGACACTAAAATATCTTCTAGAAACTGACAGATTTGATGCCCTCATTTGGTAAAACATCTTATAGTTTGAATTTTCTATATTTTCAAATTGAAACTCTGCACGATACCTGTGATCTTCCTTAGAAAGAAGACACAGAAGAAAAAGCCAAGAGCTCGAGAGATATGACATTGGGTGCAATACTGAGGCGGAGGGAGAAGAAGGACTTTTAGGTTTAAAAGATGGTGGAGATTTAGATAATTTTCTGCACCCACCTCTCCCCTAACCAGCTCCTCCCTAGTGGTCAAATTATGTCACATCAAACCTGTCACCATCATCAATTGTAAGTTTTTCTTGTCATCATACCAAAACTTACCACTGTTACCTTGTCCTCCATATTTGTCTGTCCGTTACTATTGCCGTAATTGGATTCTCATTGAATGGAGTTAGAATATGAATTGTTACTGACCTCTTGCACAATAAATTACTTGATATGGTTTCTCATGTAATGGGAGAATTCCCCCTGCAAATATTGACTAAGCTTATATGGTTTAACAATGGTAACTTTTTTCAGTCTTAAAATTAGTTTTTCCTAAACTTCCATGCTTATGTCCTTATCAGTATCTTCATCTGTGAAGACTGAAGACAATCTTTACTTGTTACAAATACTATTTATTGCCACAAAATGATACGAAACATATGCTGATAAGTTTCTTGTAACAATGATATGCTTTCCCTGTAGCAGGTTTCTTCATTTGGTATATTTTCTTCCTAAGGGGTTTGGAAATCTCTGTAAGTATTACCTAAATAGGACTTTCACGTGATGTGTCAAACAAGAAATTATATCAGACCCACACTGCAACTTTTTAACTTGCTTCAGTAATATCTCAGGACTTATCTTAGTTTCATTTTCTTGAAACATTCTCATTTTCAGAGACAGTAACGCTTAGTTAGGGTTCATGGCTTGAATTATGCTTCTGGTTGGTTGATTGTAGATTTAATCAATATGAAGAAAATACAATTATAATATGGCTACGTAAATGAATATTAAATACGTAAATAAATCAGCCATGGAAATTCGATGATGCGAGGAAAACCTATTTTGCGTGCCAGAGGAGATGTCTCTTTGGCCAGCCTTTTGTTGCCATGTGTTGTTGGCGCTGACTTCTCTTTCAAATCTTTTCTCTTTTATTTTGTTCGTCATTCCAATGATTAAAAAATATAATCTAACAAACAGTTTCGTCCTCCTATCAAATTCCCTCTATTGCCCTTCTCCTCCATCATTACCTAATCATAGAAGATATCTTTTATGGATCTCATAAGAAAGATGATGAAAACTTCTTGCTTGAGTTGATCTGTGGTCTTTTTTATTGTGTGTTTGGAATCTTTCATTCGCAAGAACCTCCAATACATGGATAAATCTGTGTACTATAATTTTGGACTGTGAAGAGAGCGAAAAAATAGCTATAAATGTGTTGTTATCCTCCTTGACAAATGCAGGATTAATTTGGTACTAGGGCATAGGTGATGTCTACTGATGAACTGCTTCCCAACTAAGGACAAATAAGAGATCAATTGGTATGTCCATTGGAGACGGCTGTTTCCGAGATGATACTGATTTATGCTTTAAGACAAGAAGAAGAATTTACATTAAATGATTTTCTCACACACTGGTAAGGAAATGCGTATGCGATAGGATAAAAAAAAATGATTAGAAAAATGGAATTGAAAGGTGAAAGGGACATGGTTGTTTTGTTACGCGAATAGGAAAGGAGCACGTGGTGAATGGAGATGAAGAGAAAAGGGTGCTAGGTTTAATATAAATAGAAATAAGAAGCAGTTAGTGGTTGTGAAGGAAGGAGGCAAGCGACCAAATCTCAGAAGAAATAACAGTATAGGGAGGATCGGAGGAAGAAGAAAAAGGAAACGAGGCCGTTGTTAATTAGATTGAAGGAGATCAGCGAAACCATGGGAAGATCTCCTAGCAGTGATGACTCTGGTCTCAAGAAAGGTCCTTGGACTCCTGATGAAGATGAGAAGCTTGTCAACTACGTCCAAAAACATGGCCATAGTAGCTGGAGAGCTCTTCCCAAGCTCGCTGGTACTCACTTTGTCTTGTTTTCTTTTTTAGAACCTGTTAAAAGCTTATTTATGAATCTAATCTTCTCTTTCTCTCTCTGTACAGGTCTAAACAGGTGTGGGAAGAGTTGCAGGCTGAGATGGACTAACTACTTGAGACCTGACATCAAGCGAGGAAAGTTCTCTCAGGACGAGGAACAGACTATCTTGAACCTTCACGCAGTTCTTGGAAACAAGTAATTAATCTTGATTTTTTTTTTTTTAGTCAACGGTGTTTTTGTGTAGCAAAATCTCATTATGATTGATGATGTTATAAGGTGGTCAACGATTGCAAACCACTTACCGGGGAGAACAGACAACGAGATCAAGAATTTCTGGAACACTCATTTGAAGAAAAAGCTGATTCAGATGGGTTTTGACCCAATGACTCATCGCCCAAGAACCGATATCTTCTCCAGCTTATCTCAGCTCGTGTCTCTGTCCTCTAACCTGAGAGGATTTGTTGATATGCAGCAACAGTTTCCGATTGATCAAGAACAAACCATACTGAAACTCCAAACCGAGATGGCCAAACTTCAATTGTTCCAATACCTCCTTCAACCACCTTCCATGAATAACTTTAACCCTAATGACTTCGACACTCTCACTCTCCTTAACTCTATTGCCTCCCTCAAAGAAACCACCAGCAATAGTCTCGACCTCGGTTCCTATCTCCAGGACTTCAACAGCTTACCATCCCTGAAAACCCTAAATTCCAACATCGGACCATCATCTGTTTTCCCCCAAAATCCTGATGACGATCACTTCAAGTTCTTCAGTCAAAGGGAAAACAACCTGCCGGTTTCTCCAATATGGCTCTGTGATCCCTTGAGCTCGAATCAGAGTTTGCTACCTTCTCTTGATCCGTCTTCTGCTGTGAGTGATGATCTGATCAGAAACCAATACGGTATTGAAGATGTCAATAGCAATCTCACCTCTTCAAGCTGTCAAGAATCAGGAGGTTCAGCTTCAGCTGCGTGGCCTGATCACCTATTGGATGACTCCATATTTTCCGACATTCCTTAGCCCTCTTAGTCTTTTTCAGGTATGTTTTGGAGGAACTCAAAATCGAATTTACTCTCGGGACTGTGCTTGTTGGAGATTTTATTTGCGTATTTATATTTATATATTGGAGACACATTAATTATATATGTGTGTGCTCATGTTGTAGAATGTACAGTACAGTACAGGTTTCATAACTCATCATACGCGTGTTGTTGTTGTTATCAATGTTCTTTCGCATATGTTTGTACCCATCGCCGAGTTTTTTTTTTTATATCTATATAGAGATGATTTTGTGAAGTGGAGATCACTTGTAGTTGTAATTAGGGTTTTTTTAATATAATTATTTGGATATTTTATTTTACATTTCCTGTTTACATCGGATCATCTATGTTATAACAGTTTTTGTATCTTTATTTCTTGCCAAATAATAATAAAGCAGCCATCAAATTTACAAACTGAAGTAAGTATAGTGAGTTAGATATATGTTGCATGTGAAGAAAACGTATTTGAAGTGTCGAGCTGTCAAAACTAAAGAATACACATTTAAGAGTTGAAATGTTGATTTGTTTCATTGTCTTTGATGAAGTTATATGTATCATGATGTATGTATATATGATCATCTATATCTTTTTGGTTTGCCAAGAAGCAAGAACAAATAATGGAATTAAAGAAGAGAAAAAGCATGTGATCGGCTGGCTAACGAGAATATAAAAAGAGCAAGTAGATTTTTAATAATATAAAAATGATTAAAAAAATATATACGTGATGTCAGATAAATGGATCTGTCGTTTAGGTTAAAGAATAATTCACTCATTGAGTCAGTGAGTCCTTTGCCTTCTTCGGCAAAGATCGCGTGACCTGAAAATAAGAGTATTGTTTGTACTTCATCCGTATCAATCTTTTTTTAGCATCCGTATCGAAATGGATTAGGGAAATTTGGCAAAATACTCCACATTTACAGAATAGTTGTCCATCTACTCTTTTTTTGCCTAAACTTGTCCACTTACTCTTTATAAAAATTTAAACCCAATTTTAACCCTCAAATCATGTTTTAATAGAATTGGGATTAAATAATTAATTAAAAAATAAATAAATTAATTAATAAATAATAAAAAGTAAAGAGAAGTTTTAGTGTCGTCGACTCTTCTCTCCTTCAAACTTCTTCTTTACTACTTTTCTCCTTGTTGTATTATCTCATCTGCTTGTTTTTTCAATTAAGTAAAACTGCAAGTTTCTTAAGTGTCTCTAACCCTTGATTGTACTCGATTTCCATGTGCCACATGTTACATAGATTTGCAACATAGCAACTTAGAAGAAAAAACTGAAACAGATAATGGAAGAAAAAACTAGATAAAAGATAAGAAAAAATGGAGAGGAGGAAGAAGAACAATATGGAAGAAATGTATTTTTTTTCATTTTTCTGAGAAAAAAAATTAAAGGAAATGTTGTTTTTTCAAAAGATTTTAAAATATTCAGTTACCATTTTTACTATATTTTCTCAGATTTCCGTAGAAGATGCATTCTACCATTTCGTAGAAAACTGTGTTTAAGGTAGATTACAATTTCTACAAACGGTAGAAGGCAATGTTTTTCAGAGAACACACAATCTACAAATAGTAGAAGATAGTATTTTTAGTTGAACACGAATTCTTCATATAGTGGAAGAGAATGTTTATGGTAGAATATAAATTCTACCGGTGGTAGACAACCATGTATATCGTAGAACAAATGTTTTACAGTTCTACCAAGTCGTAGAACATTGAATATTTAGTAGAAATCAAATTCTACGATGGTAGAAACTATAACAGTCGGTAGATTTTACGCTCTACGGTGGATAGATGTGAGAGCATACAGTAGAAGACATATTCTACTTTGAATATTGAATTTGGTAGAAGGAAACTTTATTTATTTTTCTGAGGTTCAAATTTCAACAAAAAGCTTTAAAAATATTTTCTAAAATCTTAGAATCACTTTACTGAATTTATTTAATTTTTTGAAATTTTAAAAATATTTATTTCATATTGTTAGCATATACAAGGATATTATAGTCAAAAATTGGTAAATTTCAAAAAAGGTGTAAAGAGACAAGAGTTCTCTTTTTTTAGGGTATATTCACAAATCTCCCGATGGATTATGCATGTTATTTTATACTTCGAATGACCATAACGTGTAGCTTACTGATTTTGTGCCATAATTATCATAAAAATAAATCAAACCCTAAAATTTCGGACAAAAGAGGATAAGATAACAGGTAGGTCCCACACACATAGACAGAATAATTTGCGTTCTTGTCATTGTACCCGAAAAGTTGTTGAAGACATATTAAGGTAATAAGCCCAATAGGCCCATTGATAGATGTTTCTCTTTCAATATAGTCCCAAGGGAAGTCAACGCAAATAGTCAAAAAAAAACTCTGTTCAAAGGAGGTCCTTAATTATTATATTTCACAGGATTCAAGTCAACGATAGCTAATAGAACAAAACATGTATACAACAACAAAAGTTGGAAACTTTACAGCAAAATGAAAAAGATTTGGTCTTTGTTCATCTATCTTCCACCTGATAACTCAATGGCGTCTTGGTTATGAATAGAGTCTTCACCCCACTCAAACCTCCTCTGCAACCGATCGAACTCATGACGTCTCGTGACTTCCATGTTCTGCCACTCTTCCCATTTCTCCGCAAGCCCTTCTCCTTCTAACATGCGTACAACTTCCGACATCACAGGTCTGTCTTCCGGCGAGCCTTGTGTACAAAGCAAAGCCACCTGTATCATCATCTCCACTTCTTCTTTGACATATTCCCCATCCAAATTATTATCCACAATCGCCCCCAATCTCTTCTCTCTTTCCAGCTTCTTCACCTGTCCAAACAAACAAAGAGACTCAAAACATTGAGAAAGAAAAGCCATCTATGGAGGATATGCGATCATATACATACATGGTCAAGCAACAAGACATCATCTTCTTCCTCCAAACGCGAAAAGTCTATGGCGCGTTGTCCTGTGACAAGCTCAAGAAGCATGATTCCATACCCGAAAACATCGGTTCTCTCCGACGACTTCCCTGTAGATAGATACTCTGGTGCAATGTGACCCATCGTTCCTCTAACTTGAGTTGTCACATTAGTCCTCCTAACATCAACCAACTTAGCCAAACCGAAATCACCAACCACAGCTTCGAAATCCTCATCCAGCAGCACGTTCGCTGCTTTCACGTCTCTATGTATGATCTTCGGATTGCAATGCTCGTGAAGATACTCAAAGCCACGCGCTGCTCCTAGCGCAATCCGCTTCCTCGTCTCCCAATCAAGAACCGGATCTCCGGCTTTAATCTCTCTGAGACGATATGCAAGACTCAGATTCTGCATGAAGGGATAGACCAGGAGACGTTCTGTTTGAGTGGTGCAGAAGCCGATGAGACGCAGTAGGTTTCTGTGAACAGCTACGCTTATCATCTCGACTTCTCTCTGGAAAGCTGCGTCTCCACCTGGACTTTCGAAATCAGTCAGTCTCTTGACAGCTACTTTGGTGTTATCAGGAAGGATTCCTTTGTAAACTTTGCCAAAGCCTCCTTGTCCAAGCACGTTCTTCTCATTGAAGTTGTCTGTTGCTAATTGGAGCTCTCTCCATGCAAATCTTTTCAGCTGTCCAAATGCAATTCTCCTGTCTACTTCACCTGAAAAAAAAAAGTGTGAAGCTTTTAGACTGACTCTTTATTTCACAAATGTGCATATGAATTCATAATCATGTAACAGACCTGCAACATCAACGAACACGTCACGTTTAGATCCTTTATACCTATCCCTGCAGAACAAAAACAGCAAGATTCCAAACAGGGTAACTGTAACTCCGGCGACGACTCCAGAAATCATGCCGGTTTTTGGCTTCTTTGAATCTCCTATCAACAAAGATTGAATGTCATCAGCAGAACTAAAATTCCTTCATACTTTTGAGTTTTGAGTCAATTGCAAAGTTGTGTAGTTACCTGAATGCGCAACGTCAGATACACAAGGGTGAGGTTGACCAGTACCACAGTTCAAGTTGTTTGCGGTGAAACTATAGTCGATAAAAAACCATATCAGATTACTGCTAAAAAGAAATGGAAAGAAATCAAATTTAAGATAAAGTAGTGGAACATACTTGTATAGTGGGATCTTGAATAGACTTTGAGGAATCTGGCCAGTGAGGTCATTGGAATCAAGCAGACTGTAAAACGTAGTTTCAAACAATGTGATTTAAGACAAGAATGTTTCCATGATATATATATATATATATATATATATATATACAGAGAGAAGATTAACATACAGATTTATCAGCATTGGAAGACCCGTAAGTGACTCCGGGATTGTTCCATTAAGTTTGTTCCCACTCAAGGCCCTGCTTGGCCCAATAAACAGTGAATAAAACAACCAGAATGTGTTTAAGAAAAGATGTTCAAGATTTTAAACAGCATTGGGAGGCAAAAAAACTACTTACAAGAACTGAAGCTTCTTGAGATTACCAAGAGTAGATGGTATACGACCACTTAGCTGATTACCTTCCAAATCCAAGCCGGTCAAGCTTGTCAGGTTTCCAAAATCTTCTGGTATTCCACCGGTTATTCCATTTCCCTTCAACGTACTTAACAGTAGAAACAAAGATGCTCAAAAAAAAAACTATGTTTTAGGATCTCAGAGCAGAAAGAGAGGTTACTCTATGGCACTTACAGAGTCTGGAGAGTTTCAAGGATTCCTATTCTTGAAGACAAGGTTCCAGAGAAGTTCATGTCCGACAAGGAACTGCGATTACAAAATGCCAGAAATGTGAAAACCAAAAGGAAACTTGTCTGAAGGAGACAGTTAACTAGCTGAGAGTTATCATTGAACTTACAGAGAAATGACAAAGTTTTTTTTATCGCAAGTGACTTGGGACCAAGTGCAAGGGTTAACTTGATTCTGGTTCCAGTCGCTTAGCTGATTAGGCAATGCGCGTAACGATAACCTAAACGCATATAGCGCATCCCCTGAAATGGAAAAAGCAAAAAGAGTAACAAAGTGAAACCATACCTCAATTAGTCCAAGATCTGAGTTCTTACAAAGTAACAAAAATGGAAACTAATAAATGAGAGGAAATAAGAAAGAAATGGCATCACCTTGAGCATCTGGAGACACAAAGGACCACAAGCAGGCAAAAACCAAGATAGTCAAAGCCATCGCCATCTTCTTAAATTCAACCGGAGCTTCAAAAAGTTCAGTAATTGACCTATAGCTCAAACTTGAGCTTAGGATATACAGAAATCAGGAATTCCACAAACGGAAGGAAGAGACTTTCTAAAATTCAACTGGAACTTCGTTAAAGTCAATAACTTAGAATAGCTAAAAGTTAAGAGCTTAGGATATTCAGAGATTATATATCAAAATCCAGAATTGAAAGGAAGAGACTTTGCATAGAAAAAGAGTCAAACGGGATGCAAGAACACGGACCTGATCAGTTTCCCGGAATGATTAGTGATCAGCTTTCTCAAAGCTCCATGAGAAATCCAAATCTCAAAAGCGTGAAGAAGGAGGAACAGGAACCGAAAACCTCGTATCGGAGAAGAAAATCCCAAAAGAGGAAAAGAAACGGTTCGGTGCTCGATAGAAAGATTCACTTGGGGGAATTGAGCTAAAGAGAACAAAACAGAGAAACGCTCAAGGAAGGAGAAAGTTTTAAAAAAAGGATTTGTCTTTTCGATTTTTCCGTAGACTTGTTTGGCTAATTGCAATGATCACTCTCGCTAATGGCGATGTCTGAATAAACCGGTTTTGGTCCACGAACTGCTTTTTCTGCGTGCAACTTGTAATTAACAAAAAATAATTAATCAACTTTGATAATGATGTTTTAGAGTGTGGTTATATAAACTATGTGCTACTATTAATCACGACATTCTTGAGTTCATGTGCTAATCTCGGATTTGTTTAGCCATTTTTCATATTTATCACGCAATAATATAGGTTTTCACTTTTTCACGATTAACTGATTAATTAGTTATATGTTTTTTGGATTTTATAACGAAAACTGGCGGGAATGAGACGGAAAATAAATGTTCCCAAACAAGAAATTGCAGCTTTTCATTCCCGAAAAGTTTGGAAAATTTTAAACGGTTAAAAAAAAAAATAGGATTCTCATTCTAATATGTACAAGGCCATGATTAACCAACGACAAATTAGATCATCCATTTTTTGTTGTTTTTCGAAAATACTTTAAAATTTTCATTATAAAACACACCGACTAATTTTGATAGAATTTTCATTATAAAATACAGCAACTAGATATAAAATCTCAATAGAATTATTCAGTCAAAATACACCAATTAGTTATATAAAATCTCAGAAAAATGCATAAGCATGGACACAGTAAATTGTTGTCCATTTTTATTTTTAAGAGAAAATATTTTCCTAACTCTAATCTGATTTTACGAGATTAGAGTTAAGAGGATATTTATGAGACTGTAATCTGATTTTATGACTCGACATCTGTCACAAACATAATGAAATTTTTAAAAACGTAACGCATGAACTTTGCCCAATTATATAGTTAACGTCACAGGCTCACAGCACCGTCCATTCTCATTGGAGCAAGAACCAACTAACAAACAAAAATCGTAGATCGAGACTCATGGAGAGAAAACATCACTTTGTGTTAGTTCACAACGCTTATCACGGAGCCTGGATCTGGTACAAGCTCAAGCCCCTCCTTGAATCCGCCGGCCACCGCGTCACTGCCGTCGAACTCGCCGCCTCCGGGATCGACCCACGACCAATCCAAGCTGTTGAAACCGTTGATGAATACACTCAACCGTTGATCGAAACCCTCGACTCTCTTCCAGAGAATGAACAGGTGATTCTCGTTGGATCCAGCTTCGGAGGCATCAACATCGCTCTCGCCGCCGATAAATTCCCGGCGAAAATTAAGGTTCTTGTGTTCGTAAACGCCTTCTTGCCCGACACTACACACGTGCCATCTCACGTGCTAGATAAGGTTTACACTTAGCTACCGCTCTAAAACTATACTCTAAATATGAGAATAAATCTAATCTTTTAATTATTTGTTTTTGTTGTTGAGTAAGTACATGGAGATCCCTGGAGATTTTGAAGATTGCGAGTTTTCATCTCATGCAACAAGAAATGGAACAATGACTTTGTTGAAGATGGGACCAAAATTCATGAGGAATCGTCTTTACCAAGAATGTTCTATTCAGGTACTAACTAACCACAAATGCTAAGACTTTATGACTAATCTCAACATTTGTAACACACAAAAACAACTATAACCACAATCTTATAAGATTGATAGTTAATTAAGTTTTGTGTTATATGTATGATAGGATTACGAGTTGGCAAAGACGTTGCATAGGCAAGGGTCATTTTTCAAAGAGGATTTATCAAAGAAAGAAAAGTTTACTGACGAAGGGTATGGTTCGGTACAACGAGTTTACATAATGGGCAGTGAGGACAAAGCCATTCCGTGCGATTTCATTCGTTGGATGGTTGAAAATTTCAACGTCTCAAAAGTCTACGAGATCGACGGTGGAGATCACATGCTGATGCTTTCCAAACCCCAACAACTCTTTGACCGTCTCTCTGCTATTGCCGCCGAGCACTAGTAAATAACTGAAGTCTGTTTAAGTTACCGTTGGTTTATGGGCTTTATACTAGGCCCGTTTTAGCTCATGGTCAAACTTATGATAGCCAAATCATTGAATAAAGCAAAACTTATGACTTAAATTTCATATTATACCAGTCTTTCGATTTCTTTTTACATTTTTGTGAAGCAAAATTTAGATACATGAACCATCGTCGAGATGTTGACAAAAGAAGAAAAAAGAAATTGACAGTAAAAACAAAAGAAAACAAAAATGCACATACATAGTAAACTTGTGTTAATTGCTCAGTATATTCTTTTTGAAGCTATAAAACAACAAAGACAATAAAATTAAAGTGATTTTAATAATTGTACGAAGCCTTACTCAGATATGGGTCTACAGAAGATTCACGAGAAGAGACTCAAACAGTGACGTGTAGGACATCGAGGCAGGTGAGACAAAATTGATTAATCAATTTCGACAGTGTCTTGTTACATTCAAATCAAATCTAATTTCATTCTTTCCAAAATCACATTAGACTTCGGTTGGAAAAAAATTTAAACACAACCGTGAATAATTTTAGTCAATTAAAAGGATTTGTCAGTAAAAAAATTAAAGCTGAAAAAGCTGATGAAATAAATTGTGAACATGCAAACGCTAAGGAATCAAGAAGACAGACTTTAATAAATTATTTTCCAAATTGAATGAATGGAAAAAATTAAAGCAAAAAGTGTTGAAAGAAATGAATGACGCAAACAAGTTGTTACATAGCTCTCTATCTCTATCACTCTCTGCAAATATCGGTTCGAAACCAATGCCCAATGTCAGCGATTCTTGTTTTGTTTTTTTTTTCAAAATAATCATAGAACTTTTGATTATTTACAAATTGAGCCGTAAATTTACAAAGAATCCAAAGAACACCTCTAGAGTCTAGACTACTCTCAAAAATCCATAATCAAATTATAGTAATCAATAAAGTGGGAGAGAGAAGGAGAGATCGAACCAGAGAGGATGATTTGATTTTCAAGGGTTATAAAAGTGGCCATTGCAATGGCATTTCCAGCCCATTGGTTTGTAATTAGAGTACTGATCAAGGACGGTGGTTAGAGACGAAGGAGGCCGGACGAATCCGCCGGAGAACGGGTCGACTCGGGTGAAGCGGGAGCGAGTCGGGAGAGTGGGGACTTGAGCGGGCATGCAAGGATGGCAGCCATTGCATCTGTTGTGGCAGCTCGGTGGTCTTGAGCCTAATCTCGCTTTATCTTCAACCAAAGCCACCTGAAAATCAAATGCAGATAACTTTTTAAGTCAATCACAAAATGAGAAATTTGAGAAAAGGATTTGAATTTGAGGGAATTGAGTGATTTTGAAAGATGGGTTTGATTAAATTACTTGAGGGGAATGCGGAGGATGGACAGGTTGGAGAAATGATGAGACTTGTGGAGAGAGGAAAACAGAGAGGAGAAGGAGAAGAAGGGTAGAGTTGTAAATAGCAAACATTATGATTTGGTGATTCGAATTGAAACTTCAAGACTCTGTTCTTACAGGACGAAACTTCATGTGGGTCTATCGAAATTTGAAGACTTTGAAAGCAGAACAGAGAGATTGTAGTAGAAGAAGCTTTTGTAGCAGAAGTTAGATGGAGAAATTAAGGAGTGAGAGAGAGAGAGAGAGATGGAGAAATAAAGGGAGGGAAGGGGTAAAATGGTAAATAGGAAATAAGGTGAAAGGAACAAGACAGAGTGGGGGAGACAGAATAGGAGGATACATATCAGAGAAGAGGACTCAGACAATAGCCTTCTTTCTATGTGTCACTTCAATCTTTCCTCTCTTCTCTCTTTTCTTTTCATTTATTCTTTTGCTTTTTTCTTTTTTGGTTTATCTTCTTTGCATTCTTCATTAGTTTTGACCAAATTTTTACATCTCTTATTGGAACAAAACATGCTCTGTTTTTCTTGGTATTTTGAATTTATTGATTGATTGACGATGACTTCACATTACGGTTTTTGCTATGTTATCAGTACTAAACCGGGTTTGATGAGATTAATCGTAAGATCCACGAGGTAAACCTTGGGTCAATGTCGGTTATAATAAGCATTTTAAGCCAAGTTGTTGTGCTTTTTTAGCTGTAAAGCTCTTATTTTTCTCGCAAGTTTATTAAAAAATAAAGTGTACTGATGGATGTGTTTTTTTACCAAAATATACCAAGCAATCTCAACTCGTTAACGATGTGCTTTCTTGTCTTTCATTATTGTTTTCTTTTCTGTCTTGTTTATCTTCTTGGATTCAATTCATTGAATCTACAAATCAAATCAGATCAAATTGCAAGATAGCTTATGTTTTGTCTTGTGTCACAAAATCTTAACCTTTTATCACTATCAAGAACCGATTTATTATGTGTCCTTACAATATTTATTATTTCCCAGTTAATGCTGTATTGAATACGACATAACATTGGTATAAACTCTTCTAAATACTCAGACGAACCACGTCTTAATATAATTTTGAATTTGCATTCGTTTGTGTTGTATCTCCACACTAATTCGGAGGGCCAAAACAGTTATTGCTTTTTGTTCATTGTCAATTTAATCAACCAGCATGTCTTGAAGTAAATTTGACAACATTCATTTGTCAATCTGCAGTTCACAAAACTCTTACATCCTAATCAATATGTGTCCATTTTACAGAACAAATATGCAAAGTATGTTCAATGCTGTATTCGGAATTGTGTACAACATTTAGATAGTTATAGCATTTTGTCCATCGTCCATTTAGTCAACCAGCATGAGTATGCCTTGAATAATCAATACTAGTGTCGCTTAATACCAAGATATTTGGACTTTTCTGATTCATGGAGTACTAGTCAACTAATGCATAGCTTTCCCAATACTCTAAATGTTGAGTGGACCTTTCAACGGTTAAAAATAGAGTAAGAATAATATTTCACCGGTAAGTATCTATTTACTGACACATCAAATTGGGGTTTCTTTTTTATCATCAGAAAATAGTAAGTGAATAGGGAAATTGGGATTCCTTTTATCATCAGAAAATTAAAATAGTAAGCAAATAGGGAAATTACTGAGTAGTAATAGTAGTAAGTACCAAAGCTTGACTGAGTTTTGATTTTCAAACAAAAGGGGAAAGGGGTAAACAAATCTCAAGAGCAATAAATGAAGAAGAAGAAGAAGGATGCCACATTTTTATCATTTTTGACTGCTTTCATTAAATAGTTCCAACAATCTTATGTTATTAAATGTGAGCATCTGTGTCCTTTAATATTATTGAGTATTATAATATATGTTGTCTCTTTATGCTGTTTTCCAACAATTTTCGAGTATCATTTTCTATGTATATAACTAAATATATGCCGTCCAACTATATATTTTTGGTAATCAATGTCTTTATTTTTATAATTTTTTAAAAAATTAGTCTTTCTAAAAGAAATGATTTTTTTCCCATGATATGTTTACTTTTAAAAATATAAAGTAATAAGAAGTATATACCCAAATGATTACTTTTTACAAACAAGCAAAGGATTGGTCGACATAATAATTAAAAGGAATAGAATACAAAATGATCCATGGACCATTGATGATCCTTAACTACTGTTCATACCAAACTATAAAGGAGAATTTCGGTTATAATTTACTGTGGCATTTACTTTTGTATCACTTGTTAAAATGAAGTGTACAACTTAGGTGTATCGTATAATACTATGATTTGATATATAATGTATAGATTATGAAAGAGATAGGAGTATTAAAGAGCCTCGCCATGTCGCTAAATTATACACACACGAATAGATTGATAAAGGTATAAGAAATTGGCTATAATACGGATGATAAATTATACACATAGATAAGACCTATCAAGCTTAACAAATCATATACAAAATGATAAGACCAACAGACATGTTGAAAAGTAAATGGTATTGCTTGTGGTATTGACATGGAATATATCTTCCGTCAATCAGTTTATTCCGGATAATTTTCCAGTAAAACTTAAAGTACAAAGCTTTAAAGAGGAACCACTTATTTTCAGCCACAGTCCACATAAATAAGTGTAAAAGAAAATTAATCAAGAATCATTGAACCCCCGATATCTCCATGTTCCCATCAAATACCAGTTATCAGTGATTATAAATTGATGCAGATTGTAGTTTTGGTGGTTTTATAGCTCGTTCAATAATAAATAAGTGAGTTTTTTTTTTGTTCTGTTTTATTCTTTTTTTTTCCAATTTTTTTATTTATTTTATTTTACAAATGTACAAATATATTGCATGTATGCTGAAATTGCATTAATCTTTTCGTTATACAGACTGGGATTTTTGTTAATGTTTACTAATACTGCACATGCTGAAAATGCTATCACTAGCTTACAGTATTTATTTATGCTACGATAAAAAAAACGTTACTCTTCCAAATTGCGATTCCCGCCGTTATATAACAGAAAGATAATACCGGTTTAATCTGGTATACAAAAAATTTAACTAAATCCTGTTTTTATAACCGCTACTCTTTGTTCTTTTCAACGTTGAGCAGCTCGGTATGCTTTTTCGTCGGAGATGACCGCCGGTATATTCCACGTTCCTAGCGTATGACCAGAAATTTTCCCACCTAAACATGTTCGTCAAGTCAATAAAGTCAACAGGAAAAAAAGATTTTGGACGGTGTTGTAATTTTGCTACCTTCTTTAGTAGCTTCTTCACATCTTCTTCGGTAATTGGAAGACAAATGTGGATCCAGTGATTCCATAATCTGCTCATACTTCTCTTCAGCTTCCGATATCCGCTTCGCCTGAAAAAAAGAAGGAAACAATGAGCTATAAAAGATATTATCAGAGAAACGTTGATTGATTGTTGGAGTCTTAAACGTTTCTTTACCAGCTCAGTGGGGGCATTCAACGATCCGAATATCCCCACAAACATTCTTAATACATTGAAATTGTTCTCGACCACGTCATCCTACAACAAAACCATATTGAGTTTGATCAGTAAAGATTGTGATGACACGAGAGTTCTCTGACGGTAGCTAACCTCGTAATCGAACCTGCAAATATGTAGAATTTGAAACCACTCAGATATTAAAAGATTTAAAGTGTTTGTGGTAGATGAAAAAGTTTTAAGAAGAAGCGTACAGATCATCAGCTACTTCAACCAAGAACTCTGAAATTGACAAGAAGTCCATATGCAACTCATTCACCTTCTCCACAACAGTTCCAAAGAAAGACAAGACAAGACATTTATCAACTATCATAGAACAATATCTATATCCACTGAGATACTTAGAAGTGGACTTTGTTTAATACTTACCTCTTCTCCTCTCAACTTGTATAGTAGGAGATTCAACACTCGGTAATCAAAAGACTTCAAATGAATTGCTCTCATCACATCTTCAAGGCACATCTATCACACAATATAGATGAACGAGTGAGCAAATATAATTAGCAAAAACTAATAAACGTGTGGTTTAACGACAATAAAGTGAGAACTGGCTACCTTGTTTTTGTTAGAAAGATCATGGCAAAGCTTTCTCTCTAACGCCCAATACTCTTCTCCCGACCTAAACTCTTGCTGTATTCTAGCCAAGAAAAAAACAGTTAATATCAGTTACTGTTGTTGTTTGTTCCTTTGCTGATAAAACAGTATAAAAACGGAAGCTCTCTCTCAAGGAAATACCTCTGCGTCAAAAGGCCCTCGCGTTCAAGCAGATCTTCAAGCGGCTTTAGTGGATCAGTTTCAAACAAAGCTCGTGATTCAGCATTCCATCCATGGCTTGAATACTGCATCTCAAACGTTTAGGTTGTTGTACGTTGATATATGGTGATTCCTAAATATTACACGTGACATCTTACAATGACTTGGGATCCAGAAGCTGATTCACTGACTATCTTCTCATTAAGAGCATCCATCTACAGAAACAAAACAAAAAAGACTTACATTTCTTAGATTCGGGTCACATTGTCATTGTTTTAGTGCACATTTACTGAACATAGAAGATCTTATAGACACGAGAGGGCAAAGGAAACAGCAGAAGCAGAAATACACAGTTATGACCTGATATATGTAACTCTCAGTGAAGGAAAGCAAGGGTAAATATCTGAATATTGACTGTGGTTCGTTAATTTCCAAGCCGTGGAACATGAAATAAGACCTGGACTGCAACATAATATGGACAATTACAAAGGCAACAAATTCACAAATTACGAGAGAGAACAAAGGTTTGTCTACACAATTCAACCAGCAAAGACAGAACACATAGCAATTGCGTTTGTATGAGGAAAAAGGCTTACGAAATCCTCAAGAGTAGAGTTTGCTCTTTTCATTGAATCTAGCCCGACCATTGCCACCACTTGTTGGTGTTTCTGCGACGAGTAAGGATCAACAACATTGTCCATGACACACCTCTTCAAGTAACTTTTTTGCGACTCTGCTACATGGAAATCAAATATTCAACCGCAGTCGAATATTAAAAAGACTCAGAATTTCAGACACGCAAATTGAAGTTGCATCAAATTTCACACTATTATTACTTTTGAAGTCACTCAGCATTCAGCAAACATCCATCATTCCAAGTGAAGTGAAACGTAAACTACAGATGCAGAGTAAAACCTGAGCTTGTGTTTACTGGTTTGGGTTCATCGTCTAGCTCGATCGACCTCGAAATCGCCTCGAGGAAATGACCAGAGATCTGAGCAGTGAAACATAAACACTTTGAAAACGGGACAATCTAGATTTCAAGGAGAATCGTAACAAAAAGTGTGCCCAGGACCTAGCTTACTTTCGGAATGAAATCAGAGACCAGGCCGAGTTTCGAATCAATATCGAGGTCGCCGCATGGTTGTACCTTGCAAAGAGCAAGAAAATCAGATTTTTTTTTTGTTTCACTGGGAAATCTGGGAGTGAAAATTCGAAAACCCTTACAAGGAAGAGGACGAGATTGGAAAGGAATCGAGAAGAAGCGGGATCGGAAGTCGAAGAAGAAAGTAAACCGTGACGAGTGATTGCTGATACAACACTCTGAAACTTCTCCAATCGTCTTAGCTCCTCCATCGAAATCGAAAGTCGTGAACTCGGTGATGCATTCGTAACACATAGATCCTTGTTTATTATTTCCGAGTTTAATATCAATTTTGTAATAATCGTTAATTCAATATATATATATATATATATATATATATATATATAGCTTTGTTTGAATGAATTATGAAAGGAAGCAATAACCAAGATATAAGGGATGATTGGTAGGAGCTGTGGTTGCTCTACACAGCCCAAAATCTTTCTACAGTAATTTAAAATTACCAATCATGCTCTCATTCTGTCTCTTTCCATTTTTGAAACACATAGCAATTTTTTATATTTATGAAAGTTCCGTGGCTTTGGAAAGCAATTTTTCTAGAGCACCAAATTAAGTGCTCTTAGAATTTTCTCTTTTCTCTTTCTTTATTATTTTTTCAATATTTATTTTTTAATCTATTATTTCTATATCTTATCTTTTCTGTTTTAATGCTATATTTAATGACACAATCTACAATAAGAAATCCTACATCACTAAAATCTATATTTATAGCCAAAAATTCTACAGCGTAAAATCTACAGCAAAAAAATTAAAGCTACAGCTACATCCAATCAGGCCCATAAAACCAGAAAGTAAAATGTCGACCGAAACATATAAAATCGTATTATCTAAGGAAACAAAAGCTTATAATCCCATCCGTACATCATCGAATCAGAAACAAGTTCAGGTGCAAGAAAAGCAAAGTCATATATAGTAGTAGGTAAAAGCAAAAGCTCGAAACAGAGGTAAGATCTCTATTCTCTAGGCGTCAGAGCATATTTAACGCGGGCGCTTAAAGCGACGCTTAACACAAATTAAGCATTTAATTAAATAAAAAATACGAAAAAAACAAAGCTCCGACGCTTGCATAAGCTTTTTAAGCGCTGGTGCTAATGGACACGTGGCAGGTTATGATTGGAAGGAGGTAATTGAGAGATAAAAACGTGTTTCTTTCTCTTTCCCTTCTCTCTCTTCTTTGCTTCCCCTCTCCAATGGCGATTCCAAAATTGAATTAATTTTGCATACGAAATCAGTCGGAATTCACGTCTCCGGTGATGGGGCATCCCTAATCATCTTATGGTGATGAGAATCGGCGAAGAAGCCGCATGATTGGTTCAGTCTGCGAGAGGATGGGACTTTACTCAATCCAGCCATTGTTTCAAGTAAGACCTCAAATATGCATGTTTGGTTATGTTTGCGCTTGCTTAGAGAGTCTAGAACATGGATTTGAGATGAGTACTTGTGCCTTTAATTACAGTTGTGATTGTAATTCTGTATTGGTGTTGTTGAATTGAATGTAGATTGGTAACAAAGCTCTTCTGAATTTAAAACTAAGATCTCTTTTTTTCAATATCTGCTTATTGTTCGGTGCATTGACACTTTTATCTTCAGATGTAGAAAACTTGGATGTTGATCTTTCTCCATCGTTCTTCAATTCTGATTCTCTGAAATCGGTTTGTTCTCTTGTGTCTTGTCTGTTACAAGTAGCAGTGAATTTTACAGCATTTTTCACCAAAACTAAGATGGATGTTGCTGGAATTGAGGTGATTATGGTGAGTTCTATTAGCTTTCATGATCTTTTAGCAGATTGAGAAGATAGTGACATAATAATGTGATATGAACACTTGTTGCATTGATTGGTTTAGCGTTCATAGTTATTGTATTGATGGTCTGTCTAGTGGCTATTTCCTCTAACTGCGGATATCTTGTATATTTTAACTCACTGGTTTTATGATTTGAAGTGAGAATGTTTCATGTTTTGTGGTGGAACAGATTGTCTTGCTTTTCCTTTTCTGAAATTTGATAAGATAGCCAAGATTAGTTTTCTATGTTTGTATCCACCTATGTGAAATACATGGTGCTCTTTTTTGAGGATACCTCTCAGAGGTAGTTCAATGAAATTGGGTCTTAATGGTGATTGTTTGTGTCTCTGTCTTTATCGCTGAATTGTTGGTGCTTTGTTCTCCAGGGACAAGTTGCTGCTATAGATATTAAACTACCAAGAAGACGTTTGCTTGTGGAATTCACTTGCAATTCATGTGGAGAAAGAACGGCTTATCAATCGCTTGGCCTATGAACGTGGCCTTGTCTTTGTTCAAGTAAAGTCTTGTACACACTATATGTTTGCATAATTGTCCAACAGAGATTCTAAGCTAAGTGTTTTCATGAATTTGAAGTTGAGAGACACAAAAGATAGTATTTTTGGTTGGTTTGACAGCCTTTAAAATAATTTCTTAATTTTTTTTTTCTTAAGCACCCCCCAATAAGCTCCCCCCATTAAAGCAGAGAAAACAAAATAATTTTAACAGAGATGCTTAGCACAATTTTATTAATAAAATATATAATAAGCATCACATAAGCACCTTTGCGTTAAGCATGCTCTCATGTCATCTCTCTCATAGCTATCCTTTTCCGGTAGGGTTTCTACTGGTAAGGCATGTACCGCATATGTCTCGTGAACCTAGGGGCCTTCCTGTAAGAGGCATTTCGTCTGAGAAAATGAAGAATAGGCTAAAATGTGATAGCCGAGGGAAAATATGAAGAGTTTATTATACCTGAGCCATCAATTCGTTGTACCGCTTCTCACACGAAATAGCTGTACGTCCAGTGTTAAGGATACGGCTCACGTTGCCCCACAGAGGATACCATTGGTTTTTAAGTTCCACGAGTTTGAGATCCTCCTCTTGCGTCCACGGCTAGTCAAAGAAAATAGAGAGTACTAAATAACCAAACTCAACCAAATAAAATTTGATAAGACAAATTGAGAAAATAAAGCAATACCTTTTCGGTCAGAAATTCGAACTGAGTACGGCACTCACGCGATGAATACTTTCCGCCAAACAGTGTGGCCGATATGGTTTCCCAGTTACGTCCAAATCTTGGAGCCTGAGACACGAGTCGGCTATTCTCAGCCGCCGTCCACATGGTTTTAACTAAAATCGATCAAGATCATCAGAAAAGTCAAAAAACTCAGATTGTAACTCGATTGTACAATCGTATAAGGGAAATCAGCAAATGTGAAACACAAAAAAGTTAAGCTTTTTTTGGAGAATTTGCGTGGAATTTACAGAAACAAATAATTCCCAAATGCAATCAACACTCGATTCAAAAACCCAATCAGAGAGACCCAAGATTCATTCATATCATAAACCTAAAAGAGAAAAGAAGAAACAGAGCGAAAAAGAAACAAATTCCCAATTCCAATCAACAAGACTCGAACAAAAACCCATTTCCAGAGACCCGATCAAGATTCATCATTTCATTATCAAGACAAAAACCACCCAGAGCGAGAGAGAGAAACAGTGGAATTTTCGTCGACCCCAAGATTTCGTAAAGCAATAACAGAGAGAAATAAAGAAGACAAACAGAGGAGCGTAAGAGTGAAACTATACCGAAATTTCTGGAATAAGAAAACAGAGATGCGAAAGAAAGCAACAGACTATCAGCGGGATTTTTGTGAACCCAATCAATATTTCGTAAAGCAATACGAGAGAGAGAGAACTAACGAGGCAAACAGGGGAGGAAACAGAGAGCGAAACAGATAATGAAGAAGAATACCTTGAGAGAGAACGTGGAGAGAGAGATCGGCGAAAAATGACAGTGGAGAAGTCGGCGATGATGGGAATCGAGAGAAAGATCGATGATGGGAATTGAGAGAAAGATCGATGATGGGATTCTAGCGAAAGATAGAGAGTGTGGAATGAGAAGAAAACGGGTATTTATAGCTGAAGAGAGTGATATTTTTTTCAATTTTTTTTTTGTTTAAACGGTTTATTACGTACATCAGAGGTTAAAGGCTTAAAGCTTATGTATTGTTTTCGCGTTTTATTTTAAGGATTTTTTTTGTTTTTTAAATATATATTTTGTGATCATTTGAAATTTAAATAAACAAATTCAGTTTGAATTTCTTTTAAATTATATATGCTATTTTGTATATTTATTTGTTATTTATTTTGCGTAAGATAATTGGATCAATTCACCGATTTTGTGAGAAACAAAACATTGTCGCATAGGCGATGCAGTGAAAAGCCTGAAAATTCTAATGTATTTAAATATTCTACTGAAAATCTCCCTCATGTACTTCATTTGTCCAATACTGTATTAAATACCTATTTTCTTAGACCCAGCACTTTTTGATGGTGAATGGTGAAAAAGAGTTGTTTTTGTCTCAGTTTTTGGAGTTAGAGTACATGTATCATGTATCTCTAAGCTTGTCCAAGTCCTTAACTGATTCACATAGGCATAGCATCTCAGTATTGAATAAATCAAGTAACCAGCTGCGTGTGCGACGGTTAAAAACTGATATTTGTTTAAGAGATTCTTCAAAATTTTGTAATTTGGTTTCCATTTTTCTTCCTTTAAAGTTTCCTCATAATAATAATATTTCCTCATGGTTGCAATTGCGTGGTAGATGATGGTTCGCTGTTTTAAACTTTTAGGGGATCACCGGTTGCAAATTGGGTACGATGGCTCAAAGCCCATTCTCCAGTCAAAGCCCAAAATGCAATAAAAACATAAGAGGAAAAGAAGAGATATGGTGTTTATCTCTCCTTCCCAGGTAGGCTGTAAGAAGTTCAGGAAGTTGTACCGCTTCACAAACCAGGCGATAATCTGATGAGGTAGCTTCAATGGTTTTCATGTCTTTTGGTGAATTTTATTTGGGTCCTAATTGATTTCTTCCTGAAAGTTTCCGTTCTATGTTTAATATCCGTGCTTAGCTTATTGAATTTTTAGATCTCATAATTAACAAAAAAAAATCGATTTCCTTTTACTGATGTCAATGTTTTCCCTTTTTATTTTTGTTTTCCGAAATCGATTCCTAGTGGGAGGAGGACTCAGATGATTGGTTTGGTGTATAAATAAAGAGCAAGCATATGGTGGCTCCTCTCCTTCAATCTTCATCAATCATCCATCATTCAGTTTAGAGACATAGACGGTATGGAGTTTCTACCACACGATGTGATAGAGTATCATATTCTGGAGAGACTTGATGTGGAAACACTTCTCAGATTCAAGTCTGTGTCGAAGCAATGGAACTCTACAATCCAATCCCCCAACTTCAAAAAAAGACAACTCATCTACCATCGTAGGCAATCACGACAAGATCCATATGTCCTTTTGGTGTCCGTTCACGATGGCTCTGCTCATAATTCAGTCTATGAAGCTCTGAGAACGTTGCCGGTGGATTCATCATCATCATCATCAGTTTCTGCTCAGATCCCAACTTGTTGGGAGAACAAGCTTTACCAAGTTTGCAATACTAGCTGCGATGGTCTGATATGCCTCTACGATTTCGATGATATGCCGAGTATTGTGGTCAATCCCGCCACTCGATGGCATCGGACTTTCCCTCCTTGTAACTATCAACTAGTTGCTGCCGAGAGGAGTAAGAGATACGCCGAAAAGATTAAGAGAGGAGAAGAAGACGACGACGCCTACAACTATCCAATCCCTTCTCCTGGATTTGGTAAAGACAAAATCAATGGCACATACAAGTCAGTTTGGTTATATAACTCTGCTAAGTTAGGGGTTAACAACAACACTTCTACATGTGAAGTTTTTGATTTTGCAACCAACTCTTGGAGGTACCTTGTCCCTGCGTCTCCTTGTCTCATTCTTCACACGCAAGCTCCTGTCTATTTAGATGGGTCACTGTATTGGTTCACTGCCTCCTCCGACGATGGTGAATACTCCAACGATGGTGAAACCATGGTTTTGTCTTTAGATCTTCACACGGAAACTTTCCAAATCATCGCTAAAGCTCCCTTTCTCCACGCCTCTGATCTGAAGATCAACATGAGCAACCTGAATGATCGTTTGTGCGTATCCGAGGAAAAGGGACTCAACCAAGTCATATGGTCATTCGATTCACACCACAAGACATGGAATCAAATATACTCCATCGATCTCACTATAGCTTTTTCTTTGTGTGGGAGACCCATGTTGGCACTCGTACCACTAGCGGTTTTGGACAAGGACAAGCTATTGTTTTACTCTCGGGAATTCGGGGATGCATTCGTAACACATGATCCCATCACCAAGTCTTACGTTTTGGCGGCTCAAACACCTAATCGTGATGCATACGCTGTTTACTATTTCCCGAGTTTAATATCTATTTTGTAAATAAAAAGCTTAATTATTTGCAAAACATTTTTGTTTCTAAGTTTCTAAGTTTTTGGTTCTAATAAATCTTTACTTCAATATCCAGCTTTGAGTGAAAGGAAGCAATAATAACCAAGATATACTAGAACGTAAAATATCCACTGAAACATAATCGTATAATTTAAGGAAACAAAAGCTTATAATCCCATCCGTACAAGATAGATTCAGAAACAAGTTTAGGTGCAAGAAAAGCAAAGACATAATCATATATAAAGCTCGAAACAGAGGTCCGACCTTTATTCTCTAGGCGTCATCTCTCTCATAGTTATCCTTCTTCGGTACGGTTTCTACTGGTAAGGCATGTACCGCATTGGTCTTCTGAACCTAGGAGCCTTCCTGTAAGAGGCATTGCGTCTGAGAAACTGAAGGCCAAATGTGATAGCTGAGGGAAAATATTAAGAGTTTTAACGTACCCGTATCCGTATGGAGAATAAAAATACGGAGGCACATAGGGTCTACGAAAGCGGTAGCCCATAGAAGGGTTGAAATTCCCAGGACGATACTGTTTCATACCAGGAACGTTGGTTCGCTTAGGAGAAACCTGAAATGAAGAAGCAAGAGAAGACTGAGATCAGTGAACAGTGAAGGGTCTATTTTCTGGTCAGAGTATTGGTCTTGGTAAAGAGATGTTACCTTCAGTTGACGACCGTGTAACTCTGATTCATTCAGTTGAAGAGCTTCTTGCACGGCTTCGACTTCAACAAATTCCACGTATGCGAATCCCTTTGGTTGTCCAAACTTGTCCATCAGAATGGTTACCCTGTTCACTGTTCCACATGTCTGGAAATGAAGCTGCACTTCTTCGGGTGTACAAGCATAATCGACCTGCAGGGTTGGAAAAATAAGGTTTTAGAGTAACACACAAGCATTCAGATTGCAGCTAAACCTCCCTGAGCACATAACAGATAAATAAGTTAACCACTGCACTAAAGCAAGACGAGTGAGAGAATTGTGTTCTTTCAAGCAATCTTCTATGTCAAAAAAATTAGACACAAGGAACATGTGTACGTAACATAAACTTTATGAGATTCAAGATTTTAAAAGCGTGAGGCAAAATACATGATAACAGGCCAGCATCAAACTGCGACCTCACACGAAATTCGTGAAACAACCAAACCTGTATGAGCTCCCAAGTCTCCTCTCTGCAGAGCTTTGGGTCGTGACTAGAAAGCATCCAGCATCTTGATTCAGCTCTTCAAAGGCCCTCTACTCAAGGATTACAAAAACCTTGCTTTCTACTCCCACCCAACCTCACTCCTTTTTTTTTTCTTCCTCTCAATAAATCTCATTTTTTTCATTTCTCAATGCATTTTTTTTTTCACATTTTTTCTGCTTAAGCTTTTTTTTTCAATCTTTTTTCTTTCTTTTCTTTTTACTTTTTCAACATTTTTTTAAAAGCTTTTTTCATCAAATTTCATAACAAGGCAATTCCCAACACTAACAAGGAGACTACAAGATAGCCACAAAAACTAGTTGACAACCCAGAGCTACTAAGAACTTCAGGTATGAGAACAACCCTGCGATTATGTAGGACACAGAGTTAAACTATGATACTAAAGCTTCAAAGCATTCACAAGAGAAGCAACACTTGGAAAACTTCGGGTATATATATAACCTATAACTTAACCAGAGCAGAATAATTAATCATACTTAACAACAATTAAAAGCTAGCTACGGATTCTAAATTATCAGCAGTTATTTACTCAGAGGATCAAGTTATGTTATAGCCAGCTCAGGTTCATCCACAATTCCACAAGATTTCCCAGTTATGGCACTAATCTTAATGAAACAATAAGGGAGCACAGAAACCATGAAGAACAAGATAAGCTTTCTTACATTTCCAACATAAACTGATCGAGCATCCACCTCCTCTTTTCCTGCTTGATTTGTAGCCTCAGGATCTGAAAAACCCATTTGGGAGATTTTGTAAAGACGAAGCAAAACAGATAGAATGAGAACTTCAATTTCGTAGTCGTAATCCAGACTCGAATTCAAAGATAGCCAGACTCAAACACACAATCGGAGCAAACGTATTGAATTGCACGAGAAATGAAAACGAAATAGCCACAAACCTTGACCAGCTCCCATCTCTTTCTCGACCTTTGCCTGCATCTCGCGTAGCGCAGCAGCCTCTTCCTCCATCTCCTTCAATCTCCTTTTCATCTCATCAAGCTCCTAATTCCACAAAGTCGAACAAAATTACACACAAGTAATACAAATCAAAACGAGCGGAAAAAAAGAAGAAGAAACAAACCTTAACGGCGTCATCATCAGCATTCATGTCGATATCTGGATCGGGAGCTTCCATCTCTCCGACTTCAGGAATCTCTCCCCCGTAAACCTCATGCTCCTCTTCCTCCATTCTCGCTTTTCCACTCTTCCTCGCTCCAAACGTATAAACGATGACTACTGATTGCTTCCGGAGAATCTAAACGCTTCCGGCATTCTTCTTCCCATCCAGTTGCTCGCGACGACGTCGTTCTCAAAATGGGCCTCAGGAACGTGAATTAAAAGGCCTAACTCTAACACACAGCTTCAATGTTTTCTTTAATATCAATTCAGCCCTCATAGTTCGTTAGAATTTACATAATTAGTTAACAGCACCGCCCGAAAAACATGCGTCTGACACATAAGAAAAGGTTTTAAAACTAACGAATAATACATAGACACGTAAGCATTTCCAAAGAGTACACAGAACTTGACCGCACCTGATCACTGCGTGTAAAGTTCTTCTTCCTCCATATTTTTCACTAGCTTAGTTTATTTACACTTCACCATTGTTGAAAACAGGGGAAATTTCAGTGAAGATGGCGAGTGGAGGATACGGAGACCCGTCGCAGAAGATTGACTACGTCTTCAAGCTGGTGCTGATCGGAGACTCTGGGGTCGGGAAATCGCAGATACTGTCTCGGTACGCGAGAAACGAATTCAGCTTGGATTCCAAAGCTACCATCGGCGTCGAGTTCCAAACTCGAACACTTGTAATCGACCATAAGAGTGTCAAGGCTCAGATCTGGGACACTGCAGGCCAAGAGCGGTAATCTCAAAAACTTCCTAATTTTGAATTTCGCTTTTCATTTGCCACTGTTTGATCCGCCGCTTGTTCGAACTAGATCTCGTAACTCCAATTCCAACTGTTCATGGCGATCTGTGTGCGAAATTTCAAATTGGTTTCGTTCCGAGATCAGATGTGACTTTGCGTTGAAAACGGTGTCGTACAGGTATAGAGCAGTGACGAGTGCGTATTACAGAGGAGCGGTTGGTGCGATGCTGGTTTACGACGTGACTCGACATCAAACGTTCGAGCATATCCCACGGTGGCTTGAAGAACTGCGTGGTCACGCAGATAAGAACATTGTGATTATACTCGTTGGGAACAAGTCTGATCTTGAAGATCAACGAGCAGTCTCGACGGAAGACGCCAAAGAATTCGCGGAGAAAGAAGGTCTTTTCTTCTTGGAGACTTCGGCTCTGAACGCAGTCAACGTGGAGTCGGCTTTCTCGACTGTTTTGACTCAGATTTTCAACATTGTGAACAAGAAAAATCTTGTTGCCGGAGAAGAACAAGGGAATGGCGATCCTGCATCGCTTGCTGGTAAGAAGATCGATGTTGTTCCGGTTCCTGGTCAGGTTATTCCGTCTAAGAATATCTTGTGCTGTAACTCTTAGAAACCTTGAATCTTTTACTTTGTTGTATCCACATTTCTTCATGAAGTGCATTTTTGTTTTGGTATTTTCATTTGAGCCTGAGTTTTGCTTCCGAATTAATTGATTACCTTTTCGAAAAAAATCACCGATCCTTAAAATTACCTCTTCACATATAATTCGTTTCTGATTGTGATTTCTAAAATTACAAGACCGGTTTAAGTAAGAATGAAGACATGTGGTTCTAATGAAGAGACGGGTTTATGTATTAGATCAAAATATAAAAACCAAAAATTAGGTTCAAAACTTTGATATAATAAAATGATGAAAGTTAACACAAGCAAAAACCCAAAAAAACGATGTTCAAAATGGCGTTTACATGTCTTTGGAGCAACTTAAATACGACAAGAAACGAACTAGAGAGAACGAATTCTCCTAATCATTGGGAGGAGTTTAGGCAGCAACGGGCTTAGCGGCAGCGGAAGAGAGTCTGGATCTCTTCTTGGCCAAACTTTCACTACGGCGATCACGTTGCTCCTTAAGCCTGGAGGCAAGAAGCTTCTGGTACTCAGCAGCATCAGAGGTAGCCTTGGCAATTCTCTTCTTCTTGTCAGCAATTCTAGCTCTCTTCCTCTGAAGGGTCAATGGAGTCACAAGCCTCTGGATCTTTGGGGCTTTGCTCACTTCCTTACCTGTTACAAAACCCAAAATACAAGAAACAAGTCTCAGATGACCATAATCTAATTCTCAAGTTTGTTTGAGATTTGGTTCTGACTTTCACTCACCCTTCTTGTTTGTGAATTTGCGGCGGTAAGTGTTGACGTAGGTCCTCACATCGTCTTCCTTCTTGAGGTTAAACAGCTTGCGGATCTTTGAAGCTCTCTTGGGTCCTCTCATCCTTGGCTTCTCGGTATCGGTAAGCCCAGGAAGCTCGTGCTCACCCTTTTTCACAATCACAAGGTTAAGAACAGAGAGGTCAGGGCTCACAATGCAACCACGAACGGACTTTCTTCTCCTCTCACCAGTCCTCCTTCCATGTCCTCTGAAGCAAGGAGTTCCTGCTCACGCAATAACCAAATCATGTAAATCAATATCAATCAAAACACAGCGAAAAATAACAAAACACAGATGGAAAACTCGTAAGAGAGCAAAGTTTGATTAATCACCTCGGTGAAGCAAAAGGCGAACACGGCCTGGAGTCAAAACTCCCTGCTTCATTGGGAAACCTTGTTTGTCACATCCTCCCATGATCTTGAAGACGTAACCCTTGAACTCCTGCAAATATCCCAAAAACACATTCTTCTGTTAATCATTCTGAAAACACACAAGACAAAATGAAATCACTGAACGAGTAGAAGAAATCTCACCTCGCCAAGAGCATCGCCGCTCACTTCCTGAGAGAGCCTCTTGTCGTAAAAAGCACGGCTGCATCATACAATCGAAAATCAAACTCAATAACTGTACGCGTAAAGCATTCATTTTCAGCTAGAATCAGTAACGTTGAATTGGTAGATTCAGAAATGGTTCAATGAAATACATCAGAACATCGCAGTGAACATCAGAGTTTAACATTGCAGCGGACTTGAATTTGCAATAACTATTCAACATTTCTACGTTTACATCCAAAAAAATCTACGAGCTCTTATATTCCGAATCCCAATTCTATCATGAATCTATAAGAAACTATAGACTATGGAGTAAAGGAAAGAGATCTTACAGCTTTTGGTCGTCATCGATCTCGAGCTTCTTCTGGCAACCAGTGGTTGGATTTGCGACGTTGAACTGCGACAAAAACAAATTCGATTGAATAAAACGAAATAACACAGAGAGATTATAAGTGCATATAATCCACGAGAAGGAAATTGATGAGCTACCTTCATCTTCTCCGGTAGAAACTGCCACTAGAACAGCCTGCGAGACAGATTCCAAGGTATAATAAAGCTCTTGGCGGCAGTGGCAAATCTAGGGTTTTGGGGGAATCAGAAAAAGGGCCAACTTATAGGAGAATCAGATTGGGTCTATTCAGGGTTGTGTCGCTTCTAAGATGGGCCACAATAATGTTTAAAACAAGCCCAGTCAGGTTCTCATATCAACAAAATTTGTGTTAAGTTTTTACCAATTCAGATTAATCCAGTTCTCAATGGGGTTATAAGTTTAACTGTTTGTTGTATCCAATAAGTTTTCACCAATTTAATTCTTTTTAATTATTACTGTATCTGATTTGTTTTAGGCAGCTAATTATTTTCTCATTGAACTTAAATGCTTTGACTAGGAAAATAATTGTGGATCTAACAAAAACTTTACCATATTTCAGCTGAACTATACAAATTTAATTCTTTTTAGTTATTATATAATTTGTTTTAGACTATATTGCATGGAAACGAAAATACGGAAGCAAACGTTTTCGAAGCAAGAAACATGTATTTTAAAAAAATTCAAGTTTGGAAACATATAGATGTAAATGAATAATATATTTATAACATATTAAATATTAAATAATTTAACTAAAGATAATTATCATAAATAATTATCATAATGTTTGAATGTCAAATTATTAAAAATATTTTCTATTATTATTGTTATGCGGTCCATCAGTGGAAACTATTGTGAACTACTAGGACTTTCACCCGCGCACGCGCGGGTCTGTATCTTAAATCAGTTTAAAATATATTTAATTTTTTTTTTAAACTGCAAAAATCAACAATTAAAATTTATCAATATTTCAATACCAAAACTCTCTGGAAAACAAAAGTTTTTAGATATATCAATATCGTATTGAGATCAAATCTTGACATACAAAAATATTGTTTAGATCATATCCCGGTAACAAAAATGTTTGTGTATGTCTAATGACCAAAACTTACTTGAAGATATTCAAATCATTATAATAGGACAAACTTACTTTATCACTAAACTTATTTGTAAAATGTAATGTTAATTTATGAACTATTGTGACGTGTTAGTCATTTTCTAAACAGAAATATATTTTTAAATATATTTAGTGAAATTCTTAAAATTAGATGTCAATAATATTTGTATATAACATGATGTTTATTTAAAATAACTTCAGTTGGTTATGTTAGAACTTAAAATGCTATAAATAACAATATTTGTATGTAATAAATTTAAGCTAGATGATAAACTAATATTTTGGTAAGTTTTCAATGGTTATAAAACCTAAAACCTAAATGAAGAGAAGCTAGTCGACACACATAATTGTTCTTCATTTTCTTCTTCGTTGTTGTTTTAAAGTTTTTTTTTAATTTTCTTTGATTCATTCTTTTTCAGTATCTTATGTTTTGTTTTCTTCTTTGTCTTTGGTCTTATTTGATTTCTTCTTCATTTTCACTCATCTTCGCGTTTGCTCTTCTTCGTCTTTGCTCTCTTTTTTTTCTTCTTTTTTTTTGTTTTGTTTTGATTTGGTTTCTTCTCCTTTGTTCTTATTTTATTTCCTCTTTAGATTGGTCTTCGCAAGTTTTTTTGTTGTTGTTAGGTTTCTTCTCCTTCGTTCTTGTTCGAATTCCTCTTCAAATTGTTCTTCACAAGTTTTTAATATGGTTTTTCCTTATTCATCTTTGTCTTCTTTTGTCTCTATTTTGTATTCGCAATTCAATATCTTTGTTTTCGCTATTCTTCGGTTTTATCTTGGTACTCTTCTTTTTTGTGTCTACTTTTTTCTTCATTTTGTTTTCTCTTATTTCTGTAGGTTATTCTCGACCCTTAAAATTCTGCATGGTTCCATTCCTCTTGTAAAATTCTGCATGGCTCTATTCCTCTTAAATTTAGAATAAATTATAATTAAATAAAACACAATTTCGTTACCTGAAAAACTGAAAATAAAATCAAGCTAGAATGACTTATTGAACAAAATATATTCAAAACAGGCCCTTTGAATGTCATATGTAAATACTAAAATGAGAAGGAATTTATCTTATTCTGTTTTTAATAAATTTACTTTTGTTTATATTCCTTCTCTTTCAAGTGACATCTTTTAAAAGTACTACTTATAAACACATGAATATGTAAATATTACAAAACATTGAAAAACGAAGAAAAGAAAAATAGAAAAGGAACAAAATACAGCCTTCTATTGTGTTTGCCTTTTCCTTTCAATTTGTGTCATGTAATCACTATTCTGATTTTTTTTGTTTCTTCATAATCAATATTATTTTCCCCATCGAAAGCTTACTAATTTAGGAGCAACAATTCACTTTTGATTTAATCTACACTTTGGTAATTTCGATTCCTTGTTCTCTTCATAGTCCTTTGATTATTTTGTGGTAATGTAACTTATTTATTAATTAATTGGATGTGCTTCCATTATCAAAATACAAAGAAAATCAATTGAACACCATAGACCAGATAATATTCGAAATAAAGCAAGCGAATTTATTTATTTCACAGAAGGACATGTATACCTTCAGTGTGATGCCCATTGTCTTCGTTTCAATCATTCCTTTGCTTCATGATTTTTCATTAATTCACTACATATCCTTTAGAAGAATTGATCGATCTATGTGAACTTTCAATATGTGATGTCAAAGTATCTTGTCTTCAATATATATCCCTCCATCTTGCTTCCAGGTGGTTTCTCGATGTTGGATTTGTTTGATCTTATATCAAGCTCTGACGTGAACATATGTTTATTCATGTAAGCTACATTTGATCAAAATCGAGTTAATACAATTGTAGCTTTAGATGTTGATATATAATGATATTGTTGGTATAATTTTCTTATTTATTACATATCTCTACTAATATTACACTTATAAATTCTGGAAACTTTCCTATTGCTTAACTTTGAATTATGAAACTTTCTTAAAATATAAAAATATAAAAAGGAATTTAACTAATTGAACAAATAGCTAATTTTATGTGATGATGTGGATTGATACTATTGGTTGTTTAAAATTCGGAAACTTTCTTAATCTAGGAAATACTTATGTGGACCAATCAAATCGCGTTTTATAATCCTATGTGGACGCTCTCAGAGGCTTATAGCCTCAACTTTTATATAATATAAATTTTCATAAACATCTTCAAGCTCAATATATAATGCTAAGACTAATCTCATCTAATAATCAAATTAATCATTTAATTATCTTAAATAATTAAACTAATCGTTTAATATTATTATTTGCTATGTAATTTTAAATATTATATTTTTAAAACCTATAAGTAAATTCCGTCAATTTTAAATACGAACGAGTTTCGAAATTGCAAATTTTAGGAAACGTGAAAAAACGAGTTTCCGACAAGTTTTCGAGAATTTCCGTTTCAGAATCTGAATGGAAAACGTGTGTCGGACGGAGGTTCCATGCAACATATCTAATTATTTGCTCTTTAAACTTAAATGCTTTAACTAGGAAATAATTTTTTTTTTATGGTAGAACTAGGAAAATAATTGTGGATCTAAGGAAAACTTTACCATATTTCAGCTGAATTTATTTACTTGAGATATCAGCGTTTCTGAAAAGAAGAAAAAAAAAGAACTAGGTTATAGATAAAGGTAAAAGTAAAACGAAGAAGAAAATATTATAAAGAGTTTTTCTCAGGCTACTGAAATCTTTTCAAGTTCTGTCTCTTTCGCTCACTAAAACTGTTAGAGAAGACACAAAAACTGGTGGCATGAGGAACTCTTTTCCTCCGACCGACGGTCGACGATCGGCGACTGATCGTCGTCAGTCGTCGTCCCCCTCCCCTTCCATATATCAGTGTAACTTCATCTCTATTCGCTCCTCTCCGCCGCTCAACCACCGTCCTACTCCGAAGCACCACCACTACCCTAACTCTGATTTCCCGCCAAATTACAGGCGCGATCGGGCTCCGGCGCCTGGAATCTCCACTTCAGGTACGCGTATCAGGCCGAATTTCATTGTTCAGCTTGTTCACTCGAGAACTAGCGCCGCCAACAGTGACACCAAGCCGTCGTTTTCGGTTAGAGAGCAAGAGATCACGAGTCTCGCTTCGCTCTGCGAAATTCCCGAGGAATCAATCCATGTGCCCCAATTCGGTTGTGTCGCCGGAAGTTTCAGTTTTCGCCAGTGGGTCGACGCACTCTCTGCCGTCGTTGCTCTCTGGGATTATCGCCTGCAAAGGAAACATGATTTCGTTCCTGAGCTGATTCCTAATGTCATCGTCCCGTCCGACATGGACGAGCTTAGAGACAGGCTTCGTGATCTTTTCTCAGCTCACGTTCTCTCGCTTGTGGAAAACGGAGGCGCCGTGAAGAAGGTGAAAGCCGAGATAGATGAGAAACGTCGTCAAATCGAGTCCTTTTCGTCCAAAAGAGGTCTCAGTTTTGAGGTTTTTGAGAAAAGGAAGGTTCTTGAGGCAGAGAGAGATTCGGTTGTTAAGCGGCTTGAAGAATTTCAGAATGCCATGAAGCGTATCATTCGATTTCTCAAAGGAAAAGATGGAGAAGAAGACGGCGACAATGTGGCCGTGTTCAGTTTGGAAGGAGCCTATGATTGGCCACGCATTCATAATCTGATCCGCAGGGAGTGTCGAAGGCTTGAAGATGGACTGCCTATCTATGCCTACCGGCGGAGTATTTTGCAGAGAATTCATGGCGAGCAGGTATTTCGAAAAATCCAATCTTTGACAGTGATCTTTGCCTCTTTGGATCCGAATTGTTAGTTGGAATGTTTATCAATTGCTAGTGATCAAACTTTAGTAATACAGGTTGGAGAGTTCACTTAATTACTTAGTGATCAAACTTTAGTTAATAAGTGATCAAACTTTAGTTAATAAGTAAAGATTTGTGATTTGTGTACCAAGCACACTGTTGACTCAGTTTTCATTCTAACTGTGTTCACAGGTAATGGTATTGATTGGAGAAACTGGTTCAGGGAAGAGCACTCAGGTAGTTCAGTTCCTTGCTGATTCCGGAGTTGCGGCTAGCGAGTCGATTGTTTGTACACAGCCACGGAAAATTGCTGCCATGACATTGGCTGATCGTGTCAGAGAAGAAAGCAGGGGTTGCTATGAGGAGAATTCTATCCGCTGCACTCCAGCTTTCTCTTCTACCGAACAGATTACTTCAAAAGTTGTGTACATGACGGATAATTGTCTGCTTCAGCACTACATCAAAGATCGGAGTTTGTCTGGCATTTCATGCGTTATTATTGACGAAGCACATGAAAGAAGCTTAAACACAGACCTTCTTCTGGCGTTGCTCAAAGATCTGCTATGCAGAAGAGTTGACTTAAGGCTTGTCATCATGTCTGCCACGGCTGATGCCAACCAGCTCTCAGACTATTTCTTCGGCTGTGGGATTCTTTATGTCACAGGGAGGAACTTTCCGGTGGAGATTGTGTATTCCCCTAGTGACACAGAAGAGACTTGTGTTGTTGGCAAGATTGCTCCATATGTGAATGACGTTGTTAAGATGGCAATGGAAGTGCATAAAACAGAGAAAGAAGGAACCATCCTTGCATTCTTGACTTCCCAAGCAGAGGTAGAATGGGCGTGCGAAAGGTTTATAGCTCCATGTGCAGTGGCTTTACCTTTGCATGGGAAGCTTTACTTCGAAGAACAGAATAGGGTTTTCCAGAATCATCCTGGGAGACGGAAAGTGATATTTGCCACAAATATTGCAGAGACCTCCTTGACCATTCCTGGTGTCAAGTATGTGATTGATTCTGGAATGGTGAAAGAGAGTAAATATGAACCTAGAACGGGGATGAGCATCCTCAAGGTCTGCCGGGTTAGTCAGAGTTCTGCTAAACAACGTGCTGGTCGTGCTGGAAGGACAGAAGCAGGAAGATGTTACAGACTGTACTCAAAGCAGGATTTTGATTCAATGAATCTTAATCAGGAACCTGAGATTCGGAGGGTCCATCTTGGTGTAGCACTTTTGAGGATTCTTGCTCTGGGTGTAGGCAACATAGCGGATTTTGACTTTGTTGATGCGCCTGTCCCTGAAGCCATTGCAATGGCTGTCCAGAATCTTGTTCAGTTGGGTGCAGTTGTTGAGAAGAATGGTGTTCTTAAACTAACACAGGAAGGGCATTGTTTAGTTAAGCTGGGTCTGGAGCCAAGGCTTGGAAAGTTAATTCTAGGCTGCTTCAGATACAGAATGGGCAAAGAGGGTATTGTTCTTGCTGCTGTCATGGCTAATGCTAGTAGTATATTTTGCAGAGTTGGCAACTTCGATGATAAGATGAAAGCTGATTGCTTAAAGGTATGATTCTGAGCTCCCGGTATTCGCTTACATGAGTTTAGACAATCTCTATCTTTCTAGAAGGTTTTGAATTTTAGCTTTAGATCTTCTAACAGTTTCGTAGAAGTTATGTTCTGAAGTTTTTAGTTTTGACATATTTTAGGTACAATTCTGCAATCCTAATGGAGACTTGTTCACTCTTCTTTCGGTGTACAAAGAATGGGCATCTCTGCCGCGAGAGAGAAGAAATAAATGGTGCTGGGATAATAGCCTGAATGCAAAATCTATGAGGAGATGTGAAGACACAGTCAAGGAATTGGAGATATGCATTGAGAGAGAACTTACTCTTGTCAGTCCAAGTTACTGGGTTTGGAATCCAAATGTGGGTACTAAACACGACAAGCATTTGAAAATGGTTATACTTGCATCTCTTGCACAAAATGTGGCGATGTACACTGGCTACGATCAGCTTGGATACGAGGTGGCATTGACTGGTCAACAAGTTAAGTTACATCCGTCGTGTTCGTTGCTAGCATTTGGCCAGAAGCCAAGTTGGGTTGTTTTCGGTGAACTTCTGTCACTTGAGGACCAGTACTTGGTATGTGCAACTGCGTTTGATTTTGAGGCTTTGTCTATGCTTGATCCACCTCCACCTTTTGATGCATCTCAGATGGATGAGAGGAGGCTCCGAGTGAAAAAGGTGGTTGGTTGTGGCAGCACTGTGCTTAAACGATTCTGTGGGAAATCTAATCGTAGTCTGCTTTCAATTGCTTCTCGTGCTAGGTCTCTCTGTATGAATGAAAGGATTGGTATTCAAGTCGATGTCGAGCAGAATGAGATTCTACTGTATGCGCCTTCCCTCGACATGGACAAAGTGTTGGCCCTTGTGAACGATGCATTGGAATGTGAAAAGAAATGCCTTCGTAATGAATGTTTGGAGAAGAATCTATATCATGGACAGGGGCAAGAACAAATTGCACTGTTTGGATCCGGTGCTCAGATAAAGCATCTTGAAGTTGATCAGAGATTTTTGACAGTTGATGTACATTATTATGGCGACAATGTTTTTGTTGACAGAGAACTTGTGACGTTTCTGGAGAAGAAGATCAATGGGTGTATTTGCTCTATTCATAAGTTTGCTTCCAACAAGCAAGACTGCGATGAGAAAGAGATGTGGGGTAAGATAACCTTTCTCACTCCGGAATCTGCTATGAGGGCAGCAGAAATTCAGAAATTTGATTTCAATGGATGCATGCTTAAACTATTTCCATCCAGGTCAAACGGTGGAGGAATGTTCAAGATGCCTTCTTTCCCTTCTGTTACAGCTAGAATCCGTTGGCCGCGAAAGGAAAGCATTGGCACAGGTTGTCTTAAGTGCCCTTCTGGTGATATTGACAGTGTATTTGCTGAGGTCTCCAATATTTTGATAGGAACAAATTATGCCCACATTAAGAGAGATCAAAAGTCGGATGATTCTATCTTGATAAGTGGCCTTGACAGAGATCTTTCGGATACAGAAGTTTTAGATGTTTTGGAGTGCGCTACCGCCAGAAGAGATCTGAATTTTTTCTTGTTCAGAGGAAACAGCGTGCAATGTCCGTCTCCTACTGCTTGCGCAGAAGTGCTTCACAAGAGAATATTTAAATGCATGTCATCTAAGAATCCAGAGCCGAACTGTGTCCAAGTCCAAGTTTTTGAACCAAAAGTAAAGGATTATTTCATGCGAGCTAAGATTACATTTGACAGGAGGTTACATTTGGAAGCTGCGAAAGCTTTGCAGGAGTTAAATGGAGCGGTGATACCTGGATGCCTTCCCTGGCAGAAGATACAGTGTGAGCAATTTTTTCAGAGCTCCATAGTCTGCTCTGCTTCTATCTATAACATAGTGAACAGACAATTGAGAGATAAACTAGCAAGCTTCAAGAGACAAAGAGGTAAAATTCCAAAACCACATTTGAGCTGTTTGCTCTTTAGTTCTTATATACCTTCGATTACTTGCTTATCTCTCTACTGATTCCGTTATTAAAAATGAACAACCATGAGTTACAATGTTTACTTTGGAGGCTTCAGTTTCTAGTTCGTGTAAGATAGATGTCATTATAAGCTTTGGTTTGATATGTATGGACGTTTTCTTATCTTATTGTAGGAGGTGAATGGCGTCTGGAGCAAACTCATTACGGTGCTTATTGGGTTCAGATTAGTGCTTATGCAACAAAACCCATCGCAGAGATGCGGAGAGATCTCGAAGAACTCATGAGAGGAAGACCCATAAATCATCCAGGCTTAACCCCTAAAGTCCTGCAGCATCTTTTCTCCAGAGATGGTTATATTCTGATGCGGAAGATCCAAGAGGAGACTGAAACTTACATTGTGTTAGACAGGCATAATCTCACGGTACGCATTTGTGGATCAAGAGAGAAAATCACCGAGGCCGAACAAGAACTGGTTCAGTCACTTGTGGCCTATCACGAGAGCAAGCAGCTTGAGATCCACCTCCGAGGTAATGATATCCGTCCTGACCTCATGAAGGAAGTTGTGAGGAGGTTTGGTCCGGATCTCCAAGGTATCAAAGAGAAGGTACATGGTGTGGATCTCAAGCTCAACACCAAGCACCATATTATTCAGGTTCATGGGAGCAAAGAAATGAGGCAGGAAGTAGAAAAGATGGTCTATGAAATTGCACGAGAAGAGTGTCCACTGGGTGAAAAACAAGATGACATTGAAGTTGAATGCCCCATTTGCTTGTCTGAGGTTGACGATGGCTACTCTCTTGAAGGATGTTCACACCTCTTCTGCAAAGCCTGTTTGTTGGAACAATTCGAGGCATCAATGAGAAACTTTGACGCGTTTCCCATACTCTGTTCTCACGCTGGCTGTGAAGCTCCAATAGTAGTCGCTGATATGAGAGCGCTCTTGTCACAGGAGAAGCTCGATGAGCTCTTCCGAGCATCCTTGTCCTGTTTTGTAACATCTAGTGATGGAAAGTTCCGGTTTTGCTCCACACCTGACTGCCCTTCCATCTACCGTGTAGCTGGTCCTCACGAATCCGCCGAGCCGTTTATCTGCGGAGCCTGCAACTTGGAGACATGCACAAGGTGTCACCTCGAGTATCACCCGTATACCTCTTGTGAGAGGTACAAACAGTTCAAGAGAAATCCAGACTTGTCGCTAAAGGACTGGGCAAGAGGGAAGGACGTGAAGGAGTGTCCGGTTTGCAGCTCCACGATAGAGAAATCTGAAGGGTGTCACCATCTGCAGTGTCGGTGTGGGAGGCACATTTGCTGGGTCTGCTTAGACGTCTTCACTCACTCAGATGCTTGTTATGAGCATTTGAGGACAATTCACGGCGGGATCGGCATTGCCATGGATCTCGGCATTCCCATGCTGTGAAACTAGACTAGGCCTCTTCAATGTACAAATTTGTCTAAGTTAAGTCCATGTATCTATATAGCCTGTAACATCTGGTTTGCTTCATATGTACATATATGTTGAGATAGTTTGGTTGGTTCAGTGTGTTATATCTTCTTTAATCAACCCAAAACCTATCACAATCGGGAAGACTCACAACTGACAAACCAGATGCCAAAAATATGAAGACTTTTGTTAGTAAAGACATAAAATTGACTTGTTACATCACTGATTACGCGTAAATGTCCACATAGAGTTTAATGGCAGAGCCACTTATTTCTCGCCGGGAAAGACACGCTCTTGGAATTTTTGGGTCATGTCTCTGTAGACTCTAACGTATGTATGGGTTTTAAGGTTTTCATCGAGCGTGTTCTATTTACTCTCCCTTTCTTCAAAGGCAAAACCTTCAAATTTATATCCGAAACACATTTTCCTCTGTTCTTGCTCTGTTTCTGTGATCTCTGAACTCCACAAAATGGCGTTTAATCACAGAAAGATGTTCGTTTCATATCTACCAAGAAATGACTTCAACATAACGATCATCATCCCTTTCTTCCAGACATACCCTCCGCCACCACCGCCACCGCAGCAGCAGAGAGATCTCTCTCAACTAGTCTCCACCTGGATCTGCGTCGTCGGCTCCATCTTACTCTTCCTGTTTCTCGTCGTCTTCCTCTACCTCTACTTCACGCAACCACGGCGGAGCTCAGCCTCCGAAGCGGCTTCCAGTAGTACAAACCGACAGGAAGACGACGAAGAAGTAGGACATAGAGATCACTCCGGCGACCATCACGTCTGGCGAATCACAACCCTCGGTCTCCATCGTTCTGCGATAGACTCGATCAAAGTCGTTGGATTCAAAAAGGGAGCAGGGATCATCGACGGCACAGAATGCTCCGTCTGCTTAAACGAGTTTGAAGAAGACGAGTCGCTGAGAGTGTTACCAAACTGTAACCATTCCTTCCACATCAACTGCATCGACACTTGGTTGCTCTCTCACAAGAACTGTCCTTTATGTCGTTCCCCTATTCTTCTCACACAGCCTCGTCATCAAGGAACAGAGACGAATCATCCTCATCAATCAGACTCTGGATTAAGCAATGACCTCAACGGAGAAGGAGAGAGTTCCGGATCAAGAAACCGTAATGTTCTTGCCAGGGCTCAAAGCGATTTAGCAAACCATTGTGGCTCAAAATCCGTGGAAACTGTGAGAAGATCGCTTTCTATTGGAGGAAGCTCGTCACTTAATTTCTACACTAGTTTCAGTGCCAATTTCTTCTCATCATCAAGAAGATTGAGGAACCAAGACCAAGTTCTTCCAATTCGGATGCCTTCTGTATCTGATTCGACCGCTTAAACGTTGATTACAATATAGCTTATGTAATGTTTAGTGAGTTATATATACTGTATCTGGAATAAACTTCGGTGTTTCGAAACTATGTTTGCAATCAATTATTAAGGAGAAATGTTTCAAGAGAATTGGGCAATTACGTTATATATTAATCAAAAGAAACTCTCGTTGAGATAATTCGTCGAACAACTTCAGGACTATCTTAAACAAAAGCTAGAAAGTTAAACAAACCCAGAATTACAAACGAGCCAAGCTCTACGCTTACGAGAAAACACTAAAATCCCAGAAAACAGATTGCCCAAAACAACGAAATAAACCAAGCTAGTAGTCTTCAAGCTCTTTCACCTCTGATTCTCCTAGCGAGCTGGATGTCCTTAGGCATGATGGTGACTCTCTTGGCGTGAATCGCGCAAAGGTTTGTGTCTTCAAACAAACCGACGAGGTAAGCCTCGGCCGCTTCCTGGAGGGCCGCGACGGCGCTGCTCTGGAACCTCAGATCCGTCTTGAAATCCTGAGCGATCTCACGAACGAGGCGCTGGAACGGAAGCTTACGGATCAGAAGCTCAGTGCTCTTCTGGTACTTCCTGATCTCTCTTAAAGCCACAGTTCCGGGACGGAATCTGTGTGGCTTCTTCACTCCTCCGGTGGCTGGAGCGGATTTCCTCGCCGCCTTCGTCGCGAGTTGCTTCCTTGGAGCTTTGCCTCCGGTGGATTTCCTGGCGGTTTGCTTGGTACGAGCCATTTTGAAATCAAACAAGTAAAGGCAATGAAATAAAATATTGTGATTGATCGAATTTGGTGGTGAAGAAGAAGGAAGAAGGTGGGGTTTTATGGAAGAGAAAATGGCGGTGAGCTGAAAAAAACATTGGGAGGGAATTTATAGGAAATTTTTGTTTTGGAGGGAAATATATTTTCACGTCCGTTGGATTAAATGAATTACTATCGACGGCTGAGATGTTCAGGATTTCAATCCATGGGGTTCCTTATTAACCAATCAAAATAGCGCATTTGTGTTGTCAACCAATTAAATCATTTTTTTAGTCCACGAGGGCTTTTTAGCGCTACTTCCAACTTTTTAAAAAGTTTAAGCGCCAATTGGAAAATTTTGGTCATCAAGGCTCTCAGTTTTTCTCAAATTTTTCAAACTGTATGAAAATCAGAATAAAATTCTTTCAAAGAGATGCAACTTTTACTGGAAATATACTTTTACTTCGAGAAGATATTTACTCTTTCAGTTGATATTTATCACAAAGAGAACATACGATCTGCGTTTCTGATTGAGCATATCTTTCTATTAGCTAAATAATCAAGAGAAAACAGACAAACGTGTAAAAGAAATGAATCTGATTGTGACGACAATAAGCACGAGAATACAATTTCTCTAAAATCTCGCATCTAAGTTCAGTTATTATATGCGAATTTTTAGATTTGATTAGTGATTTTAAAGTTGAGATTCTGATGAGAAGACAAGACGAACAATCGAAGTGAATGAAACCATTTGGGCATTTCATAGCAAGATACTCAATAAACACATTAACGAAGAGCAAAACGATAGATGAAATAACAGAAGACTGATATTCATTTAAGCAATTCATCGAACATCTAATAGACACGAAACTAAGAAAATGGCTAAAGCCAAACGAAAGCAAATCTAAGACGCGACTGTTAAAAAGACGATTTACATATCCGATAAAACGCAAACCCCAGAGTAGCTACTTCGTCAATCTTCACTAGATTAGTCTTCTTCTTCGATTAAGCCCTCTCTCCTCTGATCCTCCTCGCGAGCTGAATATCCTTAGGCATGATCGTGACCCTCTTGGCGTGAATCGCACAGAGGTTGGTATCCTCGAACAGACCAACGAGATAAGCCTCGGCTGCCTCCTGGAGAGCCGCGACGGCGCTGCTCTGGAACCTCAGATCCGTCTTGAAATCCTGAGCGATCTCACGAACCAGACGCTGGAACGGAAGCTTGCGGATCAGAAGCTCAGTGCTCTTCTGGTACTTCCTGATCTCTCTCAACGCCACCGTTCCTGGACGGAATCTGTGTGGCTTCTTCACTCCTCCGGTGGCCGGGGCGGATTTCCTCGCCGCCTTCGTCGCGAGTTGCTTCCTTGGAGCCTTTCCTCCGGTGGATTTCCTGGCGGTTTGCTTGGTACGAGCCATTTTGAGAATTGATTTGAAATGAAATTTGCTACTCTTCTGGTTTTGATTTGCTGAGAATTGTGATTTGATATGCAGATAATGAGGTTTGGGATGTGTTTTTATACTTGAAGGGAGAAAGGGAGTGTTTGTGTTTGGTGCGTTAGATCTTTTTGGCTTATCAACGGTTACGATTGTTTGTATCCTTGCAATCCGCGTCATATGTTATTAACCAATCAAAATGGTTTCCTTTACGCCCAAATTATTTCAGGGATTTTTCCTTCTTTTCAGTTACGCGCGTCCATTTTTGAATAAATTATCTTTATCAAAAAAAGATTACAGAAAAAGAGAAATACCACTAAATATACATAAAAAATGTTCAAATTAAAAATATATCACTATCAATTGATAGGTTACTATATTCAGTATATTTTATGCAATATTGACCTAAATAACCTCCTCCACCTCATTTCTACTCTTCCTTCTCGGCGCGCCGAATTCAGCTGAGTTCAGCTTATTGATTAATTTATTAATTTAAAAACAAATTGCAATCCAAAAAAAAAATCTCTGGATTGTTTTCCGACCAATCTCTTCATCTCCATCGATATTATCGACTTCAAGAATTTTGAATGCGAAAGAGTTGTACTGAAAAAGAGTTCGATTCCATACTGTATCAGATCTGAATCTTGATCTCCATTGATTTTGTCGATTTCGAGAGTTACTGCTGAGAAATAGTTGTAGTGAAAAGGAAATTCGATTTGATACTGTCTTCCATAACACCTACGATTGTGTGAGGTTAGGTTTTCTTTCTCTTTTTTTTCAATTCCAAATATTTGAAAATCTCGGTGTATGTGTTTGCTACTGAAAATTGAGAAGCTCAATTTAGTCCATCTGTTTCAATGGTTTTACTTTTGTTTCTTGAAATTTATCAGCTCTATCTATTGGAATAGATGTGTATAATATTTGGAGGGATGATCTCCTTATGTCTGTTAATTTGTAGTAGGTGTTGTCTGTTGGATTAATGGTTCAGGATACGTAATTGTCTTCATTAAATAGTTGACTTGTATGTATTTAATCTTCGTATATCAGTTTGAATTAGGTTATTTGTTGTAAAAAACTATTGTCTTTTGTTCACATATCGATCAGATCATCATAGTTGTTTTAATTTCTGCAGTAATAATGGAAGAGTTGGGATTACCGGAGAGATTGTTTCAAACTGGATTTGAACCAACTGGTAGAAAAAGGGTGAACAATTACTTCACTCTTAGATGGGTTGAACTTATCAAGCCTGCTCTTGATGCCGAGTACCTCCAAATGTTGAGTGAGTCTCAGTTTAAGAGTATTATGAAAATGGGAGGACATATCTTCTCTGTGATGTTTGTCCATTATCTTCTTTCGAGACAGTTGGTTACAAAGAAAAAGTATGAACTTTGGTGGGTATTTTCTGGAAAACCTGTTAGGTATGGGCTTTCTGAATTTGCCTTAGTCACAGGTTTGAATTGTGGTCAAGTATCTGGTGCTGAGAGTTCACAGAAGAAGAAAAAACAGAAACCTGTGAAAGGTCGACAGAAGAAAAAAGTGGATAAGAAGGAGAGAGGTCCAATGTGGGAAGCTTTGTTTGGAGATTTTGATAATCCTACACCGGCTTGGATCCTTGATAAGTTACTATTGGGAAAGAAGTATAAGGATCCTCTATCACGTTTCCGTCTGGCTTTGTTGTTAATCGTGGAAGGAATTTTGTGTCCTACAAGTGGATCAACAAATATTAGGAAAGAGGTTGTTGAAATGGTTGCTGACGTTGACTATTTTCTCAACTATCCTTGGGGTCGGGAGTCGTTCTTGTTAACTGTTGAGAGTGCAAAGGCGAGAACTAAAGAACAGTATGTACAGAAGACAACAGCAATTCAAGGCTTTGCGCATGCCATGGTTCTGGTTGCTGCATCTTCATGTCCGGAGATAGTTTCTTCAAGAGCTGCTGGGTACTCTTTTTTATGTGATGATAATAACAGTGATGAAGTGGAGAAGTTTGTAGTTAACATCGTATCAGCGAAAACAATTGATCTGAGGGGTCAGGTTTGTGTAACTAATCTGAAGTAATTTTATATTTTTTAAAAAATTACTTATTCATTAATTATGTGTTCTCATCATATACTCTGTTTGATTGTAGGCTTCTGTAAAGTCGTTGATAAGTGATCAAAGGCAGTTGGATGATCCCAAGTTTTCATTCGCTGATGAAAAAGATGACCCCACTGTTTCACATTTGATGAATTTGATAATGGAAGATTTTCCATTCGAACATAATTCATGGCATGGAGGTGTTAAGGCTTCAGAAGTTGCTGGTGATGAAGATGAAGAGTTGGAGGCTGAGGAAACGTCCCCTATTAATGTGGTTGCTACTATGTGTTCAGGGAAGAATGTCGTGGTCAACTCTACGGTAATAGAAGAAGTTGATAATGGTGGTAGAGGGCTTGTTAGGACTAATCAGGTCGATGTTGGGTTGCAAACAACATATGAGATCTCAACACTTCTGAAGCAGTTGGTAGATACCTTTGAGGAAAGAACGGCAAACATAGTGAAAAGTGTTTCTGCAAGTTTAGAAGTTCATATTAAAACAGTGATGGAGAAGCTGAAATCTGAATTTGAAGAAAATTTTGAGATAAGAAAGAGAGATATACTTGATATTCAGCAGCAGCATTCTGGTGGAGGGTACAATGATGGTGGATGTAGCGGTAATAACTCAAATGGTAATATAGTTTATGTTACTTATATTCAATTCTAGTTTTATTATTTGATGTAGTATCTCGTTTTATGTTTAGCTCTATGACATATTAATATAATTTTTTTAGGTGCTGAAGGTTTTCCCAATAAAGAACCTGGTGATTTAGTTTTACAGGGAACGACCAAGAAGGTAAATGGAAAAAAGAAGATCGCTATCTAAGGTAATTGTACTAGTCATTGTAAAGTTAACTAATTACATCGAGGGGTTTGCAATTTCTGATATATGTATACTTTTAGGTTGCTGTCCCGTCTGAAGCTAGTGAAACAGACTGTCTTCATAAAAGAGGAGAGAATGTCGGTGACGATGAGTCTGACGATAATATTTTGGAAAATTTGAATACAAAATTAGGCAAGACATCAATTACGGGGAAGGTAGTAAATGTTATAGATTAGTTATACGTATTTATATAGTATGTGATTATTAATATAGTCTTTGTCCTTTTTGAAGCGATCCATTGTCAATAAAATGCCATCTGCAGAAGATTCTTTATATGAGAAAGAAAGGAGATTAAGCAAACGAACTCGAAGTTGTCCAGATAGATACAATCCTTCACAATCACATTCGAAGAAAAGTCGAAAGTGTAATAGAGATAAAGATGAGAGTTGGATTGATGGTAATGGTGGTGTTTTCCCTGTGTCTGATCAACTGATTTCAGCATCTTCTAAAATCGTTCTCATCGGTGGCTTTGCTCCTTTTATTGAACCTTTATAAATAGACCAGTTCGAAGGTCTCTAGGTTTTTCCTTAAAAAATACTTGGCTTATTTCTGACCACAAAAAGCAATTTAGAGGGAAACTCAGGATTTTCAAAATATTTATTTGTTAAAGGTTATGATAGTGATGGGACATTGTTGTTCGGCTGAGACACATGTATTCGGCTTGGCTCTCTGATAAAAGAGGCTCGTACTGTATTTTTCCGCTTAAAATTTCTGTGGCCATTTTCGTCTTTCTCTGGCACGTGAGTATCACCGCCTAATTTCCAAAAGCTTATTGACATTTACCTAATATTAAGGCCCAATACTGATATCCAGCAAATTGCCCCTACAGAAAAATCATAAACTTTTTCTGGTAAATGTAGATGATAAGTATATCCATAAAATAATCAATTTGAGACGTTCTATGAATAAGATTAAAATGAAGGATTTTTCAATAGATCAAAGTTCTTGAACGTAAGCTTTGACTTGACCATTTTGGTCTCAATATCTTTTTACTAATATATTCATTTTGACCTTGAAATAATCTCAAATTGGCTCTCAAAAATATTGAGTTCGAGTTTTGGGTTGTTTCTGTGATTTGAATTCTCTGGTGCTACTGGCTGCTTAAGTGATTTTTGTTTGCTTTTCTGGTTTTCATATTGATTGCATACATCACAATATCACAAGTTGTTATATATTTGGTTTAAAAGAAAAGAAAAAAAGTTGTTGTATATAAGTATATAACTATTAAAATCACTATAAAGGTGACCCGCGCTAACACCGCAGGATTATTAGATACAAGTTTTTATACTTTGTTTTAAAATTTGATTTTAAGAATCATTTACACAAACTATACTTTTTAAAATTTATACTAATATCTTTTTTTATGTTTATTCAATGTTTATTCAAAGTCTGTTGTTAAATACAGATGAACGTATTTGTAATATAAAATAATTTTATTATTCTTACTTTTTTTTAAATATTGTTTAACATTATATCTCTTTTCTCGGTCTTTTCAGTTTTTATGTACACTATTTTCTCGAGTAGAACTCAGTTATATATCTCAACTTGTGGGGGGGTCTTTTTGATCTCTTTTTCGGCCATTCTCTTTTTCCAACTTGTTTTCAAAACAACTCCACCGTGCTTGGTACAACTCTATTTAAAAGCGTCTTAAGAAACCATGTGTCAATTTGTTGAACCTAATTTTTCTATATTTTTGTATAACTCATTTGATAAACATCATGATCATTGTCAATGAAAAATCTTGCCAAGCTATAATAAGTTCATGCTTTATGATTTTCTTTCTCTTACAATTTCCCTTCAACATTTGCTATAGTTCAGAATTATTTAAAATTTCAAATTTTTCAACAGTCTTTTGTTTCACACACACAAATGATTCAAGTGAATAGTTCCTCTTACGGAGCTTTATACCCTTTAATATATCGTCTTCTTTCCTCAAAGAAGCTTAGTTATTCCTGCAATAACTAATATACATTTTTTTATTACCTCATATACATTCAGTTAAAAGAAATGAAAGTAGAGTTTGCATCTTCTGTTGCCATCACTTTATTGATCTCCCATGGAAGCCTGAGATAGAATTTAAGTGAACATGTAATCAAGATGCTAAAAAGCTTCGGTAAGCGAAAAGGAAACAGACATAAATCTTTATGAACAAAGCCTTACCCTTAAGACATACCTGCAACTCCTAAACCCGTTCCAGTACCACAACCCACTACAAATTTGATCGGCCTCTTCTTCCCAGAGTAAAGATCTTGTGACAGATACTTCACAAACCGAAAAATACATGCGTAGTGACAAAGCCCTTTTTACCAATTACGCATAAACAACAGTCTGGTCACCCAAAACCAATGTCTAAGTTCATAACTAATGTTTACCGAGTAATGCAATAAGAGCATCTCCGGCGCCTTCATTGGAGTTGACGGACTCTGTTGAATTGCAGTTGCAGTAATCCCAGCAGTAGCTCCAGCAACAAATCTTTCAAAGTTGGTTGCTTCTTCCCAGCGGGTCTAAGCAATTGCTTTCTGTACGTACCGTATGCACAAAAATTTACAGCTTTGAAAGGAGCTGTTCGGAGAACACTGAGCAAATTGCCTTTCCAGAATCCTTTAAACCCCTGCGTGGTCGCAATTGTTTGAGCAACCACCAACAGATTCCTCTGTTCATCATGAACTGTATATTCCAGCTTTAGTCTCTCAAGTGGGGCTAAGAAAGTTCTGGGATCAACAGCAAAAAACGCATTATCAGAATCATGGTTTTTGGTTCATGCATTTCACCAAACAACTTATAGACGTCATTAATCAAATAATACATACTTGGAAACCATGGCAGCGACAGCACCGGCCCAGAGATGCTTCTGTGTGTTCATGGTCCCGCTTCTCTTCACTCCACCGAAAACTCTTCGTTTTCCATTTCCCGTGCCGCGAATTTCATTGTTTTCCGTCGATGCATCCTTACATTCCCGCTCGGATCTGTCTTTACTCAAGCTCACGGAGAGGAACAGCGAGTCCTTACCGGAGCAGAGACGGGTTTGCTTTCTCCTAACCGGTGAAATGCACAGGCTCGGAGTTGGAGCAAATGCAACTCTGTTGCTGGAGTTGACGGACTTTGTAATCCCCATTTTCTATCAAGTAAAATCGACAAAAACTCTCTTGAATCTAGCTCGGATATTGGATTTCCCTTCTCAAATCCTAATATAATTGCAGTGAAATAACTAAACCTATGCTCCGAGAGAAATTCTTATTCATAACGGAAATCGCAAAAACCGACTGCTCCTCCGCTTCCTCCTGTTCGATTCCAGACTTTTATCAACAAAGAAGACGACGGACGGAGCTTGAGGAGAGAGATCTGAAGGAAAAAAAAAATTGACTGACGTGGTTAAAAAAAATGCCCTTCCATCAAACTATCAGAAACATAATGATTAAACATGTTTTAATAGCTGGCATAGAAACAATAATTGGTATGTTGACTATGAACTTGTCATGTTTAATATAATTTTTTTTTTTAAAACAACAACTTTTTAATGAAAAAATATATATACAAAACTATTTGTAGATAAAAGGAAATTTAATCAAATTTTGTCTATGTGGTTCTTTACAGAAGCAAAGCCACACATATGAACAATACTTTCCTTATTTAAAAAAGGAAACTATACAAAAGGAGGAAAATGAATCAGACGCCTATACAAAATCAAACTCACATAATTAATCATCAAACAAAGCAGCTTTGTTTTCTTCTTCTTTCCTCAGGCTAGAGAATGGTGGAACTCAAAGCTTTCATAATCGGCAAAGTCAAAGACAAAGCTTCGATAGGCAAAGTTCAGTTGATTCATAGTTTCAGCTCCACATCCGTCAGATACATTCACTTAGCCCTTCTGAAATCAACCACTCATTCTTCTCACAAGCCACCTGATAGCAACTATGTCTCCGCCGTCCTCTCTTACTCCAACAGCCGTTACAGTCCGGCGGCTTTTGCAGCGGTTATGTGGAGGTTACGAGTCACAAAGAACGCTTTCGTGGCCACCAAGTCTCTAATCGTTTACCACAAACTTATGAAATCATCGCCAGACAAGTTTGAAGGGTTTGATCGTGGCCGGAGCAATCTAAAGTTGAATGATTTCTTAGACAAATCTTCTAGTCTCACGGTAGAATTATCTCGATGGATTAAATGGTAAGTTTCCTTTTTTATTCGCTTATTTGATTATGACATATTTCTAACTATTTTTGGACTGGTTCATACCGACATGTGATATTATAATTTTTAATTAATATATACTTATGATTTGTTTTTGAAGGTATGCACTCTATTTGGAAAGTCTCACATGGATTTCGAAGGTATTAGGATCTTTTCCAAAACCAATCGAGAGCTCCAAAGATAGAGCCAAAGAAAAAGACTGTGTTTCATCTTACCAAACCGGGTACATAATGAGACAAACCGAGTCTCTTGTGAGTTTCTTTGAGCATATATGTACCAGACCGGAGACTCCACCTATGTTCCAAAACAAGATCGTGGACGAGATCAGAGAGCTCGTGATTCAAGATTACTTCACGGTTGTAAGATTGGTTATGATACGGCTTCAAGTGTTGAGTGAGAGATTGATTAAACCGGGTAGTGATTCTGGTTTGAACGATTTGAGACTTGTTTTGGTGAGACTTGAAGAATGCAAGGAGAGTTTGAGTGGATTCTTTTGGCGCTGCAGACGTTTGGCAGAAGATTTTTGGTGTTTGGTTGAGATATTAAAGGCCAAGACGATGAATGAAGACAGGGAGATGGTTGAATTGGCCGGATCGGTTCAGCTTGCGGTTAAGGACGATGAGGAGATGGTTGAATTGGCCGGCTCGGCTCAGGCTGAATGGGTAACATTTAATGAATCCGAGATAGCAACGGACGAGGTGGTAAAACGGGATTCTGAGTGGGTAACATTTGATGACTCCAAGGGATTGACGAATGAACCGGTACAGTTCAGGCTATATACATGACATTTGACAACTGATTATCCCAGTTAGGTGAGAAAATATCCGGTTTACATTTGGTTAGCCGTTTCTTTGTGAACATACATAGAAAGTGTAACGGTTTCATTTGGTTTTTGTCTTGGAACTGGATGTGTTGTTTTTTTTTTTCCTTCTACTTATAAATGCTTACTTCCTTAATCTCCGTATGTAAATAGCTGGTTTAAGAAGTTTGCGAAGTGAAAGTGTGCTCAATTTCTTATTGTACTATTCCAAAAATGTCATAAAGAAAGCAATTCGGTCTTTATGAAAAAACAAAAAGAAATTGGTCATTCCTCCGGTTGTTTCCAGATATTACACTGGTCTTGCGTCTGAGACCGACCATTTTTTAACGCTCATACTTGCTTTTTGTGCCTACAAGTTTGGAAGAAAATTCAGAATTGTATTAAAAGACATAACCATGAAGATGGAAAATAAACAATTTTTGTTACCTCTTTCTCCCAATTACATCTCATAGTAAAGAAAATCAATAGCAATGTCTGCATCGCAGTTCCTCCAAATATCATACCAGCCCAAATTCCCTATCATTATAATCACAACAAGCACATTAAGAGAGATATTTAACCCTCAAATGTTCTTATTAAATTTAAAGAAAATGGCTTACCTTAACACCTGAGTTGAAAATCCAGCCCATGATAAATCCGAGTGGAAGTCCAATAAAATAATAACATGCCAAATTTATAAATGCTACTAGTGATTGCCACCCCGAACCAACCGCAGCACCTAATCAATGTCAAAAGTCAATCACCACACAACCGTTGACCCGGTTTGTTTTGGGATTAAAAAAAAAATTAATTTGCTTGTATGTCGTACCAGAAAGAACCGGATGCACACTGTTGAGAAGAATCGAAAAGGCTAAAAGTAGAGAGAGGTTATTGACTGATTTGATGACATTTTCACTCGAAGAGAAGATCCAACCGATTTGGTTATGAAGAAATAATATGAGCACTGATATGATTATTCCAACGATCAACGATTGTGTCACTGATATTACCATCGCGAATTTTGCTCTTTTTCCCTTGCCTGCTCCTAATTCATTCGCCACTCGTACGCTACAAAAAACAGAAATGATTTAGCATAAACCAGATCTAATGGATCTTTATAAACCGAATAAAACTAGAAATGAAAGTATTATATGCATTAGTAACACATATAAGAGATTGGCTATACCCGGTCCCGGCGAAGAAAGCAAGTGGAACCATCATCTCCAAACCATTTATCGACATGCTGCCAGTAAAAAAATTGTAATTACAAAGCTTGTAAGTTGTAATTATGCGATACCAATTTCATTTATATCATATTAATCTCCAATGTAGTTGTATATTACTATATTGACGTACCAAATAGACATAGAGTCGACAACAGTTTTCGCGTTCTCCAGATTTCCAGTCATCACAATTAAGATCCTATAATACCAATTCTCCAAGCTGTCTCGATAAAAAAATCTACCGTAAGAAGTTGTGTTCCAATCCATAAACCAAGAAGAAACGGATGGCGTTTAACGAGTAATACCAAAGCATGATTCCGGATGACGCAGAGAGCTTAGTGAATTCCCACAGTTTAGTGAAAGCTTCCATGGAGAAACCGGTCCAGGTGAGAGGACAGCCACCACAAGTGATGTAAGTAAATAAGATGAAGCCGTTGAGCCACCATGACACGTTAGCTGTAGCGATGGCTCCTACGACTCCAAGATTAAGACGGTACACAAAGAGCCAGCACACAAATATGTGAACTACAAGTGCCACTCCAGACGAGATTGCAATCACCTGGTGGGTAATGTAAAACAAAAATATTAACCGAACACATTTAGCAATATTAATATTAAGACAACCAATCAACCATCATATAAACGTTAAAAACAAAACAAATTCAATTACTTCCTGTGGAAAAACAAATGAAAAGTAACATTTAGCATAGAATATGTCGAGTGGTTGAGGACATTGCGTGTGGTCCATAACATTTTTTGTTGACCTTCCAAAAGTGTTGTTATCACGTTATAATGGAACTAAAATTCGTCTATTGCAAATGTGAAAAATATTTTATGAAGATTCACAACATCTATCCCTGAAATCAAGCTGCGACCTTTCAAATCGTAAGTTACATACCATATTCTTGAGCTGGCATTGTAGGAATCGGTTGATAGGGAAAAAGAAAGCAAAGGAGAAATGGGTAGGAATGGCCCAAAGAGCGATGGTGCCGGAGAGCTCGGCAATGTCGTCAGGCTGGCCGAAGAACTTAAGAATCGGGGTGGCAAAAAAGTACATAGGGAGGAGTAAGATGGAGCATAAGAAGAGAACTATCCAAGATCGCTGCAAATACACTCCCAACATGTCATACTTCTTCGCTCCAAACGCTTGACCGCACAACGTTTCCAACGCAGTCGCCATTCCGATCTGCATATAAATACATAAAGTTTCTTCATAATTTAACCTAGCATGACAATCCAAGCTAGAGAATGTATGTGTGTGCATACGAAGAGGCCGTAGTTGAAGCCGACGATGACGTTGTTGACGATGGAGATGGCGGCTAGTTCGAGCTCGCCAAGGTGGCCAGCAAAGGCTTGAGTGATGACGAAGATCGCATAGGTCGAGACTCTGGTGAATATGGCTGGTCCAACGATACGCCATAGCTTCTTCGTCTCCATCCATATCTCTCTCTTTATTTCTCCCTCTTTCTCCTCTGCAGCATTTTGATCCTTTAACAGTGGAATAGTAGCCTTCTCCACACCTCCGGCTTCGTCTTGTTTCTCTCTTCCCATCACCGTTCTTCTGTAGATTAAAATTAAAATAAAATGAGTATATGAGAACTTATCAAAAAAGGAATGAAGTAGATGAGATACATGATTGGACTGGGTGGAGACGGAGTGAAACATGTGCGATATTTTTTTCATAAAATAATATGTTGTCACCACTCAACCAATAATATGACCTTTACGACTTTAGTGAACAAGATTAGATTAAATGACCGGTACAAAAACAGAAACAACTAGTAGTGTGATATAAATAAAATTATACCATATTTGCATGGAATAATTCAACTTGTAACACCCTTTTTATACGCCTACGATACACTACAAATATGATGCTTCCACGATGCCGTTTTGTTTTAAATTGATTTATTACTTCTTTATTTTGAAAAAGAAATAAATGAATAGTTTGTGCAAGTTAATGTTATAGATCAATACATTTATATTTGAAAAAAAAAAATTCCACTCCCTCGATTTATAAGAAAAGAATAGTCAAAGGTTGATACTTACATTGCATATACTGCGAAGGCCATTGAGCTTATTGCAAGTTTTGAGATTAGTTGCAAGTTGTTTTCGATAGCAATAAGTCAATAACCAATAAGGAAGGTTTCGCTGTCCACTCAGGGAGTTGAAGGGTCGTTCATCCCCCGATCCAACGGCGTATGATGTTCCTTATAAACCATAGTTTCAGCTTAATATATCTTCTTGAGTTTGTTTTTTTACATATGGGTCCACTCAGTTTTGGGTTAGCTAGAGTTTTCTTTTAAACATCTTGTTCTCTATAATTTCCACTGCATTATGAAACAGTATGTTTTTATAACATTGTAGCTTACAGTCCTCTGTCATCATTATCATTGGATCAGCTCCCATACAATACACTTTAATATTTCATATCTTTGTCTTTGCTCAACAATACAATTTTCCTCGTTTATACGCCACTTACGTGGACAAGGATCGACAACACAATTTCCCTCGCATCGGACCACAGTGGGCCGGGAGGCTTTTAAAAGGGATCTTGGATCACATTGTCACATTGAAGACAACACAACTACCAACCATAAAACAACCAGTTTAGCCGCAGTCAGTGTCTCAGAGAGATGTTACTTTGGTAGGGAATAAGGTACTTAATTGTACTGAATTCGTGAGGCACAAAAACCGTGCCTTTACTTTACACTTAAATACTGTTGGGAATCATTTTTACCATTGGGTTAAACCCACTGAAGCCCAAATTATGGGGATAACAATGAGGAGGAGGCAATATTAGGTTATTGACCAGCAAAGGAGAAGATAGGATCAAATTAATATTTTATTATTTTGGTGAGAGAGATAGACCACAACTTGATTATCTAATGACATCACTTTGTTAGGTTTGTAATATAGAATTAGAAAGACCAAGCTTTTGGTTTTGAAAAATTGAAGATTAATGTTTTGTTTGATACAAGGAAAATTTAAAAATTTTGAGTTGCCACTTTCTCCCAGGTCACATCTTCATAGCATGCAAAACCATCTTCAGCTAATGGAACACATGCTCCAAATAATCTGATTTCACGACTAACATTCCATCTTCAGTTTCTTGAGCTAGATAACGACCATTTCTTGACACGGACATTTGCTATTTGTGCCTACGAAAAATTTGACATAAACAACCAAACAATTAATACATACCTGAAATCAACTATTTACTAGAACTAAAAAAAAATGAAAAGGTTTGAGAGCTACCTCTTTCTCCCAGTCACATCTCATAACGATAAAAATCAATATGAATGTTTGAATCGCGGTTCCTCCAAATATCATACCAGCCCACATACCCTATCAACATATAGTCACAAAGAGACATACATTTTAATTAAGAGAGTTTAACCCTTAAAAACTAATAAAGAAAACATGCTTTTACTTTAACACCAGAGTTGAAAAACCAGCCCATGACAAATCCGAGTGGAATTCCAATGCAATAGTAACATCCCAAATTGATGTATGCCACAAATGATTGCCAACCCGAACCAACCGCAACACCTATCCAAAATCAAAAGTCACCACAAAACCGTTCATCCGGTTAATTTTGGAATAAGATTAGTTATGGAGCGGGAAAACAAAAAACTAATTTGTTTTTGAGAGTATACCAGAAAGAACTGGTTGGACGCTGTTGAGAAGAATCGTAAAAGCTAGAAGAATAGAGAGATTATTGACCGCTTTGATAACAGTTTCACTTGAAGTGAAGATCCAACCGATTTGGTCATGCAGAAATATTATAAGCACCGAAAAAACAATTCCAATGATTAACGATTCCGCCACTGATATAATCATTGCAAATCTTGCTCCTTTTCCGTTTCCCGCTCCCAATTCATTCGCTACTCGTACACTACCAGAAAAAAGGATTATCATATTAGTTTTCGTTAATTATACACTTAAACAAAAAATTAAAGTATCTATGCAATACTATTATAAACGAGAGACTCGTTACCCGGTCCCGGCGAAGAAAGCGAGTGGAATCATCATCTCTAGACCATTTATCGACATGCTGCCGATAAAAATAGTAATTATAATTTTTTTGTTTAGAAAAATATGTGATAGGAATATGATATTAAAACTTTTCATGTATAACGTTATAGTCTAAAAAATATATAATATTTGACGCACCATATAGAGAGAGAGTCGACAGCAATTTTTGCATCCTTCAGACTTCCGGTCATCACAATTAAGATTCTATAATACCAGTACTCCAAACTGTCTCCCAATCAAAATATACCGTAAGAAGATGTTTACGTGAATCAGAAGAAATAAAGCGAGATAAAGAGGGATTTAACGAATAAATACCAAAGCATGATTCCAGAGGAGGCAGAGAGCTTAGCGAATTCCCATAGTCCGGTGAAAGCTTCCATGGAGAAACCGGTCCAAGTGAGTGGACATTTGCCGCAAGTGGCGTAAGTAACTAATACTAAGACAATGAACCACCATGACACGTTAACAGTAGCCATGGTCCCTATAACTCCGAGTTTAAGACCATACACAAAAAGCCAGCACACAAATATGTGAACCACAAGTCCCGCTGCAGAGGAAATTGCAATAACCTGGTAATATAAGAAAATATAATTATCAGCTTAACACATATAATATTGCAATATATATATTATCAAGAATATATTTACTCAGTAGGTTTACTCCTTATGTAGAAATGCTAGAACCAGCTGCCATGCATATGATAGTTATGAAAAACAATATTTTTATTGTTTATGGAAAAAAAGAGAGCACATGAACATATATCATTTACTTAATTATTAAATGTTCTTTAATTCAGTCTAATTGCAAACCACAAAAATCCTTGACGTGCTTTAAAGTAATCCCTTAAAATATTTTTAACAAACTATTCAAAATCAACGGTCGAAAGTAAAAGCGGACAGAGCGGTCTAATTAATATTTGTCCACAAACATATTTTACAAAAAGTAGCAATAATAGAGCCGTCAAAGTACGTGGACTAATCGGCTGCGATCTTTCAAATCATAATAGTCACATACCTTATTCTTGAGCTGGCATTGGAAGAATCGGCTAAGAGGGAAATAAAAGGCAAACGAGAAATGGGAAGGAATGGCCCAAACAGCGATGGTACCACAGAGCTCAGCGATGTCGTCAGGCTGGCCGAGGAACTTAAGAACCGGGGAAGCAAAGATGTACATAGGGAGGAGCAAGGTCGAGAATAAGAAGAGAACTATCCAAGATCGCTGCATATACACTCCCAACATGTCATACTTCTTCGCTCCAAACGCTTGACCGCACAGCGTTTCCAACGCACTCGCCATTCCAAGCTGCATACATATATATATATTTCGTTTTTTCATAAGTTAATCATTATAATATATATATATATACAAGGCAGAAAGATGTTTCTATCTATCATATATGTGTGTGTGCATACGAGTAGGCCGAGGTTAAAGCCGAGGATGACGTTGTTGATGATAGAGATGGCTGCGAGTTCGAGCTCGCCAAGGTGGCCAGCGAAGGCCTGAGTAATGAGGAATATCAAGTAGGTAGAGACTCTGGTGAATATGGCTGGTCCAACGATACGCCATAGCTTCTTTGTCTCCATCCATATCTGACTCTTTATTCCTCCGTCTTCCTCCTCCGCCGCATTTTGATCCCTTAAAAGAGGAATCCTCGCCTTCTCTACGGTTTCTGCTTCGTTGTCTCTCTTTCCCATCTTCTCGGTAGTAAAGATAGCGGATGAGAGTGAAGAGTTGATGAGAGAGTGTTAAAGCTTTTTGAGTGGAGAGTCCACTACGGTGAGGCTTGATTTTTTTTATTTTAAAACTATTTTTCTGACGTAATTCAACCAAAAGTATGATCTGCATGTGTGTCTTCCAATCAGGATAATAATAATTATAATAAATATGTATCATATGTGGAATAATGCATGTCCCATTTTTTGTTTTGATACACCTACTATCCTGCTGATACCACATGTGATGCGTCCTTACGTTTTTTGTATTTTTTTTCTGCGGTGTGTTCTGTTGTTTTCTATTTGTTACCTTTTTCAAAACGCAAAACTATAAATTTTAAAATATGATATAGTCAGTACGATCCTTTATCAAAATAAAGATCTAGTCAGTACGATTCTATTTCGAGCACGTAGTTCCAATCACAATTTATTTATTGTGGTTAATTAACTTTTATTTTGTTCGTTTTGTCTCATTTTGTTTCGTATATTCCGTCCATTCCACTCTTACCACTTATACTCCACTTATTAGTACCATCTGAGCTGATATATTATTTAAACATCTTAGTATTAATTCAGTTTATTTCCGTCTTAATTAGTACTCTATATGTATCTTTTTTTTTTTGGGATCAAGTGTACTCTATATGTATCTAAGTATCTTTGTCGACTTTGATCAATAACTCAGTCGTTGCCACGTTTTATTTGTCTCTCACGTCAGTTGCTTGATGTCATGGATTCAACAACTTATTTTTCTAGTATTGTTTTAGCTTGTGTAAAATTTTCCTCCTCTATATAATGCTTATGCCTATATCATTTCACTCCTCTACAAAGCTTTTTAAATTTTTTACTATTATATTATTTTATATAAGAAAAATTATTGTGGATCAAAGTCTGATCTTTCGGTTGACAAAAATTAAGACCCATAATCAAAGTTTGATCTTTCGATTTACAGAAAGATCCATATAGTAAACCGACATATATACTAGTTGTCCATTTCAATCAATTAGTCATGTAAGATTGAAATGACTCCGGATGTGCCCTACTCTCTACAGATGGCGCGGCCTACACTTTATGGAATGTACGCTCCAAACAGAAATACGATCTTCAATATATTTCCTCTGAGACTGACCATTGCTTAACGCGCGCACTTGCTCGTTCTGCCTACAAATTTGAAATAAACGACAAAACAGTTCTATCAAAACACACATACATGAAATCAATCTATACACGAGAACCAAAAGTAATAAAAACAAAATGAGCTACCTCTTTCTCCCAGTCACATCTCATAACAATAACAATCAATATCAGTGTCTGAATCGTGGTTCCTCCAAATATCATACCAGCCCACATACCCTATCAACATATAGTCACTAATAATTATACACATACACGTATACATAGAGATAGATTAATCTTCAGAAAACTGACAAATAAAATTAATAAAGGAAATTGACTTACTCTAACTCCATAGTTGAAAACCCATCCCATGACATATCCAAGTGGAATTCCAATGAAATAGTAACATCCCAAATTTATATATGCCACAAATGATTGCCAACCCGAACCAACCGCAACACCTAATCGAAAGTTGAAAACCAAAAGCCATCACACAACCGTTTTGACCTAGTTTTTATTTAAGATTAAAAAAAAATGTTTCAAAGGTTTACCGGAAAGAACTGGCTGGACACTGTTGAGAAGAATAGTAAAGGCTAAGAGAATTGAGAGATTATTGACTGCTTTGATGACAGTTTTACTTGAAGTGAAGATCCAACCGATTTGGTTATGAAAAAGTACTATGAGCATCGAAAAGATTATTCCAATGATTAACGATTGCGTCACTGATATGATCATTGCAAATCTTGCCCTTTTCCCGTTGCCTGCTCCTAATTCATTCGCAACTCGCACACTACGAAGAAAACAGGTTAATTTTATAGCAACCAAACTAGCAGATATTAATATAGCTAGGACAACATTTTTTCTTTGTCCAACACAACCTTCAAAAGTTGATGATTACTAGCTGAAATAAATATAACACATCATGACCTAGTCTGGCCAAATCGTACCCGTCTTTATATATCACGAATGAATAGCATGAAGTGAACTAAACAAAAATGAAAGTATCTGTACGATAGTAATAAAGATATATGAGAGTTTGGTTACCCGGTTCCCGCGAAGAAAGCAATTGGAATCATCATCTCCAAACCATTTATCGACATGCTGCCCACGAAAATTGTAGTTATCAAATTTGTATTTAAAATATGTGATGATAAGAATATATATGATATATTTTTTTATACTATAATAAGCATAAACCTCTCTCTATATAACTATGTATTTGACGTACCATATAGCCAGAGAGTCGACGGCAATTTTTGCATTGTCCAGATTTCCAGTCATCACAATTAAGATCCTATAATACCAATTCTCCAAACTGTCTCGATAAAAATCCACCGTAAGAAGTTGATTTTCAAACCAAAAGAAAAAGGAAATGAATGCGACACAAGTCGCGGTTAACGAATTACCAAATCATGACTCCGGAGGAGGCAGAGAGCTTAGCGAATTCCCATAGTCCGGTGAAAGCTTCCATGGAGAAACCGGTCCAAGTGATTGGACATTTGCCGCAAGTGGCGTAGGTTAATAATATCAAGACATTGAGCCACCATGCCAAGTTAACAGTAGCCATGGTCCCAATGACTCCAAGATTAAGACCGTACACAAATAGCCAGCACACTAATATGTGAACTACAAGTGACACTCCAGCCGCTATTGCAATCACCTGATTGTAATGTAAGATAGTATATTTATCAACAACCAACTACATTTAACAATATTACTATCAAGAAAATACCCACTCATTAGGTTTCGGAGTAAATTGCCATGCTAGAAATGCTATAGAGTTTTTTTTCTCTCCCCTAGAGTTTGTAAAAATCAAAACAACAACAAAAAATGCTAGAACCAACTGTCAAAATATAATTGTGATAGTGACTCTTTATCTACACGAAGGAAACGAATTAGGTGAAAAACAAACGTTTTTCTCCTTGTCACCAATTCAAAGTAAAAATAGTCACGATTCTATGAAAAACCAGAGCACAAGAACACCACAACATTTAAAATATTGAATTAGTGAAAATACAAACCATTCAAATCATTTATGTGCCTCCGTTCCAAATTAACCCTAGTCCCTAGCTCCAGTTCTTTGTACGTAAATCGTTATAAATTCAGGCTTAGACCTTAAATTTCTGTCATTTTTTTTCATTATTCGCAAGTTTAAATTCTTATTTGAACGAACAAAAAATAACATGTCTACTATACAAACATATGATATTATTATATGAAGATTCACACGATCATATATGCTCAAAAGTCAAAACTACAGCTATCTATGCCTATGCGACCTTTCAAACCTTATTTTTGAGCTGACATTGAAGGAATCGGTTGAGAGGGAAAACGAAGGCAAACGCGAAATGAACAGGAATGACCCAAACGGCGATGGTACCACAGAGCTCAGCGATGTCGTCAGGCTGGCCCAAGAACTTGAGAATCGAGGAAGCAAAGATGTACATAGGGAGGAGCAAGACGCAGCATAACAAGAGAACTATCCAAGATCGCTGCAAATACACTCCCATCATGTCATATTTCTTTGCTCCAAACGCTTGACCGCACAGCGTTTCCAACGCACTCGCCATTCCAAGCTGCAAATAGACATAGTTCCTTCACATACAAGTTAAACGTTATAATACAAGCCAGAAAATGTTTATGTATATGTATATGTATGAGTGTATACGAGGAGGCTGAAGTTGAAGCCGATGACGACGTTGTTGACGATGGAGATGGCGGCGAGTTCAAGCTCACCGAGGTGACCGGCGAAGGCCTGAGTGATTACGAGGATCAAGTAGGTCGAGATTCTGGTGAATATGGCTGGTCCAACGATACGCCATAGCTTCTTCGTCTCCAACCATATTTTTCCGTCTTCCTCTGCCGCATTTTGATCCCTTAACAGAGGAATCCTCACCTCGTCTACACCTTGTGCACTGTCGTCGCTCTCTCCCATCGCTGAACTTTTCTAGAGAATTGTTAAGTAATTCATAAACTAAATAGGTAGCTGAGAGCAGATAACGTGTTGAAGTAGAGCTACTCATATATAAATATAATTTAAACAAGTTTTTATAATCGGGAAATCTCGATCAGAATCCCATACTTAATACTACTAATCTTTGGAATTTGTTAAAAAACATAATTTTGTTTTTAATGCATTTTAGTAATAACTACCACTGAACCATTTGAGTTGACTATTGAAACATTTGTCTAATAGACTAATAGTCCTATAAAGACGTTTTTATTTTGTACTGTAATTCGTATAGTCCTCTTTCATTTTATTTCCAATATATTAACATCTTTGTCTTTGTTCGACAACTCAGTTTCCGTCGTTTTATATGATACATGAAGCAAGCGTATTGATTTCTAACAACCACGCCATTACTTGGAAACTGATACTAAAGACAGCAGTTAAATGGTTTTTTCCCCAATTTCAGATGATCTATCAATGAGACAGATTAAAATTATCAGTTTAGATAATCGCATTTTATGGAATACATTCTCTAAACTTGTTTGATACTTTAGGGGGAATTATACTCTTCAGTTTCTTGCGTCCGACCATTTTTAAAAATCTTAACTCTGTTGAGTGTTGTTGACAATATCACTTTGTTTTTCATAGCAAATTCTTGCTAAAACGATTTACGACAACTTGATTGGGCCGAACTAACTGGGTCATATCAAACAATAATGGGCCTTTCCTAATATAATCCAGAGGCATGCAGTGTCACATGTTTTATTTTGATTGACAACCTATACACTATAGGAGTAAATATATTGTCGTTTACCGTCTTCTACAGTGTAATAGTCTGAAAATAAAAGTTACTAATTCCTTTCCTTTTCTGCATTCTGAAATATATTCTACACGTTTTGCTCTTACTGTTCTTTCTCGGACATGTCTAGTATCTACATTTTGCATTCGACAAATAATCTAACCACACTAATTACGTAAACTTAATTGTTTCGATTTCAAGCAAAACCGTGAGGTTTATAATTCTTGATCCTAAATATATGAGTTTGGATTAGTAACAGTTCATCATAATACATGCTAGAATTACATCAAGATTTAATTATCTTTCCTTGATAAAGCAAGATTGGAATACATTGCTTTTGCAATCTGTGATAAACTGTTTAAACGAAAGAATAATGAAGTGATTTGATTTAATCTATGATTGGAATTTACACAAAACAGATCCCACCACTGCACAGACCATATGAATCCATCCAATGGTAAATTACACGTGTTGACATTCCATTAGTTCCAACCATGATGATAATTACTTTCCCCGATCCGAGACACGTAAAGATGATAAAAATTAAACGATCAAATAGCGAAATACGAAAATAAAATGAAATTCTCACATAACACCAAAGATTTGAAATAATAGGGGGAACAATTAAAAACAAAAAAATGAAAACGTGAATTTTGTAAAAATGTACATACGAAAGATCTCAAGCCAAAACGGCGGCGTACATAATTGCAGCGAATGCGGTTCCGGCGACGAAAGCCTTGTTGGAGAAAGCGGCGCTCGGGGGAGGCCCGTCTCCTGACGGTGAGGGACCCTCTCCACTTGGGCTCACGGCGGGACCTTCTGGCGCCGGTGGAGAGGCGGCGGGAACATCAGCTGGAGTAGGAGCGACGGACGGTGGAGTAGCGGCGGGGGCTGGGGTTACGGCGGGTGGTGGAGTTGTGGTTGGTGCTGGGGTTGCGGCGGGTGGTGGGGTAGCCACGGGAGGAGGAGTAGCGACGGGAGGTGGAGTTGCGACGGGAGGAGGAGTGGCAACGGGAGGAGGCGTGGCGGTGGGAGAAGGGGCTGGGGCTTGGGCGAGTGCTGACGTGGCGAAGAGAGCCATCATCAAGAAAACTTGGATCATTTTGGAAGCCATCTCTCTCTCTCAAGGAAATGCTTCTTCTTCTTCTTCTTCGGGTTTTAGAGTGAGAGAGAGAGTATTATGAGATTGGAGAGAGTTGTGAAGGTGAGTAAAATGGAAGAGATGTATAAAAAGGAGGAAAAACTTAAGAAATTATTTCGATTAATTAAACACAAGATTCCTAAATCTTTTAATATATTAATTTGCAGACTAACATGCAAACGCATAATTGGAACATGGGGTTTGCCTCTATATTTATAAATTTGTTTCTTTTTCACAAAATGTATATAGTTAGAGTATCCTTAATTATGTATATTTGATAATGACTAATTAACAGGTAAATCGATTCACATATGGAAGATAATATCAAGATATTAGTCGGATGGAGTCTTAACATCTCAAAAACATTCACTTTGCTTAGTATACAATCCACCGCCAACAATTAATGCTAAATTAGAAGAAGGTAATTTTGATTAGGTGAATCAACTTTAGACTTATCTTAGCTAGCTGTGATTGGATGTGAATATAATTGGAGAGAGAATCAAATATTTGTGATTATATTATTTAAAGATCATTAAGGCAAATTAAGTTTGTGACGTGGCAAATGTGTGGAGACAGCTAACATGATCAGTTCGAGAATCAAGAGTTGCAACTTCGCATGTCTTTTTGTCTACTTGATCCACCCGGTCATTTTGATTTTTATAAACAGAAACGACATTTTAATTTTAATTTTAATAATGGTGTATATTTTTCGTATCATCATTGTAAATAATTGTGAAAAACTCGTAATAATCATTAACCCCATCCATGTGCCTGACCTACATTGGTGTTGTTACCGTTAGGCATTGCTACTATACCCGTTGGAAATAGCTGTCAGTGAATTTAAATATTTGTATAAATATAAGGTGGCAGAAAAAATGTATAAAAATTAAAAACAGGACTTTTCCGTCGTATAAAAACAAGACGTTTGATAGCCTGTAAAGGCTACTTCGATAGTAATTCAGAAGGTAATGTGTCCTTTTTATATATTTGTTGATCGAATGATTATTAGTGTATAATAGTTGGCAATTTATTGCCAATGAATGCGATTATATACGAAACAAACATTCATTACGTATTTCCCAAACTATAGCTAACCAGGCTAAACTCAACCATACAAAATCGAATAAGCTAGAAACCACTAATTTTAAAAGATCGGTCGTTTATTAGCTAAATCAATTAGTAGATAATCAATTCGATTATGATCTAATCAAGCATAGAAAAAAAATCAAATTATCAGCGACTGTTAAACAATCAATGAATTAGTTTGCCTGACTAATAATAAACATGTACAATTTCTTTATGCACTAGTATTAAATCCCTAATAAGCTTGGTTAATATTGATTAATACGCAGCCTACAACTAATTATCTCATGTTAATATTGGTTAAGACTAAACAAATCCCTAATAATCTTTGATATATCTTTTTTTTTCTTACGACAATCTTTGATATATCCTTGGTCAGCCACTTGGTCTTCTTAATGTATATTTTCTTCTCATTACTTAAATTTTGTTTTTTTTGTTAATAACAAAATTATGAGGTTTAACCAGTCCATAATCACTGACCCTGCGGAAGTATTAGCCCATTAGAGCCTATAATACCTGTATTACCTAATTAACCCGAAAAGGAAACAAGTATTAGCTACCATTTGACTCACATTATATAGAAGTGGGCTCAATTTAAGCCCATTACTACGACAGGAGCCAGTTTTTGAAAGTCAACTATCTCAACCGTCAACCTAGTCGGTTTTTTTCCCGCTTTAATATTTGGCGGGAAGCCAAATAATAGCTTTACTAACATATATTTTCACTTGAAACGAATTTTATTCTGCAAAATTTATTTGATTTTGTTTGTCCTTTATTAATCAACACATTTTGAAAAGGGAGAAAACATTTTTAAAAAGGAAAAATTAAGAAAGAGAAGTGAGGGAAGAGGAAACAGAAGTAGTAGAAAGAGAGTGAGAATGATGATGAGTCTTAAATTGTAAGACTGCATAATTGGGTGTTTCTGAACATGAAGGCGACCAATCTCTCTCTATCATTTCACCAATCTTCTTCACTCTCTCCTGCACATTACACACACACACATACAAAACTGAAAACAAGAGATAAAAAAACAGACAAACAACATGCAAAGCTTGAGCCCTTCTCTTGGTCCCCATGAGGACCCAGATCTCATATAGTTTGATTGTAGTTGGAACCCATCAGATTTGGAGTGAGTAAAACAAAACAAATTACAACAACATTTACCAACATGTGAATGTATCACGAGACTCACAACTAGAGACTATGATTGAATTGGTCCTTTTTTTGGTGGGTCTATACCTCAAACTACTTTTGGGATTCAAAAAGATTCAAGTAGCAGACATAAATATATACAGTGTGCATGAATGCATGCATATGCCCATGTTTCCATATTCTTCACAGTCTATGACATTTGAACCACCAATTTGGTAATAAACTAGTTTTTTTGTACGACTTTTCTTACCTTTTCAAGGTGTGAGAAGAAAGAATAGAAGGAGAATTTGCCAGAGTGTAATGTGTGAAGTTCTCCAGAAACAGAAAGAGCAACTGCAGCAGCTATCTCTGAAGCTCTAAACTCCAAAAAGTCAATACCTGTCCACACAGACCACATCAATCTTGTTTCTTTACCCAAAATCATAAAGTAAGAAATGAAAACGCATAGCCAATAGTCCAAAAGAATGAAAAATTATTTGAAGTTGCAAAGATCCAATGAAAAAGGAGAGACTTTTCACCTTTGGTTGTGGTGGCTATCACTTGTAGTGATCTTAATATCAATCTGCTGGATGGTTCTTGATCATAGCCATAGCCATTGATCTTACTCAGCAAGTACCTTATGTAAGAGCACGGCGTCACGGCACGTAACCTCCATCCCAACACGTTCAACACCAAAAGTTCCATCCTTTGGACTGTTTTAGGCTCAAACATGAACCATGGATCTCCAACCTGTTAACGTTACCACTACTATAATGTTATTTACGTTTCAAAACTACAGTTAGAGAGAGACAATGTGAGAGATTTAACAGAACCTGTAGATGTATTAACTCTGGAACTTTAATTTCCTCTATTTTGGCTGCCAAGGATAAACAAGCCACAGCCAACAATCGCACAGTCCAAGATTTTCCACTCTACATGACAATCATAAATCTTTCAATTGATATGCAAAGGCCTTAAATCTTAGCCCATAGTATGAGTTTAGCTGACTTACAGGCAAATCATGAACAGATAAGAAACGATCCAAGTAGTTAATTGCTAGGCACATACACAGTGGTCCAAACTGAAGTTCCTCACAAGCCTGTAATAATCAAGAACATAAGAGATTATAAGGTTGATAATATCCATTCCTCTTCAGATCAAAGATTAGGAAGCAAAGGAAATGTCCTTTTATATCAAATTCACTCAGATATCTTGTCTGTTGACTTGGTAAGGAATTGAGTCAACAGAAGAACAGACAAAGAACCGGAAGAAGAAAAAAAATCTGACCTTCCAAATCCAATCAAGGGATTGATTTCTGACATTCAAATCCAAATCTCCATTTCTCAGTCTCTTGAGGTAATCATCTCTCGGCGAATGTTGTCTCTCTTTCTCGATCATCTCCCTGATGATCTCTTCGCTCTCCGATGGAAAACCCATCTGAAGAATCGATGTCCGGCAAGAAGTAATCGAGGTTGTGTCGAAACAAGTGCCGTTCTCATCATCAAAATTGGTTGTCTTTTTGGATTGGAGATTTGGTTGTACAATTTCTGACATTTGGTTCTTCGATCTATACAAATTTTACTGTAACGGGACTTGGAGAAAAAATAATCGTCGTATAGTATTAGAGATTGGACTGAAGAAAGATTAAGTGATCTCTGTTTTTTCTTCTTTGTTTTAGTTTTGGCTTTTTAAAAGATGTTGTGTAGCTTATTTTGGGTTAAAAAGAAAAAAAGAAAGAAGGCAGATGAGAATTGAGAAGAGATGAAAATGTGATTTAAGGGTAAGAGAGGAAATGTGATGGAGATAAGAGCAAAAAGAAGAAATGAAAAGATGCGAAAATTCAAATCAAAGGGTACCATTATCATGGAAACAAATACTGTATTTAAAATTTGAAAAGTAATTAGCATTGGTGTTCAAAAGGTCATCGAATCCCATTTATCTTTTAACATGGAAAAAAATCTATATAGTTTTGTAATGGACGTGGACTGGAATCACGTGTGAGCGAGCAACTTTGGTTTTTACACTATCTTTTCTCTGAGAAGAAAGATTGGTGGGAGAAATGTAAAGTTGAAGTAATAGTATGTTGTAGAAACTAGAAAGGGTATCGACTATCGACCAAAGTGTCTTTTATTTAATGTAGTTTCATGCATGCAATGCAGACAAAGTGGTCCAAGTACACTTTTGATGTTTTGCATATCTTTGTGTAATGAGATTCGACTTCTCTGATTCTCATCTCGATTCTTGCATACGTGTGTTCACGTCTATGGTCGATCTGGGCTACACAAGTTTTGTTGCTTTGACTTTGACTGGATTGATATTCACAAAAGGATTGAAGTTGTTATATTAACCCAAAAAGAAATCCAAGATTTTTGGTTTCCAACTTCAAACAGAAAAGACAATAGAAGAAATTTAAAGTGATTTTAAAGCTTGAGCAAAAGTCAAGAGATGATAAATTTTAAAATAAACAGAGTATTAGAGTGGAGCAGATAAATCATCAAGCTGTGCACATAATCATCGTAGACACAAATAATATTTTCACATTTTTAGCAGAGGGCTAATGGGGATTTTGAGATCGTCAATGGAAACACTCTTCCCCCTCCTCTAGATTCTCAGGCCTCGTCCATCTGCTCCTGTACAAAGAAATAATAACAACTCAGTACACAGTTTCTCGGTTATTTCAGTTTAAAGACGTTATTTGATATCTATTTCTGATGCATCTGATCGTAGTAACCTGCATATCAGAGGTCCAAAGGGTTAGATTGTCCCTCAGCAACTGCATTATGAGAGTGCTGTCTTTGTAGGATTCCTCTCCCAGGGTGTCAAGCTCAGCTATGGCTTCTTCAAAAGCCTGCATGTTGAATCCATCATCAGAATTTAGAATGGCTTCCCTCAATGATAAAAGCCATTGTGTTACTAAATCTCTTTCATGTTCAAACAGAACGAGACATCAGTCCTAAGTATTGAACAACAAGAGTCTGTGTTTATTAAAAGACGATGAATCTTAAAGCACAATGGATCAAAGATCGGTTCGTTATCAAACAATACATCTTAGAAAAAAAAACTAAAGGTAGAGCAGAAATAGTCAACCAGTGGTCAATCCCCTTAGTCAAAACATCAAGTAAGAAAATTCTCCAAAAGACCAACTCAAGACAATGACCTTTTTGTTTGTTACCATACAGAAATCCAAAGAGAGATCAATGTTTCTACTCGAGAATAAGCAGTGAAAAAGAAAGAATCAAGAAGAGTAACCTGTTTAGCCATGTTACAAGCTTTGTCTGACGAATTGAGGATCTCATAGTAGAACACTGAGAAATTCAGAGCAAGACCAAGCCTTATGGGATGAGTAGGCGCCATATCAGCAGCGGCGATATCCTTCAAAAACATTTACATTCAAAGAGAGACAAATAAGTCGCCATCAGTGTGGTACCAAATAAATGATATGCTAATTTGGGGAAGCCATTGTAGACTAGCTCTCTAAGACAGATATTGAAGAAGAAACGAATCTAGATTTAGTAGCTCAATTCGAAGCTACTTCTAGATCAGGAACTAATTACTCGATTTGGAAGATATGCACAATAGAAGAAATCTCGGAAACAGACTATCAAACAAAAACTAGCAGCCAAATCAGATGAATTTCCACAGTAAACCACAATGAAAACGGAAGCGATATCACGAGAATAATCTGATAAATCTACCTGAGCTGCCTTGTAAGCGAGCATGGTATCTTCAGCAGCTAGTTTCCTCTCGTCTCCAGACTTGAACTCGGCCATGTAGCGATGATAATCGCCCTTCATCTTCAGGTAAAAAACCTTAGACTCGCTCGTGGCGGCGGATGGGATCAGATGCGAGTCGAGGAGCCTGAGGATTCCGGAGCAGACGGAGGAAAGCTCCGTCTCAACCTTAGATCTGTAATCCTTGACAAGCGGCACGTGCTCCTCGTTCTTCCGGATCTCCTCCTTCTGCTCAATCGAGGAAACGATCCTCCAGGCGGCGCGTAGAGATCCGATCACGTTTTTGTACGCAACTGAGAGGAGATTCCTCTCCTCCACGGTGAGCTCCTCCGCGGGAGTGGCGCCTGTGACGAGCTTCTCCATGAACTTGACCATCTCCTCGTAACGCTCCGCCTGCTCGGCGAGCTTCGCCATGTACACATACTGGTCTCTGCCCAATGTCGCCGCCATTAGAGAGAGAAAGAGAGATTTAATTTTTTTTTAGGGGAATTTTTGAAGAAAATGAAAAGAGAAATGGAGAAGAAGAATAATGGGAAAGAGTCAGGTGGGTTATAGAAAAATAAAAAATTTCCACGCGCGAGTGGTTTCACTTTCAGTTATACGATACCGTTTGAGGTTCGAAACTATCGTAGAGGCAGGCGAGTGTAGTGTGTAGGCGCGTGAATTGTGGGAATGGTTTTGGTTTTGTGATAAGAGCGAGTGAATGGACGATACTAATTTTTTAAGTGAGTCAGCTTCTAGTCACTCGCTAGTCACTAGTTTCAAATGTCAGAATTCCGGCTGGATATTTGGGCCTTTATTGAGCGTTGTATGGGCCTAGTGAAGCCTAACACCAGGCTTGCTGGGTATCGAAAATACATGATGAGATCTAGGAATCGGCTAAAGGAAGACAAATTTGGGACTCAAGTGCAAAGCTTGCTCGGGAATCGGCTAAAGGAAGAGAATTTGGAGGCACCGAGATCAATAATGGAAAGATTTAACTGACTTTAGGAAAGGCTACAACTTACAAATGAGAGGAGAAAGTGTTAGCTTCTGTTTGGTAATAGAAAAAGGAGGAAACCATAGTTTGACAATTGAGTTTTGATAGTTAGGAATGTGATTAGTCAAGGATCGTTTCAGTTTTCAAGACTTCAAGCGTTCGAAAGTGCGGGAAAATTCAAAATAAAAGAATCCGTCGCCTGAGAGTTTCGAACTCTCGCGGGGAAACCCCATGTACTTAGCAGGCACACGCCTTAACCACTCGGCCAAAGCGACTTTTGTTAGTGACAGAATTGTTTATTATTTAAACTAGTCTGCAACTTGTAGATAACCCAACATGTTTCAACTTTCAACTTTAGTTTTGCCTTGTTTATCATAGACAGTGTTTTGTATAATTTTAAACCATTTTATTTCAATATATGTTTATTCAATTGTTTTGTGATAGCAGTTGAGCGTTTTTTTTTTATTCGTGTTGTTACAAAAATGTTTAATAGTAATTATTATTTTTTTGGTTAAGATCACTTTTCAAAGAAAAAATTTAGTGTCATCTATCAAAATAACATTCAAAAATTAGTTTTTTTTTTTTTTTTATCAAATGACGGATAACAATTAAACCCCAATGGCCTAGCTTCAAAATAGTTTTACACAATTGATGCACTCTACTTTCGGTCTCAAAAACCATCTCTTGGAATGAATTTGGATTTGATAGCATTTAGAGTTGATTTGATTGCTTTTTTTAAGAGCATGCACCATTGTTGCTGTTTTGTTTTTTTTTGTTTTTTTTTTTCGATTTTAACATTTTTTACATTTTCAAAACTAGCTGATACTTGATAAGAATGAAAAAAAACGATTTGTTTTTTTTTTCTAGTTTCTTGAGAATTGGTGTGAAGAGCTTCCACCTGATGGGATATCCCATGGACATGATGGGGGGGACAAGAAGAAGTGAAGAAGAAGCAGCGAAGAAGTCTCGTATTTTGGTTGTTCTTGTGTTCGTTTCAAAAGTTTGTGGTTGTATGCTGTTTTTAATGTCTTAATGAGATAATCTAAGTTTATTGATTCACAGTTCTTTTGTTTATTGACTTTAACCAATTAATTTGCATCCCAAATCATAAGTTCAAAGTCAATGTAGTGAGAATTGAGACTCATTGACTTTGTTCTTTAGTTTAAGTTTAAAATGTATTGCGTTCTAAGCTTAAGCTTGACTATTGATTTTATAATACACTAGATGATGATCCATGCTTAGAAATTTCAAAAATATATCCAGCGACTCATTTTCTCTTTGAATGTTGAAATCATATGCATGACTGTTATTCAAAGTAGAAAAAAAAATCTCTATCTCAAGGTCAAAACTATGTTTACTTTGAAGGTACAGTGGTGTCATTTCATACAAGTATACACAACTGAATAGTCTAAACGATAATAAAATGATTAGGTATTACCAAGTACCAGCATTAGTAGCTTGTTTGCGCCGTCAGCAACGGCAGCAAGACCTTCATACTCTTCAGGGTCAAAGTCATTCAACGCAGCTGTCAAGTATTATTCTCCAGCTGGAGTGGTTTTTACTATATCAATGCCAGATTTTACTAAAGTAATCGCTCCGTTATTCCTATTTGCCGTAGATGGTGAAGCAACAGCTTCTGATGAAAAATCTTCGCCCCCTATGAAAGAATATTACATATCAGTTGGTAATTAGGATTAATTATAATGAAAGTGACAGAATCAGAACTCAATCGTTTCAAACTGATCACGGAATCACCTGTACATCTCTAGGTGCGTAATGTTGAACATACAGTAGCAACTTATAAAGAAGAACTATGTTTAATTATGATAATGAATCATGCTTAATGTAGTATAGCTGTACAAGCAAAAGAATTACCTGGTCGAAACAGCCATCGACCTTTCTGTCAATCTGTCAAACAACTTTTCGTTTACTTGTCGATAAGCAATCGCTTCAACCAAAAACATGTGCCACACGGACACACCCTTGCCTATTTGACCAAAATCTTTTTAGTCAACTCAACTCAAAACTGAAGCCAATTATGACAATAACTCGGTTGTAAAACTTGCCAACATCGAAATTACTGAAACGGTGAAAGATTCAAAGCTAAGCACAAAACCAAAACTAAACCGTAAAACAAAAATCAAAAATCAACTAGCTTAAAACCGGAAAAAATTAACAAAACCAAAAATCAACCGTAGACCAAGAGAAGAACACATCTCTCCGACTTTCTTCTGGGTTTCAGGAAGAAAAATGACATCTTCGCCGCATCTCTCCCAGCCAATGAATGGCCTCAAAGACATCGTCGAGACACGAAATTTTAAGGTTTGACCTCATCTGTCCCAGTATCCTGTCTTTTTATTTGCTCTCTAACTTTCTGCTATTGAGACGAGCTATCGCATTAGCATACCTGTGTTACTCTGATGATCCGATTGTCAAATATCATCATGCTTTCGATTCATTTCAACTTGTTAACGAATGGGTCTTTCTTTAATTGTATAAATATTGCTTCTTGTAATTTGGGAAAAAAAAAGCATACAACTTTCTGTAAACTGGATTCAGTTCAACAAACATTAAAAATGCACCTTTTTGCCGGTATAAACAGCAATTGTCAAATGTTTTACGCGTGATTAGTATTTGATTTGATGGTTTGCTAAGTGTAATCTTCCACTTGAGCAAACGAATACTGAATATGTCTGAAACTTGTTTGACTCTAAACTTGATAAAGTAATGAACGCAGGCATGGCTCTTGGATCAGTATGGAGTCCTTCATGATGGCAAAAAACCGTACCCGGGCGCAATCTCAACATGTACGTTATCACATCTTTAAGGTTTTAACATTTTATACATGTAACTATACAAGTCGTGAAGCCGGAAGTGAAATATCATTATGCTTTCAGATATTCCATTTCTTGTTATTTTCAGATATCTTCAGTCTCTAGTTGTTTGTCGTTTCTGCATAATGAGCTGATTTAACTTTTGGGGGTTACAGTACAAAATCTTGCAACGGCGGGTGCCAAGATCGTGGTGATAAGTAATTCATCAAGACGTGCTTCAACTACAATGGAAAAGTTGAAAGGCCTTGGCTTTGATCCTTCTTTCTTCACCGGAGCTATCACTAGTGGTGAACTAACCCATCAATCTCTGCAAAGGTTACTTATTTACCAACAGCTTCTTGTTTGGGATATTTTACTTGGTAGAACTTACTGAGAAATGTGTGTTAGTGTTACAGGAGAGATGATCCTTGGTTCGCTGCACTAGGGAGGCGATGCATTCACATGACTTGGAAAGATCGAGGAGCAATCTCTTTGGAGGTTACTTAACTAACACCTTGTTTCTCGATGAAGGTTAGTATTAGTACTAGATTACTAGTAGCAGGTGTTTGATGTAGTTTTCTGTTTCAGGGTCTAGACCTAAACGTTGTGGAGAATGTGGAAGAAGCTGACTTTGTTTTAGCACATGGCACTGAAGCTTTAGGACTTCCTTCAGGGGAAGTAACTCCGGTGTCTCTGGACGAGCTTGAGAAGGTTTTGGAGAAATCTGCAGCTCGAGGACTCCCCATGATAGTTGCAAACCCGGATTACGTGACTGTCGAAGCAAATGTTTTTCATATCATGCCAGGTACACTGGCTTCCAAGTATGAAGAACTCGGAGGAGAAGTGAAATGGATGGGCAAACCTCATAAGGTTTTTGAAACATTTGAACTATATATCAATGAAGTTGCTACTCTCGTCTCTGTGAAATGCTTTTGTTGATTGTGTGTGTGTATTTTGGCAGATGATCTATGAGTCTGCTATGGTGATCGCTGGAGTCAGTTTATCCGAGTCTATCGCGGTAGGAGATTCTCTGCATCATGATATAAAGGGAGCAAATGTTTCAGGAATTGAATCAGTATTCATCACTGGAGGGATTCATGGTAATGAGCTTGGTCTCACTTATTTTGACGAAACTGCAAGTGTGGACTCAGTCAAGAGCCTTACTGCTAAACACAATGCATTCCCATCTTATGTTTTATCAGCCTTTAAATGGTAGTGTTTTCATTGTACACATAATCATATTATTGCTTCTTGAGCTAGATTTTGCCATCATTTTATAATTAAGATTTCGCTTGCTGTGAAAGTAAACATTTATTGCTGTGTAAAATGAGATCAAAAGATACAAAAGTTATTTTTTTTTCAAGTACAGAAAAGGAAATAAAATTTCTTGGTAACCAAGCTTAAATCGACTAAAATCGATTATAATTTGTCTAGAGCAAAGACTAGACCATTAACCATTTTGTGGCGGATCAAGTTGAAGTCGGCGACAATGTTGTCTCAGCCTCTCTCGAGAATCTCAAAGATCTCTCCACTGGTAAGAGAGACTTGAAGTCTGTTCCATTCTTCTCTCGCTTGGGTATCTTTAGGTAAAACATTAAACTTTGGTTGGTTGGTTGCTTTGCAGATGCAGATGCAGAGGTTTCGTCTGTTTTCATCTTCTGTTAAAGAATTTCCACCTCATTTCATCTATGGCACTACCACAAGTTACCCTGACAGAGAGCCAGGTGCCATCGATTTTATGTTTACTTCAGATCACTTAGAAGCTGCAGAGGAACAAAGAAAAGTGCCTTGTGAGTTGCTAGAGCCAAAGGGAACGGTGGGAGCTTCCAAAGGCTGGGTCTTTACTCTAGAGAATGGCTTGTTGTGTCTCCGAGATGATCTCAAGATAAATGCATCAGCTTCGAACCCGAAACGCATTTCACTGCCTCCTCTGGAGACTTTACCTCACGCCCAGACCCAGATTGTGAGCAGCGTGGCCATGTCCTCTGCTTGTCCTGACGAAGACGACGACTGTATTGTGGCTGTCAAGTTCTTGGGACCTCAGCTGAGCCTGTGTAGGCCAGCTCACGACTCCAAGTGGACCAACATCAGAATCACAGAACCGAGTTTCTTCACTTCCCCTGTCATGTTTTCCCAGAGAGATGGCATGTTCTCCTTGCCCGCTTCTAGAGGCGGCTACGTGGGGTCTTGGGATCTCCAGGGCAAGCCCAAGTTGCAAAAGCTGCGATTTCAAGACCTTCCCAGGTCGAGAAAGAAGGAGAGGGAGCTTTTGGATTCCTGTTACAGTAGCCACCACTTGGTGGAATCTTCATCCGGCGAGTCTTTCCTTGTTCTTTGGTACAGGTAAGGCTTTCTTTTTCTTCCACCATACTACAACTACATTGTCACTACATTACATCTACACTAAAATTAAAATATCATTTCTAGGACTGCCATCTACGACAACAAAGACGACAATTTGGTAACCAAAAGGTGTATGCTGTTCAGGGGTTACGAGGAAGGGAATGCCATCTATGACATCAAAGACGAAGATTTGGGAACCAAAGGTTTTAAGGTGTTCAGGCTTGACGAGGAAGGGAATGCTTCTTACACTGAAGACATTGGAGATCTTTGCCTTTGCCTTTCAAAGTCGGAGTCTTTCTGTGTCACCGCCAGCCTCTTCTCTGGCCCCGATCTCCTCATGAACTCCATCTCCTACATCGATGTGGACGAGTCCATATCGCCCATCCTTGATGTTGGATGTTTCTGTCTCTCCAGAGCTGAGAGGGCCAGAGAGAACTATTCAACGTACTACAAGACCCCATTCCCTTACCTTTTTCCACCTCAACCTTGTATTTGATGTCTTCTACTGATGATGGTCGCATCTCATATGATTTTACATTTTACAAGCCTAAGACCCTTGCTGCTTTAAAATGCTAGTTTTCATTGTTAAAACTTATTGATGTGTATACAGAGTGAAGTTACATGTAACACACAAATAGATATGAAGGTAAAAGGTAGCATATATATAGCATAAATGCGCCGAATTTGATCAGCCAAAAACCTCACAAGAAAGAATAAATACACAAGGGACCTCCATCCAACAACTCCATGCCGCTTCACTCTTATTCCAGTTCACCAACGACGTCCCTGAGAGAGGGAACCTTCATGGCCAGAGTTTTGTAGAGTCTAGAGTAGCGAGCTCTTGTACCATCAGCTGTTCTAGCTAAAGCCAGCAAACTTAGAGCTTCGGGTAGTTGAGAAAACATTTGCTTCATTTCCTCTAAGCTCATGTTTACTAGAACACCAGGTCGTGGGACAACCCTCACAAGTTCACCTCCTTTGGGCTCTTGAACGCGTGCATCAGCCTTGATCACGAGCTCCGAATTGGTGTTACCTCCGCATTTTATGATGAATGGCGCCGAAGAGCCCGTGTTGAATTGCAGAACGTTCCACTGAGACACATCAGTTTCACCTGAGGAGATTGATTCTAATGAAGGTCTCCGGTCGTGTGATTGTTCCAGAAGAATATTGTTCTCTTGTTCAGGGATTGTCTGCGTTTAACAAAATCAGAATGAAACAAGAACGTCGTCATTATATCATGTATAGTTCTTTGTGCATCTATATGGTAATTAAACTTGGAAAGCAAAAGTACCTCCACCAACTGGCGTGCTGTAGCGATTTCTCTTTGTGCACATGGATGATCGATATCAAGAAGAGAAGGCATTCGCTCAGTGAGTTCGTCAAGGGCCTCAAGTAATGCTGTCTTCTTGCTTTTACTCAGAACATGGACGGAGGCTTGTCTTGTAATGTCCTGCAAGATGCAATTTCAAGTTGTTGACCACTATTCTTCTCACAAATTAACTATAACCTAGATCAAGTATGAAGCAACATGGTCTCAAATGGAGGTATTACTTACCTTGACTTGCTTCAATATGCCATCCAGAGAAATGAGAGACGCTAATCTTGAGTCTTCAACTGCGGTCGAAGGGTTTTGAACAGGAGAACTGCCTTCTTCCAAGTTAAGCAAAGCTGCATCACTTCTCATTTGTTGTAAAATCTGATAAAGAGAGCAAACGGAGTCAAAGCACAAGAACATTCCTACAGAACCATCGAAGTAAGCACAGAACTATTATGGTGTACCTTTCTTCTTTTGTGGTCGACGGACTCAAGAGCTGAGCGAAGCTTAGCCACTTGACCAGCATCTTCTGCCTCTTCTGCCGCCAAGGTACCAGCAATATCCTGCAGCACGGTTCCATATTAGACATCATTCCCAGCAAATTGTTCAGACTAAAGCCTTAGACTTTCAACATAGGCTATGTTAAGGCAGCCACATCGCATTACCTTCATGTGCTGCATTTGAGAAGTATAGACACGTTTTGCATACTCGGATAGAAGCTGTCCGAGAGCGTCCGTGTGAGGTGGCACCGCGGCCCCTAGTCCAGCCATCCAACCATCCATAATTGCCGTGGAAAGAAGCTCTAGTTGGCCGGTGGTTCCTCCCGGCGCGTCCTCTGCGGTTACGGAAAGAAACTCAAAATGTTCTGCAAGCCATAACCGAATCTGACGCTGCAGTTCACCAGCCGGAGTGTGAACAAACAGTGCAGCTAGGGCCTTGTTCCCAATAGCAAAGCTTTTGGCTTCTTCTTGCATCTCCCGCAGCTTGACTCCAGTAACTTGCTGCCTCCCAGAGTCCTAAACGATCACAATCAAGAGCATTAAGTGTCTCATTGATGTTTCACATATTAGGTAAAATCAAGCATCTCTGAGGTAAATCTACCTGTTCAAGTCCACGCATTCTTGAAACCACAGACGCCAACTTGTTTTTCCTTTCTGGCTTTATATTTACTTTAAAGCTATGCGTCTGCATATCAAGATATCGAACAGGGGATCTACCTGGACTGCTACCCCTGCTATTGCTTTTGCTTCTACCCATATTAGGCTTTTCAAGAAAGCATTCGACAGGAGAGACCTAAAACAAGAGGGTTGGATTGCCTTTACATGGAGAAGGAAAAAAAGTTGTACAAGCCAGCCAAAGCTAAGAAAAACTAAAATGAGCTCACCCTGATAGACTGAAGCTCAGGTGACCGCGCCAGTAAAGACCTTATGTATAGTATCCTGACTCGGGAAACAAGCATGGTATCCATTACTCTACTCGGTTCCATTTTCCGGATGAATGAAACGACGGAATCTCTGATCTCAGCAAGGATTTCATGCTCTCTGGAAGCACCAGCCTTAATGACAGCTGCCAAAACCTGCAAGTCAACAATAGGAGAAAATGCTTCCCAATGTAAGTTGGTATTAACCTTCGAGAAATGTTCAGAGACATCCAGAGTCTAGCAAAACCTTCTCTCAAAATTATGCTAGAAGTAACGAAGGTGTCATTTCATATAAGTACACCACTGAAAAAGTCTAAAAAGATAGTAAAACGATTAGGTATTAAACCAAGTACCAGCATTAGTAGCTTGTTTGCGCCGTCAGCAACAGCAGCAAGACCTTCATATTCTTCAGGGTCAAAGTCATTCAATGCAGCTGTCAAGTATTCTCCAGCTGGAGTGGTTTTTACTATATCAGTGCCAGATTTTACTAAAGTAATCGCTCCATTATTCCTATTTGCCGTAGATGGTGAAGCAACAGCTTCTGATGAAAAATCTTCGCCCCTATTATTTCTCACGGAGAAAGAATATTAGTATCAGTTGATAATTATAATGAAAATGACAGAATCAGAACTCATTCGTTTCACAATGATCACGGAATCACCTGTGAACATTGGCAGGATGAATGTTTGGCGAAGCTCTTGGCGAGGGACTCAACACCTATAATAAAAAATGGATAAGAACTCTTAAGCAATGAAGTGCTGGGAGCAAGTATATCTCTAGATGCATAATGTTGAACATACAGAAGCAATTTATAAAGAACAGAGTTAAACTAATTTTTCCCCCAAGAGCTGAGAGCAGTGTAGTGACATGATAATGAATCATGCTTAATGTAGGAAAAAATTACCTGGGTCGAAACAGCCGTCGACCTTTCTGTTAATCTGTCAAACAACTTTTCGTTTTCTTCATGCAACCTCTGCGGAAAACATCGTTCTCTTCAGATAAATGTACTCTAGTGATAATATCAATAGTTCAGCCTCAATCAGAATATGGTCAAGAGTAAGACAGAGCAGAACCTCAATCAGTGCATCACGTTTTTTCAGCTCTTCCTCAAGTTTTTTGGTGACAGAAGAAGAAGAATCAACTGCGCTCTCAGCCGCTTTTGGTATGTCCCGAGATTGCAGGGCATCTCCTGTTCCTGTTGTGTCCGATCTAACGGCTTCACTTGCTTGTGATTCCAAGTCTAATATTTTAGCCTGCATCAAGATTCAAATGAAAAATAGGAGAATTATATGACTTCATCTGCAGAGAAGTCAACAACGTTTGCCTTAACATAGATCTTAATCTTTGAAGAGTAGATACTAATACTCATGGAGCACCAACCTGGAGATTTTGAATGGTGGAATCTTGTTGTTGCATTTGCAGCTTCTGTTCCTGATCCAACTGTAAAAGTTGAGCTATTTGATTTCTCAACTGAGAATTCTGCTCCTTCTCTAGTCTATGTTTCTCTACAAGCATAGTATTCTCTGACTGCATGAAATGAAAAATCGACAATTAGCAACAAGCAAAAAAGTTTAAACGAATTGCAAAAAAAGCCAAACAAGAACCTACCTTTAAATCTGATTGCAGTGTAAATGAAACTTTCCACGCCCTCTGCACTTCAGTGTAGAGCAATACACACTGGTCATTTGCATCTTTAAGTGCTTGTTTTAAGCCCACAACCTCTTGTTTCAGATTCTGATTTTCTCTCTCTTTGTCCAACAGCTCCTTTCGAGCATCACTTGCCTGCAAGACAAAAAAGTTATCTATGTTTCTTTACAAAGTGAATATTTTTAAAAGGAATAGCTAGTTTACTTATTCCTTTCAATTCACTTACCACATCTCTCCATTTCTTGATTGTATCTCGATTCCCAAGGCTTGGTACAGTATTCCTAGCTCTAGCAGCATAATTAAGACATGATATTGTCTCAGACAAGTTTCGCGCACTTGGACATATGTTAACGATCATCAATGTTTTGGAGCTCCCCCCTACACATACAGAAATTTTCATTTTCAGTTCCAAAGAGCTTCAAAATATGGTGGCAAAACCCTTGAAACAAAGAAAATATACTTATGTGGATACAAAAAGAAGAAAGACGCAAATACCACCAAACAGAAAAAATGTTTACCTAGTGAATCTGCAAGTATTCTCGTAAGAATTGAATTATCATATGGAACTGAATCCTTTTCTGACGTCAAAGAGGACAAAACATCTCCCAACCTGTATTTACATGATAAAGACACGGAGGTTTATATGTGCAGCTCACTGGTAAGAGAGCTGTGAATAAAATTATGGGTAAGAACAATTTAACATACGCTGAAATCGAATTCATGACATGTAGCAGATCAGTGACGTTCTCTCCACTGTCATTCTCCACGGTTAAACCTTCACTTCCAGCCAAGTCAATTAGAGAAAGCTTGCTGTATATGTTTTCTCCAGTAATCGTGTTGCTATAGTATATATGTACAGTGACAATCCTACCAAGAGAGAAGTAATCCATAAAGACATGTTAGTAGAGAATAATCTGCATAAGTATAACAAAAAAGAGGAACTATTTAAGCACACAATAAAACATACAGATGGGTAACATTAAATTTTGCTTTATCAACCCCTCGGTTCTGAAATGCAGATTTTAAGACTCTTAAGAACTCCATTGGATTATCAACTTTTTCCTGTCCGAGTTCTATAACAGATTCGTGTGAGCCCATGTTGATCTTAGGCAAGTTGCTCTGAGTTTCTGAAAGTAAATCCCTGATCTGGAAATGAAAGTTTCTGAATTAGAAGTTTTAGATTTGATTATGGACCATCTTGGCAAAGAAAATGAAAGCCAGAAGTATGAGTACTTGAGACAAGATTATAAGCACCTGTTCATTATAGATCTCAAACACTGAAACAGAGAAGCTGAATCGAGATGTGGAAGTTGAATCCGAATTGGCTAGGTCGAAAAGTTCCTCAAAACAACGAGCATATAAACCGCGGTCGTGACTCAAACCTTCCTGGCAAGACAACAGTCAATAAAGTTGATTCAACAGAGAGCCATAGGAAGACAACAAATCACTGGAAGACTTAACTGTAACAGAACATCAATTGATACAGGTGCTCAACAGTATATGACCAATTTGTAAAGATTTAGAGGAAAAGGATAAGAATGACAACCATGGTATATGTCTTTCCTGCATCAGTTTGTCCGTAGGCAAATATGGAGACGTTAGATCCATCCAGTGCAGATTGAACAAAAGGTTGGACATCACTGAAAAGTGCAGCTGAGGAAATATTACAGCATTAAGTACAGAGGTTACGTTGCTTGCAGCTTTTGTAGGATCAAAAATCATACACAGCTTTTGTACTCACCTTGTCCAACATGAGGTCCATAAACTCTGTCAAATTCAAAGTCTTTCTTGGGATTGGAGAGAGCATCGTCAGTGGTGTTCACACATATAGTGCAGTCCCCAGGGAATTCTACAATAGAGGGACCTTCATCCTCAAACAATGGTCTTGCACGGCAGAATACCTTTATGTTCCCTGAAATACAACACAAAATGAAAAAGTCCCACATCAATCATCAAGTCGCAGAGAAATATCAAAAATTCAGTGAAACTATACTCAAAGAAAGAGTATGGAGATAGAAAGACAGTCACTGAATATTGGTTATGGAAGATTAGTACCTTTGGCCGTCAACAAGTCATTGAACAGTCTTTTCTTCTCATTGAGAAGTGGAGATATCCTAGCCTCAGTCTCAAGAACAGATTGATCTGCGATGGTTTAAGTAGATAAATTACATTTTCTTCGAAACACCTTGTGGAAGTGGAATACAGTGATGGAACACAAAACTTACCCAATTTACGACTTTTCGCAGCCAGAACACCTAAATAACGTGTAACTCTCTCAAGCTTTGCATTAGAATACTCCTGCAGATCGGTAGCTTCCTGTCTCAACTCCAGGAAATCTTCCTTCGCAAGCTGTTCAACCAAAAGACATTTATTTCCCGATAAGCAATGGCGTCAACCAAATGTTTTTGCCACACACTAAACTTCCATCAGATCTCCCGATTACACACAGCCCCCTTGCCTATGTGACCACAACTTCTACAGACTCAGCTCACGCTTTTAGGAATAAAAAGCAAATCTTTTTAGTCAATTCAACTCAACACTTGAGCCAATTATGACAAGAAATCGGTTGTAAAACTTGTTAACATCGAAATTAGCGAAACGGTCAAATCTAAGCACAAAAATCCAGTCTTTACTTCAACAACAAAAAAAACAATCAATATTCACTGAAATGACAAACTACGCCATATTACGATAAATTTACTGTGGAGTGTAAGGGAAGTGAAGTAAAGTGAAAAAGGAACTGACATTTCACCTTAACTTTCTCCTTTAATCCAGAAACCTTAGAAGCAAGCGTTTGCTTCGGGAGTGGCGGATGCGAAGCCGTCGAAATCGAGTACCGACGCAGCAGCGGGCCCGTCGTACGGTGGCTGCTCTCCTCTAACGATGCATTCGAAGACGACTTCCTCGGTTCGAATCCACTCACCTCCCAGTTCCACCTATTGGTTTTACTCCTCTGATCCGCCATTTTATCCCCAAGAAAAAACCCCAAAATTCTAAGCACAGAAGAAAGATTCAAACCACCAAAAATTGAAGTAGCAGCTTTGAATTCTAAGCGGAAGAATTCAAAAAACAAATTAAATTTATTTTGGTGAAAGGAAGATTTTTAATTTTATTTTTGGCTTCTCATTGTGGATTTTCCCTCGGTCTGGTATACAAAAAAAAAAAATGAAAGGCGGAGAAGAAGCTTTTGATTTTATTGAAGCCCATACGATGCCGTTTTCTGGACTTTTTCACTTTTGATTATTTTTAAAATTTGAAGAAAACAAATCTGGGAATGTGACCCTGAAGCCGTATGAGACACAAATATTTTGTGCTCTGTATTTAACTTCACGACGCCTTATCGTGTTCGATTTTTGGTCATTACAACCACCTACGCTGACTCTTCTCTCTTCTTCTTCTCTGACAGCAACTACGTTGACTTTTTTTGTATTTTAAAATTTTACTCGCATCTCAAAACATTGTTTTAAATTCATGCAAACAGTATAAACGAGTAATAATTTCACATTTTTTGTCAATCTTTGGTGTGTCAAATGAAGAGATCACAGGGAGAGGGAGCCAATAATTTTCGCATTAATTTAGACATGGCATTACACTGCATAAGATTACACAATTGCGTCGAAGTTAAGCAAAATTAAGGCTCAAAAAAGAAGTCTTAACAAAGAGAAGAGTACAACATGAAAGAAACCACACAAGAGGATAAAATCCAGTTGATGAGCTTCGGTCTCTTGTCTAAAGCTTTTTTTAGTCCCTCTTGGATTTGGAGAGAGCTCTCTTTCGCTGCCCAAGCATGTACCTGTACATGTGTGGACTTCCTGCAACAGCTCAATACCCAATTCCAAACAAAAAGAAAGACATTAGTGGCAGATCAGAACTGAACAGATTCATGAGATATGTTCTTTAAGAAAGGTCAAGTGAGTTCATGCCTGGGACATAGGTTGCAAGGACGAGTAGCATTGCATAGAAGTAGTCGAATGAGAAGTTCAATGTGTTAGGCATCCTAATGCTGTACATCTCAGATGTCTGCAGGAAAAGATAGAAGCAAACGAGACCATTCAAGAATCAAACCATATACATTAAAAATCAGAAACTTTATACATAGCATCAACGTTCAGTCGATCTATGGAGAGTTCACAGACTAAAGGAAACATATAATATTGACTTCATGGTTCAAATTGACATGAGCGTGTTGTGTTACCTTGATGTGTGGTAAGGCAAGGTAGATAAGACCTACTTCACTGGTGATACCGGTAGGGTATAGCAATATAAAGCTGCTGTATCTGAACAGATCCAAAGAAAGAAACAAAATCAAATGAGACCAGGTTTACGTATTTATCAATTATTACGGCGTGATATAATTCATATGAATTGCATACCTGAGCCACAAGTGCCATGAAGGTGCAAAGCCTAGACCTTCCTTAAGACCAAAGAAGGAGTAGCGAATAATCTGCAATCATCCAAGCATTTGAGACCGGGTTATTCAACCAAACATGAATACTTCACCGGTGTGGAGTTAAAGAGCGAGAAACGATCTGTAAGGCTCAAATTTTAATTTCAAAGAGTCATGCCTAATTTAACATGCTAGAGATATAGTAACAGCGAATCTTTTGAACAATCCATGTAACAGGAACAATGACTAGAATATACTCGCCTCTGTGATAGACCAGCTTATGACCAGCGAGGTAACAAGGAAATGAGATTGGACCTGAAAATTAACGGAACATATTTCAAAAGATCAACTACATAAAATAGAGATGATCAACTCGAAATGCAGGTAACTTTCTAAGTAACCTCTGGGAAACTGTATAGGATTCCCCAAGTGAGAATTAGCCTCGAGCCTATCTGTGGCAGAGTTGCAGAAATAGGAGATCTGACCAAACCTATTCGAGTTTAGACACACATCAGAACCCAAATCAGTCAACGATCTTACTTAGTTTTATCAAGCTGGTGTAGTGAAAATTCCAAAACTAGTGTAATGGATCAGATCACTCACCTATTAGTCCATGCAGAATCTGCTCCATACCCGGAAAATTCCCAAATATCCAGATTCGAATCAGGGAAGAAAAAAGGAAATGATCAGTTGCAACAAATGTTCAGCCGGAAAATGCAAAAGAATACAAATATTCGTGGACTGACCTCGAGAACAGCAGCAGTCTGAGCAAGCTGGAGAGGCTTCTCGACGGCTTCATAGACATTCTCATATCCCGTTTCCTTCAAAGTCTTTATCGCAAAGTACAAAACTTGAGCCCTAAAACCCCAAAATGTCACCAAAACAAAATCAAATCCGAGAGAAAACAGAAACCCACGAGACAAGACGGAGAATAACAGTGAAGAAATTGTAGAATTCGACTTGCCATCCAGCGAAGATGATCCAGTTGTAGAGAGTGAGGTACAGTCGACGGATGACGGAGAGAACACCCGCCATTGACAGTGGAGATAACGACTAAGCTAAGCAAGATTCTTCGAAGTTCGAGCTCCCCGAAAAGAGCAAAAGAGTAGATTTTTATGGCGGAGAGATCGAAAAGTGGAAGCATTTATGAATTAGAGAGACAGGTGATCTACTTCTCAACCGTCTTTTCCGGATATTTATTATTTAACCCATACTTTCTCCCAACTATCTCGAAATGGCCCCGATATTTAATATATCACATTATCAACCTCCAACTTCCAGAATTTTTCAATCATTAAAAATCAATTTAATTTCAATCGCATTACAACATAAAAAGAGTGTAAAATTTGCGAATTCATCATCTTCTTGCTGTCTCACTGTTCACTTGAAGCAGCACCTAAGCTTGTTTGAGATTGGCCATCTTTCTGCTCTTTATCCGCCACCAATGGGCCATTTCCAGATCTACGAGCACCGGTGAGTTCTTTAGCATCTGTTTCCGTGGAAGTAGAATGTACCTCTTCCTCAATCGGAAGTGTTCTCTTTGAGCCCTCTAGTGCAACACCCAGTACTATATTCTCTTCCAAAGCTGATCTAGACACTGATGATGTCGAACCTTCTGTCTCGTTCTGCGCTGACTTTATTGTGCTACCGCTTCTCTTTGCCTTTGGTTTCTCAGCTCCTGATGTTTCTGTTGCATCCTTTGCTGTGGTAGCCGGTTTGGAGACCGGTTTGGTTCCTGGCTTAGCTCCTGTTGTTTCGTCAGGTACCTTGTTGGTATCAGAAACCAGCGATTCTCCAACCTTCACATTCACCTTTGGGTCTGGAGAAGAAGTTTCTTTAGACTTTGGACTGGAACCCTTGTTTTCTTGCTCTGTGATTGGTTTTGATGCACGGCTTTGAGATTTCGATTTGTCTTCTCCGTTGATTTTGTAAGAGGGTTCGATTAGCATCAAAGGACGCCGAGAAGCAACACCTCCAGGGCCGTATATTGATTCTCCAAATGGTGGGTTTACCATGTCGGAGTCTGTGTACATCTTTCGGATTGTACGGATTGGTGTAGCTAGACGTGCTCGGTGATGGCTTATGACTCTAAGAAGGTCCAACAATATAGCTTCCTGTTTCGCCAAGAGCGTAAAACTTGAGCCAATCCAAGAAAGAGACTGTAATTACGTAAATAATATGGTGAAAATCATCAACTTACCTTTACACATAGGTATTCTTCGAAATGGGACGTCTTCACAAAGCAAGAGATAAGTATCTGTCAAAATGAGAATCAGATGTAAGAACCAGAAAATCGAATGCTTCCTTAAATATCTGATTTTCGCTTGGTGAAAAAGAAGATAAGCATTGAAGTCTAACCACGAGGGCCTGATTTTCTGGATTGACATTCTCCAAGAATATCCTTCTATGTAACCTTTGCTGCTCAACTTGAGGATTCTTGGACAATACTTTCCGCATGTCAGCTACAATATTCTGTTTGAAAAAGTTCAGAACAAGGATCAGCAATAATAACTCCATGACTGGCACATAACTTGTATAACGAGTTAACGACCATTGGGGAATTAGGAAACGCACATTGATTTTGTTAACATCCAAGTGACTGATTGCTAGGTGAGTTTTGATACGCCAATGAGTCTTCTGAGTAAGGTTTCTCACGACATTGACAGTGAACTTATGATTTGGGATGTGAATTGCCTCCCGGTCTTCACCTCTTATTATTGTTGGTGACCACCAACCAACATGCTGTAAATGTGTTGCAACAACCATTTGAGAAAGTTAGTTGGCTAATCTTTAAGGACATGTTCATGTTCATGGAAGCCTAATCTAAGCTCGAAGATTATGATACTTACCTCCACAGTACCAGAAACTTCATAGCCTTCAATCTTTGTTTGAATCCACTCATTCAGAACAAATGGCCGGGTTGCGTGAATCATAACACTTGAAAGAAAGTTTGTCAAGATCTGGAACAGCAAAAATTCGGTTTAAATGAATTTATCTTCATAAGAAGGGAAAAGAAACGGGCAAGTGCATATTCCGAAGAAACTAGTATTCAAAATGCGATTCAGGTTTCACCTCTCGGCCAGCAAGAGTAATCAAAACTGTCCCAAGACCTCCAGCAGTGAGCCATTTTTGTGTAGAGAAACCCAGCAACTCCATGAAAAGTGAAACAGCAGCAACCCATACAGCCGAATATACTGCTTTCCCAGCAAATTGAAATCCCATCTGTCGCATTCCATGGGGAAATTAGCAAAAGCATAAAAGAATTCAGTTCAGACACTTGTAGTAACACAAAGCTTAGACATGTAAGATAGACCAAACATTCTCAGAATAATAACTCTACGGATATTCCTGGATGAACACAGAAAAGTTAAATAAGCATTTTTTTATGAGGGTTACATTACATACATTTCTTGTATCGCTTGGGTCACTTGTTTCAGAGAAGAGCTTTTGTGTTTGTTGGATAAGGCTGCATGGGAACATCCAACCAGAATCAGAAGCCATGAGATTACCACACAACAATTTCACGTGAAACAAAGACAGCAAGCTTACCTTGATAGGCAGTAGGCAAATGCAAGTACTGTTGACAGTGACCTCACAAAATTCAATAGCCGATCCTTTACAATATTGCTAGCTTCTGTAGGAAGAGCAACAGGATCTAATGCCCTATATAAAGAATAGTCACCAGAAAGAACCATCTATCAGTTATCTAAACAAAGCACTTCAAAGAAGTATCTCAACGATGAACCTCAGCAAGTACGGAAGAACTCCTTGATTGATATACCTGCAGACGAATAGAGCTCCTAACCATAACAGCAGCGGTTGAACATACGACGTCATAACATGGTACGTACCACTCTTTTTCCATCCGTTATCATTCTTCTACAATGATTGAACCATAAAGTTTCAGAATATCATATACAAGTAGCACCATTAATTTGAACTGAGGCAGCACAGAAAGACATAAAAACTTAAATGGCTAAACCTACATGGAGTAAGAGGTTTCTTCCTTGGCGAACAAGAGGCACTAAACCCCACAGGGAGAAAACAAGAAGAGCAACAGCTGGAACCAACTTATATACAAGAGGGAATTGTTGTATTAATCCGTGTGACCTGCAAATCATTTAGTGAGAATAATACATTAATTGTGAGTAAGATTCCATGAGGCTACTATGCACCTCCAGATCCACAGAGATCAACTAATAGAAATTATGGTAGTTTCACAATTCTCCAAATGGTCATTCTACATGTGATGATAATAAATAAGAAGTCTTACTTTGTTAGCACCACATTGGCAGCTTTAATAGCAGGTTCAATAGCCTTGCCTCCTATAGAAAAAGAATGACACCTAAAAGCGGTGGTTCTGCATGGTACTGAAGAGATAGGCCTACGAAGGTAATCTGAGAGTAAAATATTCCCGAAATCATGTTGTCCCAACTGTACATAGAAAAACAAAAACTGTTAATAAATATCAGCAAACCAAGTTGAATGACAAAACTAAGCTGTTTTGGAAAACTTACCGGAACACCTAATGAGAGAGGACCCTTTGATATATGCAGCCTCCTTCTCATGGCACTCTTAAGAACAAAACACATATTTAGAAAGAAGAAGGCGAGAAATGAACAAGAAACGATTCTAGGGATAAAATGGAATAAACATACATTTTCTGGCTTATAGCACCCTTGGTTTCTGCAAAGACCCAGGCCATGGGACAACTGCAGTGAACCATAAAGGGCCATATTTTGAGCAGAGTCAAATGTGTTAGCCAGCAGCAGCGTTAGTAGCACCGATCATAAGCCAGCCTCACACCCTGACGGAAAGGAACTAACGAACGAACGCCAACACGGACCCTGCACTATAGAAATGAAGCACACCGTTAAAGCCTATGTGTATGATTCAGATGCAGCAACAAACAACAGTCCCAATGAAAATTTTAGCGTCGGCAGAGTAGAAAAATTATGCATATTCATTGCCATTAACATAAATTTTAAAGCTTGGATACAAATTATTGATCACAGTCCCAACTAAATTCAACTTAAAACAGCTAATGCTAACCTAATTTCATCTCAAGAAAAGCATCCAATATTACAAAAACAGACTAAACACAAGCCAACGTCGCAATCACTAGCTAGAGCATAACAAAAGGCATAAAATTGGTCGATCAATCCCTAATTCCGAGGAGAAAAAGTCCGAATTTCCTTTCAAATTAGCAACATAGGCATCCTCGACGCACGCTTATACAGAAACGAAGATAAGTAGAAACAAAACTTGAATCACACTGGCAGACGATAACCGGATTCAAAATCGGAGTCTACAATCGAAAGACTGAAACTAGCGGGAGAAATTAAACTTACCCCAGAATCAAAAAAAAAGCAAGGGAACAAAGACAATTTCAGGGTTTCAAGCTTCTTCGAGGAGGGGACGAAGGGGGGATTCGCAATTCGCAGACAAGAGAATACGGTGCCGTTTCAAAATGAGCAACGTTCCGGGTAAAGTGGTGAACAAATTGCCGACACGTCGTCAGACCCGTGCGGCGAATAGATTCGTTCGTGTATGAATGATGCTCCCGCATAATCGCATCTTATTTTATTTTATTTTTCACTTTTCTTACGACACCCAATTCAATTTTTTACCGACCAAGATTTTGTATCCTCGTTTATGTCGTTACACGTTAATTTTGTACAATATGCTAGTCGAACAAATTTAGTAAAATAAACACGAAAAATGTATGTATTTTGTCTTTGATATATCGAATTATCTATCAGTGGGGTTTGTTTTCTTTCATTTTTGAGTGTCTGTTGTAATCTGATCGAGGACCACGTATGATGTGTCTCTCAATCAAGTAACCAAAAATTAGAAAACAAACTATAAAAACAAAAAGCAAGATGCAAATATTCATTTCATAGTTAGTTTCTGGAGAATTCTTTGTTTAAGTATCAACAAACATTTAACATTGAGTCATCAGACAGATAGGATTGGGGTCAGAAACAGATAAGTATTTGCAGAGGATTGTGTGGCTGTGATGTGTTTGTTGTATATATGCAAATATCGATATGTACATAGTTTAATTTTGCGATCACATGTGCTTTGGACTATTCAGATCCAATGTTGCATGCGTTTTAAATAGTAACTTACCATTATTGTGTGTCATCTTCAGACACCGAATCTTCCTCTCCACCATTCTTTCATCAACAAGATTTACAGAAAATCAAGAAAACACATCTCTTTTGGTTTCCCTCAACAAAAAAACTTCAAAAACAGAATAATATTGAAGTAAATATGAGATTCTCTTCAATGTATTGATTGAAAAGAAGATTATAGAGAACAAGGATGCTACGGAGAGCTGCGAGCAATGCATACTCATGGTGGTGGGCAAGCCACGTTCGAACCAAACAATCCAAATGGCTCGAAGAAAACCTCCAAGGTTACATAACAATTCCATAGATTATTGTCATTGATTAACTTCTTTCTCACGTTTCATAAATTCTAATATAAGTGTTTTCGTACGTAGATATCGAGGAGAAGGTGCAATACGCACTTAAGCTCTTGGAAGATGAAGGAGATTCATTTGCTAAGCGTGCAGAAATGTATTACAAGAGAAGGCCTGAATTGATAAGTTTCGTTGAAGAAGCTTTCAAGGCTTATCGTGCTTTAGCAGAAAGGTACGATCATATCTCCAAGGAGCTCCAAAACGCTAACACCACAATTGCATCTGTTTTCCCTGAACAAGTCCCTGAGTTTGCCATGAACGAGGACGAAGATTCTGGTCCTCATGATCATGTCTCATCATTCAAGAATGCGCCACCGAATAAGAATATTCCAAAGGTTCCTGATTTTCCTATAAAAGACACTGAGGCTGCAAGGATGATGAAACTTATCAGAGGACAAGATGATGACTCGACCGTTGTTAACAAGTCCGGTCTGAGCAAAGCCGAGGCGGTGGGAGAGATTGATAAGTTGCAGAAAGAGATTCTTGTTTTGCAAACTGAGAAAGAGTTTGTCAAGACTTCTTATGAGAATGCACTTGCAAAATATTGGGAGATTGAGAATTGTATCATAGAGAAACAAGGCAAGGTTATTAGTTTGCAAGATGAGTTTGACGAAGGTGTTGTTATAGAGAATGAAGAAGCTCAGATTCTGATGTCCACCACAGCTCTCAAATCATGCGAAGAGAAACTGCAAGAGCTGAGAGATAAACAGGAAGAGAATGTTAAAGAGACAGAGATTGCAAGAAAAGAGATCAAAGAATCAACAGAGGAATTTGGTAACATTTCTGATGGAAGAGAGAATCAGAGTAATGAATCCTTGGAGGAGAAGGTAGATGAAGAGTTTGACTCTGAGGCTGCTGCTAGGTCATGTGTTACTATAACAGATGTGGCTGATAAGATTGATGAGCTTGTGAATGATGTGATCAATTTGGAGAGTTTGTTCACATCTCAAGCAGCTTTAATACAGAGGCTACGAGAAGAAATTGATGATCTCAAGGCACAGATTAGAGATCTGCAAAAGGAAAACAACACATCTCAAAGTGATGATAACACTGACATGAGAGATAAGAAGCTGAAGGGTATTGAGGATATAGATCATGCAGTTGAAAAACAGAGCAAGAACATTGAAAAACACCTTACACTAGCTCATATCAAACTAGTTTTCTTGTCTGAGAGATTAAAAAGCTTGAAGCAAGGTGGTGGAGAAGAAGAAGTCAAGGCTATTATTGTGCCAATTCAAGATGCAAGATCTTTGACAGATGCAAAGCTTCCAGAGGAAAATCTTGATCATGCAGTTAAAGTTAATCAAGAAGAGATCAGTGAAACTACAGAGAAGGAAGCTTTATTATCACCAAAATCAGACATTGGAACTGAAGATGAAGCGTTCTTGGAGAAGTTGCTTGCACATGGGACTGAAGGTAGAGAGAAACATTTGTTAACAGAATACACCAAAGTGCTTCGTAACTACAAGGAGGTAAAGAAGATGTTAGATGAGACAGAAACAAGAAGGAAGAGTGAAAACACAATGAAAGATGAACAGCTCAGAGTCTTAAACCATAGACTCAACCTTCTTCTAAAAGGTCAAAATGATGGTGGTGGTGGTGATGATCTGCAAGAAGTCAGCGCCAAGGATCAAAAACAAAAGGACCAACTGTTCATGCTGCTTTTCAGAGAAGATAATGCTATGAATGCAATATCTGGTCAAAAGCAGATGATGCTATCACCAAATGAACAGCAATTCGGAGCAAGAGTTGATGCACTACTAAGCCAGAATCTGAACCTCTTGGTGAAGTTTAGCAACTCTTTTGGACAGATACAACAGTTTGATACTGGGATCAAGGACTTGCATGTCGAGTTATCTAAGATCATGGAGCAAAAGAATCAAGATAAGCCTTCTCTCAGATCAAATGTTCGTCCTATTTACAAACACCTAAGCGAGATCCGCACAGAACTAACAATCTGGCTGGAGAAGAGTTTGCTTCTAAAGCAAGAAATCAACTTAAGAGCTTCAACTCTAAGTGACCTACAAAATGAAATAACAGAAGCTCTCAAAACAGATTCTGAAGACTCTGAAATGAAGTTTACGACCTACCAAGCTGCTAAATTTGAAGGTGAGGTTTCAAACATGAAGAAGGAGAACGACAGGATAGCAGAAGAGCTGGAAGCAGGTTTAGATCAAGTTACCAAATTGCAGAAGGAAGCTGATAAGACGCTTGAGAAATTGAGAGAGGAGTTTTCACTTGCTGAGTCAAAGAACCGTTCGAACGTGCAATCTTCTTCGCAAGATATCAGAGCTCGTATTCCTTTGAGGTCGTTTATCTTTGATATAAAGCCAAAGAAGCAAAGACTGTCCATTTTCTCTTGTATTCAACCTTCAGTGTCCAAGAAGATGAGGCCTGCTGGTTCATAGAAAACTTCTAACATCTTTCCATGTACACTAACTACTACATCAATTGTGTTAATGAATTTAAATCTTTTTTCATTTTGAATCTAAATATGAATGTTTAAGATGCATATGTTGCTGCTCCTTTGCTCATAAGAGATTGATCAGAACAACAGAACAAGCGGAAGGCAAAACGTGGGCTTGCATTCTATGAAGCCCAATTATATTTTAAATAGCCCGATTAATTTTATTTATTTAAAAGTTTTAAGGTAAATTTTCAATTTCGTAAAATGAGAAGGCAAAAGTTGTCAAATGCTGCCTTCAAATCAAAGTATTGTAGCAAACGTCAAGACAAATCCTACTCTGTATCTGATTATTATTTACTGTTTTAATATATTGTTAGTAGTTATACTCTAAGTTATTAGGCCTGAAATGTCAAAAATATTAAACGTTTCTAGTTATAACTTGTGAATGACTTTATATTTATACTTTAATGACGTGTAATAAACATATAGATAACTTTTATACTATTTACTATTCTAACTTTTAAAGAAGGGGACAAAAACATTTGGCTATCTATCTATGTCCAGCTAGCAGAATCGCGTTAGTCTAAGCTTCCACGGCTGTTTTGTTTGACTAATGGCACGATTCATATACATCCTCTTCGTGATCTTTGCTGTAAAAGAAAGGAATTAAATCAAATAAAATTATCAGGTTTTGTCACTAGTAACTAATCTATTAAACTAGTCGTTATTTTTTAACATCTATATCTGTTATATTACTACTTTAATTAGCGGTTGTACCAAAATTTACTCGTCATTCTATGGTACACATAATAAGAATTTTTAAGAAGTGTGCAAAGTGCAAGCATCATTACCCCAACTGGCTAAATTACCTTCAAACACGGAGTTACTGTCAGACAAATATGTTTATAATACTCTCTTTGTATACCAAAAAAAAAATGCGTATACGTGATTTGTCTATGTTATGTATTGGTTGATTTTGTTTTTTTTTTCTTGTTTACGGTAATGGTTTGTTTTATTTATCCGCATCATCACTTTGTGGCAAATAGATATTTTTTCATTTTTTCCTCTGTAATAAACACAAAAATCGTCGTAATTTCTGTACAAAAAGCTCTACAAATCAAACAATAAAAACTCCAGTACTTAAAAATATAATGATGTTTCACTGCTAATATGGGTCTTTGCCCCTACAAATTTCCCTAATACAACCAAAACATCCTAAGGTTTTTTAAAAAGACAAAGGTTAAAGTGTGAGAAATATTTTAAGAAGTATTTTTGGGGGGAACAAAAAGAATTAAAGAGAAGGTTTAGTTAAGGAGATTAAGACAAAAGATGAGGGATTAAGATAATAGAAAGGAGGACAGGGTCGCACGTGCAACACCGAAATCTTCGACCAGAAACGTTGTGAATCAAAAGATGCTGCGCACGTGCCCCCTCGGTCAAAGGTCAAAAGCAACTGATACACTAGTCATTGGACCTCCCAAACTATTAAACAACATTAATTTAGATGAATCATAATTGTTGCATTATTTTAAGAAAATGCTGGGTATCCAAGATAAGGATGATGATTAGGAGAGTCTGTGTTGTTTGGTAAAAAAGACTCTTTAGGAGCTAATTAATAATTTCGAAAATTAAAATTTTTTAAGGTTTGTTCACGTTAGTATTAGCATCCTTCAAAGTTCAAACCTTTACTTTTATGTATGATGTGAACTCGAGATTTATCATCATGGCTGTATATCTGATAAAAAAAATTAGAGGTTGTTCACAATGCTTTTTCATGTAAAATTAATACACTGCTTTTTGTTTGTCAATGTATTTTTATGAAATGCACACGTTTATTGGTTACATTATTATAATGACTGTTCTAGATTGTGTATGATAGCTGTGTATTTGCCCGAAGAAACTCAACTACAAATCTCCATTTAGTGTCAAATAAACTTATTGCTGTTGTGCTGTGTTCTTCAATTGAGAAACAAGTAATGCATATATACATAGTTTATATTTAGGCGAAAGCTAACCATATTATAGGTAATTTGAATCGCACTGTATAAGTGTATATATAAAATCATGATGGATGGTCGATATGTAGTTATGTACCATACAAATCAACAAGAAACCACAAGCATATTTTACAAAGAAAAACTTAGATGTATTTTATCATTACTGACCAAAACTAGTGACCTTTTCCCTCGAATTGTTAGTATAACATTAACGGGTACTGATATAAGATCACACTGACCACCAGAGACCGTCTGCAACAGTCACCTATCATAATAAAGTATCTTTGAGTTTATTTAACTTGAGTAACATAAAGTCAGAATGGAATCCGTTTGATAAATTTATATATATGGTAATTTTCAACGAACACTAATAAAATTAGTATTGGATGAGAGGAGGCTGAGATATGATCAGATATATATGATATACAAATACTTACGTGTATCATATATGATTAGTATGAATCACTCAAAAGGGGAAAGAGGGAAATAATGTGGAAGCATGTGTTTATCCTCTCAAGTTGCTATATTCAGCCACGTGTGATGACGTGGCACTTATAAACTATATGATTCGCAGAGATTTACTAAATTGAAGAAAAGAAAATATGTGTTCGGTGTTCCAATCAGATTAATATACATATATACGAACTTCGAGCTTTTATCGTCAAAGGGTTAACATTCGATACAAAAAGGGCAGGTGTGACCAACCCCACGTGTGATCTCACATGCATATATACAATTAAGAGATTTTAAAGCCAAGTCTTCCAGAGACACATATAATTAGAGGAAAAAATGAATAAACTTTGAGTTGAGTAATGAGGACAACAATAAGTGAGGATAAATGTTTAGGTACTTAATTTAAAGTATGTGACCGAATGTATCACCAATGCCTTTCAATGACTATAATGCCACGTCACACTTGCCAGAACCCTAACGAGAGGCCACGTCCCCATTGTGCTTTTAAACAATAAACACCCATGAGCGATATCGCACATTTTTAACGTATTCTTTCTGTTTTAAAAATTTCTTCTCTGAACCCTGGCTTCTACGTTTCAGTATGAACGACAATCTCTGATTGCGGTTTATGTTAATATATTCTGTACAGAATATATATACTTGTTAAATTCGTGATTGACCATCGATTCTTTTTGTCAAAGGAACACTGAGCATCGTGAATTTTAACATTATATTGTAATATTTTTATAAAAATGTATGATTTATATCATCATCAGTCAGCATATTTATGAATAAATGGTTTACGAATAGATTATGTATATACAAACAAGTGCGAAAAAATGGGCGAAATTTTTTTCACTATCTCGCGTTTTCTCATTTGCTAGAAGTCTAGAAGCAAAACTGTCAAGAAACTAGCTAGCATTTATACGGAAGTGGTATGACAATTATAGATATATTTTGAAGAATATAGTACATTCCACATCAACACATGCCAAATCCATCAGCATTGCAAACAATCCGTACGATGGTCAACCCTTTGGTCAACGCACGGGTACTTCCCATTGTCGTGTCCGCTTATCCAAAGGCATGCAAAATCACATTCATATATAAATGGACTCGACCAAACTTGTGTGTTTCCATCTCGGTGGACCGACTCACACACGTTTCATATTAACGATAGACATTAATTACACTTATCCGTTATTCCACTAACGATAATCCAAGGGTATCAACGTTCAATATACCTCATGTCTATCAGTCTATGATCTCATTTCGGCCTATTAAGAAAAAGATGCTGTTTTTTATATTAACATATACTGGTTCAATTAAAATTGCCAAAATCTGGAACTGTCTAGCTAATTCTCAGTATTGGTACGTACGTTCAAAGCCTAAAATTTGCAGCCTTGTGTTGAATCGACAGGTGAAGTGAATATATCGATTGCTTATCGAGTTGTGGTTGTTATATATCACTATTGAGAATGTGGACTAAAAATGAATTGGTTCTGTTTTGTTTTTCCATTTCCTTTTATTCCAAAAAGATTTACAAAATGTGGTAAAATCGGAAAGATAACATCATAACATAAACGAACAATATATTACAACACGAAAATGTAGTAATTTATACAAACAAAAGAACCTAATTGCGTTAGAGATAATATTTTAAAGTAAATAAGTTTGGGAAAAATGGCGAAAAAGAACAATTCAGGAAATTAAACACAGTAAAATTAAACGACACTCCATCTACTCAAAGGACGGTAGATATTTAATTAAAAACTATAGTTAAGTTTTGATTTTCTTGGAGACACGAACTATACATTAAAGATTGGATGTTGAAGATATTAGAGGTTCAATAAAGTAGAAGTCTAGGATACGAAATGCCCTAAGCTATTAAATAATACGACATCAAAGCCCTAATCACGTGCCTTAATTGCTGGGCCTTCCTTTTATCTCTCTTTAAAATATATTTTTATTTGCTTCGTTTTTTACAGAGGAAACCCGCCTCCTCATCTGGTAGGTTGTTCCCCACAAGCCTTTTCCTTTTTTTGTTTCTCGATCTCTCAACTTCTTCAAGATTAATATTTTAATCAATACTACTAGTAACAAAAGTGTTCGATTTGATTTAAGTTAGGCTGGGTTTAATGGAAAAACAAACACCTATATAATTAATACTACAATATACAAGAAAAACGTATTTTAACCGCGGCCTAAGTTTACTTAACCAGGGACTTGACCATTTTCTTTTGACCGAAAAGGTGTAGCGTAGCTAGTAGTATTTGTTTTCTCCCTTTGCATCCTACTCTATTACCCTCTTAAGCTTTAATATACTCTACTATTTCAATTGGGCTACTTTCACTAAACATTGTTTACATATCTCTTAAAAGTACATGAAAGAAACTCATTTGTAAGTAGAGAAATAATGATTTGAGTGAAACTAAATGAACAATGACAATAATGACCGGATGCATCATCAAAGACCTTCAAAATGTACACCTGATTAGAAAAATAGGTTGAATGTAAACGTATTTATTTTGTACCTGGCAAGTTTAGATTAAGATAGAAGTAAGAGAACCTGAATATGAAATATTAATTAAGGAGGGGTTAAACCGTAAATAAAAACGTAGCCGAGTAAAAGAATTCAAAAACCCGACCCGGAGGAGCAAAATCAGGCTGGGTGGGTTATAAAAGTGGGGCAGGAGAGAAGAAAGGGTAACAAATGCATGTACGACAAGTGGAGACTCTGGGAACAAAGCATCTAGTGGTTTGGTTTGGTATGGTATGGTTTTAAGTTTTAGGGGCAATTTGGTAAATTCAGGAATCGCCTCCCAGATCTTTTGCGACCTTGTTCTGGACAAAATTTCTCCCCCGCAGTGCTATAAAAGTCACATTCGAAACATATCTATCGTTTTTATTTATTTCGTCTACTCTATTGAAAAATAATTACACATGCGTACCAAAAATCGAAGAATTCGCAAAAGAGAGTTAGAAAGAATAGTAAAATAAAATTTAATATTTTCTTAGAAGAAAGTAAAATCTTTTGCGTAGCCACATTTTACATGACTCGTTTTTTTTTCTCACTGAAATTGTATATTATATTTTTATTGCATCCAAACGGAATAACAATGAGAGTTACATGGTCTGAAAGAATAAACCAAAGTAATATACACCAAGCAAATAAAGATATGCATGAGAAAGAGTACCAAGTAAAAATATGCATGAAACGTTTGGATTTCACACAAAGTAAATACAAAATTACAAACATTAAGCTTATACTAGATTCTAATCCCCAAAGTTAAAGTGACAGTTGTAAGAAGAATTCTCATTTTTCTCATGCCCACCAAATAAAAAGTTTTCATCTTTTGGTTATATGTTAAACGTATAACAAAAGTACAAAACCTTGGCATAAGTAAGGGATAGTCAAAGTTTAAGAGTTGCACAAATGACTAAATGTGCCAGCAAAATTTTGGTAACTAGCTAGTTATAACAAAACGAATTAAGGATACGTCTTAATTAGTAGTCATCATATCATAATTAGAGAAGAGTGTTTTTCACCTTTTTAATACTAATCGGACAAATAAATTCAACAACAAAAAGTTAAAGCTAGAATAGATAAAATTTCTCTCTAAAAATCCCCTCCGGTATTACGCCGGGCGACACAGAAGAAACCGCTCTACTTTTTCTTTCATGTAACTCTCTCTCTCTCTCTCCTATTTCTCTACATGCACATTCTTTCTCTCTCTACTGCAAATGAATTATTATTTTTTTAAATTAAAGAAAGGATTTATCCTACTCTCCCTTTCTTTATAAGTATACGTCTGAGAAGTTCCTTTAAGAGCTTCTGATTCAGCTTCTTCTTTTCTCGTCATTCATTCAAATCTCTCTCAGACACCGGTTTACATGCATTTGCTCTTCTCTTGATATCCTCAAAGCTTCAGTCACTTTATTTACTCAAAAAGCAAAAGACACATGCAATAGACTAGATCTTCTGTTCTGATAAACACCTCGTGATTAACGTTCCTTACAATAGTCTTCTTCGCGCAAATGCACAAGCTCTCTGAAAGCAGCTTAGTGTAACGCTTGATCAGGTATGTAATGTAATAAAAAAGAAACAACCTTTTTTTCTGGGTTTTCCTTCTTAAATCTTCTTTTGTCTTTTTCTGCAGATTCACTATAGAAATTTTGTAGGCGTTCCTAATTTTTTACTACTTTCCTTTTTTTAAATCAGGAGTTACCAAAGAAGAAGAAGAAGAACAAACAAGAGAGAGAGAGAAAGCAGAATAAATTAAAAAAAAAAAAAGAGAAACTTTGATGGCTCCGATGACGAACTGGTTAACGTTTTCTCTGTCACCAATGGAGATGTTGAGGTCATCTGATCAGTCTCAGTTCGTGTCCTATGACGCTTCTTCCGCCGCCTCCTCCTCTCCTTATCTCCTCGATAATTTCTATGGTAAGTTAATTATAAAATCACTTTCTCGAGAAAATTCCGTTTTTCTTTTTCTTTTTGGTTGGTTCCGTCATCTGTGTGAGGTACGAACGAAACACGAATGATTGTGGTGTTTAGTGTTTACACAGTACATGCTCTCGTGTGTACGTAGAGGTGTAAGTATAGGCTCTCTAGTAACCGACTTCTTAGCTTATCCCCTATTAACCGAGTTGCTGAACTCAGCCTCCCTCGTGTTTTCTCTCTGACTTTGTCTGTTTCCCGAGAAAGGCAAACAAAATTAGATTTTTTTTTCTTCTCCTACGGCAAATAGAGACTTCTCGTGAGCTTCGTTTTTTTTAATTCGATTTTTTTTTTGTTTCTTTCAATCTTCTGGGTATGTATGTGAGTATGTTAAATCCATTTTTCTTCTCTCTTCGCAACCCAAATTATTTTCATTTCCCCGGAAAATCATTTTTCTGTTCATTAAATTTTTCAGGTTGGTCGAATCAAAAACCTCAGGAGCTTTTCAAAGAAGAAGCTCAGATAGCAGCTTCAATGGCGGATTCAACGATCCTAACAACATTCGTCGATCCACAGACTCATTCCCAGAATCACATCCCTAAGCTCGAAGATTTTCTCGGCGACTCTTCTTCAATCGTCCGTTACTCCGCCGATAACAGCCAAACCGACACACAAGACTCTTCCCTCACTCAAATCTACGATCCACGTCACCACCAGAACCAGAACCAAAACCAAAACCACCACCAAACCGGGTTTTACTCCGATCACCACGATTTCAAAACCATGGCCGGTTTTCAAACCGCTTTCTCTACCAACTCCGGTTCGGAAGTCGACGACTCAGCCTCCATCGGACGGAATCATCTAGCCGGAGAGTATTTGGGACACGTGGTCGAATCTTCTGGCCCGGAGCTAGGATTTCACGGCGGGTGCAACACCGGAGGAGCTTTATCGCTTGGGGTTAACACTAATCACCGGAGCAATGATAACAATCAAATCACTGATCACCAGTACCGAGGTGAGAGAGTCAATAACAACGAGAAGACGACGGATTCTGAGAAGGAGAAGCCAGTTGTGGCGGTGGAAGCATCGGAGAGTACTAAGAAGATCGCTGATACGTTTGGGCAAAGGACTTCGATTTACAGAGGAGTTACTCGGTGAGTTCAAAATTAAGTTTGTGATTATGAAATTGATTAGTGATTTGCCATTGTCAAAGGGGTCAATTAGTCAAAGACATTTAATTATTAAAGTTTTGATTTTTTGGTAAATAAATGAAGTGAATTAATGTGAAGTTTTGATTGATGCAGACATAGATGGACGGGAAGATATGAAGCTCATCTATGGGATAATAGCTGTAGGAGAGAAGGTCAGGCCAGGAAAGGACGTCAAGGTATATTTTTCTTTCATTTTCATTTTTTTCAAATTTCTTTAATCTCTTTTGATTTCATTCTATTAGTATTAGGCTATTACTATCAATAATGACATCCGTGTGGCTCTGTTATTTTTTGAGTTATTGTGAATCATTTTGGTATTATTCCATGTTTTTAAGTGGGTTTTAGAAGGATTAAGAAGAGTGAAGTATAGGACAAAGGAATTGTCAAAAAAAATTGAATGCAAGATTCAAAAGAAGCTTTACCTTTTTTCTTTTCTTTTTTATTGATCTGTCTATATCTTTATATGATGATTGATGGAACTTTGAGCGATTGCATTTGTGAAGGGGAGCCAAAGTTTTTTAACTTGAAAATACTTTTGAGTCAGGACTCGGGAAAAAAAAGAAAAGTGAAATATAAAATATATATTGAGCTGTAGTTGTTTGTTGTTGATTTTTCATATATTTAGCAGAAGGGTGCCGCCATTTTGTTCCTTTGTCTTTATTACGTTTCTTTTCCTATCGCAATCCTTTCATTTCACACTTACACATACTAAAGCCTAAAGGTACATAAGATGGGTCCCCATGGCATTGCCTATATGATGCAATCTCTGTTTCTTTGATTGACATCTAATTGGACCCACTTTGACCCTCTCTATTCCCACATTTCTCTTCCACCTATATACATTGTGTTTGAGCATATATATGATTTGATGTTATCACGTAGGCATGTGATGTGAGTCCATTGGCCTCTTTCTTCAGTCTTTAGCTTTATAGGGGTTTGTAGTGAGGGAGTACTTGAATTATTCAGAGGTTTGATTTTGATTTAGAGGTTTGATAGTGAAGAAATGTCATCAGGAATTTCAAATTAAATGAAATTTTCAGTGTGTGTAGTGTAGTGTTTCTGCTGTCCATAAGGTGTCAGATTGATTTATGTGTAGTGTTCACATCAACAAAGCAAAGTCTGAATATTCTCAGTGGCTTTTGCTTTATTTTTATATTTTTTGTTTTGGGATACTTGTACCACCACAAGTGTGGGGATCTAGGGTTTGACCACATCCAAAACTTCTATTCTCTTTTTTTTTTTTGTTTTATTTTGTTTTCTCTTTCAAATTCTCTCACTTTTGCTTTTCTGAGTACTAGGCTGGTATCCACTAAACCAGCAAATTGTTTAAAATTGAATATGACGTTTGATACTTGATAGGTTGATAACTAGTTTGTCTTAAGCATGATTCGCATTAGCTTGTTCAATAATAAAATCAGTGTTTGACTAAATGTGTTAGGACTTTCTTTGAATATGTTTTGTTACATCTCCTTTTAAGTATTATAATCGTTTCGTTGGCCAACTATCTTATCTCTTTTCCTTTTTCGCATGTACCTCTCGGTATGGATGCTGGCTTCGCTTTGAATCAACAGTATACTTGGGTAAGAACAATATCTCAGTCAGTAAATTCTTACAAGAACATAAACAACAATGAACATCCCTTTAAAACATGATTGTTTTGTGTACTGATTTCAGGTGGATATGACAAAGAAGATAAGGCAGCTAGAGCTTACGATTTGGCAGCTCTCAAATACTGGAATGCTACCGCTACCACCAATTTCCCTGTAAGCACCTCCTTTCTCTTTCTTTTGATTAACTCCGTTAGTTTATCTTTGTCATTCAGTACTAATAATCCACTCTTAATAATTCTAGATTACGAATTACTCGAAAGAATTGGAGGAAATGAAGCACATGACCAAACAAGAGTTCATTGCTTCCCTCAGGAGGTAAAATTCATAAACCATAACTTTCTTGAATCAAATGGTTTATATATGTATTTCCATTAGTAACTCTTGAGATTAAATACAGGAAGAGTAGCGGATTCTCTAGAGGAGCTTCGATATACAGAGGTGTAACAAGGCACCATCAACAAGGACGTTGGCAAGCAAGGATTGGCCGCGTCGCAGGCAACAAAGATCTTTACCTCGGAACCTTTGGTAAGTCTCAAACAATAATCAACAAACTGTGGTTAATTAGTTAGTTAAAAAGTTTTGATTTTTACCATTACTTTTTTGGTTGTTGTTATTGTAGCAACGGAAGAGGAAGCGGCAGAGGCATACGACATAGCAGCGATCAAATTCAGAGGGATCAACGCCGTAACAAACTTTGAGATGAACCGTTACGACGTCGAAGCCATCATGAAGAGTGCACTCCCAATCGGCGGTGCAGCGAAACGTCTTAAGCTCTCCTTAGAAGCCGCTTCATCAGAGCAGAAACAAGCCCTCGGTCATCAACAACAGCTTCACCATTTCCAGCAGCAACAGCTTCAGCTTCAGTCATCTCCTAATCACAGCAGCATTAACTTCGCTCTCTGTCCTAACTCCGCTGCTCAGTCTCAGATGATTCCTTGTGGAATCCCTTTCGAAGCAGCTGCTCTTTACCATCACCAACAACAGCAACAACAGCAGCAGCAGCAGCAACAGAACTTTTTCCAGCATTTTCCGGTGAATGCAGCATCTGACTCGACCGGGTCTAATAATAACTCCAACGTTCAAGGATCAATGGGTGGACTTATGGCGCCAAACCCGGCTGAGTTCTTCCTCTGGCCTAATCAGTCTTACTGAAAATGCAATCAGTCACATATGATTTGACCGAGTCTGGCCTCTTTTTTGGGTTTTTAGTTTTTCTTTTCTTAATCTTTTTCAAGGGATTCAAACTTGTTTCTTACTGCTCTAATCTTCAACTTCTTGATTCTGGCTAACCCATAAGCTGACTAGAAGAATCTGAAAAATCTTACTTGGTGATCTCTCTGTTTTCTGTTTTTGTTTTTATTAATTGTTGTTTAGGCAGGAGTTAGATTGGGGTTGAAAAGTGGAAGAATCGAAAAATGACGGGGTCATTAATGTATTAAATGTAAACCTTGTGGTGAAAAGTGTAACCTTTTGGGAAGTTAAGGTTGGTTTCCGTTATTTCTCTTTTTGTATGTACATTATCGGGTATTATCAGCTTATATCCCTAGCGTACTTCCGTACTCTGTTTCCGTCTTGCTAATTTTTGGATACCAATATGTGAGCCCATTGGGCTTTTCGTGGTAGCGAATCGAACCAGAAGTGATACAACAATTGATTTTGTTACAAAAACACAACTCTTTTTGGGGTTGAGACTAACAAAGTACAGTAGAACAACACAAGAGAGAGAGACATTGTTGATGATATTCACAGTTTTGGTTGGGGAATAAAAAAAAAGCAACCAACGGAGAAGAAAGTAGCAAAGTACCAAAAAGAAGACTTAAAACATTGTTACGAGGGAGATTAAGTTAATCTAAACAAATTCTACTCACTCCATCAAGAGTTGTCTATGACGAGTGATCTCATTGAGGTAAGAGGATGAGGTGTAATCTTGTAGATCGCACGCGTTCACACCCACTGTTCTTTCACATGGCTTCTTCTGCAGCTCTGCTGGTCCGTCTTCTCCACGCAACAGCTGCACCAACTGCAACAACCACAAAACTCACATTAAAACCGATAAACACAAGCTAGCTCGCTGCAGATTCAGGTTTTAAAAAAAGAGAAGATAGCATATATACACGAGTCATGTCAGGTCGCAGAGTAGCTATATGTTGGATGCACATTGAAGCTGTAAGCATCACCCGTTGCATCTCTGTTGGACAGTACTCATTTCCTAGCCGATGATCCACAATCTCTTCCATGCTGTTCTTCTCCAGATAAGGTTTTGCCTGTATATATTACCAAATCAGAAAAGGTAAACAAACATCTCCTCCTATATATTAGAGTTTCAGATGCATTAATGGTACCCATGCAACGATGCTCTGCCTGCTTGCAGTATCAACAGCTCTGCGACTGGTTATGATCTCTAGAAGCAAAACCCCAAAGGCAAACACATCTATCTTCTCATCAACAATGCCGTGTATGAAGTACTCTGGAGCCATATATCTGTTAAGGAAAAAGGGTTTGTAAGTAGTTTTGGTCATCAAATCTGTTCATGGAAGCTTTAGAAGGATTCTGTCTTTTATTTACCCGAATGTTCCTTCGATTGGGAATACAACATGATGAGGCCAGTTCTCTGGGAGCCATTTTGCAAGTCCAAAATCCGAAATCTGAAACGAGATAATATACATACATGTTTCTCAAGCCAACTAAAAATCCAAAAAAAAATGTTGTAAAAAGTCATTTACCTGAGCTTCGTAATCTCTGTTGAGCAAGATGTTGGAAGCTTTGATGTCACGGTGAATAATCCGTCTAGGGCAAGCATTGTGAAGATAACTCAGACCATCAGCTATACCTAGAGCCACTTTATACCTTATCTTCCACTCCAGACACTCCTCTGTTTTTACAAAAGATCAAAAAAGAGACAAGATCACAAACAATGAATGTCTTGAAAAGAAAGCAGACTCAAGATTCTATGTAATTAAAAAGGAGATTTTAAATAGTATACCAAAGAGCATAGTAGCGAGGCTTCCATGAGGAGCGTACTCAAGCACAAAATGGAAACCGCGATCACAGCTGAAACCGCGAAGCCTAGCTGCGTTTTGGTGGTTTACATGTGCTATAATACCGAGCTCTGACAGGAAATCACTCACTCTCTCTTCTTCTTCCTTTGCGTGACTCATCAGCTTCTTTATCGCCACCGTTTCACCATCTGCTAAAACCCCTTTGTATACCTCCGCATGCCCTCCTTTCCCGATCATGTTCTCTAACAAACCAAAAAAAGAAACAGACTTTTTACATCAGAAACTCAGATTCTCAAAAATCCAAATTTTGTGTATTTTTGTGTTTCGTCTTTACCAGGATTGAAATGGTCGGTGGCTACAGCGAGCTCCTCGTAGGTGAAGTTTCGCCAAGAGGGTTTAGCCATGAAGAAGGTATCGCAAGGGAAGACATTCTCAGAGATTGAGATCTTTGGTTGCTTACGCCGCAAGTTTTTACGCTTGAGCTCGTAACTTGCGAGGAGGGGAAGGACTGCGAACCGCCGTACGGACTTCTTCTTGATGGATTCAATCATTTTGTTCCATTGAAGACCTTGGTAAGAAGAAGACGAAACGTTTTTGTCTGGAGTGATTGAAAATGGCGACGGTGATGATGATGTTTTATCATCAGACGAGCACGAGCTGAAACTACTGTAATTACTGCTGCTATTGTCTGTATCTGAAGCTATAACTGGAGATGATGAATCCTCGAGGCCTAAGTCGTTCCTATGAAGCTCTATCTCTTGATTCTCTTCTTTGCTTTCTTTGTTGTTCTTCTTCTCTGTTTCTGTTACAGCGAAGGAAGAAAGTTAGTTCTAATGTCATTAAGATGATCCACATAACCTGGCATTGTAAAGCAAATTCCTCAGAACCACACGGTAATACCAAAAAAAACAAAAATCTGTTTTAATGAAACCTAAAAAAAATGAAAAATATGAGGTAAAATTATTCATTTTCTTAAAAATAAAAAATGGTTATTTACCTTCAACAGCCATAGCTCCAATGGTGTGTTTTCTCTTCTTTTTTTCTGGGATTATCTCCAAGTCCAACAAGAGAAGAAAGCTTTTAATCAAATTAAACTCAAAATTGGGGAAAATATTAAAAAGGAAAAATCAAGCATGGGAGAGGATTTTCAAATACAGAAAACAGAGGTTTAATGAGAACTTTTATAATTGTTTTGTTTTCGAGAAAAAGAAAAAGAGAAGTTGGTTATTCTTGGAAGAAATAGTAAGTTTGGAAGGAGAGTCAGCTTTGGTGAGTGGAGATGGACTGGAATCTCTGGCTCTCTGCTATATTTATACAACTCCACCCATGCAATTCTGCTTTTGTTTCTTTTATTTCTTTCTTTCAACTGCAAGTCAAGTCATGTTCTGTTTTTTTCTGTTTTGTTTTGTTTATAATCTTCTCCCACCCAGATTACTGAGGAAGATGAAGGGATTAGAGATATATGGTTAAAAAAAAACTGAGCCTTTTTCTATGTACGGACTCGACGGTTGACATATCTGGAGGTTGTTGGGGGCATTTTCGTCAATTAAATAATAGACACACATTTGCTTGTAAACTGTAACAAATAGAGATTTGATTTTAATGGGATTTGTTCAGATTCCATATCTCTCAAATTATATCCTCCGCCACACACATAGCCAGGTTTGTAATGTATCAGTATCCCGTGTGAAATATATATGGACATTTATATTTTGTTTGTTTAGCAAAGCTTATTTTTCTTACATTTGAGTATATTTATGTTTTGTATATATGGCTATGATGTCATTAATGTGTATGGTATTGGTTGCTATGGTATGCATGGTTTAAAATGATGGACCGAAAGTCACATTTTAAAGACGAGGGAAGAAAAAGGATGTATATTAGTATATAGGAGTTGACAAATCTAAGTTTGAAGGGACAAATGGTGAGTGTGTTGTCGGATTCTTCTTCTGACTTTTCGTGGCGCCATAAAGAGAGGAAACATATGGCAGACACATTTGACTACAAATTAAGCCATCGAAGATTTATGTTACTATTTTTATTCAAACAAATACTATCACTTTCGATCCATAATACAAAAAGTAAATTTTCTACTATGTGATCCCTGTTATTCATGATTTGAAAGTAAATGATACTCAAGCTTATCCCTTTGTTATCATGGTTTTGGTTTACGAATAAAATTCTCTTTTTTTTTTTTTTTTTATCTCAACCTAACCATTGTCATGCGTGACAATGTGAGACCCACCTCAAACTTGTACCAATAAGACTGCAAAATAATAGAGATAAAGCCCGATTTCTTATTAGGCGTGGATGGATTCTTTGATTTTCAAGGATTAAAATGTCTTTAATTATGTGTTGTCACCGAAGGCACTAAAAAGTCTAAAAACAACTTACTTTCCGAGACAAACCCAAGTGAAGCTAGTTGACCTTTTTTTTTTTTTTTTGATATAGAATCATTTTTGAATCGAGAACGTAAGTAAGGATGGGTTTAATTGTGTGAGTTGGTAAACTAAACCTGTTAATATCACAACCATTTCCCTCTTCATCATTTTAAACAAAAGTTAATATCTCCCTTTCCAAAAGCCCACCAAACTCACCAATGTGAATTTCAGTTAGAGAACTGAGAAGTCGGTTCAACCGATTTTCTCTATGATATGACATTAATGTACGATTAATATAAAAGTTGTGATAATGTTATAACAAAAAGCGCCTGTAGCTCAGTGGATAGAGCGTCTGTTTCCTAAGCAGAAGGCCGTAGGTTCGACCCCTACCTGGCGCGTTTCCTTCAATTTTGAGGATTTTCTTTTGTCTCTCACAGAGCCCGACCCAAAGACACTGAAAGAAATTACTGTACCCTGACCCGGTTATGTATTTTTTTTTTTGTTCAAAGACCCGGTTATGTATAGTGTCCATAGTTGATGTTTCAAGTTTTGTTCGGGAGATGTCGAGGTTAGGATAATCACAAGGCCTGCAATATTTTGAAAACATACAAGAGAAAGTACAAAGCGAGGCAAAAGTATATTCCTTTTGAGAAATCGAAATCAAGGAATAATTAAGTATATTCTTTCTTAGGAATCGAAATTAAACTGCTCGTATATTCAGTATTATCAATTTATCATAACAACCATTTAGCATTATCCTTAACAAAAATATCACAAAATCACGAAAATGAGGAGAGAGTGTGAGTCATCGCAACGCTTCTTATAGCAGCAACTAGTCAACACCGTCTCGAGCCAGTCTCTCTCACAACAACGCAAACGCAAGTTTCTGCTATTCTCATTTTCGCCCCTTAACTTTTCTTAAATCATATCCTCGCTCCAACTGTCGTCTTCTCAGATCCACCACCTCGAGTGCCACCACCTCCGCCTGTCTCTTTCTCGTCGTCTCCTTCAATGGCTACCGAAGATACTCTCTCCTCGAACCCTCTGTTGCAGGATTTTGAGTTTCCTCCGTTTGACACAGTTGATGCTCACCATGTCAGACCCGGGATTCGTGCTCTGTTGCATCAGCTCGTACGACTCTCTTTCTTACTCGTCTCTGTGTTGATGCATCGTATTGAGATTTCGAGTGTTTATTCAGTCCTTTTAGCTTTCGAATCGACTTGGATGATTAGATTAGCTTCTTCGGTGTTTTGTGTATATTGATGTGACTATTTAGCTTCTGAAAATTGTGTCAAACGATTTTTATGTTCAACTCTTTGCCTATCGGATTTTTTTTCCAGGAAGCTGAATTGGAGCAGCTAGAAAAATCCGTGGAGCCTTCATGGCCAAAACTAGTGGTGCCATTAGAGAAGATTGTTGATCGTTTATCTGTTGTTTGGGGAATTGTCCATCACCTTAAGTCTGTCAAGGACACACCCGAGCTTCGTGCTGCCATTGAAGAAGTTCAGGTAGATTATAATTGTATTGCCAAGCTTTTTTTTTTTGTTTTCTGTGATTTGTTTTAAGTTTTGTACTTTGGATTCAGACGATCGGACTTCTGGATTTTTGTTCAGTGAATTAGGATTCATTTTCTTGTTTTTCTAACCATAATTTTGATCTACAGCCGGAAAAGGTGAAGTTCCAGCTCAGGCTAGGGCAGAGCAAACCAATTTACATTGCATTTAAGTCTATTCGAGAATCTCCAGACTGGAAAACACTGAGCGAAGCTCGTCAACGAATAGTTGAAGGCAAGTAACGAATAGTTGGGGCAAAAGAAGAAACACATTCTTCCCTTTCCAACTTTTCTTCATTATGGATATGCGGAGTCTTGTTATATTATCAATGTGTAGAGATGTTTGCTCACTATGGTATCCCTGTGTTTTCAGCCCAAATAAAGGACGCGGTTCTCAGTGGTATTGCTCTTGAAGATGACAAGAGAGAAGAATTTAACAAAATTGAACAGGTACGTCTAAAAACCCTGATGAATAATTGTGAGCTTTTTAAGAAAATGGTTCCTAGGTTGTCATAGCTCCATGTGTCTACAACCAGGGCTTCTGTGTAATTAGCAATATCATCTGGTAACTTGATTTGCCGCTTTCCACACTGTAGGAACTCGAAAAACTTTCCCATAAGTTTTCTGAGAATGTTTTGGATGCTACGAAGAAATTTGAAAAGTTAATAACAGACAAGAGTGAGATCGAGGGGTTGCCACCATCTGCACTTGGAATGTTTGCACAAGCAGCTGTTTCCAAGGTATTAACAACATCTGAAAGATGTGTAAAGTTTCATGTCCTTTTTTGGGGGGTTTCATTTCAGTTGTTGATGCATCTTGATATATGACACAAGGGCCATGGAAATGCAACTGCTGACACTGGACCATGGCTCATTACACTGGATGCTCCTAGTTATCTCCCCGTCATGCAACATGCCAAAAACCGTGCTCTGCGCGAGGAAGTCTACCGTGCTTACATATCTCGTGCCTCTTCGGGTGATTTAGATAACACAGCAATAATCGACCAAATCTTGAAGCTTCGATTGGAAAAGGCTAAGCTTCTTGGTTACAGCAATTACGCTGAGGTACAGTCGTCTAACTAAATAAATCTACTCTTCTTTTCTCATGAGCTTAAATTTAATGTCACTCTCCTAGTCCAGGTAAGCATGGCCACGAAAATGGCTACAATAGAGAAAGCAGATGAGCTATTAGAAAAGCTTCGTAGCGCTTCTTGGGATCCGGCTGTTCAAGGTAAATTCTAGTGAAATTTTTCTTTAAATCAACACGTAGGTCTTTAAACTAGCAAGCTACTACTGTTTTCACTTGTCCAGACAAAGTTTGTGGCAGTGGCCCTTATAGCTCTAAGTCTCTAACTAATCTTACATGTATCATGGATCTAGACATGGAAGACCTTAAGAATTTTGCCAAGAACCAAGGTGCCGCAGAAGCTGACAGTTTGACTCACTGGGACATCACTTTCTGGAGTGAAAGGCTACGTGAATCCAAATACGATATAAATGAGGTTCTTGTCCATATTCTTTAGCTTGTGATAACAATTATACTGTTTTCAAACTCTTTATGCTTACAACTCGCTACTTTTATTTTCTTAGGAAGAACTTCGACCCTACTTCTCACTGCCAAAGGTCATGGATGGACTTTTCAGTCTAGTCGAGACACTATTCGGAATTGATGTTGAGCCAGCAGATGGTGTAGCTCCGGTAAAAGCTGGAACCTAAGCTGTTGTGTTTCTGCTTATTTCCATCCTGTAATTATTATTTTTTGTTAACATGTTATATATTATTGCTTTAAAGGTATGGAACAGCGATGTTAAGTTCTACCGTGTCAAGGATTCTTCTGGAAAACCAATAGCTTATTTCTATTTTGATCCATACTCTCGTCCTTCAGAAAAAAAAGGTGGTGCTTGGATGGGTGAAGTTGTTAACCGTAGCTGGGTCATGGCTCAGAAGGGGTCGTCTGTTAGGCTACCTGTTGCACACATGGTTTGCAATCAAACTCCACCAGTAGGTGACAAGCCAAGCCTTATGACATTCCGTGAGGTAATGAACCTCTTGGATTTTAATTTCACTTGGTAGGAATAGCTAACACTACCAACTATGAAGTAAATGCTGAGTATGGTATGGTAGTTGGTAAAACACTCATGAGTAGCCATGTCCTCAAGATTAGTTTGTTCTGAACTAAAAAGTTATTTTTTTTTTTTTGTATATTCGACTATTGTGAAATGGTTTTTGACTCACGGAAATTTTCGTATTGATGGCATAACGGGCCATGCTATAAAAAAATTAACAATCACTGGGGTGTAGCAAAAGTCCTATGTATAGCTTTCCATACTTGGACCTTATAGGTGCTTTTGGAACTGACGTAGGAGCTTCACATGAATCTTGATAATCTTACTCTTATGCACATGATCAAGGTTTCATGATCCTCGTTCTTTTTGACAGTAATATCACTCTGATTTACAGGTAGAGACTGTGTTCCATGAATTCGGCCACGCTCTTCAGCATATGCTTACCAAAGAGGATGAGGGGCTAGTGGCTGGCATCCAAAATGTCGAGTGGGACGCAGTTGAATTACCTTCTCAGTTTATGGAGAACTGGTGCTACCACAGGTACTTGGGTTCAACTGCCCTCTTGGCAAATTTACTTTTCAGAGCTGTGTAGATGCATTTTACTACTAAGTTAATAATGAACACCATATGGATGTGGTTTCAGGGTGACCTTAATGAGCATTGCCAAGCATTATCAAACTGGAGAAACTCTTCCGGAGGAAGTATACAAGAAACTCCTGGCTGCAAAAACATTCCGTGCAGGGTCCCTTAGTCTTCGTCAGTTGAAGTTTGCTACAATTGATTTGGAGCTGCACACAAAATATATGCCAGGTGGGACAGAGTCTATTTACGACGTTGATCAAAGGGTATCCGTAAAGACACAAGTGATCCCTCCACTTCCTGAGGATAGATTCCTTTGTAGCTTCAGCCATATATTTGCTGGTAAAACATTGATCCTTGAACACCAGCCATGTGCTTAGCGTTGGTGCGTTAGATAGTTTTGTTTCACTCATTCACCTTTTCATGTTTTAACAGGCGGTTATGCAGCTGGATATTACAGTTACAAGGTATATATGTTGACTTGTTTCTATGTAATTCACTAGTCTTGACTAACGATGATCAAAATACTAAATACACTTTGTGGAAAACGTGCAGTGGGCGGAGGTTTTGTCTGCGGATGCTTTTTCAGCATTTGAAGATGCTGGATTAGATGACATCAAGGTATATGCTGCAAAACAAACCTTGTGAACCTTCAATTAAGTTTTCCAGATTGTGAACATTTTTTCTGCAAAACACAGGCTGTTAAAGAAACAGGACAGAGATTCAGAAACACCGTACTTGCTCTGGGTGGAGGAAAAGCGCCTCTACAAGTAACATCTCCTCATTTCCTACTTATATATATCGTTTCCAAAGCTTAGAATGGTCAAATTTATGGTGCTGTTGTTATATTGAGCAGGTGTTTGTGGAGTTCAGAGGACGAGAACCTTCCCCAGAGCCTCTGCTCAGACACAATGGACTCTTGGCTGCTTCTGCTTGAAACTAATAGCTGCCCTTTAAATTTTTCTTCTCTTCTCACTCGACTTTTTCTTTTTGGAAGAAACTCGTCCTCGTACCTTGCTTTCGAATAATAAATTAATGTCATTCCAATAAAATTCTACTTTTGACTTTGCTTGTTCACTGAGCATGTCTTGCCAAGTGTTTGTAGTTAGTCTTATCAAACAATCCAGAGATTCCTTCTTCATTCTTTGTACAAACATCTCACAACTCATGACAAATTAGGGATATGTTTTCTTTCTTCACGAATAAGAATAAAGAGATAAACAGAAGCAAGCTCACAGAAGATACTCTTATACATCCCTTGCTAGGTCACTCTCAACCTCTGTTCATGTTGTCACTGATAATCTAAAAGAACTAAAGAACCTTAATTTGAAAGAGAAAAAGAAAAACTCTTCCATTTCTTTCTTTCTCAACCTAGCAAAGTCTCTAACTACCCTTTACATTTAGCTCTCTCTATCTACTGTTCCCTACACTCAAAATCTTCTTTTCTTTAGTCTTGTCACTTTACACCAAAGTTACACCTCCGCTTCAAGTCTCCTGGCGAGTATGCTTATATATCAAAGCAACGGAGATCACATGTCTGGCGAGTATCTTCCTCAACCTTTCAAACGACTTATCACGACCCTTCTTTTGCCTCTACAAATGGAGATTGCACACTGTCCGCATCGGAATCACTTCCCGATGAACTCCCAGACTCCGAATCTGCACAAAGAGTCACACACACACACAAGACGCGTTAAAACATTGAAGAAAGATGAAACATTTAAACGAGAAAGAAAATGAAAGTGAAAATGTTATTACCACTAGACGAAGAACTGCCACTGGAACTGGAGCTGCCAGAAGAACTAGACGCACCGCCATTCGAAGTAGCTGCTGCTGTACCATCCCTTTCAATCTCAACTGATGGATAATCCTCAATTGGTATATCTTCTCCAATGTCCACATCTTCTTCTCCTGCATCCCCTCCTTTTCGCCCTCTCTTCTCAGCACTTGCCATTTCTGTCACCAGAGGCTGACCATGGAGACAAAGATCAGTACTAACCACACAGAAACAATGGCTTCTGTTTTGATACAGTTTATTCATAAGTTTCGCTTACCATGTTTCTTGGGGGAGTCGACACATTCTGGATAAACCCTTGCCGCTTGATCTTGCTCGCCATCTTCTTGTAGTTTGTGACAAAACGATCAAGCTCCCAAAGAGTCTCATTGTCTAAGGCTTCGATATCTAACTCAATTTCGTCGCCGTCTTGAGGTAAATGTGTAGTTCTCTTCCTAAGAATCTGAATCAACTGTCCAAGCTTCTCCGGAGGCAATTCCTGAAGATTTAGGCCAAGCTTCGACTTCTCCTCCATTGTCATTTGCCGCTTGTTTGGATCCTTAGCCTTGGGCTTTGGTAACTTGCCCTTCCTTCCCTTACTCGCTTCACTCACTACAACAGGTGCTTCCACAGGGCTAGCCGGCTGGGGAGGTGGTGGTGGTGGTGGTGATGGCTGAGCCGGTGACGGAGGAGAGGGGACACGTGGAAGCTCCATTACTGGAGGAGGCAATGTAGGTAGTGGCTTCACTGAATCTAGCTTCTTAGCGATAGAAATCTGCTCCGGTCCTTTCCTTACATTCTCCACCACCTGATTCTGATACTGATTCTGATTCTGATTCCACTCTCTTTGCTTGAAATCAGATTCAGGACGAGAAGACGATCCCAAGACCTTTAACTGTTGAGCCTCGAACTTCTGCAATGTAGGGTTGAACCAAACGTCAAATTGACTCAGAAGCTTCTCCGCCATCAAATAAACGTCTTGCCCCTTTGGGTTATACGCCATTGCATTGGTGAAAGTCAACCTAACATCGGCGGCGAAATCGATCGGCGATTTGTAAAATCCCTTTTCCAGATTCAGCTTCACCGTACCCAGATCCATAGGCTTCTTCACGATCAGATGGTAATCATGAAGCCCTAAACCCAACACATCAACAGGATTGAGGAAGACCCATGACCATTTGTGCTTCATCAGCTTCGCCAAGATCTGACCGCACGTTGACATGACACTCTTCAACGCCTTCTCCAACTTCGGATCCAAGGCCACCGGACGCTTAAGGCCAGGCTCGTTCGCAGCAAATGGGCTGCTTCGCTTCTGACCTTGCCCAATTTTCTTCTTCTTCGCCTTCTTCACTCCGACGTCATTCGTCTCATCAGCAAAGCTACGAGCCTGGGTAGAGTAAACAGAACCGCTCACGAACGTACCCGATTCGATCCGTTCTCTGAGGAACCGAACTTGCTCGAGCTCCAAATTGAGGCGCTTCTTCAGCTCCCTGAGCTGACTCGCGGTGTTTCCGTCGAGATCATAGGAAACGTAGTCTCCATGAGCTAAGGAATCGTCGAAATGCTTGCTCGAATTGTGGTTAGGGTTAGGGTTGAAAGGGGGATTATTGAAATCATCGGAAAGGGGTTGGTTGGTGTATTTCCTCATAAAAACGGCGCCACACTGTCCCTGAAACGACGGTTCGTTTAGGTTAGCCAAAACCGCCGGTGCCATACAAAAATCGAAGGGCAAAGGATCATTTCACGGGAATATCTTCTCTATCCACCTGGAATCAGATCACAGGTGGGATCCTTATAGAAATTTTAAAACTGAGAGAGAAGTGAGAGTTTAATGACACCGGAAAAAGACTTCCGGCGATCGGAAAAACAATAACAGGAAGAAGGGGAATTTTGTATTGAGGGCAGGACGAGGAACAAGAAGGTGAGGAACCATCTCTTCTTAAAGGCCATGGAAATCTGCCCGACAAAACGCTTAGGCTTCTCTCCGTCGTTGATTCGAGATCTGACGGCTCAGATCTGTCTGATGACATTGCCCGATCCAGCTGCCCCAGTAATCTGACATGGACGGCTCGGATTAGTTTAGTTTACCAACGTGAGCGTTCCACAGCCGTTGGTTCATAATCGTGTCTCGTGTGTTGTTTTCTTTGTACGATTTTCGTAATTAAACAAAAACCATGGATGTTAATAAATGATAATCGTTTTGTTTTTGTTGAATCTGGAGAGAGGCAAATTGGTAATTTAGCTGTCTGGAGTTCATTACTAATTTTCTCCTTTTTGGAGACTTGTCAAGTTTTTTCGCTTTCGCTTTCACTTTCACTTTCACTTCGGCCAGGTCAGCGGATTCTTGATAGAAATGTGAAGTTAATTTATTTGAGGATTAAGACCAGACCACGGACGGTGAAACTCGCCGGAACTGAAGGGGCAGAACAAGAAACATCGGGTTTGTTTTATAGCCGGAGAAAAATAACCAATGGGAGGTTGCATCTAACATATTGAAATGCCGAAACTACCCCTGATTATAATTTGCCAGTAAAGCAGAATCTGCACTTTTCCTGACCTCTTTGTTTTCTTTCCTAAGAAATTTAAAAATCTGGTGGCAATAAAGATAAAAATCCAGATTTCTGGGGTTTCTGAAGGCTCAAATTTTCTTTTACTCCCTTGAACAAGATCCAACAAAGAACTCTTGAAGGGGTGGGTGAGAGAGGAGAGAAAGACTCGATCCAAGTTTCAAGAAAAGTAGAGAAAGACGCGAGAGTGACTCAATTATTGAGTGCAATTTGAATATATATACATTTGACGAAGTTATGTTAAATCTGGACCGTAGGATCCTTTATTTGAAAAACCACATCTTTTCATCGATGCTGAGGAGTCAGGTACTTGTGCTTACATTAATATTTAAATACTGGAAAGAAGGAGGCCATAACCGTAAATAATTAATAAATGAGTCGCTGGATGTTAATAACTTTTAATGTTTATTATGTTAAGGGGTTGCGTCTATCCCCAAACGAACCAGATGTGGGGACCACTCTTCAGAAAGAAAAAAAGTGGGACCCAAGACAGCTCACCCTGCTCTGTTGCATAATCTCTTCACAACCACACGCGTTGCAAAACTGCGTGCATCACACTCTCTTCGCTGACGTGGATTTCCCGCATTTTTCAAAACAAACGTATTTTCTAATAAGAAATTACATTTTTAATCGTCTTTTCGAGCTTTAAATTACCTTGAAACAATCCTTAAAATTCAAGAGACAGAGAATGTTGCAAATCTCCCAATAACAGGACATGATTCCCCAGAGGAATCACTCTCTTCCCGACATCATTCGCAACGCTAAGCTGCTTGCAAGGATCGATCACGAACTCCGTTTTGATCGTCTCGCCGGAACGAACATGAACACGATCAAAACCAATCAGCTGTTTCTCCGGAACACCAGACAAAACCGGCGGCATTCTCGAGAACAACATCAGAACATGACTACCGGCCATTTCTCCGGTATTCCTCACACTAAACCGCACATTGAACCGCAGAGATTCACAAGAATTAACCATTAAATCATCAAGCTGCAAGTATCGGAGCTGTTCTTCTCCGTGTTGGAGAAGCAGTCTCTTGTGAGAAGGTAGCGGAAGAAGCTTCGATAAGCTAAGCGTGACCGGTGCTGATATGATCTTGTAATCAAATTTGGTGTAGCTTAAACCGGTTCCAAATTTGAAAACCTGAGGTCCGGTATAGAATCTGTATGTTCTTCCTGGATATCCACGAGACGAATCGGCTCTCATGTGCATATCTGACATTGCAACCTTGGAGAACGACTCTGGATACCAAGTCATTGGTAATCTTCCACCTGGTTTTACACGTTAAAAGAACCCGGTTCGGTATTCAGTTTCTGTATTATATAAACCGAGAAACCGGATTGAGGATTGTATACGTGAAGCTTTGATTTGAGGTAGACTAACCTGGATTGAAGTCTCCAAATAAGATTTCAGCTAGTGCTTGTCCACCGGTTTCACCTGGATAACCAATCCAGATGATGCTTCCGATTCTCGGGTCGGTTTTAGCAAAGGTTACATCCACTGGTCCTCCACCGGTTAGAACTAGAATCACGGGTTTCTTGCTCACAGCTGCAATGGAAGACACAAGATCTCTCTGTTTACCAGGTAAAGAAAGACTAACTCGATCCTTATCCTCGGTTTCTTGAGTGAGATCTAATCCCGCAACAACTATGACAAAATCCGCTCCCTTGGCGATAGCAACAGCTTCTCCAAACCCGGAACTAGAATCACAAGACACGTCAGAGCAACCAGACACATGAGACGTCTTCTTTACATACTTCAGAAGTTCCGTGAACAGAGTCTTTCGCTGACACGGCTTTCCTTGAAATCATATGGAATTTACATACTGTTTTAGCAAATATAACAATGTAGCCGGTTTGAAACAACAAGAAGAGAGATAGTTCATGAACCTGTGTAAGTGCCACCCATATTGCTTATATTGTTCGCCATTGGACCAATGATTGCCAAAGAAGAAACATGGTTTTTGTGCAAAGGCAACAGCTTGTGATCATTTTTCAAAAGCACAATGCCTTGTCTTGCTGCTTCCAATGCCAACTTCCTGTGGCCTGAGCTACAAATGTCACTCGATCCTAACTTCCCGTAACGTCCTTCTCTTGGATTACCGTCAAAAAGTCCAAGACGAAGTTGAACAGCAAAGAGGTTTACCAAAGCTCGGTCTACTTGTTCTTCGCTCACTTTCCCTTTCTCGATCGCAGATTGTGTGTGCCGAAGCAGGTAGGTTCCGCAGTTTATATCCACCCCTAAGAACCACCATCTCACCTTTCATTAAAAAACAAAACATTTTCAAAGTTAAACAAGTGTACTAAAAAGAGCTTAAAGTTACCTGCTTTTATGGCATTGGCAACAGCTTCCTCAGGTGACTTGGTGTATCCTTGAAACTCAAAAATCGTTGCTACAGCATCACAGTCTGATGTTATGTACCTGCACGGATACAAAAATAAGCCTCCCCCATAAATCTTTCATTGGCCAAACCAAAGTACTACAAACAAAAATTCAGTTGTTTTCCTTTCCTCTGTTGAAGATCTACTTACCCTTTAAATCCCCATTCAACTCGAGCTTTTGTTAATAGGTCTTCTCGTGCACAAGCAGGCACTCCATTAACCGCATTATACGAGCACATCAAGCAGCTAGCTTTACCATCTCTTATACAGCTCTGAAATGGAGGCTCATATGTGTCTTCCATGTCCTGTTCTGTGACCTACTAATCCAGAGTAAGCTAGACTCAGTGTATGACAAAACAATCTGCAGCATAAACGGCTATAGAGAAAAGGCAAAACCTATGAAACTGAATAGAGGCGATACATCTAATTAAATCTTGTTTATAATCTAAGTTCCCTACACAAAATTAGCAGCTACAAGACGAAGACGAAGGTGAAAATCAATGCACCATTAGCAGATCTAAGAACATGATTTTGGTTTTGGTCAACCAAATCTAATAAATAGATTAATTTAAACCTAGTAAATCCAATTGAAATTTATCCATGAGCTAGAGCTACACTCAAAATGAAGAAGAGAGATCTTAGTCTTACCACAGCATTGAAGTCGTATCTGGTGAAATTCCCCCATTTCTCCAGATCATAGGCAGTGTAATGCTTGCAACAAGCAGATAACATGAGTTTCCCATCACCATCATCATCATGGCGATTATCAACAACAACCTCATCATCACCAATTCTTCTTTTCAAAACCTTCGTCTTCTTCCTTATTTCCTGAAACCCTCTGACGAACTCAACGCCGTATTCCGAAACTACCTTCGGATCCTCTCCTGGAGTCTCCTGCCCTCTTCCCCATCTCGGATCCCTAAACACGTTTATATTCGGAGCCCAGAAAGTCAACCCAGCTTGACCACCGTTGTACATAGCCCGACCTTCCACCGCCACAGCAGATCCGATCTCGTACCATAGCGTTCTATTGAAAGACGCGGTGGTCACGATTACCTGCGGGAAGCTGGTGGCTGAGGAGATTGAGCCGTTGAAGGAGACGCCGGGACCGTTATCGGCGATTCCGTGGAGTGACTCCGACCACCACTCGTACGGAGGAATGCCGAGGCGAGGTACGGATGCGGCTGTGTTGGAGAGCTGACCGATCTTCTCCGGGAGAGTGAGGAGGGAGACTATAGAAAGAGCTCTCTGTCTTATGGATAATGAGACGTTGCAGAATGGGTAAGAGCTGAAATGAGGAGGTTCACAGGGGAATTTTGGATGAGAATCGACGTTTTTGAAGGTTTGAGCTATGGCGGAAGTGAAGAAGAGTAAGGAGATTAAGGTCCACTGAAGAGGATTCATAGTTCCTTTTTTGGAAGAAAAATCTGGAAATGAGAGAAGAGGGAAATCAAGAAGACGTTGACTTTTAAACCGGTGAAATCTAAAATCAACGGTTGGACCGGTTTGTACATTGCTGTGATTTTTGTCACTTATCACCCAATTGGTTGGATTTCGGAGTGTTTACCAAAGCACAAATGGGCCAAAGCATTTATGGGCCTTATTTATGACTTATCATTATGGACAATTCTGATTTTTGTTCGTATCAGTCGACCAATTTTAGTTTTGATCAACTTTGTTTGGATTGATCGAGATTTTCTGGACTATAATAGTGACACTTTATTGTTCATGACATTTATAGAAGTTTTAGATCTCGAATTGTCTCCTATGTTGATTAAATTCTTAACAAGATTTTATACTGCAATAATATAGATACTGTATGATTAAATGTTGAAAACAATAAATAAAAGTGGTATATCCAGACAATAATTCATGATGTCCGAATGAGTAATAATGGAGTGGGGGATAGAGTAGGAAGAGACAGTGCAGTGTCTGCATATCTAAGTGTGTGTGTCCACACACTCTCACGCAGATCGTAGCTTCGAATACAGACAAGTTTCTTTGACTCACTCAATAAGCCTTCCATATCTTTGACTTGTCAGGCTAATCTTTTTTCCATTTCTATGCAAGCATCTACTACATGCATCGGGACATGTGCTTATAGTATTTAAGTGCATACACATGTAATAATCTCCGGATCTATGCGAATGTAAGACACGGGTGTTCACTTTGTTCGTATCGGCTCGTGCTGTGTTGGATACGTGTGGATTACGAGTATTTTAAGATAGTTAACTACTCCATATATGCTTAAGATGTTTTTCCATGATAAAACATTAAATAGATCTATCAAACATTACAAGGATATAGTCTTAAAAATTCCAATAATATTTTGTTGAGTGTCGGACCGTAGTGTTTGATGCACCGATTTCGATGACAATGACACCGATTCATTCACCTTGAGATATTAATACAACCAAACAGTACCTAAGTTATAATGCAAGCTATACAAGAAAGTGTCATAATTCAGTTCAGGTTTAGGTCTTGTAGGTTAGTGCTGGACCATGTAAAAAAAAAAAAAAAAAAACCATTTAGCTGATTGACCCTTACGTAAAAGGTGAATTTTTAATTACAGTTGAGTTGACACCAATCTAGTGCATTCCCCTATACATACCTAACACTTCATATTCTTTGACCAAACTCACAAAGTCGGTTCTCTTCCACTTTAACAAAGAACAGTGTTACAGAAAAGGAAGAGAGAGAGAGATGGAAATGGAGCCAAGCCAGTTGAGGAAGCAAGAAAGCAACAATCTCGACGGCATTAGTGGCGGTTTCGTGGCGATGGACCAATACGTACCAAGTGAATGGAACTTCGACTACCTCTGTTTCGACAATCCTTTTCAAGAAGATGACAGCATTGATCACACTTCTTCTTCCTTCATGGATCTAATCTCTCAGCCACCACACCTGTTATCACCACTTCCTCCTTCGATCTCCTCAGCCTTCGACTATTCTGTTTTCGACACGTTGCAAGACTCCTCTAATTCTCCTCCATCGATTCTTCCAGCTTTGCAAGAGAAGAAGAGCAATTATTCACCAGTGGTTCAGGAAAGCAATAGCCTCAAGAGCAACCAAGAGACTAGCAAGAAAAGGAGTAACTACAAGAAGCTCGAAGGTCATCCTTCCAAGAATCTCATGGCGGAGAGACGCCGGAGGAAGCGGTTAAATGATCGTCTCTCCATGCTCCGATCTATCGTCCCAAATATCACCAAGGCAAAATTCCTTATAACCCTCTATCCTTTTTCTAACTAACAAGTTAAAAAGTTTTTTATAAAAAAATTCAGTCTTTTTCTAAATCATTTTTTAGTCAACACGAAATCTTTATTCCATTTTTGCAGTTCTTAACGTTACATGTATGTTTTCTTCTTGTTGGAACCTTTTTGTAACACTGCTCATTTTTAAGAGTTATTACTTTATACTGTAGTTTAAGAAAATTCACCTGATTGTTAACCCATAATTGATTATAATATAATAAAATCAGATGGATAGGACATCGATACTAGGAGATGCCATAGATTACATGAAGGAGCTTTTGGACAAGATTAACAAGTTGCAAGAGCTTGGAAGCAGCTCTCATCTCATCACAAACGAATCAATGGTCAGAAACTCCCCAAAGGTGAAAAAAAAAACAAAAATTTACCAATCAAAAGCATTTGAAGGTGAAGAAAATTTCGTTCTGATTGTTTCTTTATTTTGCGTCTTTGCAGTTTGAAGTGGAGCAAAGGGAATTTAATACGCATATTGATATATGTTGTCCCACTAAACCGGGTTTGCTACTTTCAACGATTGGTACGTTGGAGACTGTAGGCTTGGAGATTCAACACTGCGTCATTAGCTGTTTTAGTGACTTCTCATTGCAGGCTTCTTGTTCCAAGGTACATATATAAACACATTGTCATGGGCTTATTTGCAACATCTATTACATGTTTATCTCTAACAATTTTCTACATTGTATTTTGTCACATAGGTTGGTGAGCAGCGAGGATTCGTTACCTCAGAAGATATAAAGCAAGCACTGTTTAACAACGCAAGTTATGGAGGAAAGTCTTTGTAGACAATTTCATGATTACAATAAGGGATGAAATAAAATTTTAAAATTTCGATAATCTTGTTCAGTCCTTTTTTCTCTTGTGTTTCATATTTCTTAGGTAGATATATTTCTGAATTTCAAACGTGTATTCTAAGCGTTACAAATAAATTTGTCCATAATAAGAGGAAAAAGGGTTAAAGTTTGGGCCCAAAAGGTCTAACTACGTTAAATAAGCCCATCTATGAGTTAATAAGGAATACAATAAAGCCCAGAAAGCATTTGACCTAATGATCTCCGTCCTTGTGCGCCTTAAATAGACCAAACTTTGCTTTGCTGAGAAATCAGATTCGTCTTTCGACTTTCGAGAAACAATATCAGTCTATGGTTCGATAGTCCTGTATTTATGTTTGTCTAATTCGTGTTATGTTTTGTTTTTGGATCGGGAATTGGGACTGGAGTTTGACTCTATAGCGAAAAAAACGATGCTTTAGAGATGAATGCAGCGCCCTAAATAAAAAAGACCACTAATCGGAGATCTGTTTTAGTTTTATGTCCGAAATCGTGTCTTTTGGTATTGGGCGCTGAGATAGATCTTACATATTTTCGTTTTAATTGATTTGTTTTTGATGAATATGATTTTGATAAAAATGAGAAACGGAGTGGTGATTCAGGCAACCTACTTGTTTAAAAACAATAACAAGATAAGGTGTTTAACTGCTCCTAGATCAAATTATGCATCTGCTCTTCAGACTTGCTGAGATTTTATCGTCTTTGAAGTTGGTCTAGTAGTCTTAAGCACATTGTCCCCACTAATATATTTGTCCTAAATCATATAGTTTGATCAATTTGGTCCAGTCTACGTCCGATTGGGTTTGAATGTAATTTTGCCGGTTTTTTCCGATCTGGGCTAATGTTTTTGTAACCAAACATCAAAGTTTCGGGCATGTTTTTGTTCGTTATGTAACTCTAATCGTGTCCCAGTTTTTTTTGTTCACAATTCATATATATCAGGCAACGGAGTGGTGATTCAGGCAACCTACTTGTTTAAAAACAATGACAAGATACGGTGTTTAACTACTCCTAGATCAAACTATGCTTCTGCTCTTCAGACTTGCTGAGACTTTATCGTCTTTGAAGCTGGTCTAGTAGTCTTAAGCACAATCTTCAACCTTTTCGTCCCCACTATTATACTGGTTTTAATCGTATATATTGGTCCGGTTTGTGTCGGATTGGGTTTGAATGTAATTGTGATTCGATTTGTGTATCAGCTTTTTAAAGTTCTGATTGATTCGGTCAGTGGATATAGTCAATACTCTCCCTGTGCGTTAATATCAGAGAATTATTTTGTCCGTTCTTTAAGAAGTTTTTGCCTCCTTTTGCAGCACAGCAATAACACGTCTTGTGCTCAGTCGTACTGTCATCGTTGTTTGATTGGAAGGAATTATTAATCTATGGGTTTGCGATCAATTGGGAGATAGTTATTGGTGTATGAAAGTAAGCAATTGCAAAATTAAATTGTTGACAGAAGTTCTAATGTTTTTGAAGAATGTAACAAACTTGTTCGATTTAAGTTTCGAGTATGTAAAACTGTTTTCCAATGAATATCAGTGTACAAACCATAATAATCTTTACAACATTTACAGATCCCACTGTCTTAATAATCAAACCACCACTTTAACATTGTCATTAACGTGCTAGTTATAAAATTATGCCGTCACCAACATGTTATACCCCCACCGTTCGTTATCATATCTAAACATTTGTTGAAAAAACATTTCGGATTTCATATCTGAACATAAAAAACATTTTTCAATCATACTTCTTTATGTTTTGTTGTTTACACATCTAAAAGAGAAGTTATAGTACGCACTATGCACGGTGGTGGTAGTACATGTTGAGAGATACTATCATATATAAACGAACATCTAAACAAAATGAATTGTTTTCTTTTAAAATGAACGGTGAACCCAAAGGTGAGCAAAGGTACAGACAATTTACACTTAAATTAAACTTTTAGGTAGGTTAGAGCACTAGAGCTTCGTGCGATTGGGTTAGGTTTTCAATTTATACATTAAACTATGTTCAAATGTGGACCTCATAAACCTGGTTACTGGCTAGAGCTTCTTTGTTATACTTATATATAAAGATCAGATTAGTTATTTGATAAGTTTATTTAACATAATTACATAAATAAAGTAATCGTGTAAAAACTAAGACAAGTGAGTGCTTCCTTTTTTCGATCTCCACAGATTTCTTTTCCACAGGGTTATTGTTAGATATTGGGTCGCACGCAGCTACCACCTCCTTTTCTTTGTCCCAAGGAAGACAGATTTTAAAGAGTAATTGGTTTTGACTTTTTGAGGCTGTGAAAAAGTTTTCAGGTGTTGCCATTTTCAGATCTTATGAAGAGCCGTATTTAAACAAAACATATGTAAAAGTTGAAATTGAAATGGATATATACGAGTGTTATTTTTATTATTATATGAGGTTAGAGAGTTGTATAGCTTTCAAAGTGAATGCAGGATATAGCGTGCGGAATCTATACTTTATATGCATCCGATATACATGTTCAAGAATCACGATCTAATACCCATTTATAAACAAAGTTAGGTACATAAAACGTGGAAATTACAAGATATACAGATTATATGCTAATCTTATAAATTCTTTCTCCATGCGCATGTGATTCTGCTGGTTAAGTTCGTTTCTCATTTAATCGACGCCTACTTATTTCCTAATAGTAAGTTATACTTTCATATCAACTGGTTTGTTACTTTGTTTAAATATCCTTATATTTTAACTTCTGTTTTGTGCGTACATATAATGATTAGCAATTACTCATAGGATCGCTTGTAACCATTGTGCGTCTGGTATGAGCATGCACATATTTTATTCAAAAAATGCATGCTACTTCATTTCTATTTGTAGAATCACTAACACCTTTAATAAATGTTATCTACCCATTAATATTTAATGAAATTAGTGTGAACAAAAGGTAGAAAGTAGTCGTATAGATGAATAAAGAAACATGAGGAAGAGTTTAAATTTTATAATACGCACGATTTCTTTTTTTTTTTAAATTATAGAGATAAACCAACCATTAGCCAATTGGGTCTGACTCATGTTCGAAAAACTTTACTAGTTACTTTCTTTCAATTTATTCATCACTATTTTGTCATTTTATGAAATTACAAGTGCACGTATTCCGCAATCAAAATCTAGGATCCTTATGAAGAGATTACCAAAGCTTATGTTCGGGTACCACGTTGGGGAGGGTAATTTACAAAAATTAGATAAACCGGTTTACTCTTTTTGTAGTGATCTAAGATTCCGGATCAAAATATCAAATCTACAGCGAGAACTAAAGAAGTGCATAGACAGTCACAGACTGTAGAAACATAGTGACGTAATGACGTGGAGCTAAGTTAGGCAGTCGTGTAACATGTGTACATAGCATCACGTACAAATGTTATATTCTGTTATCATGCTTGTGACATGCTCCAAATCAGTCTAATCTAAATCTTGTCTCCTTCATATATGTGCGAATATTCTGGTAATGAAGGACACATTTTCTTAACCTAAATGGGAGACAAGTGGTCATTAACCTTAAAAGTACGGCCAAATGTTTAGAAACTAAATAAATATGGGATCGAAACATAAATTCAAAACTAGCTTACTAAGTGGGGTACAGAAGTGAACAACTATAAGTCATAAAGGGAGATTTAAAGGTGAAAAGCATTAACATTTAATATGAAAATGAAAAATCAGAAGGGCACTGTGGCCCTTGTAACTCTAAGGGGCAAATTGTGGAACAAAGATTTTAATTAGCATTGGGAGTTTCACTATATATATCCGAAGACAAGGATCAGCAAAAACAAACCAAGATTAGAAGAGTTTTCAAGAACACAAAGAAAGAGAAGACTATTACATAGAGAAAGAGAGAGAGCCAATGGAGTGGAGAAATTGGTATTTGGATGCGGTTCTTGTTCCTTGTGCTCTACTTATGATGCTCTGCTACCACATCTTCTTGTGGTATAAGGTTCGAACCGAACCTTTCTCCACCATCGTCGGGACTAACTCTCGTGCCCGTCGATCTTGGGTAGCCGCGATCATGAAGGTACTATATCACATAATTTTTTTTTCACATGAATATTGTTCTCAAGTAGTGACAATATATGAATGTGTTCTTGCGTAGGACAACGAGAAGAAGAACATATTAGCGGTACAAACGCTACGAAACACGATAATGGGAGGGACGCTAATGGCCACAACTTGCATCCTCCTCTGCGCAGGACTCGCCGCTGTTTTAAGCAGTACTTATAGCATCAAGAAGCCTCTAGAGAACGCCGTATATGGAGCTCATGGTGACTTCACCATCGCACTCAAATACGTAACCATCCTCACGATCTTCCTCTTCGCCTTCTTCTCTCATTCTCTCTCCATCCGCTTCATCAACCAAGTCAACATCCTCATCAACTCTCCTCAAGACTCGGATGATTTCGGCGGAATTGGAAGCTTCGTCGTGACTCCCGAGTATGTCGCTGAGCTGCTCGAAAAAGCTTTCTTGCTTAACACGGTAGGGAACAGGCTCTTCTACATGGGCTTGCCTTTGATGCTGTGGATCTTTGGGCCTGTGCTTGTGTTCTTGAGCGCTACGTTGATGGTTCCTGTCCTTTATAACCTCGACTTCGTGTTTCTGCTGAGCCATAAGGAGAAGGGCAAAGTGGATTGCCATGGAGGCTCTGATGATCAGTTCTCTCCTTAATTATATATCTTGATGTTGAATATATATGATTAATGCTAAACTTCTTTGTGATTAATCTATAAGTCAATGAATCAATGCTGGTTTTTTGGTAACCGGAGATTACAAAATTTAAAAACAACTATCCTGAATTAGTAACATGTTAAAGCATGTTAAATGTTTGGTTAACCAACTTAGTGGGAAATTTAACGTTCCATAAAATAATGAAGAAACCTTCTAGTACAGTTAGAGTATACGTACATGTGTATTTATATCATTACATGAAAAAACAATTGGTCGGCGTTGACCAAAAAAAGAAAATGGAAAATCTCTGGCTCATCATCTTCTTCCTCGCAGTAACCTTTTGCTACTTCATCGCCAAATTCCTATGGAGTCGAGACCGTAAATTACCACCAAGCCCTAAGCCTCTTCCTATCATCGGCCATCTTCACCTTATCAAGAAGAATCCTTTACCACAAGCTCTGCAACTCTTATCTTCAAACTACGGCCCGGTTCTGTTTCTGAAGTTCGGATGCCGTGCCGTTTTGGTCCTCTCTTCTCCAGAATCCATCGAGGAATGTTTCACCAATCACGACACAACGCTCGCGAACCGACCGAGAACCATCACCTCCGATCATTTCAGCTACGGCTACAAAAACTTCGGTTTCGCTCCTTACGGCGATCTCTGGAGAACTCTCCGCCGTCTCTCCACCCTCGAGGTCTTCTCCTCCGCAAACCTCCAGAAGAACTCTTTCATCCGAAACGAAGAAGTCTCGAATCTCTGCTCGAGTCTCTTCAGACTATCCAATGACTCTCGGAAAGTGGATCTCAAGTATCAATTCACTCTCCTCACTGCTCACGTCATGCTCAGGTTAGTCTCTGGGAAACGTGGTGTCCAAGATAGCGATTCGGAATCAGAGAAGAGGTTCTTGGATGACTTCAAACTGAGGTTTTTCTCGAGCATGTCGATGAACGTCTGCGATTATTTCCCAGTGTTAAGGTGGATTGGGTACAAAGGTCTTGAGAAGAGAGTGATGGAGATGCAGAGGACGAGAGATGAGTATCTTCAGCGACTCATTGATGAGATACGAACCAAGAGAATCGATTCCACCGGTTCGGTGGTGGAGAAGTTCTTGCATCTTCAAGAATCAGAGCCAGAATTCTACTCAGACGATGTTATCAAAGGAATTATAGTGCTAATGTTCAACGCCGGGACAGACACTTCACCGGTGGTTATGGAATGGGCGATGTCAGTTTTACTGAACCATCCAGATAAGCTGGAGAAGCTCAGAGATGAAATCAAATCTAATGTTAAACACAAAGGGCTTATACAAGACTCGGATCTCTCGAGCTTACCTTATCTGCGATGTGTCATCTATGAGACGCTTAGGCTATACCCTGCAGCTCCACTCTTGCTTCCTCACTACTCGTCCAAGAGATTCAACTTAGGCAACTACGAGATCCCTGAAAACACAATGTTATTGGTGAATGCTTGGGCTGTTCACAGAGATGGTGAGCTTTGGGAAGACGTGGATGTTTTCAAGCCAGAGAGATTCGAAGGGTTTGTTAGTGACAGAGATGGTTTTAGGTTTTTGCCATTTGGAGTTGGGAGGAGGGCGTGTCCTGGAGCTGGATTTGGAATGAGGACAGTGGCGCTTGCCGTTGGAACGTTGGTTCAGTGCTTTGAGTGGGAGAAGGTAGAAGAAGAAGATATAGACATGAGGCCTGTGTTTGGTGTGGCAATGGCTAAGGCTGAGCCGCTTGTCGCATTGCCTAAGCCATGGCCTGAAATGGTTCCTATCTTGTCTCAGCTCTAGTGTCATCTGTGTTGGCCAAGAGAGTTGATTTAAGAGATGCCTTTCATATTGACAATAAGGAGAGTGAAATGATCATAAATCACAAATGGTTACCTCAATAATGGAATCAAAGTCTTCATTTCTCCGATTTTCGTTTTTTTTCTCTTGGCATTAAAACCTGCAAGAAGCAGAGAAGATGATATACATTCATGAAGGGTCTCTCGCCTCTCCTTTGCTTTAGATCAGAAGCAATAAATTTGGATTATAAACGTTTCAGTTTCACATTCAATAAACAATCTCTGATACAAGTACAAGCGGAGAAGCTTATAGCTTTATGCACAAGAAATCAAAAAGTAAAGATTCAAACATTATCAGTGATGGTAATTTTGTCCCTTGAGTATAGTCCATGACCTGAAAACAGAAACCCATTACAGCATGTGAAGACACAAATGTCGAGACAAGCATAAACATTGATATGAAATGCACAGACAGAAGCAACAATGGTTTCACCTGTAAAGCTGTTCCATCAATACCAAGAGAGCTATCTGATGATTAAGAACCATGGAGGAAAGTCTGATGGTCACATTAGCTCGCTTTTTTACTTGTCTTCCATGTCCATAAGCTCCACCTATACAAAACGATATCCTCGAAGCTCCCTGAAAACAGAGCATAGTCACAGAAAAATCAATCTCCTGCTTAAGCTTTCCATTTGTTTCCCTCAAGATGAGTTAGCTTCAAATCCAACAACTCATTACATACATTCAATTTGATTACTTTTCAAGAAACTATGGGTTAAGTAAGAACAAAGAGGCTTACACTATTTCCTGCATCACCTAGTAAATCAGCCATCTGCTCTGAATCAACGTCACGGCCTCTCTCGTCAAGCACCACAACCTAAATCTCACAAATCAGACACATCTCGAATTATCAATTACATTGGCTGATATGGGATTCTAAAGAGATTTCACAATACCCAATCATCAGAAGCAATAAGTTTCATCATAGCCACCTCTTCATCCTCAACTTGAGCTCTAACATCCCTGTGAATGAATGAAGACTATTGACTTCCAGAGATTTTCAATTGAACCATCAAATTACTGAGCTGAGTTTGTCAAATTGAGGCAAACGTACTGAGAATTCCGAGGATTGGAGCGAACCAGCGAATCTTCAAAGGAGCAATAAGGTTTGAGTTTGGTTTTGTATTCATCGACCAAGAGTCGAACACCTTGTGATCTCTTTTTCCCAACTGTTATCACACGTATGGGCAGAGCTCTCTGTGAACCAAAGTACCAATTCCATCAAACCCTAAAACGCCCAAAGGAGATAATTCGGTAGAAGCTCGAGCAGAGAGGTTTTACCACTGCTTGACCCACGTATCTACATGCTCTTCCTGAGAAAAATGACGAACCATATGACAATCTAAATCATACACAGTCTTTAAACACCGCGTTGAAAATCAAATTTTGAAGAAGCGAAACAAAAAAAAGAGAAACCTTTGTCTTGAGGAGTAGGAGAAGCAGATGCAATCGGTTGCTGCAGGTGAGAAGTAGCCATGAAACAGAGTGCCATTTTCTGAGTTCTTTGCACTGACTGTTAAACACTCAACTAATCCAAATGAGATAGGAAAGCCTCCGGCTGATAAAGAGGGTTTCAAATGCTTAATTGGGCTCTTTGTCGTCCATAAATGGGCCTTAAGTACATGGGTTACATAAACATGAAGTAAACTAATTGGTAAAGTTTACTAGCTACTAATTACATTTACGCATGAAAAGACAACGTTGGACTTTTATAATTATCTATCTGTTCATTTATTGTTCCGAATAAAGCATCCCCGGCCACCAGAGATCAATTAATTTATAGTTTAGTGATGTTCTTGTTTCCATTTTATAACTATAGAATTCACATTTCGCGTTCTTTTGTATAGATTGATTCCCTAATCTCCCTATCTTGAATTAGTTCTAATTCCGTATTAAACAAGAATTGCCAATTGCCATCTCCTCACTCATTTGCCCGCCCATGCATCTTTATCTTTAGCTTTTCGAGCTAATATTTATTAGTAATTGAAATCAGATTATACATCTAAAAGTTAAGGTGTGATTCGTGTGAAATCAGGCCAAGAAAATGAAAATCGAAGAAACCTTTTTCAAAAAGAACGAAATGTGAAATGAAAGTCTCATGCTTGAAGAGCGAGCATTTGACTACCAAAAGATTTCTAAAACCCATTCTACATTTTGATTTTTGAATAGGTTTGCTGATTACGGGTCAAACTAATCCATCAGTATGTAAAAAGACAATACGTACACAAGTTTTGTTCGAACTTGTGGGATCGGATTGCCGTATTAGTTCCATTCTTGTCGAAATAAAATACTCCTCCCTTGAACGAGACGTTAACGAGAGTACATATTCCGTTTTAATACTTATGCAATAAGAATACGAATTTTCTTTAATTTATGAAAACGATGCCTTAAAATAAAATTAAAATGCATATGATTCGGTCAGTGACGTATGAACCTCTCTCGTGCTTGCACTAATGAAATCGGAAATCGGCTGCCTAAAATACTGCGTCGACTAGCCTCGTGATCGCGATAACTATATATTCTTATGAAACGGAAAAGTAATTATTCGATATTACGAAGAACAGTCTCACATATATACAATTAAATACGTGAATCTCTCTCATAGCCCATATATAGGGCTCCTTTCCATGTGTGTTTGTATGCTGATTTGTTGCTTAAAAGCTGAATAAATGAAGCAAAACAGTTAAACAAAACGGTAAGGTAAGGATATGGGTATGCATTACATCATACATATCGCCATGTCGGAGCCACACCCATCATTTATGTAATTATGTGAGAAACAGTTATACTATCAACTCACTAGGGCATAAACAAATGAAAAAAAAATGAAGAAAATCTCTATCGATCGAATATTAACAATTTTATATAAAGATAACTATAGAGATGGAGAAGAATTGAGGTAATGGTACTAGTGTGTCCCACAGTATCTGGATTCTCCACATTACTCCATTTCATACTATAGAGACAGACTTTTACCCTACCCCCTCTTTTTTTTTTTCTTAGTATAAACTTAGGTGTGTTGGCTTTCTAGGTTCTCCCCAATCCTCCATTAATTGTTTTTTTTCCGTAAAAAAAAAGGTCACTATCGAGAATATAAACCAAATAAACAAGTGATACTTTGGAAACGATTTCTCTAATGTTTTTAACATGGATGCGTCTCGTTAAAGTAGTGATTGTGCGTTTCGATTAATCATCTTATTCTTTTTGATCTTCCAATTATTTGACCTTCTCCTAAAATATTGATTTATGATTTATCTAATTAATATATTTCTCTCCATCAAATTATATTCCGTTATCCTGTAAATCCACACTATGTATTAAAATGAAAAGTAAATTTCACTTTGATAGGAAAATAAAAAAATATTCGAACTAACACTTAAAAAATTATAGTTTTAGAATCGGAGACATTGTATTGTGCAAACGCACCACTTTCCACTCAATTACCTGGAAATTTTAATCTCTAAATATTCTCTGGTCTCATATAACGAAAGGAATGTATAACGGGAAATCTAGAATCTTTTAGGTTTTAATAACAAATAGTCTCCTCATTTACGTGTGACTTATATTATGGCTATAAATACAGAGCCCTACACACAAGACTCTCTCATAATTAGCTAAACACCAACGCAATCTCTCGAGAGCCCTTAGTATATCCTCTAGCTCTCTCGTTCTCTCTACATAACAAAAAAAAAGAAAACACATTTTGTGAGGCCATGTCAGGCGTTTGGGTGTTTAACAACGGAGTGATACGTCTAGTAGAGAACCCGAACCAGTCCGGTGGAGTCGCTTCTCATCAGACGCACGGCCGGAGAAATGTCTTGGTTTACTTGCCGACCGGTGAAGTCGTTTCTTCTTACCCGTCGCTCGAACAAATCCTAAGGAGCCTCGGGTGGGAAAGATACTACAATGGAGACTCAGATCTCATCCAGTACCACAAACGCTCTTCCATCGACCTCATCTCCTTACCAAGAGACTTCTCCAAGTTCAACTCCGTTTACATGTACGACATCGTTGTCAAGAATCCTAATTCCTTCCACGTCCGCGATTTCAATTGAAATCCACGGGTTCATTATTTCCCGACCAATAAGTCTAGTTTGTGTTTGTGTTCTGTTCCGACCGAACAAACTATTCCAGACGGAAACTTATATGGATAACGTACTGGTCAGAGAGAAGATGTGTGCAGCTGTTTAAATTTGACAAACAAAGCGATGGCTATTTTGGAATATCATCACTAAGTTAGTTTGTGTTCATTTGTTAATATGTGCTTATTACTTGTTAGGATTGGTTTTAATTATTTTCTCGGAGTTTGTTGCATGTGCATGCTTCTATTTATCTTCTTCATATTTGTGAGGATTATGGGGACGTTTAAGAGTAGTTTGCCAAAAGGTGGCACATTACTTTGTAGCCGTCGTTGATTAGTGTTTAGTTGATTTGTAATTGTGGTGATCTATGTATAACTGTATAAGTTGTGTTACGTTTGGGTTTTAAGCTAAATATATTTGATTCGCATCGTTTGGTGAAGACAAGCTCCTTTTCGTTTATGTATGTAGGTAATTGAAGTGACATTTAATTTGTTTTGAGTCCAAAACTACGGGACAATTTTTAGATCATTCCAATCAAGAAGACGACTACACATGATCTATATCAAAGAAATTTTCAGTGAAACTTCACACTGACAGCTTGATTAAGCATGACTCCTGTTAATGCTTAATTAGGTTCTAAACTAACTTGGTATTACCTAAAACATAATATTATTTCATTGTGAATGATATGAAACTATTTTCTATCATAAATTTGTCTCGTTGATTGTTCAGATCCTGAAAATTATAGGCCCATTAAAAGCCCAACTTTAATTTCCTTGATTTTTCCAAAATTGTTCATACTCTATCCAATCGAATCCCGAATCCGGACCCAAACTCTGATCCGGACCGCTTCCTCGTCGGCTTCTACAGGCGACGAATTGTCTGATAGCAATTCACAAGCGGAGGAGTTTGGATTTGAAGTTCTTATTTCGATTTTGCCATACTGCTACTTGTTTTTCCGTAAGTATGTCGATTAATATTCTGTGTTATGCTCAAAGTTAGTGAATTTGGATTTGGATTCTGTGTTATGCTCTTCTTACATGAACCAGCAGTTATTGTCTTTTTTTTTGTTTGCCTCTCATTGCTTTTGATACTCGTGGGCTATTTTGGTTTCTGATTTCTGCTTCATTGGTTTAATTCGGAAGAATGTAGGAGCTTCTTCTGAGTTATGTCGGTTTTATCTTAACTTAAAAAAAAAAAAAAAATTCATCAATGGTGACTATTTCAGTTTTTTTTTTAGGTGATGTGATCGTACAGAATTGAGACTTCCCATTTTTTTATTTTTGTGTTTTTCACCTTGTGGCGCAGTAATAAACGATGCCTCGTAAAGGATTCTCCAATTTCGATGATTATGATGATGGTTTTGATGATGAAGATGATGCTTATGATTATGAAGATGATATAGATATAGATATACAAGGTAAACATCTTCCAGTTCCTTTATTGTTAGGTTGGTTAATCGTCTCTCTTAACTTTTGTTTTTGAATTTTTGTGTGTGTGTTTTATTTTCCTCTTTCTTCATGAACTGCAGAAGAAGAAGCTGCTGAACCAAAGGAAGAATCTGCTCAGCAAGGGATTTGGCGATGTGCAATATGTACATATGACAATGATGAAAGTATGTCTGTGTGTGATATCTGCGGTGTCCTTCGTCATCCAGTGGCCGGAAATCAAAGTATCAATCAGAATACAGGTACTATCTCTTCTCTCCTCACAATCTGTATTAGAGTGACGTTGTGATATATATTAGTTAGAGAATCTGGTTTCTTACTATCTCTGCATACTGTCTGATCTTATCTCATCTGTTTTCTTCTTTAAGGTCACTTGATTAAGCTTAATGCTATGTTTGGCGAAAGTAGTTTTTGTGCTTACGGTTTTGCTATATTAGGTGTTTGATTATAGAAACGATGTGTGTTTATGCAGTTGAAGGCAGATGCAAAGAATCCGTGGTATCCAAATTGGCAAAGTCCCTTTTCGAATCAGTTCCATCTAGTACACCGAAAAGGGCTGCTCTTGATCTGCCTGAGCACGAGAATCTTGTGATGGAGCAGGGAATTTCCCGTGGGAATATTCATGATCTCCACAAGGCTTTTAGTTCTAAAAGTGCCTGTGTTAGCATAGGTTGTGAGCTTGCTGTAGTTTGATAGTGTTTTCTGCTTTCAGTTATCCTGATAAGCTGTTCGTGTTGAGAGTCTATAGTTGGTTCCATGCATTTGTGGCGTTGCGAATGCTTTGTTCTGACGTATTCTTTTTTTTTTTTTTTTTTTTTTTTTTTAACTTTTGTGTAGCACCTTTCAAGTTTGATGCTCCATCGCCAGATGATTTAGTCTCCAATGGATTAACATCCTCGAGAAGTGGTTCAAAAGGTATTTACACTTGGCTTTCACTTTGAGTTTGATACTGTATGATATTGTACGGATTAAACAAGTTCTCTTATATTTTCAATCCATTTTGAAAATCTTATTGTGTTCAGTACCTAGAAATATTCCTGAAGCTAATGCTGATACAACCATACAAAACTCAGGTAATGCTAGTGTAGTGATACGGAAGTTATATAGTTCAAAGTCTAATAAGGATTTCCATTTTTTTGCTCTTTCCTTATTTCAATAGGATTTCTATTTTGCTACTTATTTTTCGTTTAGGTTTGGTGTTATCTTTTCTTATAAATAGGGATGAAGACCGATTTTGGTAATCTAGAGGCTTTTCTACTTATTCTCTTTGGCAGTCGTACTCTGGTTTTCTTTTTTCGTCCAGTTGTTTTCTTCAATAAAGTGTTGGTGTTTGAAGTGCGTTATTCTCTCTAACAGCGAGCACGAAGCAGAAGGAGAAGCAAGATAGCGCAGAACAGAATCCTTTAAAGAAAGGAGGAGATAATAGTCTTATTAAGGGCGGTTCTGGTGGGATAAAATCGGCCAAAAGTTTGCCAAAAGCTTCTAATGAAACAAGTTCTTCGTCCACAAATATGGAGGCGTCAGAGAGTCTTACTGGTACTATGAACAAGATGTCTTTGACTGGGGAAACAAAAAACTCCAACAATATTAAAACTAGAATACCAATATCAAAATCTAAGCATAAGCCAGAGGAGTGGATGCTTCTTGATTTAGAATCAGATACACTACGTCAGCTTAATCTTGCCATTGTGAGTTTCTTGGATTTCTTGTGGACTATCTACTGATTGTTTTCCTTGGCAGATTACTGATGTTTGCAATGTGATTGTAGGTGGGGCATGTTGATTCCGGTAAGTCAACACTTTCGGGTAGATTACTGCATCTTTTGGGAAAAATATCTCAAAAGCAAATGCACAAGTTTGAGAAAGACGCAAAGTTGCAGGTAACCTGTTGTTTTGTTTGGATGTTAGAGACTTGAACACGCAGAGTTCTGTTCTGCTTGCTTGACATTTTGTGTTTCTGATCCAATTAGGGCAAGGGGTCCTTTGCATACGCCTGGGCATTGGATGAGAGCGCAGAAGAGAGGGAACGAGGAATAACAATGACCGTGGCTGTTGCTTATTTCAATACCAAAAGACATCATGTTGTTTTGCTCGACTCTCCTGGACACAAGGATTTTGTTCCGAACATGATAGCAGGAGCAACGCAAGCAGATGCTGCGATCCTTGTCATAGATGCATCTATCGGTGCTTTTGAAGCTGGTTTTGATAACTTGAAAGGCCAGACAAGGGAGCATGCACGGGTTCTTAGAGGCTTTGGCGTGGAGCAAGTCATAGTCGCAATCAACAAAATGGACATTGTTGGGTATTCGAAGGACAGATTTGATTTGATTAAGCAGCATATCGGTTCTTTTCTGCATTCCTGTCGCTTTAAAGAATCTTCTCTGACATGGATTCCATTAAGTGCCATGGAAAACCAAAACTTGGTGGCAGCTCCCTCTGAAAGCCGCCTGTCCTCATGGTATGTTTCTGTTTCCATTTCCTATTGCTTACCATATCTGAAACATGTCATGTAATGGTTTTGTTTGTTGCTGGAGTACAGGTATCAGGGTCCATGTTTGTTGGATGCCGTTGACTCTGTCAAGTCTCCTGATAGAGACGTCTCAAAGCCTCTGCTCATGCCTATATGTGACGTTGTAAGATCAAGTTCACAAGGGCAGGTATCTGCATGTGGCAAGCTTGAAGCTGGAGCTGTCCGGCCAGGATCCAAGGTAATGGTTATGCCATCGGGAGAGCAAGGAACCGTGCGGTCTCTGGAGCGGGACTCTCAGGCTTGCACCATTGCAAGAGCTGGAGACAACGTAGCAATAGCTTTGCAAGGGATCGATGCCAATCAAGTGATGGCAGGAGGTGTGTTGTGCCATCCAGATTATCCGGTTTCAGTAGCAACTCGTTTGGAATTGATGGTGCTCGTCTTGGAAGGCGCAACCCCGATCTTGCTCGGTTCTCAGGTAAGAAACAAGAAAGGAAAATCGTTTTTCTCATGCTCAATCTCTACTATTCGTCCCATGTTTTCTGATCCTTGATGAAAAATCAATCGTTTTAGTTGGAGTTTCATGTGCATCATGCAAAGGAAGCAGCAACAGTTGTGAAGCTTGTGTCAGTGCTTGATCCCAAAACAGGGGAGCCAACAAAGAAGTCTCCTCGTTGTCTAACTGCTAAACAGAGTGCAATGCTTGAGGTTTGATATCTTTCTTTGACTTCTGCTTGAAACATTACAAAAACTGCATCGATGTTTTGTTGTAATCCGCAGGTGAATCTCCAATATCCAGTTTGCGTGGAGACATTTTCTGAAAGTAGAGCTCTTGGAAGAGTGTTCCTTAGATCATCAGGAAGAACTATCGCTATGGGAAAAGTTACTCGGATAATACAAGAGTCATAAAAAACTACTCTATTGTTGTAAGATTTTTACTTGTTCATTGGAAATTCAGTTGTCCCAAGTTTTGTCTGCAATACTTATTACGAAATATATTAAAATAGGTTGCAAAAAATATTTATTTAACATTTCATTGTGTAATTTTATTTGTTCCTTCTTTGTCTTTTAGATGTTAATCACAAATGATTTTCTTTTACCCTAATCAGTTATGTAAAGAAAGCAACACATTCGTATTTCCGTAAGATTTAGCATGAAGAATGCAGTATAAACTAAAAAATGCTTCAGGTTCAAGCTTTGATACAAGTGGAGAATGTCACCTGATCTTATTTACCCATCTGTACTACCCAATTGGGTTAAAAAGTAAAAGAAAAAGTTATTTTATGTACAAAAGAAGAGAGAAAGCAAGATGATGTAGAGACAAGCAGTTGGTTGTCTAGTGAAGAAGCTATGTATCTGCATCATCTTGGAACCATCCCACAAAGCTAAATTTGTGTGTGAGATTATCAACTACAACGACTTCTTCTCTTCCGCAGAGGTTTTGCAGATAGGGCACCAATTCTTCATCCGTAGCCATTGTTGTACGCAGCTCACATGGTACATATGTTCACATGGCATAGTCCCTACTTCATCTCCATCAACATACTCTTCCTGCATAGCGCATATACATAACATTAGCCTCTTCTTCGTTTCACTAAAACACTTCTGCTACCTTGTCCTATTTCAGCTCAGATACTAGACAATCCAGTGGACTAGTTTATAGTTTGGGGTTGGAAAGTAGAGAAAAAGATAGACCTGGCAAATGCTGCACTTGATATCATCATCCTCGTTCAAAGAATTGGCACCGGTTTCATTTGTCTCCTGATAAATGCTTTTCTTTAGGCTTCTCGAGAGTGCTTCTTCGCTTAGAGCTGTGCTCACTGTTCCCATTTTATCCCCCAAAGCTAGTAGTTCCTGCAAGATTTGTGTCCATATGATTTTAGCTTTCATAGAGTTTTGATTGTTAAGCTAAAAAATAGTTAATGATAGCCCAAGAGACCAAGATGTAAAAAACCATGCAAGACTGACCTCATATGACATGTCATCAATGTCAAGCCTCATATCGCTATGCCGGTCATAGAGTCTCATCGTACTACTTGAGAATAGATTCGTCTCTAAAGAGGCCAGTTGCTGTGGGAAAAGAAGCAGAACAGGCAGTGTAAACGTCAGAAATACTCTATATACTCGGACAAAACATGTTCATATCAAAACACCAAGCTGCTGCAAACTACCTCGTATGTAAGCTCTTGATCACGTTCAATTCTTTCCAGGGCCAACAATACCTGGAACATATTCAAAATTGTGTTATCACGAAATCCAGGAACATGTCAAAGCTTCTAACGAAATCAGACAACAAGGCGACGGAAACTACCTCTGCAATGCCATTCATGTTGTACCGACTTAGACCATCCTGGTTCGCCAAAGAGCGTGAAGGGTCAGCTTCTGAGGGGCTACCAGGCATCCTGCTACGTAATCGGCCAGTACTACTGTTCGGCCTACTGTGACTATTTGATGGACTGGAAGCAAGAGAAGGACTGGGATTGGTTGGTGTTGCAGGATGAGGCGTTTGTCGAGAAGTAGCAGGAGTTGCAACGGCTCCAACTCGCCCTGATCTGCCAAAAAACCCAGACCTCCTACCGCTACTTGAAACAACACTGTTATCCCTGATAGTTGGTACTATTCGATTCCTTCTGTTATCAGAAATTGTGATGCCATTTCCTTGAGAAGAACTTTGATTCCTTCCCTTCAGCACCGGCGTGCTAGTCTTACTGCCTGTGCTAGAGGAGCTGCTCTCTCCTCCATCAGAGTTTTTCTTTTTAGCCACACTGATTTTTGCTGCCGAGCTTGAGTTAGCTGGAAGAACATCAGACACAGAGTTACACCTAAAGTTCCTCAATCCATTCCTGGTCATACCACCTCTTACAGTCTTCTCACTACCAGAAGATGAAGAAACAGAGGGACTCATAAGAGCATCTCGAGTGCCCAAGGCAGATTTCTGATGACTACTTCTGATGGTTCCTCTACTTAAGCTTACTGCCTTTGTCACAGTATTTTGAGACTGAACATTGATTGTGCCTCTTTTAGTCTTTTGGGGTGTAAGGATAGGCTCCGCTGCAGGCGGATGATCATGAGTACTGCTCGTCTCTGAAGAGTCTGTGTCCAAATTAGATGACGGCTGTGGCCTGCCAGCCCCTTTGGCTGGCTTTCTTAAGTATCCAAATCCACCCGGAGTTCGAGATGAACTCCCAACAGTTTCCTTTCCATTTGAGGAAGAAGAACAAACCGGAGGACGACTAACTTTTGTATTGTTGTCCGTAGAGCCAATCCGGGTTCCCTTGGTGGAAGTTACCTTTGCACTACAACCAATTCGGCTGCAGAAAGAGACTTTCTTTTCATCTTTCTTGTTCATATTCTCACGCAGAACAGGACCGCTTGCTTTTCTGGGAACAACCATCCGGTCAACTGATCGTTTACCCGCACATCCATCCATGACGAATCAAAGAAAGTCTTTCTCTGCAAACAAAAACAACAAAATTTTCCAGATATCTGATTAAAAGTGTGAGCTACATCAAATAGAACATTCAGCAACACCAAACATATAAACAAAGCTTCAACAAGAGGATAAAGGTCATCAAAGCTTTAAGGATGATCTTCCACCAAATCAAAAGCAAGTCGTTGAAAGTTAAAGCGTCACGCAGAGAAGAACATATAGCCACACACAAATAAAGCTTACGGGAAGAACATGCGAGTGGATATATAGATCATCGAGAGAAAAACACCTGGTGTTTATAACTTCATGAATCATAAACATCAGACCACAAAGCTGATTCCGTGATCGCGGAGAGAGAGAGATAGATGATCAAAAAAGGGATTTAAAAAAAAAAAAAAAACAAAAAGAGAGAAATAGGGAGGTGACTAATGGTCCCAATTCAAGAGAAAATAACGGAATCTCCATAAACAAAGTGACCCTTTTATCCGCGATTCCAGGTTCACCATGAAAGAAGAGCTCAATCACTTGAAAAATCCATAAGAGACATATATAGCAGATACAATTTAAGAAACTCTATCCTCCGAAACTTCCGATCAGAGCTATACAAGTAAAACAACAATAACAGGAATCGTATCCCTAATACGTAATCAATTTGGCACCTGAAAAAACACTCGTTTAAAACTAATATTCAATCCGATACAGAGCAAGACGAGAGAATCTCAAACAAACATATGAACTATTTTTCTTCTCGCGATCATCTGAGCGAGACCGCGTAAGCTGGAGCGAGAAACAAAAATTCCGGTTTACCTTTTTTTCCTTTTTCCGGGCGATTACTCTCCGCCGTCTGTGAATTAACAAAAACGTGGAGATATCAGATATGAGAGAGACGAGACGAAAATTTATATAAATAAACAAACTTATTTGGACAAATATATATATATATAATAATTATTTTTGTAGAGTTTATAAAAGTAAATTAAATTTCGGAGCGGAAAAAGAAGTGGCGTAGCAAAGATGGATAAAGCGGTCAGAGAGATCTGGGCCGTTGATGTCGGGTTTGGTTCAGTTTAAGCTAAAGATGGACGGTTCGGATCACAATAACGTCGCCCTCAGCAGACGGAAGAGTTTTTGGAAGGACGAAAACGACACCGTTGTCGTTAGCGAGCGTTACGTACGGTAGACGGAATGATATCGAATTTATTTTTCTCTTATTTTGGGTGAAATTTAATGGATTTTCATAAAATATTATTGGCGATTAAATTAATTAATGTTGCAAAGAATTTTAGACTACTTAATTAATTTGTGGAGAGAACAGATTAGATTAATCAGTTATAGTTATTGATGATGTCGAGAAAGGTGTATTTAACAAACGTATCGGCCTTTTTGGCGTAAATCAAGAGACCTTTCCCCTTGGGATAAGCTAAACATATATTCGTTGTTTAGCTTCAGGAAAATAAAATATTTTGGGATTTGTTGCGATATTAGAGGATCGAGTTCTTTTCATAGAGAACTAAACGTATAAATTTTTTGGTTACATGTTTTTATTAACTACAAGTTTCGTTTAGCTATATTGTTTTTTTTTTTTTTTTTTTGAACAGCTATATTGTTTTAATGTGAATTCTATGTATGAAAAATGTGTACAAATGGTTATAACTTTATAACGTATGAGTTTCTCTTTTAACAAAAAAACGTATGAATTTCTCTTTACTGAAATTAGGAATTTAGGCTGTTGACAAATAAAAAAAAAATTCTCTCTACCGAAACATACCAGAAACAACAAACTTTTCCAAATTAGTTTTAGCCGGAAAAAGATTTTCAGATCATTTGTGTAAATGCACATTTCGAACATGCTACGATACACAAAGAAGTAATCTTCCGCACTAAAGAGCCCATATATGTGAAAGTGAGCAAAACTGGTATATGCATTATAGGAATTTTATACCACAGGTTATGGTCGTAGTAGTATTACTACGCACGTCTTGAGTTTTCACTTCAACTCCGAAAAATTCAGTCTTAGTCAAACCAATTATCATCTTTCCTTCTTCTCTAAATTAGCTGATTGACTTTCAATGGAAAACAGCTTTAATTAATCGTGTGAGTGTCAAGGACTACGAAAATGAGATTTCTTGTATTTATGAAAAAACATAGATTTATCATTTACCTTTGGACTCAAGTATACGACAGCGACTGCTACATAATCTTTAGCTCCATGTTGGGCATTTGCGACGGCGAGATTGTTTTCGTATCGTTTGATGAAAATATCAAGTTTCACCTAGCATCTAAAGACTACCAAGATCCAGGAAAGTCGAATTTGAAATTCCCTCCAACGGATCATATGGTTTATATTCTTACACCTTGAATGGTTGAATGTAGATTAAAATATATAATACAATTATTAAAGCTATAAAAATAATCTCTATTTTAGGTTAATTGATATTTTTTAAATATATAACTTTATATGTTAGATATGATCAAGTATAATCATGCCACATGTTGCACTACTGAAAAATATATTCACCAACACAGATACTTTGTAACAAAATCAAGCTAATTAAATAAAAGAAAACTGAATCCATTATTTACAAAAATAACATACCTTCTTTGATGTATATCTAGATATAATTATCATTTAAGAAATAAAATAATTTATTTCCTATACTGTTAATTAAATGTCTTTCCTAAGGTTGACCACCTATCACATTTTTCATACTTTTTATGGCATTTTCATTAAATGTATACATTGAATATATTTTTAAAATGATAAACACCTAATATATCATTTTACAATTAAAAATCAAGAAATAAAATATAATTGTTAACCAATTAAGGAGTACTCTTTTAATTTGATGTGTGGTATCCTAAAAAATAGAAATTTTGTTAAACTAAATAAGGAATTAAAATCATTTAAAAAAAAACTAAATAGGGAAGAATATATTTTTCTATTGAACATGTAAAGCATTTTATAGAATGCAAAAATACAAATGGCTATTATTTATAAGGAAACAAAAAATATATAAATAAGTTTAGATATGCATTAGTGTGTTACCATCTTAATCAGTTATAATTACGTGGAAAAACATGTATGTTAATAAAACGATAGAGTAGCTCAAGCAAAAGTCCACGGTTTTTCCAAAACGGTCGAAATCGTTATAACTTGTAATCTGATTTTTTTAATTTGGGTATTATTTTGTTAAACTCAAAAATAAATAGATGGAGGATTCATGGTCTCCACCACCATCTCCACCACCTATGAAATGCGAGATTTAAGCTCCGTTTACGAAAACAGAGTTCCAAAAATAAATTAAAAAACCCTAATTTTCCACCACAAATCCGTGGAGATTACGTTCCTTGATATACACGCCTCTTCTCCTTGGTTCAAAAGCTTTTATTCATCTCCTTTGATCTCAAGGTAAACCATCATCTTCTTCTCATAGTAATACATGTCTGAATCGATATTCTTGACTTTGAAGGCTTAAGGTTGCTCTGATATGCATTTTTTGTTCCCTTCTCTAATTGAATAATTCTGCGTTTTTCATTAGCGTCTCAGGTCGTTAATTTGATTTCAGAATAATGGCAACGACCTCAAGTACAACGAAAACCAAACCGGACAACCAAAACCTCACCAGATCAAGATCTCTCGGCAGAAAGCCAAAACCGACAGAACCTGAAGCGAACGCAGATGGGTCTGATCATCGGAAAACAAATGAGAAGCCTGTGCCCAATTATCTGAAACCAACAATCAGCTCGAGACCTGACCCGGTCAAGTTCTTGAGGAAGAACAACAACGCTCTCGACGACAACCAGAAGCTTCTCCGTAGACGATCATTTGACCGTCCTCCTTCGTCTTTGACTTCATCAACTTCCTCATCCCAGAAATCTCTCAACACCTCTCCTGCCCGCCCACGTGACAGACCCGTGATTCCAAGAGAGAAACCTGTCGCTGCTGGTCTGCGTTCTTCATCGTTCCATGGAACCACCAGAGGCGGTGTCAAAGGAAGCAGTACGGTGAAAGCTCCACATGTGGCTGCAAGAGGATCAACGGCGGTAAAGAAGAGCGGACCGACCGGTAGCAGTTCTTCCAAGAGCAAAAAGGAAGGTTCTTCTGAGAAGGTTCCAAAGAAGTCTTCTTCTCCGGGTAAAGAGATTACCCCGGAATCTTCTCCTCTTGCGCCTCATGAGGATGAAGAGGAGATTGTCAAGGTTGAGACCGATGTACAAGTCTCTGACAACAGAGAAGAGCCGAAAGAAGAAGAGGTTGTTGCACAACTCGATGAATCCACTGAAGAGAAGGAGATAGTTCCAGTGGATGCTCCTTCCAAAGAAGAAGAAAGAGTAGAAGCGATCAACGAGGATAAAACAGAAGAGCCAATAGAGGAGCTGAAAGAACCAGAGAAGACCGAAGAAAACAACATTGAAGAAGACAAGGAAGAAGTTGAAAACAAGGTTGATGCCGAGGAGACAACTGTTACTACAGATGTGAAAGAAGCTGTGGATGTCGAGGAAAGTAAGGAAGAGGAAGTAGCAGAAGTTAAAGAAGAGGAGAGCGAAAGCAGCAAAGTCGCAGAAGAAACAACAGAAACAAAGGCTCAAGTTGAAGCATCGCCAGAGGAAGGAGCAAAGAAGGAAGTGGTGAAAGGGAAGAAGGAATCTCCAACAACAGCTTACAATGATGTAATCGCAAGCAAGATGCAAGAGAACTCGAGGAAGAACAAGGTCTTGGCTCTCGCTGGAGCTTTTCAAACCGTCATTGACTATGAAACTGCTGCATCTAAGTGATTTTATCACATACAGCAACTGCGTCTTATTAGCTTTTCCCTATGTCAGTGTTTTTACTGCTTTCTTGTTAAATTTTTCTTTCGTGTTTTGACATAGCATCAAATGTTGAACAATTTGAATTATGTGCTTCTTTTTTTTGCTTTTGTTTCCCCTTTACCCGAAAGAGATTTCTATATGCAAAAACGTGACAAGAATATCTTACAATGTAAAAGAAGAGGGATGTTACTTATTTACATCCACGAGAGCAGCTTTTTGTTCTGGTTCACATAGCCGATACAAGTGTGCTCTTGTAAAAGCTCCAACAGCCTTTGAGCTATAACCGCTCCCATTAAGATTCTCACAGTGAACAACTATAACCATTTTATGTTTCTTTTCCAAAACAAGATCAACCACACGACCAATCGATGTTGTTGTACTCACAAATGGAGGCGGGCTTCTCATCATTGAGACCAGTGGTGCATCAAGCTATAAGGAAAAGTGAAGTGCACAAAATGTATCAGTTAATGTCAACAGGTGCTGAAGCTGGGAACAAGATTTTTCTTTAGCTTACATTGTTGCAATCCTCCCGATGCAAAAGTCCTATGCAGCTTCCCGAATCGTCTACAATTGGCACAACTTGCTCCTTGTAAAACCGCATGACCACATTCTTCAGCTGCAGAGTGCCTAGCAGAGGCCGAGTGGCTTCAAATGGAATCATTATACTTTCTATCGGATCGCTTGGTATCACCTGAGTCAGTAGAATGTTGTTGAATACCCAAATCACATTCCAAGATCATTTGCATGAATAGAGAGTGTGAGAAATAGGTAAATCTATACCTTATTGAGTAGATGAGGACGCAATATAGACTTGGGAAACCCCAACAATGCTTCTAAGCGGACAGCAGCCTGCGGTTGAACAATAATAATTTCAATTTCCACACAACTAAGGTTTCATGGACATAACGTTTGTTGAATACACGACTACCAAAAGATATATATAATGCCTGCAGATAACTTTTCTTATCATACCATGCCTCCACTAGAAGTCCAAGGAATTTCCTTCCACCTTCTAACAATACTTGAAAGCATCCCTAGAGCCTCATCAAGCTAGAAACATAATCCAAATTTAATTAGGACCAATAATCATCACCAGACTAGCAGACATCAACAAAAATTTCTTTAATACCTGACCATCATTGAGAGCTGCTTCCATCAGCAGACTATCAGCTTCTTGTTGAACAGCATTGGAGATTGTTCCCGAAGAGTCTGGCCATAGGCGAAGATACAGGTTTCTGACCATGCCATAATCTCCTTGGACAGCAAAAGCACGCATCATCGACAGGTACAAGTGAGGCTTTGGTCGCAATGCTGCATTAGCTCCACTTCTTTTCAATATCTCACCAAATACACAAAGGGCCCCTGTGAACACATTCAATAAAAAAACCTAAGAAATAACTCCACCCCATATGTGTTCATGATTCTGAAAGCAGTATAATGTAACAGCAGTTTTGTAGAGCATACCGCTCGTTGAACCACACTTTAGCATAGCATCAACTACCGCTGTAAATGCAGTTCGGTCAACGAACAATCTATCACACAATTTCATTTCCGCATAGATTTCTTGCAGTGATAACAGATCCTTCGCATCCCCAAATCCCTAAGAAGCAGAAAACCATCACAAGATGTCAAGTTTATAGCAGAAAGTACAACAAAGATTAGATTGCTTACTCACCTTCACCAAAGTGGTGTATGTTATAACATCTGGTTGAAGACAACCGTCATAATATTCCTCTGCTTTCTCCTGAGATGTTTTTAAAAAACAAGGAGTCAAAATTAACATGAGCCAAGCACTACCCCAGTACTACTCTGAGTAACACTTGGAGTTTAAACTGGCCTTTTAAATACACACGTGTGACCTTCATTTCTTTTAGAAACTTCATAGCCGCACCCAAATCGCCACACTTGATGCAGGCATGGATTAAAGTATTGTATGTGAGCCTATCTGGCTCCAATCCAAGGCGTAACATTTCATCCAGCAAAGTTACCGCTCCTTGTGGAGATTCTGAGTTGATATACCCCTGAAATACAACAAACTATGGCATAAGCAAGAAGAGACATACCATGAAGACACTTCTCTGAGCCTAAATGCAACTATATATGCGTAACGGAGTACCTTCATCAACAAGTTATAGATGAGAATTGACGGACCGCCATGCTCTTGGACTAAAGTTCCAAATCGTGCAAGCAGACCATTGGCACGACGTAAATCTCCTGCACTAGAGCAATATCAAGTGCTTTTGCATCAGCTTCATGCCACGACTTCATCAACTTTACGATTAGCAGCCGCCTGATTGAGCATGGGAAGCTTATACCAGCTTAAGAATCTTACCGGCATTGATCAGAGCGTCAAGCAGACCATAGATAAGAGATGGTGACAATTTCGGATTCCCCGCAGCAGTTTCATTCTCTATAGACTCCAGCATTTGGAACGCTTCGTCAATCCTCCGAGCCTTTCCCAATCCCTTAACCAAAACACACATTCGAAATCAAAGTCAATAGATGTATTGTAATTGTTCTTCTCAAACTAAAATAAAAAATTCAAAAATTTGATGGACGAAGAGAGCCAAAATTGAAGTCACCTTTAAGATAGTGGCGTAGGTAATAGAGTCGACGCCGCATCCACCAGGTTCCGCCATCTCGTGGAATATCCGGAGAGCCAAATCGACATCTCCACAGTGAACGCACGCCTCCAGAACGGAGTTCATCACGATTGTGTTCAGCCTCCCATACCGTTTCTTAGCTGATTCCACCTCCTCCACAATCTGATCCAGCTGGCGACGGCGCGTGAGGAGCACGATGCGAGTGGTGAGAGGCTTGAGGTTAAGACGCCTGGAGCTGCGGGGATAACGCCGACGTGTCGGAACGGAGGAGGACGAAGGAAGCAGATGAAGAGGAGTGCCGGGAGTAGAGATTGCTGAAATCCGATACATTATCTGAGAGACGGAGGCTTACCCATCCGCCATTGAGATGGGCTTGACCTTGAGCTAAAGCGAAATGGATAACGTTAGAGAATCTGAATCAGAACAACTCAGTCAGTCAGTTTATTAATTTCATTTGGCGGGTCGAACAAATATTGTTGTACTGTGGAGATCTCGTATTTGGGCCTGAGGCTTTGAAATATTAAAGCAAAGTACTTTTCTAAATTCAATTTTGGGCCCTTTACAAAAGTCATGAGAAATTTCTTATCTTTTAACGCGGGGTATTTTGACTTTTTTTTGTTTCACTAATCCAGAAATTGCTTCTAGATGAAGCTATAATCCTCTAGAGATTTGAACGCGGAAACAAATTCTAAATTCCACTGAAGTCATCATTACAAATATCGCAGCTGCAACCCTTTTTTTAACGAGGAAGCAAAGCAAAAACAGATTCCAGCTTTTAACTTTGACAAGAAGAAAAAGGATGTGTTTGGTGTTCGTGTGCGATCAGGACGAGAGGGTGATCGGAAGGTACGCAGCTCCGGGGGCGTGTCCGTACTGCGGCGGAGCGGTTCAAGCGGTTGACGTGGAAAGCCAGTGGAGATTCTGCTTCGTCCCTCTCTATAACAAATCCAAACGTCGCCTTCTTTGTTCCACTTGCGGTAAACGCCTCATCCTCCATAACTGAAACAAAACTCGCAGCTCCAACATCTCTCTGATCCCTCTTCTATATGTAAATATCCAAAATTTCTGACTTGTTTTTTGTATTGTGTATCTAATCGTTTGTAAGAAAGGAAAAGAACATGTCTTCTCTTTAATAATGTCTTGCCATTTGTGTCGATCTAGTTTGTGAAAAATGGATGAAAGAAATGATATTTTTTAATAGAAATTGGAAGTTGAGAGAACAAGAATATCACTTGCAAAGCTTGAGCTTCTTGAAGAAAGAAGAGACTTGAGATTTGGGATATGGCTTAGTGGCGATACACGTCGGAATATTCTCAGGCTCCTCCATCCATACCTTATGAGAGATCCCTCCTAATTTCAGCTTCTCTGACAAATTCATCATCTGCGTTTCCCCTTTCACCTCCAGAGTCACCTAAATCAAATAAATAAAATTAAAACGCGTTTAATCCACCGTCATTTCCCTCCAGAAATTCAAAATCTAGAGTTGACCGGAGTAACCTTGTGCATAGAATCGATGTTCTGAGGATCACAATACTGAAGCGTCACCGGATCGTCTCTGAACGACCAGATCGCCGCCACTGACGCGTGGCATCCCTGCGTCACCACGCTCCCGAGTGGCCACGAATCGATCAGATCTCGTCGAAGCACCACGTACTGCACCACGACATCCACGGGATTCTCCGTCGAATTCTCGTCGTTACGAGAGGCATCGACGACGGCGCCAATTTCGCCAGTCTGTTGGCTCATGGACGAAGCCGTTGTGATCCCTCGGAGATGAGCTGACCTGATCGTGGAAGGATATCTAATTCGCGGTGCCGGATTAGAAAGCCGGCGGATGGCGAACGGGAATCGAAACGCTGCGGAGACGACGGCGCACGCCATATGAAAGGAAGACGCACATGGACTTTTCTCCCGGATAAGATTTTGTTAATGGGCATTTACAAGGCCCAGTAGAATTCTGGTTTCCAGTTTAGACCGGAACAACATGATGCGGCATAACCAAAGCGGTTAATATTTCGCTCCAAGACTCCAAACCAATAAATTGGTTCTTTAATTTCGTCGGATTAAAGTTTATCTCTTTTCTCTTCGCATTTTGGGCTTCTTCGCCGTTGAGATTATTCTCCAACATCCCGACGCCGGTCTTTAGTATCTGTTCCTCCACCCGTACATTAGCCGGCGCTGCTTAGGCCCTCTGAGCGATCCCTCTTTCCCTCTCGACGCCAATCCGACCTGTTTTTCTTCTCTACTCGCCGGCGTCGGTAAGCTATTATCCTTTGTTCCAGGGTTTCCTGCTGCTGCGCCAAATTAATCGCTAATTCCGGAAACAAGCTCTACGATAGATATGCTAGGGTTCTTAGCTCAGCCTTGTTTCTGTTCACTTTGGTTCCCGTCTGAGCAGAATTCGTGATTTCGTGGGCACCCTTTACAAATTGATGATCAACTTCTCTGGTTTTGGTTTGGCAGGAGCTCTCTGGGAGAAGAGATGGGAGAAATGGTAAATTACACACCTTTTTCAGTTTTTTTTTGTTCTTTATTCAATTGTAAAGTTGAATTAGTAGATGACACAACATTCGCTTTTGGTGCAAATAGATTGTTTCGCTGAACGAAGATATCCGATTGGATACAACACGAGCAAGATGTGAGCACCAGCCTTTCTTGTGGTTTAGATCTTTTTATTTTTTTGTTGTGTTTAAAACTTTTGGTAATAATTGGTCCATTACTCCTAAATTTTAACTTTCTATGCTCTTTTCCTAGTCACAAATCTACTCAAGAGGCATCGAGAACTGTCAGATCGTCTTTCTAGGTAGGATATACACTTTTCTGAATTATATATTTCAGTTTTCAATCTTCTTAAAGTTAACTTTGTATTTGGTGTTATTTCTTTTAGGGATTCTGATAAGACGATATTTGATCGGTTACTCAAAGAATTTGAAGCTGCACGGACATCCCAAAGTCAGGGTGGGTAACGAATAGCTGAATTGCAGGATTGTTCATTGGCATTATTCAAACTATGTGCTTGTACTATTTGTGCGGCTATGTTTTTCGCTTCATAAACTATATGCTCATCCATGTGTCTATCTTAATCAAATACTGTTTTCCTCATCTCATCTGCAGAAGTCTGCTTAGATGGAGCAGAGTGGAATGATGGTTTGATAGCTACACTAAGGGAACGGGTATGCAATCCATCATTGTGTACTTTAAAAAAAGCTATTCTTTCTTTGTGGAATGGAGTCTTTTATTCCATCTTTTTCTTTTCATCTGTAGATTTTGTCGACTTTTTCTTGAACTCGGCCATGAAATGTGTAGGTACATATGGAGGCTGACAGAAAGGCAGATAACGGTAAAGCAGGTCTTGCACTAGTTTCTCATCCTGAAGAACGAGTTACTTACAGAGTCGGAAATAAGGTAACTACTCAGGTCTTTTCCTTACAAAATTCTTTTGTCAAGATTTTTGTAATCAGAGGTCTGTTGGTGTAAGCCTTAAAGCCTAGATAGCACAGATTTTAGCCTAATCCTTTAAGGATACGCACACAGAAGACTACGTCAGTCGCTAAAAATATACCAAAAAGAACAATATAAAACCTATGGCAGCAGAAAGCTCTGGATAGTACAAAGGAAACCTGAAATTTTACTCATTCATCATGGCCTGATTCAATTTTTGCCAGAGTGATAGATCCAATCAGACCAATAATGGTTGCATATCTTGTTGAAGAATGTCGATTGTTATGTCTCTCCCCAAATTTATAGTTGCTTTTATATTTTCTGTTTTCAAAGTTGTGACTGACACGGGGCTAGTCTCAAATTTGAGTGACTTCTCTCTATGAATTGACACCAGTTGTTTTAGCTTATATTGTTGATTTATTTATCATACAGGTGATCTATTGCTTAGAGGGAGCGAGAATTGGAATACAGTATGAATCATCTTTTGCAGGTATGTTTGAACTAGAAATGGTATTGTGTGATAGGTCCAAATGTTTCGGTTTACCAAAAATGAATGGCAGTTATACCAAAAATATAGTGATTTTCTCCTCAGAGGTTTCTTACCTCCTGATTTGTCACTGAAAGAGAGTTAGGAGGACATTAAGACCTTTTCTGACCTATCCTCTCCCATTGTGATAGTTTAATAATTCTTTTTATATAGGAGAAACTTACGAGATTTACCACTGTGTACTTGAGAGCAAATCGTTTTTGGAGAAGATGACTGTACTTGAGCACACAATTCCTTTCTTTTTGCCACTACGTGACTTGGAAAATGATCTTCTTTCTTCGAATGCTAAGGTAAGCATGGTTTCTCGATCTATTGACGTGTTGTACGGTACCTGATCTTAAGTTTATCCTTTTACTTACTTTCTTAAATCTTCCTTATGTGGTTTATAATTTGTGTTGATGCCAGAAATTCATCGATAATGTTGGGGATCTCCTGCAAGCATATGTGGACAGAAGAGAACAGGTTTGTCAATAACCAAGCTCATGAGTGGTTGATCAAAAATTATATATTGAGCTTGTCGAATTGGCCTTTTACATTGTTCTCTTGGTTCATGACTTTTTAAAATTGTTAAGCCGCTGGTTTGTTGTTCGATTTGTTTCTAAGTAAAAAGATATCAATATGATCTCTAGATGGAAATGAAGTTGGTACTAAAAGCATGTGACCTGTTAACTTGGAGTAAGAAATATGGACTAAAGTGTTAGGAAACTCGAGGGAAGCTGTAAGTTATTAGAAAGTAACCAGGATGCTTCTCCTGATTTTATTGTAGGTTCGGCTTATCAAAGAGCTCTATGGAAATCAGATCAGAGAGCTTTATCACAGTCTTCCTTACCACATGATTGAATTTGCCATAGATGATTGTGACTGGTAAGTAATTTTATAGATCCATAAATATGATTCCTCTTAACATCTCTGCTACACTATATACTGATATGATTTCTGCTTTTATAGCTTTCTATTAAACAAATATTGTTTTTGCATTGAAGCAAGGTGATGGTGAGCTTGAGATATGGAGATCTTCTGGGTGAACTTCCGACAAAAGTGAGAGTTCTAGTATGGCCAATGCATCAGTTGAAGAGACAGTGTACAAGCCCTAGATTGGGTAAACTTGGAAGCCAAGCAATACCTGCGCGTTTATCTTTTGCCGAGGATGCATTACGGATCCAGTCACTACCTGAAGGTACTTGTAGTTCAGTCACCCATCTGGTTAAAGTGTTGTTTCTACGGTTAATTTATTTATTTTTGTCCATTGCAGCATACGCAGAGATTGTATTAAACATGCCACAAGAAATTGAGCAATTATTTCTGCAAAGAAGTCCAAGCTAAAACCTGAAGCTGTGTCCAAAATTTCTACTTCTCTCGCTGCTTCGTTGTATGGTGTTTCAATTTGATCCTTCTTTCCAAAATATTAGAATTGTGCTATGAAGTAGATCTATTGTAGAGTGGATTTTGTCCTGTTTTTCTCTACTGGTTAAATTGTGCTGCTTCTTCGGTTCGACTATTACTAACTATAGTTTTATGAATCATTTGATTAGTTGCAGATGTCATGCTCGAAACAATTTTCCATATATAAAAGAAAAATTGTGTTCTACGGTATACTATTTTCATTCATATTATTCATGAATTTACGCATTTGAAAGTCAAAAGTGGCTGTAAAAATATTTAAAGTTTAACTAAACTTATCTACAATAGGTCCGATTCAATTATGAGAGACCTAATGTATCTAATGTTGATGGTAATAAATCCCGGAGTTGTGTTACCCACTTTGAATTATCAATCACAAAACCGTCCATTCAAAAACTTTACTCTTTAGGGTCCATCTATTGATCTTCTTTTTGTTCCCCATTAATATTCTCATCACAATTTCAGAGATTGTTTTCCTAAAATGCAGGAAAGTTAATCTCGTAGGAGTATACAGAAAGTTCTTGCTGCAGGAAAAACAAATTCGTCGTTTAATTACTTTTACTGTGTAAGAACGTTCAGAGGAGTTTGGTGTAACTGTAATCAGCAAACCTTTTTGAAATTCGACCATAGTTCAATCCAAACAATCTTATTAAATTTTAATAATTCAGGAACAAATCATAAAATTATGACACAAACAAACATCAACGCAATTCTTCTCTAGATTATGGCCGGACAATCAAACTTAGGATCATTTTTCAGGTGTACATAAGAGTCTACATTTTTTTATACCAAAAAGGAGAACAGTACATAGCAGATTTACTTTAGATCTATCTTCCTGAGTGCTTTATTATTGGAACTTATGATTAAGACACTTAAAAAATTCGTTGTCAGGACAAAATATATGTAAATAACTCTGACAAGGGCCCTACTCAGGCTACATTATAGAAAATTATTTTAATCTTTTTAATTAACAATGGAACCAAAAGTATGAAATAATAGTAATGGACTTATAGTAATACTGATCCAAGTTGTGTTTTTTTCTGCCTAATAACCAATGATAAAGAGCCAGGTCTAGCCACTGATAGTCATAGTCATGTTACATGTAGCCATGTTAACTACTAGACGGGTTGCTAAGTCTAACAAGATATAATATAATTAAACTCATAATACTGTAGATCTAGACGATTTATCAGTGGAATTCCTCCTCTAATACTTACTTCCAAAGTGGTCAGTTTACTATACACTATACGTATATAACAAGTAATTATTAGGAAGAAAGCTGAAAAGTATGGTCCTGCTTTAATCGAGGCTAAAAATTAAACTAATAAAGAAAACCGCTATTTAAGGATTCGTGTCCCCATCCAATTAATATCTCCACATTCTCGTCCTTTCTCCGACTCCTAAAATAACATTATCCTAATCCTCAACCACCGTCCATTTTTGGCGCGAGAGCAAACAAAACACACAAACAGAAGAAACATGTTTGAAATTACCATAGACCACGTGTTGGTCAACGATACTTCCACGTGGCATCTAGGAGGATGACATGGCACATGTAAGCAACTACGGGACGGATACAAAAGCCTCCGAGCGCCGTTCAGATCGGTGGACTAAAGAGATCAAAATGGCTTAGCTGTTTTCTTTCTTATATACAATTTTAAAAACTCTTTTAATTTATTAATCATTCTGATTATTATTTAGTAGTTTCTCATGTACTATAGTTGTCATTTTATATCATTAAATTTATGAATATAGAAATGGGATTGATTTCGACAACTAATTTTGTGCCATTACAGTTGTTGTCGCTCCATTGAGTTGTGAGAATTGGGTTTTTATTTATTTTCCTTTTGTGACACTAGATTCAAATAATTGATCATACTTTCCAACTGAAACTGGAACCGAAGAATATAGTTTAAGATTGGGTTAATTAATAAATAAATAAATATTATAGTTTCCGATTCATTGTGGTACATGTGCTTTGCTATTCATGAAACATGCATGTCCCGACCCAATTCGAATATTTGTGTACTTTTGTCAAGTATTGACATTCTGTAGACTAATGGAACCACATGATTATAAATTTTAATTTTCTTTTGCAAGGAGAGTACAAAAGCCAAGAAAACAAATCATTCACCTGTTACTTAATGACAACTAGGAGAAAAAAAAAACGTTCCTTGTTCTCATTATCGGATCATCACATCTTGTAAATTTACACTACAAAACTTTACTGCAGTAGGATTAATTAATCCACTGCAATAATTCAAAGCCTAGTTGATTAGTTGATGAACACTATAATGGATTAATCAACTAATAGTCGAATGGATTATTAACGAATTTGGTAATTTACTGATTTTTTTTATTAGGATCAGAATTATGGACTAATGGTCGTTAGCAATAAAAAGGCAAATATGGTCGTTACTGAGACCGAGTTCTTTTGTTACTCTCTTATACAATACAACCGTAACGAACCAATTAAAAAAGCAAGTGGTAATTTTTAAAAAGCGAGTGTTAATTTCGTCGGAGCGTGACGTAAACGCGCCGCCTTGTAACTATCTCCGTCACAACTACTCATTAACTTTCAGTGAGGTATAAAAACGTAAGAAAAAAACAGAGGAAACAGAGATAGCTGTGAATCGTGAGACAGATCGAAACGTGTCGCATTCTCTGTCATTCGATCATCGGATTCGGTCTCAGAAAGAAAACAAACGTGCACCGAGAGAACAGAAAAAAAAAGAAGAGAAGAGAAGAGAGTCGCCATTAGAATACTCGACTAAAATTCGAGAGAGAGAGAGAGAGAAGAGAGGAAGAATAAAATAAACATTGACCTCTCTGGCTTTGGGGAGGAAGCACATGCTTGCTCTCTCCTCCTTCCTCTTCTCTCCGTAAAATCGCTTTTGTTTTTTCTCCTCTCTTTCACAATTCACATGCCCCTCTCTCTTCTCTCTTCTCTCTTCTCTCTTCTCTCTCTCTTCATTGGCTATTCTCTTCCCAATGCTCTCATTTTGAAGTTTATTTACTCTACAACACTCGACGAGGTCTCTTCAGATCTATCCACTCCTTCATTCTCTTTTCAACCTTCTTCTTCTTCGCCTTCCTCTGTTAAATTTCCCGGTGATCGCAGCCGGTCAAGGTATGCTTCCCTTCAAATCCCCTTGACGTTAACTTTTCCGGCTGTTTCTTCGTTTTAATCAATTCGTCTTTCGTTTTTCCATTGACTCTCGAGATTTCATGATTCCATTTCTGTTTTCAACGCGAGATTCTCGCTGACGTATGATCCAATTGAAGTTTCTTCTCCGATCATTTTCTCTGTTTACTAATTTTCATCTTCATTTTTTTTTTACGTTTTACCAACGCATTTTATGGTGAATTTATGATCGAATTTCGCAAATCTGAGAAAGAAACTGATCCAGATTCTTTTTCGGGATTTGCATATTCCACTTTTTCCAATCTCGCCTTGTTTTTATAAATTTAACTTTTAAGTTTTCCCCGCTAAAATTCTATCTCCAATTGGTCCACACACTATTTATGTAGTCCCTTTCCAAAATTCGAATTAATACATTATTTACTCATTACATATCAAACAGGTTCTTGGCAAGATCAAGATTCTAGTGTTGTTTGAATTTTTGGAGTGTTGTTGTTGTTGTATGAAGAGAAGCTTTGATAAATGGTCTGCGAAATGGAGACTGATCAGATTGAGGAGATGGACGTCGAAGTCTTGTCTTCCATGTGGCCAGAAGACGTCGGAACCGAAGCAGACAAACAGTTCAACGTCGAGAAATCCGCCGGAGACTCAGACATGTTGAAAGAGGTTGATCTCTCCGAGAAACGTACCATGGCGGATTTAACACGCTTACCGGAGCTAATGGACACGACTCAGCACGGCACTTCTCAGCTAACAAACCTCGTGAAGCAGTGGGAGTATATGCAAGACAACGCCGTTAGGTTACTAAGAGAAGAGCTCAAGATTCTCACTAGACAGAGAGAAGAAGCCGAGGCTAAAGAGCTAAAGATCATAGAGGAGCATAACTTCGAGACAGAAGAGCCTGAGAACGTTCCGGTTTTGGATGAGACGAGTGATCTGTTTCGCAGGTTTAGGCAGAAGAAACGAGACGCGTTGGTTGATAGCAAGAAGATTGAGATCGATGAGGAGTTTGACACGGTTGCGTATTGGAAGCAGAAGGCGTTGAGCTTGGAGAAAATGTTGGAGGCGAGTACTGAGAGAGAGAGGAGATTGATTGAGAAGTTGAACGAGAGTTTGAAAGCTATGGAGTCTCACTCGGCGCCGGTGGAAGAACTGACTCGGAATCTTAAAAGAGCTGAAGGCTTCTTGCATTTCATTCTTCAGAATGCTCCCATTGTTATGGGACATCAGGATAAAGATTTACGCTACTTGTTCATCTACAACAAGTTTCCTAGTTTGCGAGAACAGGTTAGCAAAATCAGCTTCTTAATCTTCTTCTTTGTTCTGTTAGTGATCATTCTCATGAGGAAGTGTTTTTGTTTCAGGACATATTGGGGAAGACAGACGTTGAGATATTCCATGGAGGTGGAGTGAAAGAGTCTGAAGATTTCAAGAGAGAGGTTCTTGAGAAAGGAAAAGCTTCAAAGAGAGAGATCACATTCGAGACAGAGTTGTTCGGGTCAAAGACGTTTTTGATATACGTTGAGCCTGTTTACAACAAAGCTAAAGAGACGATCGGTATCAATTACATGGGAATGGAAGTAACTGATCAGGTGAGGAAGAGGGAGAAAATGGCGAAGCTTAGAGAAGACAACGCAGTGAGAAAGGCGATGGAATCAGAGCTCAACAAGACCATCCACATTACAGGTTTGTTTTGAGCAGTGAAATCAAGAAAGTTTCATGAGGAAACCAGAGTTTGAAGTGTTGTGTTTTGTTTTGCAGAGGAGACAATGAGAGCGAAGCAAATGCTAGCAACTATGTCTCATGAGATAAGATCACCATTGTCAGGAGTAGTGGGGATGGCTGAGATACTTTCCACTACAAAACTGGATAAAGAGCAAAGACAGTTGCTGAATGTCATGATCTCTTCTGGTGATTTGGTGCTTCAGCTAATTAATGATATTCTTGATCTCTCCAAGGTTGAATCAGGTAGAAAGAAAAAAACTGTTTTCAAGTTTTTGATCTTGTGGTGTGGTCATTTTGCAGATCCTTGATTACATATCTTCTTTTTTAGGTGTGATGAAACTAGAAGCTACAAAGTTTCGGCCAAGAGAGGTGGTGAAGCACGTGCTTCAGACGGCTGCTGCATCACTGAAGAAAGATTTGACATTAGAAGGAACCATTACAGATGATGTTCCTATTGAGGTTAGTACACAGAAACATCACATTTCTGAAAAAAACTTATGTGGCAAAGTCTTTGTAAATCTTAAAACTTGTTTCTTTTATGTTCAGGTGGTTGGAGATGTTCTAAGGATTCGGCAGATTCTCACCAACTTGATCAGGTTTTTACACAAATCCTAAATTATTTGCATATTAAAAGGATTTGGTTCCTTTAAGTTGAACCCTCCATACATAAATTTGCAGCAATGCTATCAAATTTACACATCAAGGAAAGGTGGGGATCAGACTCCAAGTGATATCAGAACCATCCTTTGCGAGTGAAAACGCACTGGATCCAGACGCTCAAGAACAAAACGGTCTGACCGAAACTTCGGTTTGGATTTGCTGTGATGTTTATGACACTGGAATTGGAATTCCAGGTAAGCATGCAATTCTTGTTGAAGAACATCAAAAGAGAGAAACACTCTAGCTAAGCTGTTTCTTAAGTTTTGGTGTTCTTGTTGCAGAAAACGCACTTCCTTGTTTGTTCAAGAAGTACATGCAAGCAAGCGCTGATCATGCCCGCAAATACGGTGGGACTGGTCTCGGTCTTGCCATTTGTAAACAGCTGGTACAAAACTAATATTAGATTTCACATCATCTAAGAGAAATTAGAGAACTCTGTTTTTTTTCTGATCTTTCTCTCTACTTGTCTACAGGTTGAGTTAATGGGAGGTCGACTAACCGTGACAAGCCAGGTCAACGAGGGTTCAACATTCACATTCATATTACCCTACAAAGTTGCAACATCAGATGATCATTCGGATGATCAAGACGAGTTCTCTGATATGGTTGACCATCATCACGAACCAGACGACACAACCGAAGGATACTTTCAGTTTAAGCCGCTTCTAGGATCTATATACTCTAATGGCGGACCGGTCATCGGCAATAACTTCTTACCTCATAAAGTTATGCTCACTAGTCCTCTTAAGCTCATCAACGGTTTTGTCGCCGATCCTTGTAACGACACTGGACAATGCGAGACGGGTCAGGTTGAAAACGGTGGTTACATAGATGAAACTCGACTCAAAACTAGTTCTGGTCACTGTATTGAATCAAATGGCCAATATGAGAATGGGAATGGTCGATGTCTCTCTAAGGAATCCGAATCTTGTAGCAGTTCACAAGCTAGCTCAGAAGGTGGAACCTTAGAAATGGAGTCGGAGCTTACAGTTTCATCTCATAGAGAAGAGGAAAAAGCAGAGACGGATCTCAAAGAGACATCAAAGCCAAAGATTTTGCTTGTGGAAGATAATAAAATCAATATCATGGTTGCTAAGTCGATGATGAAGCAATTAGGCTATACCATAGATATTGCTAATAACGGAGTTGAAGCCATAAACGCAGTGGAAGGCTCTAGCTACGATTTGGTACTCATGGTATGTCAATTCTCTTAAGACCCCTAAACTTTGTCATTTTCAAAACCACTTAGATTGAAAATGCCTATAAAATTCAATTTGGTTTCACAGGATGTGTGCATGCCGGTTATGGATGGTCTAAAAGCTACAAGACTGATCCGGTCTTATGAAGAAACTGGGAATTGGGATGCTGCAATAGAAGCCGGAATCGATATAAAGACATTGGAAGATGAACAAGCTTGTGTTCATTCTACAAAACGGCTACCTATAATCGCGGTTAGTACTTCACAGAGCTCTAATGGATAACTTGAAAAAATGGAAGATTAAAACGGGTTTTGGAATTTTGCAGATGACGGCAAATACGTTAGCAGAGAGCTCAGAAGAATGTTATGCAAATGGAATGGACTCTTTTATATCGAAACCTGTAACGTTGCAAAAACTGAAAGAGTGTCTGCAACAGTATTTGCATTGACATTTCAGAGTTTGGTCTTTGGTAGATTAAGTGTATGTATGTGTTGTATATAAAATGTGTAGGAAAAAAGTTTTGGTGAGCTACAAAGTAGCTTCCTCTCTTAGAGATGTATAGTATCAATAAAAAAGCTTTGTCTTCTTTATTTATTTGTGGGAAATTTATGGCGAGAGAAACAAGAAAGACATTTTTTTTGTTCCCACCACTGAAATACAACAGAGGAAAAACAGCCAAACTCTACAAAACGACAGAGAGCATTTTTTCAAAGCTTTTCAAGACGGACTTATCTCGATTTCTGTTGGCTGTAACGTTGTATTCCATGGACATCCACAATCCCTGGAGGGAACACCGGATCCGTTGCTGCTCTTACGGCGACTTTGGCAACGGAATCAACATTCACCGGAGGTGTGAACAAAGGTCCGACCAATGGAAGCTGGTTTAGTGGTTTTGCTTGTTGAAGAATCTACAAAAGCCACAAACGTTTTGTGAATAAAGAGACAATCTTGAAGGATGTTGCAATAAAGAGGGAATCTCTTCTTACCATCTCCATAGGTGAGCCAAACACTCCCAATGGGATCTTCATGCTCCCAACACTGCGAGTGCCATAGATAAAACCAGGCCTCAAGATTATCCCTGCACAACATTCACCAAAACTTCAAAATGTTAAAAACGGATTTCAGAGAGAAGAGCATTTTTTCGTTGTAACATGAAAGCTTTACCTCCATAAGCAAATCTTGTGAGCAGCTCGGTCTCAGCAGCTCGCTGTAAGGATCAAAAGAAAAAGTCTTTGTAAACAACATACACTAACCAAAAAGAGCTACGCAATAGCTGTTAAACACAATCTTATCATTTTCAAATGACTGAAAAGTATATGAACACCTTTCCCTCATAGTATCCTCCCAACAAGTAGTTGGCTAATCCGAAATCCGCAGCAGAAATATAGACAAATCTTTTAACACCTGATCAACAATAGCAAAAATAATATTTGGGATGGATTATGTACATATTTATACAGCCTCTTTAGTGAAAATTATAAAAATAGTCATACCTTTTTCTGAGGCAGCTCTAATTGCGTTGATGTTTGCAGTCCCATTAATCTTATACATATAGGAGTTTGAACCAAAACCACCAACACAAGAGATCTGCAATGACATATTCCGAATAAATTTAAAAATGCACAATTGAACAAAGCAGCACTGCTTCAATAAGTAAAAATATGTAGCAGTCATCAAATTTCCGCATTATTCCTGAATATGAAGGGAAAAAACATACCACAGAAGTCACCCCATCAAGAGCATCTTTCAATAAATCAGATGAAAGAAGGTTTCCTGGAGACAAAAGTGAAATATACAAAATATATGAACATAAAGGAGAAAATATAGTTCGTAGAAACATGTTAGAGGAGGATATAACAATACCTTGATGCCATGTTACTCTGGTAGCCCATGACTCTTGTACAGACGACCTACCTGATCTACAGATTGTTAAGCACACACCCTAAAATCAGTCTCTGACATAGATCACCTATCTTAAAAACGAGAAGCTTCAACTAATTTATTTTTTTACCTGCTAAGGCTAGAGACAGATAAGCCGCGATCTAAAGCTTCTTTACAAACATGTGATCCCACAAAACCATTTCCACCCAGGACAAGCAGCTGACAAGAACGAAAGATAAGTTCCAAGATCAGATTAAAAACTATGTCAGATCTCACAGAAACGCATAAAACTCATATACCTTCTCGGTTGGAGGTGGAGGCACATGTACAGTCTCTGCTTCTTCCACATTGAAGGGCTCATCGATTTTGTTAGAGTCTGTGGTGAGATACCTTCCGCCACCGGAGGCAGAAACGATCCTAATGCAACATGCACAAACGAAGAAAGCTAAGATAAGAAACTAAACTTCACAAATTTCACCTCTCGATTCCGGCAACTGCTAGAGAAAGAGTAAATCTATCGCCGGTGATAGAATTGCAACTCATAATCTACTACATAAATCTCATGGCAACGAACAAGCAGTATTGAATTACACTCAAACACCTTCATTTCTAAGAATCTAGATCATGGAGCAAACCCAGCTAAGAGAAATTACCAAAAAAACAAGTGCGCATTTCCCTCAATACCGACACAGATGCTTAGATACTTGTAAATTTCCAGAAATGTCAAGAGGAATCTAAAATCTGACAAAGCCTAGAGAGACGATTCGATTAAAAAGAACACTCACCGTGCTTGGGGAAGAGACGATTTGTAACGAATCAAACGGGAGACGATCGTCCTCATTTTCGATTGGGAAGCAGGAGAGGAAAAGGAAATTCGACGCAGAGATGAGCAAACAAAATGAAAATATGTCTAAGAGAAGAGAGTCCGATGGCGATGGAGGAGGAGTACGGCCAAATAACAGAGCAAGGCGTCGAAAAGAGCGCTACAACAGAGAACACGTCGCCTCTTGAGAAGCTTCCACGTAGACCCTGACCCGAGGATCCGGCTCCTTACATGACCCGAGGAATTTAAAATACATAATTGGGCCAATACTATCTGGGGTTACATTATAATGGGCTACTATTGGGATGGATTTGAACTTTTGTCCGTTAATATCTAATATTCTAATGAAACAGAGCAAGACAGAACGTCATCGTTTCACCAAAACAGCCAGAGCAATGACAATTGGGCCAAATACAAGACAAAGTAAGTAAAAAGCCCAATAATAGCTCAGCGACATTCAAATCGTGTGCAACACGGTCACTAACGGATAAGGTGGAGTAAAAGCAGAGTTCAACTTACTGGCGACAGAGAGAGAGAGTGAGGACAAACACTCGTACGATCAAACCCTGTCCACTCGATATCTCAAATTGATTTTGAGCCCTTGGATGCCACCTGCCTTAGGGTTTTGTCACTCTTAAAGAGTGAAGAAATAAAGAAAGCGCTTTTGCATTTTCATCTTCTTCTTCAATCAGTTTAATCTCTTCTTCCCAAAGCTACTGATAATATTGATTTTCAGTCAGCAAATTCGCAGCTTACCGAACAATGTCTCAGCTTCTCATCAGACTCTCCAAGATCTGTCACCGGAACAATGCCGGCGTAAGCTTCTCTTCTCTTTCTTCCTTTTTTTTGTTTAGAGAGATAGCTAGATAGATCCGCTTTTCTTCAGGTTTCAATTTTTAATCAAAGGAAAATGAGTTGAACAAAGCTAGGTTACGAACTTAGGACGGTTGAGATTTCACTATGCTTGTCTCTGATTCTGAATCTCTTTGGTTACTAACTTTGATTCCAAATAAATTGGCAGCTACTCCGTTCGTTCTCTTCGTCGTCTCCGTACCTGACTCTTGGCCCTAATATTAAGGAAGACCTAGGAGACGGCAGAGGCATCGGAGAAGTCCTCTTCTTTGATCCGGCCAAGGAAGAGTTAGTGACTGTCTCTGACAAAGTTATCCCCGACGAGCTACATCCATATTCACTACTCGGAAGTGCTCAGGGATGGGGTTTTTTCTCCTCTGACCGTTCCTTGTGGATGAGCGACCTTTACCATCCATCGGCTTCCAAATCTAACCCTAAGATGATTCCTCTGCCTCCGCTCACTACTCTGCCCTTCAGCCAAACCGAACTAGCCAAGAACGTGGCAGTGTCCTGTGAGGAAGAAGAAGAAGAAGGCTTTGTAGCTGCGATCAAGTTCTTGGGGACTCGAATCTGTCTCCTTGTACAACTCGAATCTGTCTTGCTCACCGAGAGACCATTGCTTCTACTTGCCTAGCCCTGGAGGCAACTACTTGCTCAGATGGGACTTCGACTTCAAGGAGGAAGACTCTCCAATGTTCCGCCAGATGATCTTTCGTGACCTTCCCGAGCTGCAACCGTCAGAGTATCAGCTGTTGGCTTCAGGTTCCAGGGAAGAACACTGGGTTCAGTCTTCTTCCTCTGGCGAATCCTTCTTCGTGCAATGGTAATAATAGCTCATAAGACCTTACAATAGATTATGATATATGCTCTTGTGTGGTCACATGTCTGGCTTGTATGTGTTGTATCGCAGGTACTCTTATGTCTCCCCGCCGCAGCTAGGAAAGAAGAGAGAGCCGGTGTTCATGGTGTATAGAGAGGAAGAGACGACGGAGAATAGCTACATGTGCTACACTGAGGACATTGGCGATCTCTGCATTTTCCTTTCGGAGAGCCATCCTTTCTGCGTCGAGGCCAGCTCCTGCCCTGGTCTGGAGCCCAACTCCATCTACCTCATCTCTCATGAAGACTTCGCCGTCTACAGTCTCGCCACAAAAACCTGCCGGGGACTGAAACCACCCAAGATTGGACCCGCAGGTGGAGAGATACAGACTCCTTTCCTTCCTTACTGGATCCCTCCATTGTCTGTCTAAGACTTGTGCTTGTTTGTTATCTCTTTCTTTTCTTAACTGCTCTTGTGGTTGGTTACTGGACCACTAATGATGCTCTGAAACATCTCTCTAGTTTGAAATCATATCTTTTTGTCATGTTCTAATTATGTTCTTTCTAATTATGTTCAAGACGGACATGGACCTACACATCTTTTATAAACGCAGTTTCCTCGTCTTTACTCTTTGGCATAAAAGTTCACACGTTATCGATACAACATCTGAACAACAACACATAAGAAGATTCATAATATTTTCTCCAACCATATAAAGTTGGTCTGAAAACTCACTTTACATCTTCACATGTGATTTATTTGTATAATTAAGAATTAGAGCCTTTGGATTTGGAACGAAATAAAAGTTGCATCTCCTAACTAAAGAGGCGTACGAAGCTCGGAATGTTCCATAGTGGTACCTTTTATAACACTTTTCCTATCATATCGGTGTGTTATCAAAGTTTATTGACAACCTCGTGGTAGTAATGCTTACATAAACTGATTTTCTAAAAAAAAGTAATTTGAACATCTTAATAAAACAATTCCGAAATCAGTATTTTGGGATTACCTTTCGGTAAAGACAGCATCTTGTAACGAAATCTAATAAAACCTTGATTTTTTAAGACAAACAATAAAGAGCCTTCAATTATTTTCCTTGATATTCAATAAAACCGACCAAGTTGACTCTATTGGACTTCATGCATCTCACTATGCATTTGCTTTTCAAATTTTGTCTATAAATAAAGCCGTTACACGGTAATCCATACTCATCCACACACCAAACACAAACAAGTCCAATTAATCTAAATCCAAGAAAAAAAATAAGAAATAAATACAATAAAAAATATTGTTCTTGCTTGATGATGATGGGAGATACGATGGGAACATTTGGTTCAAGCATGGCAAGTTTGTTCTTCTTCTGGGCAACTTTTCAGCAGATCTTCCCTGATCACCTCAAGATGGCAATCAAAGAGTTTCTTTTGTCTGCAATCCAACAACTCTCTTTTGTCCAAAGATTCTCCGACCGGATCATCAACTTCTTCTCTCCGTACGTTGTCATCAACTTCCCAGAGTACGAAGAGTACCGTTTCAACCACGCTTTCGCAGCTATAGACACTTACCTTGGGGCGAAATCAACCGATAAAGCCCAGAAGCTTAGGGCAAGTCAAGTCAAAGAGAGCAAAGGTCTAGTCTTGAAACGTGACGAGACTAAAGTCAGAGACATATACCAAGGAATTAACGTCTGGTGGGAGATTGTGACTGATGCTGAAGGAGACAGAACTCACAGGCTCACTTTCCATAGACGTGGATTAGAGATTGTAACCGGATCTTACATTAAGTACGTGATGGATGAAGGGAAATCGATTGAAGCGAAGAACAAGAAGATGAAGCTGTTCACCAATAACCCTAGTCTCAACTGGGATTCTAGCAAGAAGAGCTTGTGGAGACACATTGATTTCGAGCATCCAGCGAGTTTTCAGACGCTAGCGATGGATCCTAAGAAGAAAGAGGAGGTTTTGAATGATCTCGAGGCGTTTAGAAATGGGAAAGAGTATTACAAGAAGATTGGGAAAGCTTGGAAAAGGGGTTACCTATTGTACGGACCACCAGGGACTGGTAAATCCACGATGATCGCGGCTATGGCGAATCATTTGAACTACAGTATCTATGATCTCGAGCTCACGGCTATACAGAGCAACTCGGAGCTGAGGAAACTCCTCACGGCTACATCGAGCAAGTCGATTATTGTGATTGAAGATATCGATTGTTCTGTAGACCTAACGGGTAAGAGAAGGAAGAAATACGGTGACTTCAGCAGCAAGAAAGATGGAGAACAAGGCAGTGAAGAACAAAACCGGAGTAGTAGAGTGACACTCTCTGGTCTTTTGAATTTCATAGATGGGATATGGTCGGCTTGCGGACAAGAGAGGATTATCGTCTTCACCACGAATCATATGGAGAAACTAGACCCGGCTTTGATCAGGAGAGGAAGAATGGATATGCACATTGAGCTGTCTTATTGCAGTTTCGAGGCGTTCAAGGTTCTTGCCAAGAACTACTTGGATATTGATACTCATCCTCTGTTTGGTGAGATCGAAGCTTTCTTGAAGGAAACAAAGATTGCTCCAGCTGATGTAGCCGAGAAGCTGATGTCCAAGAATCATAAAATAGATGTCGATGGATCCCTGAAGGACTTGGTTGACAGTTTGGAGAGGAGAAAGGAGTATCAGAGAGGTCACAGTAATGGTCACGAGAAGAAATCTGGCGGCAAGAAACTCGGAATATTTCGTGGACTGTTTTAGGTCAATATCCAATTTATCTATATGCTAAATCTTATGTAGACTAATGGTTTCTATTTCAGTAATGTGATACTAGTATTTGAGCTGTAAGAAATTTCTGTTTGATAATAATAAGACGATTTGTATTTTTATTCCTGAAGACCAATATTTTAGTTTCTGAATATCAAGTGTTGTTTGCTAGTTATTACAAACATAAATGAAGAGTCAAATGCCAAATGTATAGTATGAATATTATATGTTCTTTTATACTACATTTTCACATAAACAGTACCAAAAAAGATGCATGTATTTATATATACACACACTGACATAGTCACATTTTTAAAACATTCATATAAATTACATATTTAATCCTAAATGCAAAACAGAATGAAACGATCTGTAAGTTTGCTTCTTGTCATTGAAGGGAAGAGGACGGCTTCTTTAGTTCCTAGAGATTCGAGATAACGCTATTTACCTTATGGCTCACTGATTTCCTCTGAGAACTCAGAATGGCGTTTGCTTCATTTCACCGCCTGAGCCGCTCTGGTCTGCATCGGTTGAGCTACTCGCAGAGACCGGTTTTCGGTTCACTTGCTCGGTTAAGCTGCTTGCAGCGACCGGTT